AATATAATATAAAATTATATTTATCTAATTAGTATTTTTACTATTATAAATCTAATACTAAACTAGATATTAATTTAATCTTTAATAGTTTTATTAAGTTTAATACTATTATTAGTTTATTATAAAACTTAGAATTAATTAAAACTATTAATTAAAAATCTAAAAGCTCTAGTATTAATTATAAATATCTAAATATCTTCTATTTATTTAATAGACTTTAAAATATAATTTTTATCTATTATTTAATATATAAAAAAAAGAAAAATAAGATTATTTATAAAAGTATTAGTTATAGAAATAATAGAAATAGTAGAAATAGTTAAAAAGCTTTTAATAGAAATAAAATAGAAATCTATATAATATTTCTTTTCTTTATCTATTTCTATTAATAAAACTTTAAAAGTATTATTTTCTATTTTATTTTTACTATTTTTATTATTTTCTTTTCTTTTAATTCTAGTAATATATTATATATAGATATTACTAAAGTATTTATTAAAGTTATAGAAGTTTCGAAATCTAAATTAATAAATATTTCTATTTTTAAATTAAGTTTTTTTTATTTTTTTATTTTTCTAATATATATTTCTATAAATAATATTCGGGTTTTTTTATATATAAAACACGATTTCGAAATATAATTATTATAATTATAGGACTTGGAATAGTTATTACAAATTCGGAAATTATAACTAGATTTATATTAATAATTTCCCGATAAATAATAGCTTAAAGAATTTTAAGAATAATATTATTAATTAGTAAAATAAGTTTTAGTATTAATTTATTACTCTTTTTTATAAGTAATAATAGATAATTAGAGCTTATTTAATAGGCTAGCCGAGTTTATTAAAAGAGTCCGAAACTATATATTAGTATATTAATAAACCTTAATAAGAAATAATAATTTTATTATATAGAAATTCAATATTTTATAAAATAGAAAAAAGGCTATATTATAGTTTATATAGGTTATTAATTAGTATTTAAATAAGTTTAAATATTGTTTTTTTAGGGTTTTTTATTATTATAATTATTAAATTAATAGTATTTTATTTATCTAAATTTTAATAATAGAAACCAGAATCTTTAAAAAAGCTATAAATATTTATATAAGCCTTTTTATATATATAGCTCAAGAAGTAATTATTATAAAAGTAGTCTTATACTAGTTCCTTTAATATAATAAAAAAAAGCTCTTTTTAGTACTTTTTCTAAAAGCTCTATATATTAGTAAATATTAAAAAAAGATTATAATTAAAATTACTATTAGTTTTATTATATTTTAATATTTTAAAATATTTTTTTATTATTTTCCTAATAAGCTTTCTAGCTATAATAATAGATATTAACTAATAGAAATTCGGGTTTAATAATAATAATAATAGTAATAAAAGTAAAAGTAATAGATAGCCTTAATTTAAAAGAAATAAATAAATAGCTTAATTTTTTAATTAAGAATATCTAGTTCTCTTATATTTAGTTCTATCTAAAATAAGATAAATTAATATAATAGATTTCTAAAAAAGATCTAGTCTAATTAGATTATTATTAATAATATTAGCTTTATTTTATATACTTTTTATTTTATTTTAAATAAAGTTAATAAAAGATTATATAATAATAAGACTTTTATAGTTCTATTTAATATAGATATTATTATATCGAAATTAGATTTAAAGATTTTATAATAGTATATAGTTAATTTAAATTAATACTATAGTATTAAAGCTATTAAAATTATCCTAAAATAGATTTTATAAATTATTATTACTTTTTCTATATAAGATATACTAATATATCTTAATAATTAAATATTCTTAAAGATTATTCTTTATTATAATTATTAAATTAATATTATTTTTATATTTCTTAACTAGTTTCTTTCTTTTATTAATATTTATATTAAACCAAATTCAGGTTTTCTTTAATATATATATATAATTTATAATAAAAGAGATTCGAAAATAAAATAGTTTATAATAGATTTATAGAAAGAATTTAATAGTAAAGATATTAGAATATTAAAGTAAATATTTTGCTTTTAAATATTTTATTTATAATAAGAAATTTAGAAAATAAAATATTATAATTCCGAGAAAGTCTAAAACTTAAAAAACTTAATTTAATAAAAAAATCGAAGTTTATAATTAAAGAGCTTTAAGGATATATATAGAATATATATTCTAGAAAAAGAGTTTTATAAATACGAGTATTATATAAATAGAAAATATAGTTTCTAAAATAGTAATCTTAGAATTAAAAAAAATTGGATTTAAAAAATAGTAGAGATTAAATAAATAAATCGTTAAATAGCTAACTATTTATTAATTAGTAAAAGCTAGATATCTTTTTTATAAATTACTAAATACTTTTATAAAATTAATAAATAGTTCTCTTTTTTAATATAGAATAGATTAGATTTATTTTAGGCTATTAAATACTTTTAGAATTAATCTAAAATCTTCTCTAATTTATATATATAATAATTGGTATTAGTTTATTAGTAATATAAAATACTATTTATATAAGATTAGTAAAGTTATTATTTAGAAATAAGAATTATAATATTATAATATTAATATATAATTCCTAAATTTATTAAATCTAAAGAAATCTAGTTTACTAGTTAAATTACTTATAAAATATAAAATTATATAACTATATCTTATATTTTATATTTTATTATCTATATTCTAGATCCCGAATCTTATAATTATATATATAACTCCTAAAAGAATAGCTATATTAATAATTATAAAATAGCTTATAATTAATATAATTCATATAATTCATATAATTTATATAATTCATAAAATTCATATAATTCATATAATTCATATAATTCATATAATTCATATAATTAATATAATTAATATAATTAATATAATTCATATAATTAATATAATTCATATAATTCATATAATTCATATAACTTATATAATTCATATAATTCATATAATTTATATTAATTTAATTAATTAAATATTTTAAAATTAAAATTACTAAAATTATTTCTTAAATAATTTCTAGAAATTATTATTAGTTAATTTCTTTATTTTAGATTAAAATAGCCTAATATTAAAATAGTTTAGGATTTCCTTATTATTATAAGTAATTAAATTAATATTATCTTTTTATTTATTTATTTATATATATTTATTTTATAATTTTATTATACTAAATTTTTAGAACTAAGCTCTTTTTAATATATATATATATATATAATTTATAATAAAATGAATTCGAAAATAAAATAGTTTATAATAAGTTTATAAAAAGAATTTAATAATTAAAGTATTTAGATATTTATTTAAATATTTAAATATATAAATATCTAAATATATTAAGAGTATTAAAATAAATATTTTATTTATAATAAGAAATTTAAAAAATAAAATATTATAATTCCAGAAAGATTTAAAGCTTAAAGAACTCGATTTAATAATAGAATCGAAGTTATAATTAAAGAGCTTTAAGAATATATATAGGGTATATATTTTAGGAAAAAAGTTTTATAAATTCGGGTATTATATAAATAGAAAAAATAATTTCTAAAAAAATAATTTTAAGACTAAAAGAAATTAGTTTTAAAGAATAATAAATAATTAAATAGCTAATAGCTTATTAATTAATAAAAATTAGAGTCTTTTTTTCTTTAGACTATTAGATATTTTTTTTATAAAATTAATAAATAATTTCTTTCTTTAATAAAATAGTTATTAGTTTTTAGTAAAAGCTAGCTATTTTTTCTTTTAGGCTATTAGATGCTTTTTTATGAAATTAATAAGTAATTTCTTTCTTTAATATAAACTAGTATAATTTTATTATAAGTTATTAAATACTTTTTTAGCTTGAAAAAATTCTATTTTCTAATTTATATATATAAACTAATTAATATTAATTTACTAGAAATACATAATATAATATATATAAAATACTTAAAATATAAATTAGTAAAGTAGTTAATATTTAAAAATAAGATTTATAGTATTATAATATTAATATATAATAATATTATATATTCTATATTTTATATTTTATATTTTATATTTTATATTTTATATTTTATATTTTATATTTTATATTTTATATTTTATATTTTATATTTTATATTTTATATTTTATATTTTATATTTTATATTTTATATTTTATATTTTATATTTTATATTTTATATTTTATATTTTATATTTTATATTTTATATTTTATATTTTATATTTTATATTTTATATTTTATATTTTATTATTTATATTCTATATTCCGAGTTCTGTAATTATATATATAACTTCTAAAGAAATAGTTATATGAATAAAAGTATTATTTTTTATATTTAATAAATTACTATATTAAATAGCTTAAAAGGCTTTTAATTATTATTTAATTATTAGAAGTTATATTTACTAGCTAATATTATAATATAATTATAAATTAGAAAATAGTCTATTATATTAAAATAAAGATTTACTAGCAAATTATTTTAATTATAAAGTTGCGGGATCTAGGATAAGTAGAGTTCATAATTTAAATAATTGAAACCTAATAATGCCTTTAGTTTTATTAGAGATTAAGAGAAAATATATTATAAGTCTATAAGATCCAAAAAAAATTGACTAATTACTATATATTTAAATTTGTCTGATATAACGTCGTCGAGAACCGTCTAAGTTCCTTTACTTAAATTAGAGCCCAGGCTCGGTTACGTAGAAGTACGATTAGCATGCGAGGCACGGAAGCAGTCAGCCGGTCCCCTCTTCACGTCCCTGCGCAATAGTACCTGGACTATATTGTGAGACTTCAATTGAAGCAGGTAAGCATGTATAATGTGAGAGCAAGAGGTGTGTAAGCTCTTCAGAGTTCAATTCTTCTTGATCTTACTTTAGCGCAAAGTTCTCTCGATTTTGTTTTACGGATTCGTGCATTCCTTACAAATTCCAAGCAGAATATGCCTAGATTTCCCCATACAAGCCATTGAACGCCGCTACGCCTCCATGCTCAATCAGACGTGTCTAAATGGTTCATATGCAACTTCCGTATCCCTACCTGGCTTACTGCCACCCATGCCCGCCAATGGGATTCCCCTGGTCGAACCTCTCACCAACTCCTCTTCCTCCTCCTCATCCTCTCCTCCACCAAACCCTCTCCGTTCAAGCAAGACATCCTCATCGCCATGCCCACCCGTGGCTCCCGTTACTTTGATTGCAGGGGATTTCTTCTTTCCAAGTTGTGCGTACTTGTGCTTATTCCATGTCAGACTCCTCTGCAACAGGGTTAGGGGCTTCGGCCCAGCGGTGTTGCTAACTACCCCAACCTTAGAGCCGTCCTTGTCGGTGGCACTGGGAACAATCATTCCGCCCCTGATTTTGCGACTGGATTTGCGGTAAGAAATACAGAGCAGTATTGTGGAAATCAAGGAGAGAATTGTTGCGATCCAAGTTAGGACGTACAGTGCGTCGCCCAATGAAGTTTTAATGCCTGCAGGTGAGAGATCCGAATCGAATGCCTGTTTGACGGTTTTGAATATGGCAATGGAGAGTGCCGATGCTGCAAGGAGAAAACCCGTAGCGAGGAAGGAGGCGATGGCTCCACCGATGATCCATCGCGGGGAGAAGCAACTGGCAAGAAGTCCAAATACTGGCGTGAGGAATGTCAAGATGAATGCTAGGAGATATGCGCCGCCCAAAAATTGTGATGCAGAGCCATATTTTGATATCGCACTTAGGAAGTGCGATGACAGCGAGCCTTGCATGCCGGTATTATCGAGTTGTAGGTCGGAGAGAGGATCGAAATGGAAGCCGAATTTGGGTTTTGAGCAAATTGTGGAATCATTGCTCTCGGCGCAGTAGGAGAGGAGTGCTATTGTGTAGGAGTTTGCGAGGCCCAGAGAAGAGGCGCTTGAGTTTGAGCCCACATAGTCGGTTTTGCTGACAGTTGAGAGGTCTTGGAGGTAGGTAGAATTCGAGAGTTTCGAAGCAACATTGAGAGCTGAAGTCTCCGCCTACACATTGAAAGTCAGAATGCTGGAGTGATATTCCGCTGTGGGAAAAGCACCTTCAAAAAGAACCAATTGACCAAGACATTCTTATTCGAACCCGCAATGAGGATGAGGAGGATTAAAATGAGAGTGACGAGACAAAAGATGGGAGCAATGAATCCGCGCATTTTGATTCCCTTTCTTTGGGGTGTTGGGTCGGCGATGGCACTTGGCTTAAAATCATAGGAGGGACGGGATGAAAAGGAGGGGAGAGCCAGGAACATACATTATTAAAGTTTACAAAGGACGGGACGATATGGGGGGGGCGATTTATGATCGGTACCGAAGGATGCACGCTGACTGTGTGCAGCGGATGGTAGGCTGCGAGTAGCGGACAGCGGCGGCCGCTGAGGCGTTCAGCTTGCTGACTGGATTGGGGATAGTATTACACCTGAAAGATAGGGAGTAGTAAGCCCAACACATCGGCTTCTCTCCCAATCAATGCGATGTCTGCTTGAACCAATTCTGATTTTGTCGGAAATTACTGCTGCTCAAGATGCCGCGGGGCAAGATTGGCTATTTTAAGCACCATTTTCTTTCTCACAACCCCGTTAGTGAAAGGACAGTCAAGCTTCTCTCCACAAACAACACAGGGGCATAAAACAACGTTGAACAGGGACATGAGCCCCGGATCTACAGGGGAGCCCCAGTGGACTGCTGCCCTGAATAGTGGGGTTAGCATGCACCGCAAGCCTGATTCGGAAATCTTCAAGGCTGAAAGCCCCCAACACAGTCAGCACTAGACGCCAATTCTCTGCCTCGCCTCCCGCCGAAAGCTTTAACCATTCAGGGAGCGTCTGAGTGGGGCAACTTTCGTTATGAGTGGCTGAAGGCGTAACAAGTCAAATGTAATAGCAGCCGCTGCAGCGGTGGCTATTTTAAAGGCGTCCGACTTTACTACTTTCTTTCCACATCGCGTCTCCCTCTTTCTCCAAATATAAAATTATTCTTTCGCGCGAAGTTTCTCTTGAAAATACTCACAGGCTCAATCATGTCCCTATTTTCAAGTGCTGTGCTTGTCCTCGCGATCGCTATCTCCTCTACAGTGGGGTTCACCCCCTTCGGACAAACTTTCCAAGTTGAAGTTGGGGCGAACGGAAACCTGACATTCAATCCTGAGACAATAACCGCTAATGTTGGTGACACCGTGATTTATAATTTCCATCCGAAGGTCAGTTTAAGTTTTCCAAAGATCTTCGGGAAAACAACTATTGACTTCAATAGAACCATTCCGTTACACAGTCAAGCTTCGGGGATCCATGTCATCCTCTTGCAGGCGGATTCTTCTCTGGATTTGTACCCACGGACAATCTCACAGCTGCATCTCCTACAACTTTTACAATCACAATTAATGACACCAAACCGATATGGGTTTACTGTGCTCAGACTAAAGGCGACCATTGCCAGGCGGGCATGGTTCACGCGATCAATGCGTCAGTGGGGTCCAATCTACCACTTGAACGACGCTGATTAAATATATAGTCCCCCGACTGGCAACACTTTTGATGCCTATAAAGCCAAAGCTCTGACTGCCTCCAAACCAAGTTCTTCTCCCCCAGATGGTCTTCCCGTCGGTGGTTTGCGCAAGACAAGCGTAATCGTTGGCGTAAATGGCTTGCTGCAATATTCCCCGAACAATATCACATCACTAGTAGGAGAAGTGATTGAATTCAATTTCAATCCGGCTGTGAGTATTATTTTTACCCCTAAAAATCGTTGTGCTAACATTCCCAGAACCACTCAGTCGTCCAAAGTAATTTTGGGGATCCTTGTCATCCACTGTCAACGGGAGGATTTTCCAGCGGTTTTGTTCCTACGGCAGTCTCTCCTTCAGGAGCCACTTTCCAAGTCGTTGTAAATGATACTAAACCAATCTGGTTCTATTGTGCGCAAACAAAGAAGACTCATTGTCAAGCAGGGATGGTGGGCTCGATAAACGCGTATGATTTCCTGTTTCTTCCAGTGGTGTCCTGCGCTAATTGTGTAGTCCAACCTCGGGCCCCAACACTCTTGAAGCATTCATTGGGCTCGCGGCCAAAGCTTCTGATAGCACCATTCCAACAGTTGCTCCTCTTGGTGGCATTCTGACTGTCAATGGAACTGTAAGTTTCAGAGCATGAAATGAGCTTTCACCAGACGCTAATTCATGGTTCCAGGTCGTCACTACCGACAATGGTGATGTTCTTGACAGCAGTAAAACCAGTTCGGCCAACTCATCCATTTCAACCGTTCCTCCGCCAGGAACATCCATTCCACCTGATGTTGCAAACATGGCTGGAGGATATCAGCCATCAAGTTATAACTGGGCAAACAGCATCTCGGACCAAGCTACAAGTTATTTGCAACTCATGCTTTACCTCGACAATATCTTGCTGGAAGTTCTTGTAAACGGTCACAACAACCTCACCTCAGGCGGGTGGTCCCATGTTTACCCAGACTCTATCACAGGTACAATTGGCGGCATGACTGCCCAAGCCTTGGTCCACCGTTCCACGTCCTCGGACTCTCTCTCACACTACAATAAACCAGTTGCTGGATTGTGTAGCTACAACTTCCCTATCGCAAACGTTGATGATTTCGTCCATGTTGCTCTCACGCTCATCCTTCTTGAAATCGGCCTCCTTCTGGATGTCGTGGCCACAGTCGTACTTTCTGACCCCTGGCTAATCGCCCCTCTTGCCTCAACTCTCGGCTCAAAGTCTCGAATGGCTGGTATGGTGAACATGATGCAAGACCACATGGCGGCTGCTGCACCTAGAGAAGCATGGATACCAGCAACTCTCGTCTATTCCTATGCCATGAACCATTATGTGGTCCCAAAGTCGTGCCCCGGATCAGCCGGAGATCTGGGGGGTTACACCGCGCTTCCGCCGCTTACTCTAACCAACCCCCCTGTCACTGGCACACAACGGGTTACGAGCGTCACGGTGTCCTTTGATGCCTCGATCAAAGGAAGTCTGTTCATTGCTTGGCTTGGGGCTTGGGGAAGTGTGGAGTATACGCCTGTTGTTTCGACTGCGGCGGGTCAAGGAACTGCGAGTGTGCCTGCGGACTTGTCCGGGCATGTTTGGGGTGTTTTAACTAGTGCACAAGGAGGATCTGTTGGAGACTTAATGAAGGTGGCGGTTGCCGGGCCGGACATGGTTTGGGTGACAAACCCGTAAAGAGAGGGGTTGAACAATTATATGGCGTTCGGATCCAGGGCTGCGGAAATCCCTATTATATATAACCTTAACATAGTGCAAGCGAATTCGATTACCTCTCTACCTGCTGGCAATTTTCGACCTTTACCCCAGTGTTAGAATGATAGATTGAAATTTCGCTCATTTCCCCCAGCACTTCAAGAAATGTGAATATTGGATGTATTTATTTGTTAAGAATAGCTGATGAATTATGATTATATCTATTAAATTTCTAATGAGTGGATCAAATTGAATCTGCGGAAGGACCTAAAATATTGGAGCGCTTCGAACCCCTTTTTCATGGAGGGGAAGGAGGCGGGTCGGTCATGTGACGAGTCACTTTCATTATCATCAATAATGATTGGCATAAAAACAGGTAGTCGCATACTGGAATTCGACATGACCATTTTCCATATCTGTCTTTGGACCTGAGCTACTGCTGCTTTAGCTTGAGCCACGGGTGAGCATTCCTGAGCACGGTGAAGATGTCACGGCCTGGACAAGCTGTGGAAGTGGAAAAATGATGGTGCCCTAAGGGCGGTGAAGAAGCTATATATATGTCTGTGCGCAGCACGTGACAGAAGATCCAGAGGTCAGATGGGCAGAAGTGAACCATGTACCAGGTTAACAAATTACCGGGTAAAGCACACGTCACGTATTACGAGAGAGATTTCTAGAACTATGATCGATTCTAGAAGAGAAGCGTGAAGCTCGTAGACGCTTGGGAGCGAGGCTAAATACTCAAGGTTTGTCGTTAACACCCCTACCCCAATCGACACCCGTCGTTTTAGTCCTTTGCCTCGACTTCACCTGAGCTGCGGATAAGCAAACCACAGCAGGAACAATACTTTGCATACCGCGTCCTCTATTTTGTCCCGTCTCAACCAACTCCAAGCAGAACCTGTTCCTATAGCATTCAGAGGTACGTGCCAACTTCAGAATACCACCTAGGTTTTTCCATGCTCACGCAAATTACAGATCACGTACACGCCATGCAGGAGCCTGCCACAGCACCGTGGGGTCTGAGCATCAGCAACGCCGACCTTGAGAAGCTCAAAGCCGGTTTCGAGCCTCAGGATCAGGATGACAAATGGCGCGTCTCGGCCACGGATCAGAGCCTGAATGGCACCATCTCCATCCACCTTGCTCGAAGCGGGACGGGCAAGGAACTCTACGTACTTGTTGTGAAACCAAGCGACGGTGGCAACAGCGGCAGTGCTGTGAAGATCGAAGCTATCACCTGGGAACAGAACAAGGGTGGAATTCGCATCTCGGAGGAGCAGGCCAAGAAGGAGGTAGTGATTATAACCAGACGCCTTCTGGAGTGCGGTTTTGATGCGCTTCCAGAGTATGACGTCTCGGATCTGTGGAATCATCCTGCTGCTCAGCTAGGCGCCAATTGAGCAAACTTTCCCTCCTGCCCCAAGGCAGATTCGGTGTCAACTATACTCGAATAAATCAATCCATAAGAGGTCTAGCATTCCCCTCCAACGAACCTATCTTTCTCAGCTTTGATAAACATGCGAGACATGCGGTGAGAGAACTCACTGAGAATATCCCCTCCCCGACTTGCTTCTGGTTTTCCTTATGTGTAAAGAACACCTCTTGATAGCCTTCCGCATGCTTATTCAGGTGAGGGCGAAACCATGCGGTGGAAGTGTATCGACAGTATCGTGTGTCTACTTCACGAAGGATCTTTGCCTTGCTATTTTGCAGGCTCGGTAACGATCCAGTATTAATGGTATTAATACCTAAGCAATTCTCGGACCCCAAATACTCTTTACTATTAATAAAACTAGCCCAAAGGCTTGGATATTAAAAGAAAAGTATATTACTTTTTTTTAAATCTTTTATAAGAAGTTTTATTTATAGTACCTAATTTTTAATATTTTTAAGCTTACTAAGATTTGGGCAATAAGCGAATTTCCGAGTACGAGGCTAGTAGTCCGAATATGAGATATTATTATATTAAGAGTTTATTAATAAGTTTATAAATTTTAAATTCTAAAATTCTAAAATCCTTTATTTATAATAGATTATATATATATAAAGCTTTTATAGAAAAAAAATCTTTTAAAATAGAAGATAATAAGGTATTTAAAAAGTAGGGGGGTACTAATATTATTCGATTCGATTCAATACTAATCCGATATCAATCCAGTATTAATACCTCAGGTATCATTGCCGAGCCTGCTATTTTGAGTCGAGTTGGGATCCTGCTTGTCAGGTTCTTGCACATACAGGCTGCGCCTTCTCACTGCCTACGATGAAACGGAACGTCCCAAATCCGTATTTGGATACAAGGGTTATAATTGTTGCCTGATTGTTGGTGCCACGCGGACATTGATAGATATAGAAGGTGTTTTTCTATTTTTGGTTTTACTATAACCAGAAATAATATCGAGACTTTTTCCCCTTCTAATCAGAAGTCAAACTACACGTAAAAAGATGGGGTTCAGATAACGGAAAGATTACGAAGCTTGTGTATTATTAGTACCTCGAGATAGCCCAGTTCAATGAATTCTATACTGTTAGAAGCATTCTATAGTACGCCCCACAACGATTTATACTTAAAATAACTCCCTAATGTTTACCATTAGTGCTTCTGCTGCGACCTTTATTGACGACTCCCAATTACTCTTCCATCTTGATTAACGGTGCGAGGGCTTGTTGAGTGGCTGCTATAATATTCAAAGCCGCCGGTTGGGGGTGTAACATGACATAGCACCAATTGTCGGTCAAGCCCAGGATTTCCATCCCTTAATTGATTTTTCATGTGAACTAAGCACACCATCCACGTATTGAGGTCTCTTCCTAGAGCTATCGAATTTCGAACTCCTGGACTTCACTCGTTCTAGCTTCCATTTCGTCAATTGCTCGTCCGTACATATAACCATTGCTGATGTATACCTCTCCAACCAGAGTGTAAAATTCTTTGCATTTCCGTAACATAAATGGCACTCGAGCTCCCAATAAAACACACGCTAGGTCACCTTCTTGGACGTGAGGAGGTGCCATCCCCATCAAGCCATTGCAGGTAACAACGAATCGACGAAGACCTTCTATGGCGTCGAGTTTCAAACGCCGAACGTTACTTTCGCGTGCGATATGATTCAAACTGTTCCCCTCGGCAAAACCCCTGTTGTCGATGGTGGCAGTCTTCTCTAATTCTTGGAGAGTTTCTGCGGCAAATGTGTCTTTTTCGGCAATTCGTGTGGCCCACGAGGATAGCAAATGTTGAAACTTCTCTTCGTCCGTTTTCTGATCAGCGGTTTCGAAATTTCCTACACTATCAATTATCCCAATTGCCAATCCTTGAGCGAGTAGGCTCGTGTGAAGCCGGACCCTAGTATCTGGCCCTCCTGGAACTACACGGAAAACCCCACAAGTGCTTTGCGATGCTCGGAATGCGCATTTGGCAGGAAATTCACCAAGGAGCAGAGGCCATCGTTCAGCTCGTTCATCAAGCTGCGATGACCAGTCAGGGCACCAAGTAGGTAAGTCCATTGCTTTAACTACGCCTGAATGCTTGCAATAAGCCAGTATGTCTAATGATCGTTCCTGCTCCATTATTGCCGTCGCAGTGCTGATATATATCTGCTGGATAGTTGCCTTATAATCAGGTACAATTCCAAGTTTCTGGTCACTTAGCCCACAGAGAGCAAAAACTTTGTCTCTAGGATCGGTAGAATATGCCCACCTAGCAGAGTCGAGTAGTCGATCGAGAGGGAGAACTTTCTGCTCTTGCCAAATCCTTCGCCGAGTTTGAATTTTTAACATCTCGAAAACTTTCGAAGCTGGCGCAGTCGGATAATTGCCCATGAGCAATTCTAGGCTCTTCGGCTTACGGGTCGGCCATTCCACGACGATTAGTTGTGGTAAAATTTGGAAAACAATCCGGAGATCTTCAACTTTGGCGGAGTGCGTATCCCATTTGAAGTGACTCGTCTTTGCAACAATAAGTTCTTGCCAAATCCAGAGGCGGCTCCAGAGCTCAGACCTAAACAAGTTGCCTAATGCTTCGTATTTTGCCCATATGTCTGTGCTATCGGATAACAATTCGTCGACCACGCCATTGACAACGTCATTCAGAACGGACTCGACCTCGGCCGACAAACCGTCCCTTATCCGATGCTCCATTTTGAGATTGAATTCATCTTGAAGCTCTTGCACCGTACGAAATGCGAGGTCCCCTCCCTTCAGATCACCAAGCCAAGCGATCACACATTCCGCCCTCTCATAAAAAACCCTCATCTTCGAGACTTGGCTTCCTCTTTCCGCAACGTCGTTTTGATTGATACAAATCTGGTCGGCCCAGACAACCCTGGTTCCATCAGGCTGCCGAATTTTGCGCAGGGCAGCACCGAGCGATGCAAATGCATTGAAAGGATGCCCATCAACCTCAATCTCCAGTATTTTGGTAGGATCGCCGGCACGGTATGAAATGCATTCGTATTTGAGGCCCGGTGTCTCTGGCGGCTGAATGATTCTGCATTGGATGCGGTCAAGCCCTTGTCCTGGGAGGATTTCGAGGAGGCGAAAGTCGTCATTATTGGGGTTGAGGTCTCTGTAGACATTTGCGGCGTAGAATTCGCTGTTCTCAGGAGTGTAGAAATTGATGAATACTAGTTCGGAATCTGTTGAGGTCATGGTGTCGTTGATGGACCTGTGGTTGAATACAAGAATTGAAGTTGAAGTCCAAGCGAGTTTGGTTTTACGAGTTTGGCTGAAAAATTATGTCAGGCGTGAGTCATGGAGGCCTTTCGTGTGGCCTATTGTGGCCTATAAGCGCCTGAAGGAAGGCACAATTTGAGCGGCGTGCTAGTTGTACTGCCCAGATGGATTTAAAAGCAGTGTGCCCCTGCAGACCCTTGCAGACCACCCAGTCCAACTCGAGTGTAGCTGTACTGTAGGCGAAACCACCTTTAATGCCCCACCTACGGAAAGCGATAAGGATCAAGCGATTTTCGAATCCGGTTTTCGACTTCTGATGTCCGATTTGTGGCCCGTGCTCACCCCACCAAAAATCGCCCACATACCACACCCCCTCTCCCTGTGCCTCTACCTATTATTACTGCTTAAAATATTATTACTCTCTCTTTGATTCTTATTTTATATATATATATAAGAGAGGGGTGAGAGGTGAGGGGTGGGTGGGGGAGAGGGGGGGAGGTGGAGGGCGAGTAGATGAAAAGTGAAAAGTGAAAAGTGAAAAGTAGAAAGCGAAAAGCGAAAAGCGAGGTTCGAGGCACGCGACTCGCTAGAAAAAGGAAGCCCTATAATTATAGGCTACTTATCGCTAAATTTTAGGGCTACGGTCACTAAGTTACAGGCTATAGGTACTAAAAATTTAGCGACATTAATTTTTGGTTAAGTTCCCTCGCTTTGCCCCCCTCCCCCTCCCCTTTCCCCCTATAAGCCCCCTCTCTTATCCATATATATATATATATAGAGAGAGAGAGAGAAGAATTAAAGAAAGTAGATATTTGAAGTAGTAATAGAGGCACAGGGAGAGGGTATAGTATGTGGGCGTGATATGTGGTATTTGCGATTTTTGGTGGGGTGCGCACGTGCCACAAATCGGACATCGAAAGTCGAAAACCGGATTCGAAAATCGCTTGATCACTTGATCCTTACGGCTTTCCGTACCCACCTCAAGGAAGAACATCGAAACTGCGCCAGGGCAAAATCGCGATTTGACTACCCTCCGACCATGACACCAAATCCTATCTAAATTATAAGAGCTCTTAGCATTAAAGTTTGTTATTTTGCAATTAATTTAAGTCTAGAAATGCTTATTTTGGATTAGTACTAGTAAAGGTATTAATAAAACCGTAGAATCCCGATGTTTAAGGCTTGCAAGGGCCTGCTTCTTGTTTTATTATTTGTCGTATGGATACGGGTACTAGGGAGCTTAGCTTCGCTTACTTAGTAGCCCCGTTTATTTAGCTAGATCCAAAGGCTCCCTTTAGAGCTTCTTTTAATCAGATAACCATTTATACAAATTACTGTTCCTTGCTATTTGCAATATTATTATTAGGCAATTACGAGCTCCGTTAAATTACTATTTTGCAAGTAACTAAGAAATATGCTTTCAAGAAAGAGTAATATAGCTTAAATTAATTATAGTATATTCTAATTTATTATTATTTAAGCACTTATACTTTTGTTTAAAAAATTGTAATATAATAAGAGATTTTCATTGAAATTATATATAAAATTTAGTTATAAATCTCTTATATACTTACTATTTAATTATATTAATACTTAATGAAAAAATACACCTGGGCTATAAGTAAGTTACGGTACACGTGAAGGAATCTGTAGAGATAAGCTTTACAGCTTCCAGTTCAAGTGCACACTTTAATGCCCCCTAAGAAACAATAATATAAACCGCCAGATACAGAGATTCAGAAATACACTGCAATTTTATCAATGGTAGTCGTTCAAGATCCTATAATAATAAAAAAAGGCTACTTGTCTCCGAAAATCGACACCAGAAATCTTTAGACACCATCCGCAATCGCAGCGAACTGAAGCCCATCAAACAAGAATCGTCAGCCCCATCGGTACACCCTTCATTCCATAACTATTCCCAGACCCATCTTTCTCTATCGACTGGCTCTGGACTTTAAAGTAAGCCTGCACAGCCCACACATTCTTTTTATTCGAATGTGGCTCCACAACAACAATATAATACCCCAGCCACAACACCAACTGCCCCGCTCGCAACATATACGGGACCTCATTCCCAACTCCTAACAGCGCCTCCACAGCAAGAATAATGCTGCACTCCGCAAACGACAAATTTGTAACGTTGTTATCAGTCAGCCTCACATTAGTGATGTTTAGTCTCTTCGCTTTGACAATCAAACGTGCGCCATCACGAGCAAGTTGGCTTTGGTAAGGTTGCCATTCAGGCTTCTCGTTGATCATCTGCGTGAAGCTGGGGTAGATGACGCGCTTTATGGGGTCTTCAGGGAGATTTCTGTGTACCTGTTGGAGCTGCGTGCGGCTGTCCTTCGCTTGGTTAATGAGAGCCTTCACCGTCGTCAAGTGCCCGTTGAGTTTTTCGACCTCACCCCGTTGGACGCGAGAGGCTTCGCTGGTACCCCTAATATCGGAATGCTTGTCGAGTTCTTTCTGTAGACGTTCTAGGGCGGCGGTGATTTTGGACAGCGAGCTATTCATTTCTCGCAGCACGTCCTGACAATAAACTACCCGGTTACCAATTTTGAAAGCTTCGGCGACGCGCTCCCGCTCGTCGTTGGGAGAAACTATGTCGGCAGAGAACTTCTTAGCTTCAGTTACTTCATCGAGTGGGGTGAAAGCGGTAATTGATGGGGTCCTGTTTAATGTTAAACGTCGCCGAATCATTTGGCCGCCGAATTGATTTCGAATGCCACTGATTAAGAGATTGATGATGCGCGCTGCTTCAACAAACGGCTCATTTAACACCTCATCTGAGATCTCGAGATTGGCAAGCCTGGCGTTATCTGGAGTTTTGAGTGTATATGTACCCTTTTGCATGGCGCTGATGTACTCGATGTCGAAGGACGAAACACGATATTGAGTCGAGTTTGTGAACCATGCAAGCATAGTATTGTCCCGATCATCGGAGGAGATGTCAAGATGCGGAATTTCATTAACAGCTCGGACAAGGCCGTTGGAGTTACCGCGCTCTCTCATCATGCCGTCATGTTGTAGGTATTTGAAGATGCTTGAGCTTGTAACTCCGTCTATTGGCCATGGTGCCTGCCATGATATTGCATCTGGTGCAACGGATTGTCTGAACTGATGCCCTTGACTCGACTGGTCGGCATAAGGATATTGTGTGGAAGACCGATGATCTTTCGGATCTTGAAAAGGATCGTCGTCCATTTCCAGGTCTCCAAGCATTGCTTCTAGATCGTCTGCATGGTTTGTTGTCCAAACAGTCTGATTTGCGGATCCGGAAATTCCCAGGGCAGTTGGGACAATATATCCTTTATGCGCAAGGTCCTGCTGAAGCTCTTCCCAGATCTTTCTTTGGAGCCTGAGCTCGTAGCCTCCTTCTTTCTTCTCCAGAGGCTTGTAAGCCTCAAAGAGACCTCGAAGGAAGATCTCGGGGTTGATAGCTCCCAGGGGTAAAACTTTCATGATGATGAGCTCAATACTCTCACGATCCCCAGGAATCTGAAAGGTGCTCTCGAGCACTTTTGTGGTCTTCTTTAGATCATCATTGTTAAGGAGAGCCAAGAGCATTACCAGCATCTGCATAAACTTTGGCTTGACGGATGCCTGGTCAGTTTTGCTTTCGTTGAGCGATAAATAGTAAGATGATGATTGCTCAACAAGCTTACGGACACCCTCACTCGTTGTTAAGGTAACGAACAAGCTGCCATAGTCAACTCCGTAGCGAGTATTTGTCGATTGAGCGATCATTGCCCTCGTTGACATTCGGAATAATCTCGGGCTTCGTATACACAAACGCCGTACATCGTTGATCATGGCCTAGGCAAAGGGGACTTAGCAATTGCATAATAAATATTGTTTCAGGAGAATTGGCACATTTTCTCGGAAGAGGAGAATCATGATACTCTCTAAATTAGGAAATTGGTTCTCCCCTGCCACTTACATCGAGGATCTGAACGATCTCTTTGGCCGCAATGTTTCGCCCTCCATCTTGGACGATGGTGCGATAGTTCGTCATTAGATCGCGCATGCTAAACATGTCAATCTCAATGAGAGTACATGCAATATCGAAATGTTCATCCGTGGGAAGCCCGTGCATCAGCTTGACTCTGTCGCTGTCGATCGTCAATGTATGGTCATGAGGGTTGCGCTTTATAAGCGCCATGGAGTCATCCGTGTCTGGAGCGTTTTTCGTGAGGAAATTGCGGATAGGTTCGTTGTACATGCTCGAGCCAGGAGACCTTATTTGGCCTTTTCTCTCCTTGTAGGCGATCATGATCTCGTGAGAGTTATCCTTCTTTTGGATTGACAAATCCGTCCCAATCTCGAATCTTTGAAGAAGTGTTGCGGCGGTAAACATCCTCCATTCATGGGACTTTTGGGGCGGTTCAAGGTCTGAGATCTTACTCATTTCTGCCCCAGTGACGGTCGGCTTGTCAGCACCGGCCATGAATGTCATGGCAATGTTAAGGACGGGAGCATTCTGATCGACGCTGCCAAGAAGAATGCCGCTTTTATAGCTTTTCTTCAGCGGCTGATCAGGGTCTCGCTCAAAGTCTCTGAGCCATTCCATATGAGCCGGCGGAAACTGCCCATCCTTGACACTGATAAGCCATCTATCATCCGTCAAGCCTTTGTCTGTTTCGTATTCCCCGGGCGATTTCGGTGTTTCTTCCGGGATTGCTTCGTACTCAACAAGGGCGGTCCGATCAATTCTTCCAAGGCTCCCACCAGCGTGCATCGGTGATTGGTATCTTGCGGACATGTTTAGAATGGGTCCCGGAAAATTAGCAATGCCTTAAATTCGTGAAAATTTTGAGCGGAAAGTGAGCGGCCTTGATTGTTCTGTTTCTTCGTGTCCAAGGAAGCGGACTGGAGCCAGCTAAAATTGGGTTGTTTAATCGGCGAAGACGTCTAGTCATGAATTTGTCAACTATCCATTTTTCAGAAGGGAGTTTGCTGGATTGAGAAGGATTGCATACATCAAATTGTACCAGGACTGGTTGCGAGTACCTTGGAACTGTCTTCAAAGCACTCCTTTAATACTGCATGTGAGAGTCGCAGGACAAATCTGTGAGGAGAGAATCTGCGGTTGGGAATTATCTGCTTTCTGTAACAAGGCTGACCAAAGGCATGAGATGCAAAATCTGCCTTGCCACGTACTTGACACTACAACATGCCACATAATGGCGGTTCGTTCAGGCCTGCATTGTATGGTGTTCAGCTAGTACCATGCAGTCATAACCACAATGCGGCAAGCCCTCGGGGCACAGTCCGCCTGCATATTACGTGGCTGTCCTGTGAACTCTTCTACCATTGTTCCAGTTGGTTGGTGTTGCATGCTTCATGCGCCGGAACGCCGAGGCATATGCGGTGACTGAAGTTCGAGGAAAGTCTGGAAACATCATGCTATCCGTCTTTCTCCATTGGCCTAGGGAGCCCGGACGGAGCGCAATGGCTTTGTTTGTTGTGGGAGGTGACGATGCAACTTGGCCTGGATGGCATTTGATAAGCCAGTTCATTTCGACGCATGTGCAGTGCGGCTTTCCTGGATAGGCGGGACAGGAATACATGGGGAAAGGTTTGAGGCTCGTTGGGCCGTAATTTAGTGGGTTAAGACTTTCTCTAGCCTCGTATATCAAAATCGGACCATGGGGCTGAGAACGAGGCGCACTCTGCGGCAACAGGTTTTAGACGTCGGCGAAACTTGTGTTTATCAATGTGGCAGGGCTGGATAACCATCTACCTGATGTGTCGCGGGGGGCTACCAGAATACCATTTAGACGACACTATGGTTTTAAGGTTGTTGTATTTATATATCTTTATTAAAGCTGGAATCAAGTGATGTATGCCAGCTCGACTTTTGTCTATCTCCGTCGTTGGCTTATGCTGCAATGCTATATACACCCGGTGCGAACCTAGCGTCTCGCATCCTTTCGTCCCAGTTTGTAGCGCTCTGCATCTTCGGCACACCTCACTCATCCGTCCCAAAACACTCACCGACACGTCCACGGTTCAGGCCAATAAGGTTCCGCAGATATGGAGTGTGCCTTGGAATCAACCCTCGGCCATGTCTTGCAGCTCGCAGTTTGCAGTAATATCTCCATCTGCAAGCCTCTGGCCGTGTCAGGCTGTCCCGTTGACTTGAAACCGAGCCCGGAAGAACTTTACTTTTTTTCTTTCTTTCTTTCTTTCTTTCTTTCGGCTTGAGCTGAGTATGTAGGTGGCATATCGAGAGCCTCTCTGGCTCAGTTTTCCTTCATGCTCTTCGTCTCTTGTCTTTTTCTCGAGACTGCTCTTTTCTGGGGAATGACTATTAATCCAATCCCAACAGCAGCACAGATTGTTGAAATATTTGGCATTGCCATATGATGCTAACAAACAACCTTGCTGCTGGGCAGGTTCCCCGGAGAAGGCCTCCACCTCCACCTCCACCTCCTCGCCCGCAGAGCAGAGTTCAACATACAACTGCACCACCACGCCCGCCAAGACCACCCCCACACCCCAAGCCAAGCCTATTGCAGGAAACCATTTATGAACTGCCCGCGGATACGATTAGGGTGGAAGATGGCCCTTTCGAAGTAGCGGCTGTGCCATTGTCCGCCGAGTCGCAGTTCGATGACCAGCTGCAGCGTAATTATGTTACTTATTCAGGGCACGAAGCTCAGAATGATCGCAACAATCTCGAAGGTCATCTCGATTGGAGCGATTCTTCAGAACAACCTCTACCTCCAATTCCATTGTATGTATGGTATCCTTCTTTCCCCAAGACGGAAAATAATTTCTCAAGTTTAACCCGAATTGCGAAAGACCTTCGAATTCCCTTGAAGTGCCGAAGTTGTCACAGAACCACCCCAAGTATTCCCGAATTGGTGTTTTGTCGTGGTTGCAGACACTCCTTCCACCCTGGATGCTGGGACGACTATGAAGATCATGTTCCAAGTGAATACACACCAGAGCCGTGCTCAGGCTACACTCGCCTGGATCTTCATGTCTGGGTCTCGCATTTGCACACATCTCAGAATGAGGAGTTTGGCCTTCTGCAAGATCTCGTGAATGACCGCTACCACCGGTGGATTGGAACTCCACAGATGGCAAGCGGGGAGGCACTCGAGCCAGAGCAGCCAGAGCTCATGCTGTATCCAACGTTGGCGAGGCAATTCAACGAATTCTTCAATGTAAAGCCTGCGACGGCAGATAGGATGCCAAGAACACAGTATCCCCGACTTGTGGCCTTTTTTGGAGATACCGGTATGGGAAAGAGTACGATTATCAAGAACTTGGTTCGACATCTCACTTCTTCGAAAGCGTTTGATGTTCCCATCGTTGGCAGCCGGGCCGAGGCCCAGAACTCTACGAGTGCTGGAGTTCACATATACATGGATCCAGATACCTTCAGACACGAAAGGCCGATCGTATATGTAGGTATGTAGCGGATTTCTTGTGCTTTTTAACGAGCATTGTATAACTGAGGTTATAGATTGTGAAGGACTCAGAGGAGATTCGAGTCCCATTTCAAGTCAAGTTGACAGTCGAATTCAAAAAGCGAAAGCTGGAAAGCTGCGCAAAGCGGTCCCGACCGACCCTGCGAGGAGGTCGAATACGACAGCGCACCAGACTCAACCAGTGATCTCAATACAACCAGACTTGGCCGATGAGGTTATCTTTGAGAGAGCACTGAAGAATAAGCCACAGCCCATCTCATCAATGCCCCTTCCATGGGCAGAACATGGAAGCAAGTCTTGGAGGTCAGTAGTTTCCGAGAAGATATATCCGAGATTTTTATACATATTTTCCGATGTGGTCTGCTACGTGAGTGGAAACTCCAGGTAATTTCCATCAGCCTATCCTTTTAGGCTGTTACTTGACTGATATATATAACAGAACTGCTGAGGATGATATGGCACAATTGGTGAACTGGGCTCACGATGCCCATGACTTCACAACCAATCAAGGCGTGAAGCCAGGCTTACTCTATATCATCAACCAAGACAACCACTCCAACCTCGAGGAATGGCGAGACGTGGAATATGCCACAAAATGTGTCCTAGAGAAGTTGAGGAAATCAAAGCGGTTTGTGACTGAGCAAGAACTATGGAGCAGCAGGGGGCGGAAGGTCGTCACTGCTGATCACCTTCTCAGATGTTATTACAGCAGCGTGAAGGTCCTTTTCATTCCACAATTCCTGCCAAAAGACCCAATCTGCGAGGCAAATGATCTCTGGAAGCAATACAGGCTCTTGTATCGCGAGGTTAGTGGCCTATCATGGAGCTCCTCTGAACATCGAAAAGAAGCGCGAGTGCTATTCAATCTGGAAACTCTATCCAGGCACAGCATTGGAGTTCTCCAGCAGTTGGCGGCAGACCCTACGAGCTCTGTAGATTTGCGCAAGTTAGCAGAACCAGCGCAAGCTTACCCGTGTGGATTCAATGGCCACGTGCTGAACATTCTGGCTCGTTTCCAAGAAACGGAACCCAAGGATCACAGGGCGAGTGAGCAAGACATTGGTGCCGAGGAAGCACTTATCAGGAAGATCTTCAAGTATGTTGCTATCTGCGTTGCTCGAGAGATTAAAAGAACAGCCTGTAAGGTCTTACATTGACTTACTTTTCAATCTCACTAGATTCAACTGCTAACATTAGTAGTGGATCGGGGTTCGGAACTAGGGCAGATCGAATACTACACCCAGAAATGGAGATTGGTTCTGGAAGACTTTTCTCGCACACGATGCCGTTGTGAACAAATGTATCACGGCCAGCGATGCACCAACTACCGTTTGTTCCACGTCAAAGGCCACCAGTTCGATCGCAAAGGACGCGAGAATTTCTTGGAAGGACCCTTTGTTTCGAGTTTTCTGGATACACTTGACTCGCTCCAGGATGAGCTTGCAGCGAAGCTTCCACAATTCCTCCGGAAGTCTGTCACTACAGCCGAACTTACCAGAGAATTGTGGTACAACGCCAAGATTTGCGACGCAGGCAGGATATTCAGCAACCGCACGTGTCTCGCATGTCTGTCTCGCACTCCCGCACACACTCTCCCTTGCAATCACTCTATCTGTGATCTTTGTGCTAGTGCCTTAAACTCCCACAAGTGCCACGGAGAGCAGAGTATAGTCATCCCGCAATGTCCATTAGGATGCGAATGGCCATCTCTGCCTAATTGGACAATCAGGCGAAAACCTTCTGAGGCAGGCGTAAGGATATTGTCTCTTGATGGGTAAGTTCCCCCCCAGCTACCCAAACCCTTATTCTGATTTGATAAATTTAGCGGTGGTGTACGTGGGATCATCCAGCTTGAAATTTTGCAGTCAATTGCAGCACGCGTTGGTCACAATATTCCAATACAGGAATTGTTTGATGTCATTGTTGGAACGGGAACTGGTAAACTCGAGCCTGCCATGGAGTGTCAATATTCAAGAAATACTAATCTCGGCAGGTGGCATTATCTCTCTTGGTATTTTCAAGAAGGAATGGTCAATTCAGGACTCGAGAGGAAGGTTTCATACACTCATCAAAGCGGCTTTCTCAAAGCGTTCATTGCTCAAGCTTTTGTGGCCAATTCCTGGAGGTTCTGCAAGCGCACAAATAATGCTCAACTACCTTTACAAAAGTGAAGAGCTAGAAAGTGCACTTAGAGATACATTTGGGAACGAAGAAACGCTCTTCGGCTGTCCCACGATCAACAAACAGGCCCCGAACAAAGTTGCCATTATCGCGACAGGCGAAGAGGATGACAAATCATTCCTTCTTACCAATTACAACCGGGAGTGGCTGATCAAAGATGATGAGAGTAAGGGACATTCCCCCTCCCTTTTCTTGACGATATTTTGACACATGCAGGTCGCAATCTACGTCGCGAAGAGAGGCCGCAAGATGAGCTCAAGATCTGGGAAGTGTAAGTGCTACATAATTCTTCCACGATCGATGCCCATGCTCATCACTTCTGCAGAGCACGTTGCACCTCAGCTGCGCCTACCTATTTTGAACACTATCGTCACCCCGCAACTGATCACATCTATAGAGATGGCAGTATGGAAAGCTCCAACCCAATTCTATTTGCTGACAGCGAGCGCCAACTCCTATGGCCCGATATATCCGAGAATTCAAGAGACATCCTTGTTTCCATTGGCGCCGGATACTCGAGCGGCTGGAACGGAGATACAAAACAGGACTCTGTTGCACCCAAAGCCTTCAAACCCCTAGAGCAGATGGGACTCGTAGCTCGCCTCGCCACGCTTCGCCTGGTCCAGCAGAACACATCAAGCTGTCAAGAAGCGTGGGCAAGTTTCAAACGTTCTCTAGCAGACAATCCCCATTCACTCGAAAAATGTCATCGCCTCAATGTACCCTACGGACGCGGTCAAACACTCTGCAAACTCGACGAAGTATCAAAACTAGATGCGATGCAAGCCGAAGCCTCGGCATTCCTACAACAAACAAGCAACTCCCTCGATCCAAGCATTCAAGCTTACAATTCAGCAAAGCTTGACAAAATTGCACACCAACTCGTCGCCTCCCTCTTCTATTTCCAAGTCCGCGACGCCTACGATCTCGACGATTATAAGTATCATTGTACAGGACGCCTCTACTGCCGTCTCTCTACCTCTTTGATTCAGCAAGGGGCCTCTTTGATCAATACCGGGAAGCCCCGATTTCGCGTGTCTGAGGAGGAGAATCTGGAGGGCGAGGAAATTACATTTGGGCAGAGGGGTTGGGAGTATAATGATTTTTCGATTTCGGCCAGTTTTGACGCGTTGGTTTATGCAAAGAACGGGGTTAGGGTTCAGGTTACTTTTGTGGGGTGGGAGGGGGAATGGGAGGATATAAGTGGATTTCCGAGGAAGTTTAAAAGAAGGGGGAGGATGTAGGACTGATGAGATTAGTCGGCTCCTAATACCTTATACCGGTCGTATTCGCTTCCAAAGCGCAAGGCTGTTAGCGACTTGACTTTGATTTGGAAACTGAGAGTACTAATTCATTATCATAGCAATTTGATGGCTGTGAATCACCTCAAACCAAACGTAATACGCCTCGATTCTCTTTCCTCATCTTTCTATCGTTTTAATTGAACAATCGTCAGAGCCAAACCAAACCTTCGAAGGGTACTCCTCCCCTGAGTGGCTTCGACGTCATCACGATGTATCCACTCACCATCCTTCTTGTAGTACTCGCAATCATAAGTCCTCATCTCACTTTTGCCCGCTTGCTTCCTTCCAAAAAATCTGCCTACTTGCTAGCAGCACTGCTGCGGTGGCGGCTGCAGTGTCTGTTGACCGGTGATTGTGAACCGGGTTGTAGTTCTTTCTGGGTTTCTCGTGTCACTTATTCCGATATGTAGAACAGAACTGGATGTTGATGACTTCTAGCTTTTGAACAGCTGTTGTGCGCTTGATGTTAATAGGAAGAGGGCAGAAGATGGAATGAGGATGGTTTGTAATCGGGAAGGAGAGGTGGTGCAATGAGTTAATAGTACGAGGGGATTCTAGTAGGGGTTGGGTACGGATTGGAACTCGGAGGGTATGGAACTTGTGGAGGGTGCGAGGCCAAGTCGGTGAAAGGGAAAGGGCTTGAGAAAGGTGCGTTCTGGTGGATATACGCACATTGGCCGTCGAAAGTGAAATTCGTGCACTTTAAAGCATGGCCAGGTAAAATAAGAAAAAGAAAAGGCAAGGCGACGCGAAAGGTGGATAAAAAGCGATATCTTGATCCGACTTACAAAACGAAACTCGTCCGAAAACCGAGGTCCAAACCTCAAGTTTCCGCGGTATTCCGTTTAGTATCGATGGGAACATAAGTATACTACATTCACAAGAGCAATCGGGCCCGTATTGCAAAACGTAGATGCAAAAGAGTAGCATTCAAATCACAGTGACCGCAAAATCCTATACATTAACTAAGATAGGCTCCTTAATATTCGAATTACCTTATATATAAGAGAGAGTATTATATTTAGAGTTATTATTTAAGAAGACTATAATTAGTTTATAAGAAATTCTCTTATAATTAAGGCTAAAAAGAAAAAGGCAAATCTAATAATTAAAATACTTATAATTAGTTAAAAGTAAAATAGTTTATATTTATTAATATGTTTAATAAGGTTAATATAATTAGCTTTTATATTTATAATAAAGAATAGAATTAAAATAAAAAATATAAAAAATACTATTAAATAAGCAGAATATGTAATTATTTAAGCTTAATTTATTGAGTCGAGATTCAGTTTGAGTAATAACTAAAATACTAATCATTATAATTATATGCTACAAGGTACGCAAGCTAGAAGGGCTATCCAAATCGAACAATCGATTCTATGTTACGGAGTTTAGGGTCACCCCAGAAGTCAAGCGCAAACAAAAAGTGGACACAACCCTTGAATTTGTTCTTAGATATGACTTGCCATCCCTTGCAAACTCAATTTATCCAGGATCTCCGCGAGTTCTTGAGCCACCAACTTCGGATCATCCCGGTGAATTATGTGCCCACTCCCCTTGGCCTCAAGAGGTCCCTTACTTAAATGCTGTTTTGTAAGCTTAGCCAATCCTAAATTATACTCATGCCAACACGGATTAAAATACAGCCTTGTGAGGCGCTCTGGTACATTGAGACCCTAGCGAAAATCAGGTTATAAAACTTTCAAGGATATTTGGCCCTTCAAGACCATGGATTGCGGAACTCACCTTTTCCACCATTTTGGGGAAAATTTCCATATCGTGCTCTACGACCGTCACGTACGGAGCGCCCTCCGTCGGACCCTCCAACATCGGGCGATCAGCGTAAGGAAGAAGACTGCTAATTGTCCCCCTCCAAAGGCCCTCCTTCGTTGGTCCCATCATGTGATATACCTTTCCGATCTTCTTCCTCGCGTCTCTGCACATGCTCGCCGTGAGACCCGGCGGCAATTTCCCCTCATCAAAGCTTGGAGCATCGGGATCAGGAAAAATAGAGACAGTATCCGAGTTCGCAATTGCCGAGTCTAAAATCAAAAAGCCGGAAACAGTTTTCGGATACTCGGCGGCATATAACCTCGCGATCGCTACTCCTATCGAACTCGCTACAAACACAATCTTTAGCTTCCCAATGTCTTTCTCTTCGATCCCTAATTTTAATTTCCCGATTGCGAGAACGAGCTCACGAAGGTCGTGAGCCGCGTCTAAGAGATCCCTTCCATGGCCCCGAGGCCGTCCTGGAATCTCGACGTCAGGATTCCGGTCGATGGTGGTGCCACAACCAGGTCGGTCGTACGTTAGCATTGGCGTGGTGAGTCCCTGAAGGTCTGAGAGGCAGGATATAGTGGGAAACCACCATTTTTGTGGGTTGTCCATCCCAGAGAGAAAGATTGTCAGGGTGTTTGCTGGCGCGAGGCGAGAAGTGCAGGGGATGAATGTGCAACTCAGGCGGACGGGAGGTTGCCGGTTCAGAGGTATTAAGAGATGGTCCATTTTTGTAGTTAATGGGAGTCGGCGAGAGAATAAGATGCGAGGAGTTGTCGAATATACGGAGAGGAGTAAGCTGGGTCGAGACTTGTTTATAGTGCAACACTGACCCTGGTCGATCTTCAGCGGTGCTTACAGCTATTACCCCAGAAAATACGTATCCTCGGCCTAGCGTTCTTTATGCGTTTCACGCCGTTTGACTTTTCGATCCTGGAAGGCTCTCTAGAATTTGTTGTAGAACATCATTAATTGATCTGTGCCAGCCTAGCAGAGTCTTAAAGCAGCATCTGTCTCACTGACACGTTCCCCTCAGGGTATAATCTTACTAGGGTAATAGCTGTACAAGTACTGTGTGTGGTCTTTGGGTAAATAATCGCACCCCTGGGGGTTTTGATGTCAGTCTCAACTGGGGTAGATAACCAATACGCAAGGCAGATTTGGCACATTTGTGGGGTCGAAAGTGCTAGAAGCAGGTGCCAGGGGTGGAATTATTTATCCCAAGACCACAGTATGAGTTGGGAACTACTTAGGTCAGCCGACCTGCTTACTCACTTACGAGTCGTGGTGAATGCAACAATAGACTATGGGTAGATACGAAGGGCACGGTATAAGTCTGGGTTACAGCGTCTGATCGCCACAACCCCCTACGGAGTAAAGCTCCCTGAATGCCCTGTAAGCGCCAAGCCCCGTAACGAGGGGTACAAGTAAGCGCCAAGCCCTGTAGAAGGGTTCGCCAGCCAAACGCCCAAGCCGCTCAACCGCCCATTCTACCCCTGTCGGAACACCAAAAGGGGGGTTTTTCCCCCCAAAATGCTTAGAAATTTCGAAAACTTCGAGAATGACTAAAGTGAGGTTGTAAACCACGAATTCAACTTGTTTTCTTTGTTTTGGGGTGTGGTTGTGGCGTAATAGAATTTTTGGGCGGTTGAGTGATTTGGGCGTTTGGCTGGCGAACCCTTCTAAGCGCCAAGCTCTGTAAGCGCCAAGCACTTATTACCCGGACTTATTACCGTGACTTTCGTTCTCGCTTTGAATTATCGATTCTCGAGACAATGTTCAAATACAGAGTGAGAGATATGGTTAGAGGCTTGAATACAATAGATTTTAAACGATAATCCAAGTTCTCGAAACTAAGAAGTTCGGGGGTGTGAAAATTATGTTAACATCACGTGATTACCGCAAGCCTCCTCGAATCACTTCTCGAGATTTCGAGCCAAATGGAACGCCGCGATGTGAGATGGACGACCGCCACTGCAAGAAGCCATTTTGAAGAATCGTTTTGTTATAGAGATAAGTTGAGATATTTTGATGTTGTCTGGAAATCAATTCCCAAAGCGAAAGTGTTAACCAATGGTGCGAAAAAATTTAAAGCAGAGACTATCGACTTTGAATGCTGTGCGTCCTGTCTTCACTCGGGTTATGGACCATAATGTCATGTTGCGCATGTAAATTTACTTTCCTCGCCTACCGTTCAGTTCTGCCCTCGCGCACAATGTGCAGCCTCAGCATCCGGTGGAGATACCGAATCACCACCGGCCACCCTAAACTCCAGGCTTCCTTTCTCTTACTCCTTCTTTTGCGCATGGCCCAGTGTGGAATCTAAAACCGCTTTATTATCCGCAACCGACATGCCCACTTCTAATAATTCAGCTGTTCCTTCCCCACGTCCTGGACCTGTACATTTTCAATCAGATGGATGCGAGGAATTTCAGTGAACAGGACATCGCCGAGAGTAGTACGAAGGCCTTTTCTGGGTTGGCTCTCAGGTGGTGGTTTTTGGTCGTCAGGGGCGGATGTGCCAGTTCATTTCCGAGATAGAGAGGAGGAACATAAGCGAGGGTAGCCTTGCCCTGCAAAATTTTGAAGGCAAAGGTAAGTGCAAAGAGGCAATGGCGCGCACGACTTGGCGAGGGTGACATGAGAACAAACACCGGGGTGGCTGTAGTAATGTCGTAAAGAGCAAGTCGTTGAATACAAGGCAAGACCAAAAACCAAGGTCGCAAGAAGGCAAAACATCAAACACAAGAAAGCAAGAACGAAGCCTATAAAACGTAAACACGAAAGTCTCAAAATCTTTGAATTCCGAATTGAGCGTGGAACTACTCCTATCCATGCCCAAAAGCCTCTCTTCCACTCTCCTCAATGAGTCGCGCGATGTGTCGCACCCCGGCTGCTGTCCCTCGCATATGTACAAACACCTGCTCGCTATGACCAATCGAACACCTCTCGCTCAATTCCAATTCCCATCCCCAACGCCGATGTATGCAATGCTTCAAGTCGCTTTCGTTTCCCGTTCCGTTCTCCGATGAGAACGCGATATGGTATGGTATCGTGTTATCGTGCTGTTTCACAGCTGTATAAGGTAAGATTACAATCGTGATGGTCAATCAATCGTCGTGAGGACGGCGGTGCGTTGTGCTGCTTTCGTAAAGATAATTCTTTGCGTTTTTTTATGACGATGTGGAGACGAGCATGCCATGTTCCCAATGGTCGAGGTGGGATGAAAAAGAATTGGTGCAATGGGAAAGGTCATGCCATCATGCTCGCCTCATCTTCGTCGTCTTCCTCCTCAAGACTCTCGATCGCTTCTTTGATTTGCTGACTTGCCTGCAATTAACTATTAGTCGATGCTAATCGATCCGGAAATGGTGCAACGTACCTTTGGATCCAAATTCAGCGCAATGGTGAAGTGCCGAACGGCTTGCCCCTTATCCCTCAAACTCTTGTACAATCGGCCAAGCAAGAAATGCACCATTGCTTCATCCGGAGCGATATCCTTCAAAATCATCAATTCATTGAGCGCAAGCTGCATCTCTCCAAGTGCCATTAATGCTCTTGCCTTCTTGAATCTCGTCAATGCTGATCGTGGAGCCAAGTCAGTGGCTTTAGCGAAGTACGTCAGAGCCATCTTCGGTTGCTTTTGCTTCTCGAGCACTGTACCGATGCAGCAGATCAAGACAGCATTTGTGGGATTGATCAGAGAGGCAGCCTCGAAATGTTTAGAGGCTTTCTCGTAATTTCCGAGTTTCTCAAAGACACGGCCAACACCATACCATGCATTGTAATGCCGTTTATCAGCAGCAATGCCGTGACGATAAGATGTGAGAGCTTTGTCGTATTCCTCGTTTGCAATATGCTCGTGACCTTGAAGTGTGAACGCGTATGCGAACTTCGGATCCAGTTGCGTAGCACGCTTGAAACACCGCAGAGCTTGCTCGTGATCACGTGCTAGCGACCAGGAATTGCCCAAGGCACACCAAGCTTGAGGAGACTTCCAAGAGGAGTCGATCAGCTCATGAGCCAGGAATGCGAGATCGGTTTCTCGCTTCAGATGCCACAAGATTGTCGAGTAAATCTCCATGTCCTCGAATCTCGTTGGCGCCACTTGCCGGATGCGTTTGTAATACTTTTCCGCTTCGGCGTAAGCTGCTTGTTCGTAATGAGCACGACCCATCTGGGCCAGCACCCAAGGGGTCTCCAATTGCGCTCGCGGAAAAGAGGCGTAAATTTGAAGTGCATCTTGGCACTGGAATTGAGCCAATGCATAGTAAGCGTTGCCAAACTTCTTGAACAGCTCCAGCAAGCTTCTCAGAGCATCCTCATGTCGTGCAGGATCCAATTCGATCGATTTTTGCACCGGGATGCTGGTGGCTTGCCAAGTCCGAGGGATGTAGTCTTTCCCATCAACATCCATCGAATCATCCACAGGTTTTCGATTCCCACTAACTTGTCGACCCACAGTCGAGGTGCTTGAGCTTGGTCTCATAATCTTCGATATCGGCGGCCGGGCTTTCTTCAATTCTCGCCCTGGAGCTGGTCCAACTGTCGGCAAATTACTCGATGACTTGCTGCTCGTTGGTCGAATCTGGTTGAATAACCTGACGCTCCTCCGTTGTGGTGCCCCAGGATCTTCTGAACTCTGTCTGGGAACGACTTGGCCAGACACGGTTCTCTTCCGCTCTCCCGCAGGAGGTACAAGACTATTGCTCCTCAAAGCTTGTGTGGCTGCCGATTCGTCTACTTCAGGACCCTTCTGTGACCGCTTGGTGGAAACAGCTCGACTCATCTTCGGCGCATCCATGCTAAAATCCATCCCAAGCCCTTGTATCGTCCGAGTCTTTCGAATAGGAGCGTGTGGCGGTTCGGTTGGAAATGCCGATACCACACCAGGGTCTCTTCGGCCTGGTACAACAGTGACATCGATCGAAGCACTTGGTCCAGTAGGTGTCTCCATCGCTTCTGGCCCAATTCCTCCACCTCCCACGGCTGGCAAATTCGTCAGGCTTGGATTGCTCTCACTTAACTTCTGTGAGATACCAAGGGTTCCAAACAACCCTCCCGCGAAGCTTCTAGATGGTACACTGTTGAATGGATCCGGAACATCACTAACAACCGAGGCGGGTCGAACACCCGGTCGATTTCGGTCCTGGTCAGGCATCGCTGAAAGGGTGTTATCTTTGGATTGAGACTGTGAGTCCCATGGATCTTGTGAGCTCGTCCTAATTACTGCCTCCATTTCCGGACTCATCTTGAAAATGTTGGGGACTTTGAGGTTGGTGCCCATATCGCAGAGGGTGGTGAAGGCGTCCCACATGAAGGGGTTCTGCTTCAGAGCATCTTCGAAGCAGCTCACAGCCTTCGTCTTGTTGTCGTAGCCATAATAGAGCTTCCCCAATAAGCAGTTTATGGTCGCGGCGTCAGGTAATGGTTGCCGTGAGGAGGCAGTATGTTTCCCAAAGCTATTCTTCCCTCCCCAAAGCCCTCTGCTCTTCTCCAGCGACGTTATACCATCCTTGTATCTTTCGAGAGCTAAACATGCCTGCGCAAAGACATAAGCACACCCAAGATGAGTTCCTCTCCACCCCGTAGGCTTCGAATACTCGTAGGCTGACGCATTGTCTCCTAGCCGCAGATGGCAGAGGGCGAGAAGGTATGCTGACTCTGCCGATCGGTGATCGTAAGCTGCAAGTCGTTCGGCGTAGAACTGAGCATTCTTGAGGAGGTTATTATCGATGTAGTAGTAGATGAGCTGCCGCAGCTGGCTGATAACGCTGGGATTCGTCGGTGCCATGGTGGCAATCGTTGAAAGAAGGAGATGTCAGGATCGAGATTTGAGGCTGTTATAAAGGCCTAGCCATGTAGGCGTCGACTTGTGCTGTTGTGGCGGCGGTTGCACTCCGACCTCGAAGATATCTTCGTCCAAGCGCTGGGTACCTGATCAGATTCCTGCTCTATGACGCCACCTCTGTCTCGTATGCTTCCAGTGGTCTGCGAACAGTCGCTATTGCTCTTGCGTGTACATTACAATTATGTGCAGGGTGTCAGTCGTGGTAAAGGTGAATCGAGAAGGGTGGTAAAGACGTGATCGAGCAGCCCAGCCGAGAATAACAAGACGCCGTCGAGTCCGGGATAACGAGAGCAAGAAGAGAAAATGCCCAAATGCGCACACCGACCGAGAACAGAGGCAGCGCTGCCGAACGCTGCTGCGGTCAAAGAAAAGGAAGGATATTATTGAAGAGGTTGGCTTCTCAGCACAATCAACAACGTTCCTGGCTCTTAGGTTCGCGATGTTATGGTCCGCTGCAAGCGGCGGGCGGGTAACTAGATTCATTGGCTGTCAGCGTTATTTTGGCGTAGCAACAATCGCCGGGAGTTATGTCAGCAGGGGGCTGGGCGATAAATCCTTGGGCCAGACTTCAGCCTCGTCAATTATTTGGTGTCCGACATCGACTCGACAATACAGGCACTTTAAAGCCTCAATCTTCTCCCGAAAAATTTGTACAAAGTGCATAGAATAGGAAAACGATAATCTCGTGGCGCTCTAGCGGAGCTCCATCTGCATCTCGACACGCCTCTCTCAGCGCACACGACTCAATCCCGTGTCCTTGAGCTCCCTTGCACCTTCCACAACTCTACATAACATCCATCAAAAGGTCTTGTACATATAAAGCGCCGTTGAAATGGCACAAAAAGCAAAGAAAGGCGTCGCGAAAGCGAACATCACCACCCTCAACAACCTCCATATCAGCACCCTCACCGTCAACGTCTTCTTCATCATCTTCAGTCTTCTCTGGAAACGACGCTCCCTTCTCGCCTACTCCCTCTTCTCAATCCCCTCCTTCATCGCCGAATTTGTCCTTGAACGGTCCGGCCGGCCAACATTCGACCCTACCACCAAAGCTCTCAAAAGCTCCGGAGAGGATCTCGCTGCGCCGGGATTGACGGAGTACATGTTTGATATCATATGGGTCACTTGGTTCTGTCTGGTCTCGGTGATGCTCTTTGGGAATTGGGGGTGGTTGGTTTGGGCTGTTGTTCCGGCTTATGGGGCGTATAAGGGATATGGGTTCCTGGGCATGGCGAGGGGATTGATGGGCGGGGCACAGATGGGACAGATGCCAGAGGAGCAGAGTGTTGCTGCGGGGAATAGGAAGCAAAGGAGGGCTGCTGCGTAGAGCGTGATGGTAAATGAAATAAAACCAATGGCTTATTGCTTCTGGCCAAGATCTCGGCTCAGCTCCGTCTATTGGTCTATTTCGATACCCGATACTCTATTGCTCACAGAATCATGACTTTCCTTTTATCTTCTGTCTACACCTTTTCTCCAGTCCAGAACTCCAGATCCTCTTTCGTCGCATCCTTCACCAAAACATGTACATGCTCCAAAGCCCTAACGCTCTGCAGCCGCACCCAATTCTTGAACCATATAACCCGATAACTATCTCCACTCAATCTCTTCACAAAAGTCCTATACACAAACTCCTGGATGATCTTCCTACTCTCGTGCGTCACATCTCCATTCATATCATCCGTAGCAATCGGCGTCTTGGACCAAACCACAATATGAGTGGTGTCTGAAGTGAGACCGTAGGGCCAATCGTTGAGGAGAATCTTGTAGTCTGATGACTTGTGAAAGGGAATTGAGGAGATGTATTTGAAGGGTGGCGGACCCCACAAAAGCCGGTGCTGCAGGATGTAGTTGGTCATGCTTCCATATTGGCCCTTAATTTCGTGGGACCAGGCCATGTAGCGGCGGAGGTCGGATGGTTTGCGTTTGAGTGTCTCGAGAGCATTGGCAGCTATATGAGATGAGAATTAGCCCAGCTGTGAAGATAGATATCATCTCGGATGAAACCGAAAGATCACGTGAAGTTCAACCAAAGCTGTAGGCGGACGATATGTCTTTGGGCCAACTATAGACAATGCACAGACATCTTGTCCGTGTGCAAAACAATCCCATTGCTTAAACGGTGGGCCGAGAAAGTAAAGCCCTTACCTACCAACGATATTCCTCAATTCATCCCAATCGTGAAGATGAAACTCCTCGTCCGTTTGTGATAGAACCCATTTATCAACCTCGGTCAAGGGAAAAGGTGGCTGTTTCTCTAACTCTTCGCCACTTGGCTTTGCATCGTTGTCCCCCATCTTGCTCGTCGATGTGTCCTCGGTCTCATCAAACCGATATGTGGCTGGCGTCGAAACCCGAAGATCTAATCTAATCTCAATCGCGATCCTTGTCGTCGGGGAAAGCTTCCCAAAAGGGGGTAAAACTGCCATAGCCGAGCTTGAAACGGCAACTTTTCTCGTGGGGACGAAATCGGAACACTTCGTTTGACCTCCCCGATTTCTCAACCACCAGAAGCCATTGACCGACGACAACTCTTCTGCCAGTGCTGAAGGCTGATCTTTATAACATCAGCCTGGAATCGCGTTCGAAAATCGAGATCCCGCTTCATCTCCCCTGAATCACTTCCCGAACTTTGTGCGAGCTCAACAGTTCCCCCAGCAAAAAGCCCACGATGTCGAACGCGCCTGCGGCTTCCAACCCATACCTCTCGAAGTCATATGTTGATGGTGTATACATCCCTTCAGGCCTGCTGATTGTAGGCTGCCTGATTGTGAAGCGTGAATGGCTGCCTTACGCAATTGCTCTTGCGCTGGCTCTTGGAGGATATAAGGTTTTCAGCATGAGTACAGATTCGCTCTCTGTGGCATGCCAACAGCTTGTCTTTGAGCTGTGAACTAACGGAGACTGCAGGAGTGCAGAAAGTCCTCAAGCCAGACGTCTTCCAGAACTTCGAGCTCTCCGAGAAGACCATCATCTCCCACAATGTAGCCATGTCAGTACCTCCTCCCCAACAACGACAGTCTGCTAACTAGCAAAGCTACCGATTCAAGCTCCCTTCTGCTACTGCCATCCTCGGGCTCCCCATCGGGCAGCATATCTCGATCGCAGCAACCCTCCCACAACCGGAGGGCCCGAACAAAGAAATTATTCGATCATACACCCCCATCTCTGGCGACCACCAACCCGGCTACTTCGACCTCCTCATCAAGTCCTACCCCACCGGTAACATCTCGAAATACATGGCATCTCTGATCGTCGGGCAAACAATCAAGGTCAGAGGGCCAAAAGGAGCTATGGTCTACACACCCAACATGGTTAGGGCATTTGGCATGATTGCAGGAGGAACGGGAATCACCCCCATGCTGCAAATCATCCGCGCCGTCATTCGAGGCCGACCTACCGGTGACAAGACAGAGATTGATCTGATCTTTGCCAATGTTAACAAGGAGGATATTCTGCTGAAGGAGGATCTGGATCAGCTTGCGAAGGAGGACAAGGGATTCAGGATCCACTATGTTCTGAATAATCCTCCTGAGGGCTGGGATGGCGGTGTTGGATTTGTCACTCCTGAGATGATTACAGTATGTTTCCTGATTCTGTTTTATATGGACTGTTTGCTGATGAAATATAGAAATGGCTTCCTAAGCCAGCAAACGATATCAAGCTTCTGCTCTGTGGACCACCTCCAATGATCAGCGCCATGAAGAAGGCTTCCGAAAGCCTGGGATTCAAGAAGTCAAAGCCAGTAAGCAAATTAGACGACCAGGTGTTTGCATTCTAGTGTAGAATGATAAAGCAAGATACGAAACGGTTCGAGGCCGAGAAAGATAAAAATTCTTTGAATGGCAATTGCGAGGAAAGTCCGAGATGAGTTGGGAGGGAGCATGGCGTTGTCGATATACTTTTGGGACAAATACAGACAAAGCACACAAGCCCTGTGTAGCTCCAACCCCAATGACAAATGTCAAATTACCAGGTCCAAGTGCGTTTCTACTCTTCATTGGCTAATCGCATTTGAATTATTTAAATCTGAAATACCGGGGTAGCGGAGCTAGCCGTATGGCATAATTCTTCTCCAATCACAGAACAGCTCTGCAGTGCAGTTGCTGGATCAGGAAATATCCTCTCACCCCTGGATTATTATACATTTCGCTTACTACGGCCGTAATACAGAACTCTTCCGCACCCCTCACCCGAGTTCGGAAGACACCCTTCGACGTCATATTGAGGATAGTTGCGATTGTTTGCTTCCTGCTTTGAGTGTAATGGCTCGGTCCGAGTATAGCTACCACTTTGAGCGCTATGCAAGTTCTTACAAAGCTTCTCGTGCATCTTGCTGTCAAGAAAATATTGGAGAGTCCCGACGGACGGGTAAATGAATCTTTGAAATCAAGAAGCTCCTCTGATGTATAAATCCAGTTGTCTTTCCCAGTTCAACTTCCACCATTCATCACATCTCACAATTCTTCATTTGTCTCTTCGAGCGCTTTCATCGCAAGTGACTTCTCATCTCATCTCACGTGCCAAAACCCCTCACCACAGCTATAAAAGAAGCAACCTCAACAATGCCGCGTCCGACCCAAACCGTTTTCTCAGAAGGCATTTTCCACGGCCTCCCCACCTTCCCCGACCACGACGGAACGAGGTACACCGCGATTGTTACAGGCGCAAACGGGATCTCAGGTTCTGAAATCGTCGACGTCCTCGCTTCTTCTCCAGAGCGATGGGAGACCATCTATGCGATGTCACGGAAACCGCCTGTGAATAAGAATCCGCATGTCAAGACGATTGCTGCGGATTTCTTATCCAGTACTCTGAAGGAATTGGCAGCTCTATTTAAGAAAGAGCGTATCAAAGCGTGAGTTTGGATTGTTCCGGTGAAAGAATAAAATTGAAAAAGTTCTAATGATGTTGAGAGTAGTGATTACATCTTCTTCGCCTCCTATATGCAACCACCCCTCCCCGAAAGCGCAGGATTGTGGTCCAATTCCGATGAGCTTGAAAGCGTCAATGGTATGCCCCTTCCCTCTCCCCTTTGCCCCTCCCACTAACAAACACTTCTCAGTAACACTTCTCTCCAACTTCCTCGCCGCCCTCTCCCTCGCCGCCCTCTCCCTCGCCGCCCTCTCCCTCGCCGCCCTCTCCCTCGCCGCCATAATCCCCACCCGCTTCCTCCTCCAAACAGGCGGAAAGCACTACGCCCTCCACCTCGGCCCAACCACAATCCCACAGACGGAAGGCCTCCCCTCCGACCGGGTGTCGCACGCAAACTTTTACTTCCAGCAAGAAGACTTTCTCTCCACCTGGGCTACCAAGCACAACACAACCTGGACCGTAACTCGCCCGGGCTTCATCCTCGGCGCGAACCCCACAGCATTCATCAACATCGCTTACGCACTCGCCCTTTACGCTTCTGTACAGAAAGAACTTGGCAAGGAGCTGGAGTTCCCCGCTGATGTGGGGGCATGGGATGCCAATAAGGACAACACTACTGCGAGGCTTATTGGGTATTTTTCTGAATGGGTTGTCCTCCATCCTGAGGCTAAGAATGAGGCGTTTAACCTCGTTGATGACTCCCCTTTTTCGTATGGTAAATTCTGGCCCGAGGTTGCGAGGTGGTATGGCCTTGAGGCTGGCCTCCCGGAATCCGATGCCTCGAAATACACCACCATCACACTCGGCATGGATCCTCCGCCCCGCGGTTTTGGTGGGCCTGGTGTAGTGAAAATTGCATTCAGTTTCGAGGAGTGGGCTTCTCGTCCAGAGGTTAAAGCTGCGTGGGAGAAGGTGAGAGAGAGAGAGGACCTAATTGGGGCTGCTGATCCGTGGGCTGAGGGGAAGGGGTATTTGCTGAAGGATATCTTTGGGAGTTTAGATGCGGAGATGTTGGGGAGTTGGAGCAGGACGCAGACGATGGATAAGGCGAAGGCGCTGGGGTGGCATGGGCATGTGAGGACGGCGGATGGGTTTAAGGATACTATCCAGAAGATGGCCGGGTTGAAGATGGTACCTGCGTTTTGAGTTCGGGGGTTAAAAAGGGAGCAGAAGGGAAGGACGGATGTAATGTTGAGTTTGGTCTGATTGTAGGGGTGTGGAAATGGAGGCATTTTCATATCTTGAGCACTTTCAATTATTGATTTGGAAGCATTGCATAGTTCCGAGATCTTCAATTTTGAAACCTGTGTTTAGCTCAAAAGGCCTTTTTTCCAAGGAAGTAATTGGAGCCCTGGCCTCAGTCATTGGCTTTTACAGACGGGCGAGTGCTTATATCGGCTCAACCGCAATCGGTCGAACCATTGTGGCTGTGTACTTCTCTCACATCTCCCCAGTCTTGCCCCAACATCACAATTAGCCTTTGATTTCTTCAATTATCATTGTCACCGTCACCAAGTCTTGCTTTACCACGGAGCAAGCTTTGGAACGGTCCCGAACGATTTGATGGAGGAACCAGCCTCAACAAAAATTCAGTGTTTCGCCAAACTTTGCTCCGACTGTAACAGCTTCTTCGAGCATTGGGACAACGAGGCTTATGCCATCGACGAATTAAGTCAAATATTCAGCCACCACCAATTTACAAAACTGTATGAGCACGGAAAAAGTTTCCGCCTCTTCCCTCGCAACTTCGATCCCTTGACCTAGATCAGCTCCTCAGCTCCCTACCTACCAGCTGCTCGTTTTGTAGGCACCTGCGAAGAATTATTAGCGAATCCGATACCAAGGAGAACAGACGATGTCCTCGGGGATCCAAAGCCAATGTTTCTATGGATCTAAAAGATTCAACCTGGTGTTGCGATATTACCAAAAGATGCCGAAAGGTTCAAATACGGAGCCTGGATGATCTTGCCCAAACATGCTTCTGGTAAGCCGAGTTCGATGTCCAACTCCAGCTTTTAACGTCACTCATCATTGAAGTACCTCATTTGCCGAAAATCGAACTTTCAACAGGATCGCCTAGCTCTTTTGCCTTTATCCGTCGCTGCCTGACAATGTGTTTGAAAACCCACGATGGGAGTTGTAATCGTCGAGTGGCCGCTGCATTCGAGGCCCCAACTCGCCTCCTAGAGATTTACCAAGCTGGTGTGAGATTGCGTATTCTAAGTGACCGTCCAAAACCGCCTCTATACCTGACTCTGAGTCATTGCTGGAGCCAAATTGACATCCTGAAGCTTAAGCGCAACAATGCCAATGACTTTCTCCAAAACACGGACGGCATGTCCTCGAGCGATTACTTTTTCTCGCCGGATATAAAGTGAAAAAGTAGAAAGCCTTTTTCACGGATCGATTGGTGTTTCACCATTATGTTTGGCTGATAATGGACAGGGTCAGGTGCATGAGATGCGATGAAAGCAAGCCAGAATGCCAGAAGTGCCTCACCACGGGACGAAAGTGTGACGGGTGGCTCTGTCATGTGACGTCCGAACGTTGGGGGGGAAATTTTCTTAAGCCTCAGGCACACGTTTCGCTTAATTATGGCGCTAAGGAGTATTTAGCCTCGCTCCCAAGCTTCTAAGAGCTTCACGCTTCTCTTCAGGAATTAATTGTAATTCTTGCAATCTCTTATGCTCGTACGTAACGTGAATTTGACCTGGCAATTCGTCGACCTGGTACATGGTTCATTTCTGCCTATTTGTCCTCTGGATCTTCAACGGCTATGATGTCAACCCTGGCGACACATCTACGTCTGTATCAGTTTCATCTCTGTCATCATTTCCAAATGTTCAACCCGGAGGACATAGAGTATTTGAGTACTCCCGCAGCTACATTACGCCTAGGCTCGTGCAGGTGTGGGGTGCGCGGTTAATATGTGGAACACCTGAGGTACCTGCCGGTCGAGAGCTATTAGTGCAGTTTTTGCCCCGTAGCACGATTCATGTTAGCCCCTATTTTTCTCGCTTAACCGGGGGTATCCGCTTAGCGGCAACCTATGCCGTGCTGCGCTGTGTGGTTTCAATCGTAAAAACTATGACTTGACGGCGGGGATATTCTATGCGTTTGGTTTGCGGAAGTGGAAGATTGTAGAATCGAAGTTAGAATCTTGAGATTAGGAACCATCCTAGTTAAATGGTCGTCAAGATGCGAGTGGGGATGGGTTATCGGGGCATGGGCGGCTGTCCTCAGGCACTTTTGCCAATTTCGATGATCTGCCCCCCGGTTTGTTAATACGAGCGATTGGACAATGGGGGTCCCGATTAGACGATCGCATAATATTGGGAAGTCGGGGTTAATAGAGCTAAAACCCCCTTTGCGACAAGGCGAAATACCCACTGTTGAAATACTCATCAACCCAAGTCATCTGGCATATCGTGCAAAGCCAAAAGCTTTCTCGGTAGTCGGTACCTCCTCGAACCCCGAACTGTCCACTAGCTTAGCCCAAGGATGGCGGTGGCTGCACCGCGAGCTGGGCGATCTGGGGTTGGCCATTGGACACTTTCAGGTTTTGCAGGCCAAACTGAATGAATGGCTGGATGAGAGTCGGTCCTCTGAACACGATTGCGCATGGTCGCTCGCAGCATACTAAGCTTACATGTCCGTATGCTGGCTATTCGAAGACTTTTCCTTGGAATGATAATCTTCAACGCCATATTCAAACACATCGTCTTCAAATACGATTTCTACGGATGGCGCCATATCCATCTCATTCGGTTTGGTATACCTGCTTCTACTTCTTAGTACTTGCAGAGTTAATCGCTCCTTGTCCTAAGAGTTTTCCTTGATAAGCTGAAATATGTAGATTTTGATCGCAGTACAACTCCTGACATTCTCTATCTCATTGACTTCCCGCCAATTCCCGGGGCTGTACAGCCTCACGTGGTCCCTTCAACGTGAGATCTTTACGATATTGCCTACAGGAATCGGGGGCAATATAATCCTCACACCAGTATATGTCATGATATGACCTGTCAACTCACTAAACTCTAGTCCTGGGTACTTCAAATGGTCGGTGGCGCCTGAGCGAGGTTTCATGGTGGTGTAGGGAGAAGTTCATGTTTTTCTAAGACCAGACGAGAACCTGACGTAGTGTAATGGTAGGTCAGGCGTTTGAAGGCTTTATTGGCAATACTGTAAAGATAGGATTGGAAATGTTATCCGATCTATAACGAGCTGACATGGAATAAACGGAACTAAAGTCACTTTTCTTGCAGGCCATTCATTCGTTTTGATCTTGGGTTCAATTACAAATTCCTTCACATCCAATTTACAAAGCCATTTAATCCCAACCTTCTTTTATGTTTTGCAGAAACCTTTTGTGGAGACATGAGAGATCTATGGCAACGCCATGAAAACCAAGGTAGGAAGGGCTGCAGGCGCTGGCTACCCGTTAACGAAAGGAGAAACTGCATACAGAGCCAAGATTTGTCTTCAATAGTCATCAGGACTATAGCTTTGGGAAGGTATAGACGGAATTGGTATAATGCGGCAAAGCTTTGCGCGTAGGATAGCAGTGAAGGACTGTATGTTGTGACCTGTCGTTATCTTTGGTCTTATCGCACGCATCCTGTCAACCGTCAACGAAGGCAGGGGTGGACGAAGAGATCGCGTGGTGTTCCTGGATTTCGTCCAAGAAACAGGAGCTCAGCCGTTGCATTATTTTGCTGCACGGTTATCGATGGTAGTTTGCACTTCGACGAGTTCAGGGCAACTGTGCCGTGCCTTCTGATCTTGGCCAAAGATTTGACTCTGATCTGGTAGGAGGGGCAGAGCGACCATGCATGTAAGATAAAGCTTGCAAGCGGGGAGAGCGCGCTGCAGATCTGTATCTCGACCTCGGGAGCACGATGCAAGGGAGGAGGTACAACGCTCGCCTTGACCAAAATCGCTCGCCAAGAAAAGTGATCGTGACCCCACTAGGGACGTTGAAAACTGACTCGTGTAACAAAACTATTCCAAACACACTCGGCTGAAACAACTCGATTGCTCCATTGTCGATGAATAAATAGCATGAGGATTGAGGAAGGAGGGGATGTGGTGGAGGTTAGCTTTCGCTAAGCTGAAAGTTAACTTCCTGATCAGGGATCTCATGAACGTCGTACATAAATCGACCAGGTTCTCGGGTCAAAGCGTAAGGAAACTGCAAGGGAAGCTGTTGAAAGTTCGGGAACCAATGACATTAATAGCATTCGAGATTCCTGCTAATATGGTGAAGCTTTCCTTCTAATCGTAAAATCGCGAAATCTGCACAGAGATTGTCGGCCAAAAGAGATCCTTCCAAATCCGATTTGAGTCACAACACGAGGAAGTAATGTGCAAATCATGTTCAAAAGATATCATTGCGACGGCTGTGCTAAAAATTGATTATTGTGAAGAAATGTACTGATTTTAAATAACCTTCCAGTTTCATCAACCGGGGCCGAAAGAAGCTGGTAGAGCATCAGCTTACCGTGGTATCCGTGAATTCCCTAGCTTTGAGGACGCAGGCCGTTCAAGCTACCTTGAAAAACCATCGTAATCGTAGTTAGTTTCTAGCGATTCTTATCTGAAGCAGCATAGCCCGAAATCTAAACCGAGGTCGAACTGCCTTCAGGTCCCACCTTCTTCGTGATCGGGACGGAGACAGAATGCTGCTGGGTCATCGTATCTTTGAAGTTGAAACTTACCGATACCACTGATGAAATTGGGGTAGCGGTAATGATGGGCGATCCGAAAACTTTGTCGCCGAGCACATATGTCTCGCTTGGGCCAACAAAATCCGCACCGAAGATTGCGCTCCCATCGGTCTAGGACACAGACGCTGTCGAGGGCAGGCTGGAGAGAGACAGTGCTGTGAGGTAGAAGGCGTTGGTGCCTGAAGGAATTGGGATCTTGACGGGAGGAAGCATGTTGCGTGACTTTGAGGCAACTTGTTGTGAAATGGGCTGCTATCTGATACAGTTCCACGACAAATTGGAGAAATAAGAAGTCCAGGAGAAGATAAAGTTCGTGGATTGAGATGAAGCCGGACAAGGTCGTAACTTTAACTTCGTAGAGCTGCAGTGATCATCCCACGCCAACGCTAACATCATCGTCGATCACACACCATGACATGTTGAGGCGAGCTGAACATATATGCAACTTTCCCAGAACAACAAATTTTAACATACTCCTCGGCTTGCCGTGCCACACTTGCAGCGAAAGAGGAGAGCTGAGAGGCTCATACACCGCAGCTGAAGGCATCTTTGACAATACGGCTCTGGACGAGGATGGCGGCGGAGCCTTCCACAGCTTGCCATTGGGCTGGCACACATTGGTATGAGCTGAGAGATGTAGCCATCGACAAATTTTCGAAGCAGAGGCGCGCTCGAGACTGATGAAGGTTCTCCAGATGATGGCCACGATGCGGTGAAGAGTGAAGAGGGAAGCTGGCGATGTTGAATGGTCGAAGTTTCACACGCGTTGGAGTAGGAGGTCCACGCGCCTCCGATGAGTCGTGATACACCGAAACCTCGGCCGAAAATCAAACCCCCAATTACTTTCTTTAACAGCCAGCACACTTAGGTTCCCTTAAAAAAATAAAATCAATTAATGCGCAGTCCATAGGATTACCTTCGATAAAATTGTAAAAACTTGATTGTCACTGCTATGGAAGTTAATATAAAAAACATTGATTTTCGGCCCAGATTTCGGTGTATCATGACTAACCGGAGGCGTGTGGAGGTCCCAGAGGGAAGGCGGTGAGAGCGGCCGCAGGCTAAAAAAGACAGGGGCTGATCAGCAATCACGACCGCCAACTCGTGTTACAGCTTCATTATATTCATGCGACCACGACGAGATGATTCTACAGAGCCATGGACTTCGTGAGTATGATCCATCGGTGGACCTGCATCGTTGCTAACCATCAAGTCAGTGGTCCAGATTAATAGCCGGCACGTCTTTAGACAAATCCGCCGCCAACAACACACACTTGCCTGAGAAACGCCTGGCGCGATTCAAGAAGGAATACAGTCAGCTTTTGGTATTGAGACACTCTATGATGATGTTCCAGCTTGGTTCTGTGTTGACTTGTAATCTAGCAAGAATGGCGCAATGCATCCAACCTGGCAAATGACTATGAAGCGGCGGAAGATATTCGATGCAGCATCCAAGACCTCGCGAATTTCCTCAGCGATGAATCGAGACGGCCACTCCCACATCCATGCATCGCTTTTGCAGCCTCGAAGCAGATCTACGTACCTATAGGCAAGATTGCTACGACCTCATACAACGAAGGGATCATCAGAGAAGCCGTGGTTTTGTACGCGACGTTGATTGATAGCGAGGAAGAGGACTTTGTGGAAAATGAGACGTTTTCGAAGAGCTTGATGAATTTGCTGGTGCGGATTACTGGAGCGAATAGCATACGGCTGGGCTCGGATACAGAGGTTGAAGTGGTGGAACTATCATTCAACATCACTACCAAGATCAGGCTTGATCCCGAGATTCTACCAGCCTGGTTTACAGCACGAGAACACGAGGAGTCAGAAGGAGGCCAAGATGCACACGAAAAGTTCACGGGAAAGACGCACAAAGAGGACTTCCCATTATTCTATCTTCTGATCGACTACATCCATCATGATGGAAGGATCGGAGATTTCGCGAGGACGGGCTTGCTATATATCATCGAGGCCGCATCGAACTCGGTGGCTCTAGAACAATGGATTGTTGAAAGTGACCTGGCAACTTTGATGGCAACTGGACTCGGAGCGCTGTATAGTCAGTTGAGCCGGAAGCTGGTGATTGACCATCCATCTGACGAGCTTCCACCCATTCTTGCACTCTCGGACTACCAACATCCAATCACGAATTACGAAATTGTCAGCTCGTCGTCTCCAGATTTCCAAGCTCACATGGAGACATTCCTATCACATTTGGTATTCTGGCAGGATGTTTTGAACCACTGCAAATCCGTCGAAGTCAAGTCAACGTTGTTGGAGCATTTTCAGGTTATCTTTCTCCAACAATTGCTGTGAGTGGTATTTTCTAGCCTATGTGTACCCAACTGACGAACCAAGATACCCCTCGCTGCTCGAATCATCAGACGTTGACGGCGGCTCATCAGTAGCAGTCCTTACCTACCTCAGGCGGATACTGGAAGCTCTCGATCACCCAGACATGATTCACCTCATTCTACACTATCTCCTTGCTTTGCCAGACAGAACTCCAGCCCCGACTGGCTCACGAGCTTCTGTCAGCGCTGCCAGGAAGAGAAAATCAATGGATCTGGCCACGATGATGCAAGGGTTTCAAGTTGAAGATGCTACCACGCCGGCACTTTTCAATCTTGTGGATCTCATCCAAGGAAGTTTGCGATCGACAAGTGAACAAACTATCTCAGTGACATTGCAGCTTGTCTCTGTTATTTTGAGGCGACATCACCGATATGCCGTAACAACTCTCCTATGGACAAGTCAGATATTCTCGGATGGATCGCCACGAACTGTCGGGGCTCACGATCTGGAAATGGACTTCCTGCTTGGCTTGGCAGGAAGCATAGGAGGGGAAGATAACTTTGATGAGGTTTATGAAAATCACGTCAAAGACTGTATGGGTATACTGGAAAGCCATCCGTGCTCAATTACCCTTATTGCACCAAAGTCAGCTGGTGGAACGACAAAATTCGCTGGCTCACTGGCTTCGATTCCCGGAGCTCCTCGAGATATTCGATCGCACACCTTACGTCCTGAAGATCCCATGCTCAAAACTTTGCTTGGCATATTAGCAACATTCTTCACGAATTCAATCGAGATTAATCTGTCACTCACAGGGGTAATTGTTGATTTAGCTAGCTGTGGATTCATGCGCATAGACGGCTGGCTTCTTCCCAATCCGACCGAATATACGTACGGCGAAGACGAAGCGGAGGCGGAGGATCGATATTTCATGGGCCTCGGTGATCCCATCGATGTTCAAGAAAGGGCGCAGATTCGAGAGCTAAAGAGAGCTCGACGAACCCCAAAATGGGACGAGAACAGAATCCCAGTTCTACTCAAGCAATTGAAAAAGTTGGTAGATCAAGTCTCAGCCTACCGAGCCGAGATCCCACGCTTCGACGAACTCCTCCAACAACGCCGTGAAGCCTTCCAAGCGGCAACCTCCGCAACCTCAACACCAATCCCCATCCGTCAGGCACCCCCAGCCCGCTCCAGCTTCGAATCCTCCTCCCGCTCCGTCTCCCCACCCCGCATCTCAGCCCTCGACTCCCTCGCCCAACGCATCTTCCCTGAACTCAACACGCCCTCGCGCTCCCACTCTCCACGAGGCCGACGAAGCCAAGAACGAAGCAGCGGCGGTGGTTTAAGCGGTGGCTACGGCCTCTCAACTCCAACGTCTCGCGCCGCAGTCCCTCCACCGCAATTCCCAATGGGTCTCGAAACCCCGTCTCGGGGAAGCTCGCGAGCTTTCTCTCCCTCCCCATTACGAGACGCCGAAACGATATTAGGAAAGCATGGCGTCCCTGCCTCTCAAGCTGCAGCCTTCGCAGCTGTCGATCAATCCATCCTGGCTCGCAAAGTTGGACTCCCAGTCTTCAAAGGAGAGATCAACCCTATCCCGTTCCCGAATCTGAGACCTGGCGATAATGGGAATGGAAAGGAGGAGAGTAATGGGGGGGCGGAAGATGGGAGTCTCCAAGACGAAGGGGAAGGGAATGCAGAGGGAGAGGTGGAAGAGGAGAAGAAAGTTAGTGTCAATCATGTGTTGACGAATGTTATTGTGTTGCAGGAGTTTTTGCTAGAGGTTGCTGCATTGGTGCAGGTTAGAGCAGGATTATTTGGGGAGGTGAGGTATGTTTAAACTTTTGAATTTGGTGTAATAATATGGGACGGGAGCCGAAACCCAGAACTGGGAAGTGGAACCTGGGAGAAGGGGAGCGTTATGAGATATGATGAGATACCTTTTTGCATGCTTAAATTTGTGCCTGGTACACGAGGGTCATTGAGAGAATGTAAGGCCAATTGGAGGTTTATTGGTACTTTCGTTCATTATTTTGTTACACAATTTCCAGAGCTCCATCCCGCCTAACGCCGTCCCGTGGAAAGTTTTCCACCTTCTCCGTCTCTAGCTCCACTCCTCCTTTATCCCCTATCTGCAAAGCTTCAAGAGCCTCTTCGAAACAATTCCAGCACTATCTCCATTGCTTGCAGTGTTGCTTCATACTCGTTCGTGGGAGGGGAGTTCGACAGGGGCTGCATTTCGACATCGTGGTCTTGTTCTCTTATTAAGAATTGAGAGTTAGTTCTTGCTGCCATATTAGTTTAGAGAGGAACCTACATGAAGTATTTCGTGCTATTATCGTTGCCATTATAGTTAGGATAGCTAGTGCTATGCTGCCTAGGCCAATAGAGGGGGAGATGGCGGCGATTGTAGAGACTGAATGTCGTGAGACATGCGTTAAAAGTAAACGAAAGCGTGGTGATCCAGCGGTTTCATACGCATTATTTAAATTTAAATTTCTTGCAGTATTGGTATAATTTGAAAAGCAGGAGGAAGAAGTACTAGTAATTTTATGTCTTTGAATCCGGAATCAAACGTTGCATATTTTATAGGGGATTGGGGAAGGCTTTCTAGCGAAGGTTTGCCTTGGTCTGACGGCAAGGCATGCGGGACTGAGCTGTTTCTGCATTAATCTGGAGTCGGCTTCCGGAGACCTCCCGCCCCTAGTTCGGATCCCATCAAATGCATCAAGGCTTCAAATCGTGTTGTTGGATTTCCGCGCTCATTCCCGCCAATGGATGGGATGTGTAAGGCCAGTCTCGCGAGTCACGGCAATCAGACAGTTTCGCTTGAGCAGCCCTCAACGTGGCCCGGCACCGAACTTGATTGAGCAGGCGGTTTTCTGGAACATGCCATGCCCTGGGCATAGTCGACCGCGGGCTTGTATTTAACCTTTTCAGGCTCTGGGAAGATGAAGAACTCCAGTTCGCGAAGCTTCCCGCGTGTCAGTGTGAGTTTCCTGCCCTCCCAATCACACTGTGCACATGACTCCACTCTCGGGTTGCCTCTTGGCATTCCAATGACAGAAGGCCTCCAGGCAGGCTTCGCCACAAAGTATATACCACTGTGGACTCCGGCTGCTATAGATTACTTGGCAGGTACATACAGTCACATAACCCCATGTAAATAATTCCATCATTATCAGTAACTCGCCTGACAGAATAAAGAAAAAGGGATCGAATCAATATTGGTTGGCTCAGTGGACTATCTTTTGTTCCAGCACCGACAACGCCATAATTATTCAAGGTAAGGCACAAAATTGATTGCTCTCTCGATCCATCAGTTACTAGATTCGAGATCAGACCTTCGATTCAAGTACCCTAGCGCTAAGCATCACTAATTGCAGAATGGCTTCGGCCAATACCTCAGATATCCCCTCCTCGCGTGATCGGATCGACTGCAACAACCTGGAGATGGAATTGTCAGTCTTGCGGAGCAACGCCGAGCCGCTCAGTCGGCCATCCGTCTCTTTTTACGATAGGGAGATCACCCGAAATGGTAGAGCGATATTATGTCGCTTGATTCCAATCCATGGGTAGGTTCTGAGAATGAGTCGATGATTTGTCTCGAGTTCGCACTTTCACAACCTGCTTTCGATCCTCGTTTGCATCAGACCGAAGTTAAGGCCGAGGCGATAGAGGGATTTGAGCGTTTGGTATAAATGTGCTTGTATTATATAGTTGTATCATGTCATTTATTCATCATGCCCAAGCCCAACTCTGGAGAGTTTTCGCCCCCAACGCCCAAGTTTGGACAGTCTTCATCCCTAACATCATATTCACCTCCATGCTCCGTTGAGCCCTTCTCTGCAAAGCCTCAATTTCTGGTTCGAAAGAGCCCCAGTAGGGTCTCCATCACTCGTAGGGTGGTTTCGTATTCGTTACGATAGTGTTCGAGGCCCCGGTGCGTGGGCCGGGAAAGAGCTTGCATTTCGACGTCTTGTTCTCCTAAGGAAAATACCAAAATTAGTGTTTGGCCTGTTGTGAGTCAAGAAGACTTACGCGAATTACTAATATTCCTTGCCATAAGTGTTGCGAATATAGTGAGTATTGCGAGTGCTATGCTCCCAAGGCCAGTGGAGAGGGAGATTATGTCACTCGTGGAAACTGCGATTTGTCAGTACTGAAGGAATTGATTGGGTAGAGTCGACTCTTTGTACGCATTGTTTTATTGTATGCCTCTCTCCAACTTGTGTATCGTACTTTAGTGAGAAGACTGTAATTTCGAAATTGGAAGAAGGGAGGGATACCACGAAAGATTGAAGTCGGAGATGTCAATGTAATCGGCCTCTTTTCCCAGCATGAGAACGCTTCCCCACTTCACTTTCTTGACCAATGGTGTGCATACGTGATTACCCAAGGTGCGCCGAGCCACTCGAACTGCGGAGATCCACGCGTGGGCGCCGCCATTTACGCTCCCATCGAATACCAAGATCCACACCCCAGCCAAACGGGATGAGAAAGTGAAGCGGCCAAACGGCTGTGGGTGCTCACCCGGTAACGTCAGGGAGCGTCCACCGTCCTGCCATTCAGAGTCTACAATCCACCTTTGCACTCGGCGCAGTTCCCGCTTCCTATGAGTTGGGTCATTCCCGTTCTCATGATGCCTGCCTGTTGGACGAAATGTGGCTTGGCGAGTCTTTGAATATGCACCTCCTGTTGGACGACGCGGAGTGTGGCTTGGCGAGTCTTTGAATATGCACCTCGACCCTGGTCTCCCCTATCCCGGTCGCCGATGCCCATATACTACTGTACAGTAAGTATCCCCCTCTATATACTATTAATTTTTCTCTTTTTAGAGTTGGCTTGTGGGGAGGGATACTTATTGTTTTTATTTATGTATATCTTTTTGGGGTTGTGCTTCACTTTTCGAAGGCGGGAGGCGTAGAATTGGTGGTGCGGACAGAGGGTTGGGGTCTCCATATCCACAAAAATTGAGATGCGCCATCGGATTTCAAGTTCAAAGAGCGAGTATCTGGCGTAAATGAGAAATCGCGATGAAGTCGTGCATCCGCAGAATCCCATGTTGCATTGATTTAATTTTGCTCGAGGCATTCATTACAAATCTTCCTATCATGTTCCTGCCCTCACATTATTAAAGACCACTTTCGACAGCTCAATTCCCTTGCTCAGGGACGTGGAAAGTCCCCGTTTTCTCCTTCTAATATGCGCTATTTCTCCTTATTTCGGAAGCCCTAAGAACTCCTTCTGAAAAGTCCCAGCACTGTCTCCATTACTCGCAGGGTGATTTCGTGTTCGTTGGTGGAGTAACCGTTTGTTGGAGTAGCAGCAAGTGGTTGCATTTCGACGTCTTGTTCCCCTATACCGTATACGAGTTAGCACGCCTCGGGTTTATAGAGTAAAGAGAGGGAGACGTACACGAATTATTGACGTTCCTTACTATAATCGTTGCGAATATAGTGAGAATAGCTAGGGTGATGCTGCCCAACCCGATTGAGAGGGAGATTGTGTCGCTTGTCGAAACTATAATCTGTTAATTATATAAATATCGTTTGGTAGGTTGAATTTTGTACGCATGGTTCATATGTATACTGCCCTTTCTGCCCGTATATTGTATTTTGAGGAAATAATGTAACTTTCAAGTTGAAAGGACAAGGTTAGAATGGTATAGCTTTGGTATCGCATTCAAATGGGTTTCTGATAGTTGTTGACTGCGGTGTGGTACGGTGCGTTGCGGTGCGTATGGACAAAGCTCAGTAGGGGTGGTATCTGACGAGGCCTAGGAGGGGTCGGCCGGCGTGCGAATCCACTTCCTGCTTCAGAGGGTAAGTCAGTTCTAGCCTTCTAGGGCAATTCGGATAAGAGAGAGAGGAGAGAGCCCACATCCCGAACAGTACTGGGTCCAGCCCCCAAACCCCCTCAAGCTCCTTTCGGCCGCACGAACATACAGAACACCGCATATATTGAATGAAGCCTAGCGCTAGGGGCGAGTGAGCGGCGGCGCAGTGAGTTGTTTTCTTTTGCGTCCCACCCCCACACCGCGACGTCAAGGATCCAGATTCGCTTCTCCATGTGGCTTTCGAAACCAGCCACCTTCATCGGGAGATGGTGAGGCAAGGCACTTTGATCAAAGGACCAAACATCCAATCATGAAGTGATTTTCGAAAATTCGACCAAGACGACCGGCCCACCCCCACTTAGTTTATTCTTGTCGGAACCCTTTTGCAATGCAGTCTACACGCAACACACCACACCAGGGCTTTCCAGAAACACAATCCAGTACCGAGAGGCTGATTCCTTCTGGCGCCCGAGTCTCCGCTTCCAGCCTTGCTTGTCTGGGTTTTATCCCGTGCAGGCTTAGCAGCCAGGCCTGATCCCCATGATGGCTCTTTCCCGTCTTTCCACGCAGACATTCATGGTCCCACCCTCGAGCGAGGATCTTTGCCGTCCTCGACACGCCTTGGTGAGCGACGACACCGAAAGCGCAATGGCATGTTCACCTTTATGCTCGAGGCGGGCCGTTGGCTCGTGTGGCTCGACTGTTCTCAGAGAATTCACTTCTCGTTATCCTTAACCTCAGCCTCAACCACAGGGTCCATCAGATTTCGCTCCACGTCTGGCTCACTAGAGATCTGCCTTGGTGCACCGCAGGCCATCAGACCCTACTGGCGTCCGGGTCGTAGGTAAGCGTGGACGCATCTGCATGAGTCCGTCAGTCTACCCAGAGAAAGATACTCTCCACATTGAATGCGCAGTCCTGGTTCATCCGTCCATCCGCCTGTGTTGGTTCTGGTGTGGGTATGCTAACGAGAGCCAGGGAGGCTATAAGTTCCCATCACGTGACACTAAAGGACTTTTTTCGCGGGTGCTGCATCAGGTTGAGATTGCCTTTGAGAAGACTCGAAGAATTAAACCATGTTTCTCGTTGCTGTTGCTAAACCCCTTACCATTCATATTCCCTGTTCAACAGCGAGGAAAGTCCTCTATATCTTTTCTTCTTCTTCCCTGTCCGAAGAGACTTTCCTGCAATTTTGGACTTTTCAGAACAGGAACCTTCTCCGCTTTGTGAAGTGAGAAGTTCAATGGTAATATAATGTAAAGACATGGCTGAGTTGGCATCGGTGTCTAATATCCCGTTGCCAATAACAGATCTGATATCAACAGCCACGCTCCCTTGGCTTGCTGATGGTACGCCTGACCAATGGTTTCGAAGAAACTCAGTTACACCTTTCACAAATCATGATTAGCTCTATCCTTGCGTGGATAAGACTAAGTGGTCAAGATGCTTCTCGCGCGTCCATGAGGACCATCGAGTTCACATAAATTCCGCTCCTTGTTTGCGAAGCTGCCCAATATGTATTCACTACGATAACCGTCTTCCACCCTCGAAAGACATCACTCACCCTTCGCAAGGGATCTACCGTATTTTGTAAGAGAGAGAAGTTAGGACGACTCTACATGCCTGGTAATTTGCTAGCGCTGTGTCACCGAGTAGGCTCGGGGCACTCTACTCCGAAGGTTTGTTGCACGCTGATAAGGACGATTCAACCGGTCTCTCCACTTATACCCCGCACCCCCCACAACAATTTTCTACATAATATTATTACTGTAGTCTGTCGAGTACAGCTTCGTAACTCGAGTACTCCACGCTTCCTTGTTCAAGTTCCGATCAGCGCCTTCTATTGAATACCACTAAATAGAGCTAGACACCTCTCCCACCCTTTTTATCCATATCCAGTATTCAGTTCGCCGAAATTGTGATGCAAAGATGGCTCGGAAGCAGGTATTTGTCACTGAGCGATTGCTCCTGCAGCCTTTAGATCCCCAGAATGCCGAAGACCTCCTCGTCATATTCTCATTCGATGAAGTGCGAAGCCAAATGCTAGTTGCACCAAGAATATCACAATCGTTGGGACAGTGTTCGCTAATTTTGAGCAGGCTCACAACCACATTCTCTACAATCGATGAAACAACAGAATGGATTGAAGCCGTATCTAACCGCCCAAATAGCTCGATATTCTCGATCTCACTACGACAAAATAGTTCAGAGATGATTGGAATCATCGGCCTTAACTCCTTTGATCGTCTTTTGTACTCGTTTAACCCCGACTTTTGGGGTGCTGGATACTGTACCGAAGTTCTCCGCTGGTTCCTCAAGCAGTTGTTTGAGAAGCAGCCGGAGCGAAGGACGCTTGTGGCCGGTGTGCATAATGGAAATGAAGGAAGTGTGAGAGTGCTGTTGAAGTGTGGGTTTGTGGAGGTGGATTCGTTGGAAAATGCAATGAGTGGGTTCAGCAACCGCGGAGGCAATGGGGACAGTCAAGGTGGGGAAGTTGAAATTCTTGAATCTTCGTCCCCTGCAAACAGCTATACAAACTTCACTTGGTTTTATTTCGAGAGACCATTGGTTGTGAAGGAATGAGACAGCTCACTTCTCAGGGAGTGGTGATGGGCTACTGATCTTGGCGCCGAAGAGCACATCAACGTTTCAATTCCTCCTCAAGTCCCTAAGAATTTAGTTTGTCTCCAATAGATATGTGGCCCTTTGAATTGACTTGATCTAAATCTCTACTTTTCCATTTCGTTACATCGAAGGCTTTGACTTGATCTTAGATATGTCCTCACTTGAACGGATTATAATCTTCTAAGTACTAAAAAAATCAGGATTGAATCCGCCTATGAGAATCAAATTAATTCCGCACATATTAAATAAAAATTAGAGATAATTCGTATTCAAGCAATCTTGAAGTGTTTATGGTGGTGGATCACATGACTCTATTCTACATGTCGGGCGCAATTTATATTTCTCTTTCAATGTTTAGTTCCGTTCTTAGATCAAACTTTGAACATAGGTTCATAAAGTAAAAGTGAGGTGTTGTCTGAAGAACAATTCTAGTTGTACTAGACCCAAAAGTCCACGGGAGTCATGTTCACTCAGAGCCCAGACTAAGGTAAGAACCAAGTACCCTAAGAGATAGACTTAGTGTCACACTTTTAGTCCACTACTTAGCACCCGATTAGAAGTCAAGCTCCTAACTGTATTTGGTTTTATTAACATGGTTATTTGGTGTTTTTGGGCATTTCCAATATAATTAATTAATTACTATAAAACAGCATTACTATAAAATAAAAGAGTGCGGGTAATCACGCTTTGGCTAATTTCAATATGGCCCCTGTGTGGGACTGGCCTACCATGCTATATAGTTACCATGTATTTCCTAAGATGTGAAAATATTCCATCGATCAACATTTTTATGCCCGCTACAGTGAAAATGCGCGCTTTGCTATTGCTTTCCTTTGGCATCTTAGAGCCTCTGACTGGCCTTGCCATACCAATGAGGATCTCAATAAGAGAGATAATCTGTGTAGTTTGAAGCGCCTCCCGTTCTCTGCCAACCGAACTCTACCATAATTGTGGAAGAGACAGTACAAAGGGCTTACAAGTTATACCGTGTGTTTATTGTGGATGAAGACCCCAAGACAATGTTTTCCTTCATAGGTTCAATTTATAAAGTAAAAATATTAGTCCAAACTCACACTATTCAACTATGCAACATATAACAAAAATCAAGGACTCAACAATTAACGTACCATAGCAACATTTCACAGGGTACACGGACGGACCCAACACCACTTGGTCCCTTTTCTGCAGCGGCATTAGAGCAGGAACTAAACAAAACACCTCTTGGTCCTCCGATGCTAGTACTAACATGTCATAGACTCATACGCGAAGTACTCAGCTACGGGTGGATGGCGCTAGGTTGGCGGTTGTGTCCGCGAACACGTAGGTATCTTGAATCATATTGACTTGCGCCACGCTAGCATCTCGCTTTGGTGGGATGAGAATGAGTCGATTCCAAAAGCGAATGCTACTTATTGGACAGAACTATGTCTTAGTTGGTTGTTGAAAGGCCATTTGAGCTATACCTATTGAGTAAACTAGAGAACATGTTGTTTTAGGAATAGATTTGGGCAATTGTGGCAATTCTGCTCTTGATGAATGGATTGGAGCTCTCTTTACTTTGATGTTTGACGGCAAATAGAGTTATCCTCTCTCGAAAAATCTAGATTTCAGCGTTCAAGTTCAACTACTTTTCAAGACTTGTCAAGGCCAAAAGGGACAGCCTCCTGAAATCGGAGGAAGGAGAGTCTTAGGAGACTGAAGCCCCCGGAGTTTGTTCAGGCGCAGGACAAGGCTGTGCTAACCCAGCAAATTGCTTGTTATCCAAGTTGGCAAGGCTCCGCGAGATATCTCTGGGGCCACAAAAGTACATAAGTCAGCTCACCTCGTTAAACGGTTATTTGTATCTCAAGGTCTTCAAATACCCGGAGGACTTGTGTGATATTGATCACGTGATCACAATTTCTGACATCTTCTCGGAGAGCAGTATTGAACACATTGTCTTTAGGTGTAAAGTTGATGCTTCTTATATTGCAAGTCACTTATTCCTTAGAGAGAAGGTACAAAAATAAAGGTGCTGCAGCTGACCCCGAGCTTTAGGCTCCAGCCCCGAACTAGCGCCGAGCCGGTGGAAGACTACAGCTGCTCATCGCTCGCACATTTTTTGCTAAATCAAGGAATCCCACCTCAGAAAAGACAAGCACAAGGTCGTCCTCAGCGCTGACGATCTACCAAAGGTATTACGCACAATGGACCAGTCAAGCTCCAGCAAGCGGAAGAGAAAGGCAGACGCCATGAACGAGTGGGAAGCATTGGAATTGGAGAAAATCGCGAAGGTCAAGGAAATGTACTCTAAAGGGGTCCCATTCTTCACGAAAGACTCTATTCGAAATATTCACCAGCAACTTCTGAAAGCAAAGACGGGTGACGAGATTTCAGTGCTCAATTTGGACGGTACCAGCTCTAAATTCAAGATCTTGAATGGAGAGGTTGTCGATGGAGACGAGCCCAAAACTGAAATGGTCCAGTTCGTTGGAGCTCAAAATTCGTGTTCCCGATAAATGCTAATCAAAGCCTAGGATTGATCCCCATATCCGATATGAAAGCATACAAGGCTTAACTCAGAGGATCGACGGCGCTTTCACCGCGAGTTTCTGCCCGATGCCAATCGCCCACTTTTTAGAAGTGCGTGATAAAGTTACGAAAGAGTTCTGCCAGCGGTCTAAGAAGCATCCTAACCTTCCTAGAGAGGAAGCTGAGGAATTCTTCAAGACTTGTTGCAAGGAGTGGGAAGCTAGCGAGCCTTGCAAGCAGTTAAGGTCGATTCTTGCCTCTGCGCAGCTGCCGCTCGGAATCACCAAGATTGTGGCTTTCGCATGTAGCAATTTCTCCCGCATTATTACCAAAAAACCGCATTCCTCTCGCGGACTTGTCCGGCCAGCTACTCAGCACGCGCTGATATTAACCTTGCGGGATATTCTCAGCAAGAAGGACTGTGGAAGCTCTGGAGAGATCGAATGCTATGCGCAGGACCCTGTTTACTCTTCCTTGGACAAATCGATCCTGGAGCAATCTGGAATCAAGATTCTCAGTGATCCAGAAGGGTTCTTGGAGGTCGACGAGTCAACTGTCGTTCTATCGTTCTGTCCCAATGTCTGTGTAAGGCAGGTAGTAACTGATATTGCTCGACCTGCTATAATGATATGGGACAGAGTCTTGTGGAACGAAGACGAAATGGACGGAGAGCCGAAGTAAGCCAATGAGTTTCGTCGTTGAAACCCCTTGAGGTGGATTGGATGTACACGGCTAACGAATCCAAGAACCGATCCAGACTCTCCTCGCCTGAAGAAGATGTTACAGGCTTTCTATGAGGAGTCCGAGATGCCCGATGATTATGATGATGCGAACAAGTCCTTTGGAATTAAATTTGGAAATGCGGGGATCTACATAAGAAAAGCGAATGCAATAAGTCGGCTGTAATGAGTCTTGGCCCTTGGTATTTGCTTATAACATGACAACTTGCTAGTACAGGGGCGGCATGAATTTGAAATACACCAGATTCCCCTGCACTATGATCTCTAATTCATCCTTTAACGTTCCATCCGTATCAGAATGACGAAGATTTAAAACTTACCCAGGTCTGTAGAATCGAGAATCCTTGGCTAAAGAAATTTCGTTTTTGGTTTTCTGGATCCAGCCTCCAGAAACAAACATTGGATCTCTTCGCAACCTCTTGCACTGGATGCAGGTAATTATCAGCCGTGATTGGTCACATCACAAGCGCTTTTTATATCTCGAGTTGTTTCGCGCCAATCCTCACGGGAAAAAACTAAAACGACCCCTCCTCCCACCCGGGTGTCTATTGGGGGTGTCGATTGGGGTAGGGGTCTTTAAAAATCTTAAGTTAGATTTTTTAATATTAGTATAAGCTAGTATATTATAACCTTTGTATTATAACCACGTGCTTCTTAACTTATAATAAAAAGATTCCTTAAGATAGTATTTTAATTTAAGGGAGTTTATATACTAATTAATGAAGTTCTAGTTTTTTGAGCCCTATCCGTTGCGCTGCGGCCAGGTGCGGACCTCGCTAAACTTAAGGAACACCAAAACTCGCACGCTTCCAATTCCAATTGCTGTACCAAACCTTTATAGCAGTTCTAACAAATATGGTATACTTGTAGTATAGAGGGACAATTAACAGTCTATAAGAGAAATTAAACTTCTTATTATTATATAGAACTTTATCTCAGTTCAGAACTGGGAGAAAATCTGTTAGCGAGGTCCGCACCTGGCCGCAGCGCAACGGACAGGGCTCTTATATCTGGTTTTAGGGACTTATTCGCTAAATTTCTAGGCTTTCTTAAGCTTATCTTTAAGCTATAAAATGTGAAATTTTTAATGTCTTTAATTTAAAGAGCCATTACTATTCCAAACTTTACTTTAAAAAAATATTTAAATAGCTCTTAATTAGCGCTGTAAGAAAATAAAACAAGTATTAAATTATATTAATTCCTAATAAAATTGAATCAAATTAAAGGAAAAGCCAGAGTTTTGGTATTCATCCGAGCGCCTCTACGAAGGCGGGCAGCATTAAAAATCGTCCAATTCGCTAAGCGAGGGCGGGCACAACCTTGACTCTCGCAGTATCCCTTCGTCTGGTGAGACATGGTCCGTACTAGCAGGGGGACCTAGCTCAAGGCGAAAACGCGTGCCTTTACTTAGAAACTTATTAGTTATCTATCACGTTTTCGCCCTGAGCCAGGTCCCCCTGCTAGTACGGACCATGTCTCACCGGACGAAGGGATAAAAATTCTCGTGATTCCGTATTATATTTCATTAATAGTCGGTTCGTCCTCCTTTGCTCGCTTCGCTCCCAGTCGGGGAAAGCAAGTGTCCCGCAAAACCAAGTGTCCTATCGGCATTTACCGGGTATATTAATTTAGCCTATAACCCCACCAAAACTCTTGTACCTTAGCAATCCAATTGGATTTTTTTTTTCACTTAATATATCTATTTCTATAACTATTCTAATAATACAAAATCTGCATTTCTCTGAATTAAATTAATTAATTCTATATAGCTCTCTATATCCGATTCGTTATATATAGGAAGTAGAGGGCTTAAATCCCGGTAATCTGGTATAATAATCTCTCGCTTAGTACTATTACCCTGTATTAAAATCATAATCTCGTTATCTAAACCTTCTTTATCCTTAGTATCCTTAATATTAGGGGATACTAGTACCTCTAGCTCCCTAATTACTTAAAGAAGCCCTGGATATCCCTCGTCCGTTAATAATAACTGCTCTGCTATAGTAGGAGCTTTATTAGGCTCGCAAATAGGAACAAGATCCTGAATCAGGGGAAGCTTATTTTATTAATTATAGTCTTTAAGTCAAAGGAATCTTGCCCTATTATCCTTCCGGGATTATATACCGAGCATAGTCAAGTTCTTTACTACCTTATTCTTCGCCTGAATAAGCTTCTCCTTAGCCTTATAAAGCTTCTCAGATATCTCTTTTATATTCCTTGCCTTAATATTAGCTCGGAGCTCATTAATTAATAGAGTACTCCCTCTTTTATAAATACTTCTTCTAGAGTTATTCTTGCGTTTACTCTTAGCTAGAAGTTTAGCTTATAAGTAACTATACTTCAGGGATATTAAATAAGCCTTTTAGAGTTTAATATTAATATTCTTTATTATTTTTTTTGAAAATCGAGTATAAGTTATCTGAGAACTTTATAAGATCTCGATTACTAAACTTATAAACTCGTATGGCAGTATCTTATATATCCAAAAGACGAGAAGGAAATAATAGTAGGAGCTCGCTATTCTCTTTATTAACTTTATTAATAGATCTCTTCTTTTTATTATAAGACCAGACTTTCTTAATTCCGGCCTTATAACTTATAGGCTATATACCAGAATCTTTAAAGGAATTAATAATCATATAATATTTAAACGTTTATTTACGAATTAATATTAAATCTCTAAAGAAAAAGATAATAAAGTATTTAAAATCGAGGCTATAAAGAACTAACTAAATTACTAGCTTATAGTAATACTTCCAGAAGCGAAAAATACTAATATCAAGTAGTTATAAAGCATATATTAGATAAGAATAATAATAATATAAGTAAATATTATTAAGTACTGCCTTTAATTAGAATTCGTCCGTCTTATGAAACTTATAGCTATCGAGAAGAAGGATTTTCTATAGCTTATTTGGGCTAGTATAAACGTAAAAAATCAAATAATTAAGGTATAATAAGGCTATCTTATTATTAGTATATCTAGTTAGGGTAGTAGCTATTTACTTCTTCCTAATAAGCTCAAGTATAATTCAATTTTCTATAATTCTTTGGCCTAGAATAATAATAAAAGGGGGAGAAGAGTTACTACCGTCTATATAAATAGCCTTAATTACTATTATAGACTTTCGATTCTCAGGGCTTAATATATATATCTTCTTAACCTTTACTAGAATAATAATATACTCTTCTCCTGGATACCTAATATAAGCTCCCGATTTGTCTATATTAATAACATTCTTGGCCTTTATAATCTTATACTTTCAAAGTACTATATAGTAGTTATTAAACCATTTTTTAATCTCTGTTTCGGTATGGAAATAGAGTCATATATACGTAATTAGCTTGGTTTCGATTATATAAAGTATTTTGTAATTATATAACTAGCCCGTAAACTATTATCTTAAAGGAGCCTACTAAGGAAAGTACTATTTCTAATAATATATTAGTCAAAATTACTAGATATATAAGTAAGAGATATACCGAGCATAAGTAAGTAATAGTAGAAAGTACTATATTATATATGGCACCAAGCCCTAGCTCCTATTACTTATAGTAATATTATTTAATTACTTCTTCTTATACCTTATTCAGGATCATATTATTCCCTCTATATCTATTATACATACTATTCGTATTTCTTTCCTTCTTCTTAGATCGTAATATCGCTTTTCGTAATGCCTCTTCCTTAATATGGTATATCCTGGCAGGTAATACTGAGGTTTCTATAGGGTTCTCGATAGCCCAGAGGCATACGGTATTAAATACTCGATTATAATTAGGCTTGGTTTCATACGGGTAATAATAATAATTAAGAGAGGACTACCTAATACGGGAGGAATTAATAAGAGGAGTTCCAGATATATTTGATGGAATACAGGATGTTAATTATAACAAAGGAGGCCAAATGCGTAATAGAAAGTCGCGTTTTTAGGCGTGTTTTTACTAGGTTCGGTTTTCTCCGATGGGACACTTGGTTTCGCGGGACACTTGCTTTCCCCGACTGGGAGCGAAGCGAGCAAAGGAGGACGAACCGACTATTATTGAGAAAATTCCATAAAAGTTAGATAGGCTTCTGTCCTACCTCACAAAGCTGTTTTAAAGAGTTTTAGGGGTTGCATTGAGATTTGGTGTAATTTTCCAAAGGTAGCGATCTTGGTGTTCCTCGCTTTTTAGCGGATGGACGATTTTTAATGCCGCCCGCCTTCGTACTTTGGGTTAGTGGCCAGTCTGGTCCCCAATCGACACCCCTAATCCTGGTGATCGACACCCCTAATCAACACTTGGGGGGGAGATCGTTTTAGTTCCCCATATCGCCAGGCAACTCCACTAAACCTCCCAGCCTCATCAACCCTGTTATGGCGCCCTTCGTTGAGGGCTTTCATCCAGGGAATATACCTAGTATTGTCACTGGTCTTCGGAATGATGGGACCGCGGCCTCTTTCTGTCTCGGCACGGCAGACCGTCCGCTCGCTGGCAAAGAGTGTGTCATTTATGCCGTTCAGTTTCCTGACGCCGCCACCTGGGCTGTGCGTATACCCGTGCATGCAAGCCATCTACCGCCAGAATCCATCACGAACTTCGTGGAGACGGAGGTGTCTATCTTGAAGCGTTTACAAACGAGCGGGTTCTCCAGGTCGCCGAGGTTGTTAGGTTATAATTCCGGGTTTGATAATCCTATTGGATTCCCGTACCTCGTATTGAGTTGGTTCGAAGGGACACAACTAGAATGGTCAGATACCATCCCTCCACAGAGAGAAAGCCGAAATAAGATTATCCGTCAAATGGTAGACATAATATTGGAATTAGCAGACTGCACAAAGGAATTGCGTATGAATGGCGCCCCTTCTCTTTGATGCATCAGCTTACCCGTTTTAATAGGTACTGGAACCTCCGCCAGCAAATATCTGGTTGAGTTCATCGACCGTAAGATCGTTCGCGTTAGCATTGGTCAGATGCCTGAGTTACAACTTCGAGATTGTTTCATCCAGCGAGCACTGGTGTCGAGAGTCGTTCATCCTGATCTTGAAAACTCTCCGTTCTTGATCTCGCACGAAGACTTGGCCCCACAGAACATTATCGTCGACAGCGAATATAACATCAAAGGGTATATCTTTCTCGCCGTTCAAATTCGACGGTTCCTATACGTTGCAGCCGGCATAGGCTGACCAGTGTCTACATAGGATAATCGACTGGGGTTTTGCTAGACTTCTCCCTCTTCAATTTGCAGTCGGTTTTCCACGCTTTTTAGCCATCGAACCGGTTGAAATAGACGCTCCCAGACCCCCGGACGTCGTTTCCTTTTCTTCTGCCTTTCTCCAAGCGTCTCCAGTCCTCCAAATCGACCGCCAGAATTTCATATCATATCTCTCATCCAGATCTCCTCTCGTGGAGCCCTCACCTCCATCCAGAACGATCTCACTCACGCAATCTATCAAGTTGGTCTTATCAGCTTCTGATATTGATTGGCGACGTCTCCTATTCGAAGCAGCTAGTAGCAAGGGCCTTCACAAGTGGATGGCGAAGAGATCGTGGCTGCTTCATGGTACAGAAAATGAATGGAGTACTCGTGGAAATTCTTTGGTTGAAGAGGTGGACGGATTTTTAGCGGGTGAGATAGGGCAGAAAAGCGGCCTAAGTTGGGAGATATTGGTAGATGCTATCAAAATCTAGACGATGAATTGTTGGTTAATGGAAATGGTGCAAGTACGAAGGGGTGCGCTGAAAGAAAGCTTCAGTGATATTGGGTTTCAGGGGAAAGTTTCCGGAATTAGTCATACACACGCTATGCCAAATGACACCCACGGTCTTCCTCCACATGATCTAGTTGGTTTTCGTGTTCGGTGCGGGCTCAGAGAAAACTCAGCGCAACTCCAATGTTATCCCAGCCCAGAATATCAATGTATAAATCCACTCCCACCTCCCCCTTGTGCAAAGAGCATCTGGCACAAACTCGTATTCTGTTTTGAGCGATATATACTCCATTGAACTCGTGAGAGACTATAATATCAGAAGACTAGAGATGCCAAACTTCGTGGTGAAGCTCTGCGGACCGGCCAAAGACCGGAAAGCAGACGCGTCGCTAATTTTAAACATTCATGGTCATTGCAGATGTTTAGTCACAAGAGATGTTATGTTCGGGTCAGGCTCGCTCTCGCTAACCTTGATGTCTATAATACTAGACTACTCAAAAAGCAAACCCGCCTTTTTTACCTCTGCTACAAGAGCTGTAATCTCCGAAGATGGCAATCTACGATCATTAGAACGGTTTGGTCCAAGATTGACATCACAATCGGAGCTGCTTGATCCAGAGTCTCACCCATCATATAGGTGTTGGAGGAGCAAATTTTTTTGCCCATTTCTGACTGTTTCATGATTTTCTCCTAAAACAACCTCCTCCACCGGAACAATCTTAATCGAGCAACTGCTGACTCTCCCATTACCTAGGGGTGTCGGACTGGACGGCACCTAATCGCAGGTCACTGTTCTTGCTTGGAGTTACTAAACTAGTTAGGACCAACTTTGGTGATGACCCAAATCCTGCAATAGCATTGTGAGCTGCAAGGACCCTGCTATGTTGCTTCTCAGGGGCTACCATTGACCAATTGAGGCTTGCCACAACTGCTAACAGAATTCCTTCCGCAATCCCAACAGAGGAAACAATGGAGTTACAACTCGTACTGTGGTTTCCAGACCGGAAAGTTGACTTCATAAACGAACAGAGTCCTCGGGGGCACGAGTTTAACACCAATGCAATAATCGACATTTTACACGGCATTGCGGTCATCAAGTGCCCGCATTCCAATGAATCAAAGACTTTGTAGACGATATAGACTCCATTTCGCTGGAATGGTACTCATTTATCGTGACAACTGCTGGGCACAAATCCTTTGTGCCCAAAAATGCTGAAGTAGGTGACATCTATTTGAGGCCTCTGGATCCAAATTTCCCCTCGTGCTGCATCGGCAGGACAAGGGATCACGTTACACCTTTATAGGGTATGCGTTATAGAGGAGTTCATGGCTGGGAATGCAAGAGAAATGATGAAGGATGGCAGACGAGAGGAGCAAACGATTAAGCTTGTGTAATTCCTCGCAATTTGAGGAACTTCAAATGACAAAGCAGGGGCAACCTTTGCACTGACCATACACTATTCAGAACAAAAGGCTCAGACCTCCCGAGACTGTGTCTCAATGAACCTGTTTTGCCACTAACCGGCCAAGAATGATCCCAAATCGCAATTTTCTTAGATCAAACAGAAAGCTTTCAAGATAAACCAAATCCTTACATCATCTTTTGATTGGAAGTAGAGAGGACTTTCGAGATAGAAGCCGCTTTGTTATTATCCCAAAGCCTTGAACAAGCCTGCTCTCCTAAACTTGTCCGGTTTGCGAAGGACTTCCCACACAAACTGAACTGATGCAACGTTTGCATAGCCATTTGTTTGCATATAAACATTCGACGAACTAAGAAAATACTAATTGGCCCTCCCCAGCCTTGCAGTGCCCATTTTGCAGCCACAAACCCGAGAATTTAATATTGCAGTCACGTGCAATTAAATTCATGAGCACAATCCAGTCATCTGGGTAGTGCTGTGATAGCTAGATTGCACGCAGTTGCTCTTATTACCAAACAAAAAGTTAATGCATGTCCTTCTCAAGCCGGGAGAACTTTCCCATTCCTTTTTAGAGGATATTGAGGCCGCGATGAAGTCGTTTGCTCCTGGAATTCCAATGAAAGGGGCTAAATACGCTATACCCTAAAAGGATAGCGGCCGATCACGGCAAACGCCGTCGCGCTTGCCTGTCTAGATATTGATTGACTTTCTAAACCATTATCAAAGCAACCACCTTGCGATAACTCCAACAACCCATCACAATCAAGATGGCAGACCGATTCCCCTCGCTGGAGGAGTTTGACTCTGGTGGTTCGTCTCTCCCCTTTCCTTCCTCATCCTTTTCTCACCGTTCATCCTTCGCGTTCACAAGACAGCAGGTCATCTTCCCAGCTCAAGGCTGACGCTCAACAGCACAAACCGAAGCCGCAGCTTTTGACGGAGATGACTTCCTCACTCGCGAGAAAGCACTGCTAGGTGACGACGCTGACCAATTCGCGACCGGACGTGATAACGCCGCGTTTGTGGAGGATGGAGATGATGATTTGCTGGGTGGAGGAGGTGGTGGTGAGGAGGTTACGGAGTTCGAGAGCTCGTTTCCTGCTATTGACTCGCGGAATGAGGTATGTTCTTTGCTTCCTTCCGTTCTCATTGTCTACGGGATGATGGGTTGAGGGGGGAGAAAGATTAGAGGGAGAGACAGGTGGCTGACTTGATCGAATGCACAGGGCGTAGCACCTGGCGGCTCCATCACCTACCAATCCGGCTACTACCCACCCCGTGCCGACGACGAAGAAGAGCCCGAAGTCATCAAGCAATGGCGCGAGCGCCGCGACCTCTCGCTCCAAGACCGGGAAGCCCGCTCGCAAGAGAAGAAGAACGAGACCGTCAAGGCCGCCCAGCAGAACATCGACGACTTCTACGAGAACTACAACTCGAAGAAGGAGAAGACGATTGCGCAGACGCGCCGCGATGCTGAGGAGTTTCTGGAGAGTAGGGAGGATACGAGTGCTGGTGGAACTAGCTGGGAGCGTATTGCAAAGTTGGTCGATTTGAGTGGGAAGGGTGCGAAAGGTGGTGCGACGGGGAGTGATAAGGCGAAGTTTAGGGAGTTGTTGATGAACTTGAGGAAGGACGAAAAGGCGCCGGGTGCTACGGGTTATTAAATGTCATTTTGAGATGAGATTGATGACTTGGGCGCCCGTGGAGGCTGATCTTGTAAAATGAATGCGTGCATTGCTGGTTGTATCTGTTCTTACGGCCTGCCTAATTATGGTTGGGCAATGGGGCGTTGAAAATACACGGCACATATCGAGACTCTCAATTTGTGTGATTGTGGATGTGATTGCCTTTTATGACTTGAAATCTAGAATCGCTAACGACCGTGCTTCATGCAGTCACGTTTCTGCCGTCAAATCGTCCTTCCAGAATAAATCCGTCATTCAGGATCATCAGCATATTTCTCCGAGAGTTTGGCATTCTCCGCCGCAGCAGCTCTCTCCTGTTCCTCAAATTCCTTCAAGGCCTTCTGGCCTTCCTCTGTCGTAGCATCAATGATTTGCTCTTCAAGAGACAGCATGCCACCCTATCGTCATGTTAGCATTTGGGATTGCGAAAGGGGATAATGTAAACATACCTCTCCCAGCTGACCAACCACCTCCTCAGCTTCCTCAACACTCATCTTACCCAATACCTTATTAACCTCATCCAGACTTCCACTCTCCAAAGCCCTCTGCAGTCCAGGCGGGAAAGCGTCAAACAATTTTCTCGCCTCAATCTCAACAGGGTCTTCACTGGTTTTGGGTGGGATCTTGATATTGATCGTAGTACCAGGATCAACGGCATGCAGTTGGATCTGCTCAACTCCACCGGAACCATCTGCTTCCTCCTGAGCTCTCTGCTTCTCAATCTCCTTAGCTCTTGACTTGATACGCTGATAAGTAGACTGAACATCGTCGAAGAAGACTTTTTGTGCTTGGTGTCCCTGTGTGGTAATACGCTTAAAGAACAGACCAACACCATCTCGTCCTAATGCCCTGCAATATTGAAGAAGAAGAGCCTGGTGGACGCATTGCCGTGAAAAGTCATCCATGTGGCCGATAGCTGCGTTGAACGCCATAACCAACAGACCATCTGTCTCCCTCTCAGCCATGACTTGCGGATGTTCGGAGATGAATTGCAAGCACGCCCTATAATCGCCCATCTTGATCAACGCAAATTGCTTTCCAAGCTCCGAGGCTTCGACCTCGGCTTCGTCATCGTCCTCGAGAGGTAAAGGTTCATCGACATCTGCATCCGCGCCAGAAGACTGAGCTGGGTCGTGCCCATGTTGAGAAGCGAGAGCATGCGGGTTCAGTACTTCAACTGCTTGGACCGTCTCCTTCTTGGTTGTTGTTTTCGGTGCTGGCTTATGGTCGGATTTGGCGACGAAAGAGCTGTCGAAGCCTGTGTGTATGCTCTCGCTCGTGATCTTTCTACCCTCTTCCTTCTCTAGCTTGTTCAATTCCTCTAACAGTTGCTTTTGTAGATCCTGGACCTTCGTAAGGTGGCTCTTAACTTCGGTGGCATATGCGTCGAAGCTACCATCTGACTTATTTTCCTTGATCTTTGCTTGAACTTGGTCTACCAACGCAGCCATCATCTTCGAATATGTAGGCTGTTCTTTTTCCTGCGTATGGACGCCAGCTGGCGGAGGCGGCGGTGCATCCTCACCCGCATCCCTGATAGTCTCCATAAACGTCTGCATGAATATCTCCTCTGGCTTGCGAGTCTCTGCCTCGGCTTTATGCGACTCTAAAGTAGAAAGCAGGCCGCTGATCCGTCGGAGCAGGCCATCGTTGACTATCCGCTCGTACTTGTACGTCTCGATTTGGTTCTTGCGTTCGAATCGCTGCTGGTGGATCTGGTTCTGCTTGGCGCGGATGAAGGAGCGTTTGTCGACGTTGGGATGGACTTCGATGTCGGAGTCGTCGCTCAGCTCGAGCGCGTCCTGGGATCGTCAGCCTTGAGGTTCAGCCTGGTTGGGGGAGGGAGGGTTGGAAGGAAATTAATTCTGGATCTCAAGGGGCTCATTTACCCATTTGCTGTAGTCAACAGGCATCTCGAGAACCTTGGCTCCAGGTTGTTGTAGCAAGGTTTTGGTGGAAGTGTGGACGTTGTTCCAGAAAGAATGTCTGCTCACAAAGTCGAATGTTCTACAACGCGAGGAGCTTCGATTTTTACCCCACCAGGCATAAACACATGCACAACTTTATGCGACAAGTGCATAAAAGCAGCGATGACGGAAGCTAGATCATGTTGGTGGTGACTTTTGAAGATCTTCTTCTCTCCAGTTTAATTCACTCACCTTCAACACGACCATGGACGTCAGACAGCGCTACGACTCTGCTCTCATGCGATGATATCAGCGGTCTTGATCCAATCCTTGCACACATGTCCGCCGCAATGCGACGGGCTTTACTGTTGAGAGGACCGGGATGGGGAGCCTCGATCTACGATGTAGCTTCGAAACAGCTCTCGAGGACGAGTCCTACCACTGCTGCGACGCAATGGTCTTCTACGGGACCTGCTAAAGTCTCAAAGCGGTTCAATGCGAATTTCCAGACTCCTCCCAAGCCAGCGACTCCTCAGCCGCTTACCAGCAAGCTTCTCTCCCACTCCAGAACGGGCCTATCATCGCCATGGCGGCCAGCAATTGCGCAATTACGACCATTTAATAGCACTTCGCATCTACGAGAAACACCGAAGGATACAGATCGGCAGGATCTGATTGAGAAGGAGAAAGCGAGGCGGGAAGAGGAAGAGGAGGATCATATCGATGAGCATGGCGGGTTCGCAAGGAGCGAGAAAGCTTCGAAAGCAGCACAGGTTAATCTCAGCGCTCGATTGCAGAGCTCAAAGGCACAAGGGAACTCAGCTGGGTTTGGGGAGATATGGAGGCTGATCAAGATTGCGAGGCCTGAGGCTAGATGGCTGGCATTGGCTTTTGCTTTCTTGTTAATTTCGTCTTCTATTACGATGTCGATACCGTTTTCGATTGGAAAGATCCTGGATCTTGCGACTAAGGACCCGGCTGAGGGCAATAAGTTATTCGGCCTGGAAATCAGCCAGTTTTATATTGCTCTCGGTGCTGTATTGACCATGGGAGCTGCGGCCAATTATGGACGGATCATCATTTTGCGGATAGTGGGAGAACGGATTGTGGCTAGACTTCGATCACAATTATACCGGAGGACATATGTACAGAATGCGGAATTCTTCGATGCGAATCGAGTTGGAGACCTCATATCCCGGCTAAGTTCGGATACAGTCATTGTTGGAAAAAGTATCACACAAAACCTGTCAGATGGGTTGAGAGCTCTCGTGAGTGGTGGAGCTGGATTTGCAGCCATGGCGTGGGTCAGCCTGAAGCTCACAAGCATTCTGTGCTTAATGTTCCCGCCTGTCGCCATTGGAGCTTTCTTTTATGGACGAATGATACGGAACCTGAGTCGAAAGATCCAACGGAATCTCGGGACGTTAACCAAGATTGCGGAGGAAAGGCTTGGCAATGTTCGGACAAGTCAAGCCTTTGCTGGCGAAATTCAAGAAGTCGGACGATACAACCACCAGATCAAGAAGATTTTCGCATTGGGGAAGAGGGAAGCTATCATCAGTGCCACTTTCTTCAGTTCCTCTGGATTCTTTGGTAATATGACGATCCTCGCCTTGCTATATTCAGGCGGATCAATGGTCAAGAGCGGAGTCATCAGCATCGGAGATCTGACATCCTTCCTGATGTACACGGCTTACGCTGGGTCGAGTCTGTTTGGTCTCTCCAGCTTCTACTCTGAGCTCATGAAAGGAGTGGGAGCAGCAAGCCGTCTCTTCGAGCTGCAAGACCGAAAGCCGACTATTCCAGCTACCCTTGGCACCAGGGTCAAATCTGCACAAGGACCAATCAAATTTTCGAACGTCTCGTTCGCGTATCCGACACGACCTGCTGTCAATATATTCGAAGGTCTCGACTTCGAAATCCCATCAGGAACTAATGTTGCCATCGTTGGGCCAAGTGGTGGCGGGAAATCCACCATTGGATCACTGTTACTGAGATTCTATAATCCAACGGAGGGAACGATTTCCATCAACGGTGTTGACATCTCAAAGATGAATGGCAAGTCTCTGCGTCGTCGAATTGGTATGGTTGGTCAAGAGCCAGTTCTGATGTCTGGTTCTATTGCGGAGAACATCGCATATGGCAAGCCTCATGCTACCAGGTCTGAAATCATTGCTGCAGCACGGAAAGCCAACTGTCAATTCATCAGCGACTTCCCGGACGGTCTTGATACTTCTGTTGGTGCACGAGGGGCTCAATTATCTGGTGGCCAGAAGCAGAGAATTGCCATCGCCAGAGCACTGCTCAAGAATCCAGATATCCTGATTCTCGATGAGGCAACATCGGCCTTGGATGCAGAATCCGAGACGTTGGTGAACTCGGCATTGGCCGCTTTGCTCAAGGGACACAACACCACCATCTCTATCGCCCATCGACTATCGACAATCAAGAGATCAGATCACATTATCGTGCTTGGAAATGATGGAAAGGTTGCTGAGACGGGCACATACCCCGCGCTCTCCAGCAATCCAGATTCTGCTTTCTCCAAATTGATGGAGTGGCAGATGAGCGGTGGTGACGCAGCAGACAAGCGAGCCACGGAGCCCGAAGGCCATCTTACCGAGACCGAAGAAATCAGCGATGATCTTACTCGGTTGAATGAAGAAGAGAGCGAAGAAGATATTGCCGAAGAAGCTGAAGAGGAACTCGAGGGGCGGAAACACGAACCAGTAACGGAGAAGAGCTCGAAAGAGACTAAATAAGAGACGACTTAGACGGGATGATGGTTGGATAGGATACCGCATACCGCCTACAGGCCCTCGCCGCTCTCGTTTGTATTGCTTGCACTTTGAGGGCGTTCTTATAGAGATGCATTGGGATGGTGGGATGGTGGTGTGTTGCCCGGAAAAGGGCAAATGCAGGTCATGATGTTTGTACTATACTCCGCTCGGTACGAATAGAGATTTACGAGGTATCCTGCTTCAACGTTGGAACCCAGGATGATGTGTGTTTTGGGTGCGATTGAACCGCTTTGCACTTGCTTTTAAGCTTCTGGTTCGTGATGTTCTATTGTTCTTCAAGCGAAGCGTACAGTGCCTGTCGCTTAGTTCTCGTGTTTTAAGCGAAAACACGTAAAAGCGCGTTCACGCGTCACTCTCCCTCTTCTCTTCTACACACAATTATGCCACCAATACGCACTCCCTTAGCTGAACGCAATAGCAATGGGCACCGGGGCCCTGAACTCTCTGAATTCGAAAGAGGCCGTATAATTGGCATGCACGATGCTGGCAAAAAAGACATCGAGATACACCGGTTCTACCATCACCCATATTCAACCGTACGATCCACGATTCAATCGGCCCCCTTACGTGAAGACGGGCACTCTTTACCTCGATCTGGACAGCCTAAATCGTGGACTCCTGCCCAGGAACGCCGTGTACTGCGTCACGTACGTCGTTTTCCAAAAGATACATATGCGGAGGTTATAAAGGCGTGTGAGGTGGGGTTTAAGAAGAGCACGGTGAAGAAGATACTCAAGCTCCATGGTATCAAGAATTGGAAGTGCAAACGAAGGCCTTATTTAATGGCAAAGAATGCCGCGAAGCGGCTTGCTTGGTGCCTTAAACATCGAGGCAAAAGACCTGAGGAGTGGGGAATGATAATGTGGAGTGACGAGTGTAGTGTGGAGAGGGGGCGGGGTAAAAGAGATGAGTGGTGCTTTCGAACGTCGACACAAAAATGGCAACCACAAATGGTCCAAACTTATGGTACGAGCAAGAATATGAAGGTTATGGTCTGGGGAGCCTTTTGGGATAATGGGAGGAGTAACCTTTATATTATGGATCGGGATTTTGAGTCGGCGAAGCATGGGTACTCTGCAGAGTCATATTTGGAGGTTTTGGAGGCAGAAGTTGGTCTAATCTTCTCTATATTGGACCCTGGATATGAATTCATGCAGGACAATGCCTCTATTCATATGGCTAGTAAGGTGAAGGAATGGTTCAAAGCAAGGGGGTTCACACTGCTTGAGGACTGGCCTGCTTACTCCCCAGATCTCAATCCAATCGAGCATATCTGGTGGCACCTAAAGACTAGGTGCTATGAGATGTTCCCTGACGTTGCCGCGGACAAGTCGGAGTCAGAATATGCACGGCAAAGATTGGAGTCTTGTCTTCAAGCCGCTTGGGATACTCTAGACCAAGATTTGTTTAATAAGTTGGGTGCAAGTATGAATGATCGCATTGAGGCAGTCATTGCGGCTAAGGGCTGGCACACTAAGTACTGAGCCCAATTTCCGGTGTATTTTAGAAATTTTAATATTATTGGAAAGAGAATATTGCGACGATTAAAATAAGCTAATATATACGTAAATAGGACCGTAATTGATAAAGATATAAAAGAAAGAAGTGTGAATGGGAATGGTGGGGTGCGGGGTAAAATTCAAAAACACGAGAACTAAGCGACTAGTACTGTACCCATCATTCTTACCATATTCATCGAAGATTGAGAAGGAGCGGTCCCCAACGCAAGCTCTGCAGTCGCCATGATTTCCTAACTTATTGTGCCGCCCCAACTCTTCTCTCTCCTCTTCGACGACGCATTTCCACTTTCATGTCTTTTCCGACTGCTCCAACTTTCATTAACTTGCACCTTGCATAAGTATCTCGGGTCTGCACCCCAATCCGTCTTCTGCTAGCCGATCGCCTTCTCACAATCGACAAGCATATCTTCCGTAGAGCCTCAACGACTCATGCTTTCCGATATAAATTAGTTTTCCCCACGTCCCATTGCACCGCTGAGCAGTGCTAACTTCTCACGCTTCCTGAAATATACAACCTGGCAGCGCCAAGTTTTCTTGAGTGTTCCATAAGAAATCCAGGACTCAATCCCATCCCCAGAACGAGTGTTCTCAATGATACTCCCTCGTATCTTCAACTTTTCAGTTGAAAACCATGTCTCAAAAACGTGTCCTCTGTTAACATTTCGTCAGGTCACTAGTTCAGGCTCTCCTTGGCACTTGCTTTGGGATAGTGAAACCCTGAGAAGATTTGTCTAACCTGACGCGGACGGTATTCCGCCAGCCTCATGTCCTCACAATTGGGCATCAGGTTCGTGAGACTCTCCGACTCGTTCCATTGGCCTGTCAGAGAGAAGACGGGACGCCGGATCTGACAGCCAATGAAGGAGCTTTGATAATGGTCACATGATGCTGTCCCAAATTGGGTCACCGATCGAAATTTCGCTAGGCTCAGAAGGCGTTCGGCTTTGAGTTTCAAGACTTTCCACAAATGGACCTTGAAAATTTTTCTCATTTCTCTTAATAATTTGTTGTTCTTTAATGCCAGCTTAGTTCTGAGCATCAACGAGCAAATGCATGTCTCTTTAACATGGCTTGCACTGGCATCAAAAACCTCCCGACTTCGACGAAAAGGGGCAGATCACGATCCCTATCATCTTGTGAGCAAATCACGCGAGTCGACGACGATCTATTGGTTCGAAAGCGCCCTCCGCTTTCCGGCCATGATCTAGATAAGCTCAATTGCCATATTTATCTTCAAGACTTTGGATCTCAACTTCAAAAGGCTGCCAGTGCGATATTTCCGGGCCATCAAATCTCAAGGTATACTGAAGTCCACGTGATCATCTTGTCCTGGGAAGACGAGGACCCCAAACTACCTGTTTCGTTAGAGATAAAGGCCTTAGCAGACGTCTTCTCAGATCTATACGGATTTGAAGTTGAGCAATGGCTTATTCCCTCGGAAAATTCACACAATAAGTTGCAGAGCAAGGTCCTCAAATTTCTCGGTGATGATGACGTCGGCCACCTGAAGATCGTATACTACGCTGGACATGGGAAATTGACGAATCATGGAACTCCAGCTTGGACAAGGTATGGACCAAGGCCAATCTTTTAGATTGCATTTCTAATCATGCCCTTGAAGTTGGCAGAACAGCCGGAATGACCGCTGTCCTACGGTAAAATGGTCTGGCATTCAGAACACGCTAGAAGAGTCTCGCTCGGATGTCTTGATTCTCTTAGATTGCTGTGCATCTGGAGTCTGTACAACTGACGAAGGGAACGGTGTCACAGAACTCATTGCTGCCTGTGCATACAACGGCATTGCTAACGGGGTTGGGCCGTTCTCATTTACACACGCGTTGATCAGCAGGATGCGAAAGCTCGCTCCGTTACCATACTTCACCATCGGATTTCTATACAATGCCCTGTTCACAGAAATTCAAAGCTGGAGGATTGAAGACTCTCGGCACAAAAAACCTCCTATACATTTGGTCTTGAGCCAGAACAACGAGAGACCGAGGAGCATTCGCCTATCATCCCGTTTGCGTATGCTAAAAAGGAATCAAGAAGGAATTGATTCAAATTTGCAGAATTCCTTGGATGCACCTCTGAGTTCTCATCCCATATTCGAGACCACGTTAAACTCTCCGTCTGCCTCTATGTCAAACCACCAAACGTCTTCATCAAACGATTCCACTACCTCCAGCCAGACCAGTGGCAATAGACGAGAATCAGGATTATGGCTTTCTCCTTCACCAACGAGTTCAATAGAACTCCCCGAATACCCAAGGCTACTATTTAGCATCCGAATCCAAGAGGATGTCAAATTTGGCGATCTTTCGATCGAGATGTTTACTGACTGGCTGAGAGATGTGCCCGTCTCTTCTAGTTTGGTTAGAGTCGAGGCGGGATTCGCAAGTGATTCGACCCTTTTGATGGTATCAATGCCAGCCGCAATGATTGCCTACATCCCTTCAAATTCTGCAATCATCATGCTTGGGGTAATTCGCTCCCAGAATCTCTTGACACCCCCCAAACAAGCTGGAACACAATCGACTGGAGGTATCGAGACGACGACGACAAATGCATCCCACACCCCTTCACCACTTCCCGAAAGACCAAGACGCCTTGAGGACCGGCATTCAGTTTCAACCATCGGAACAACAAGCTCCCAATCCGCGTATACCCATTCTGATGAAATTTTTTCGGATGGCAGGGCATCGGTGATGACAAGCGTGTCTTCCATCACTACTGGTAGTCGGTTTGCCTTTGTGCCACCTGTTCCGCAACCTCTAAAGCATGATCCCGTAGAAGGCCTTTGGAATGGGATTTTGAGGGTCATACCTTGCAAAATCGATCATAGCAACCAACTCTGGGACGATACCTTCACAATATTTCCAACTTGTACAATATGTGGCTTCTCCAGGTGGCATAGCTTGATGCTCAATGCCCAAAGCATTGAATTGGAAACATTCATGGCTGCAATGGAAGGTTTCAGGATTGGTGGGAGCCCTCTTGACTACGCTGGAAACTCCTCGGCCCACTATCTGATGTCGGCTGGATTCAATCTGGACTATCTGAGACGGCTGCATTGGATGGAAGCTGGGAGGCAAGCAATATACGAGCAGAACGTCTTCGGACAAAACCCGCTGCATGTCGTCAATCCAAACGCACGGGGGCATGAATTGGTCAGACTCTTGGAATGGTTCAAGACGGTCCCGGCGGTCAAATTGCCCCCTGGGCTTCTCCTTACTCAGCGCGACATTTATGGCCATACGCCTCTTCATGCACTCCTTTGCCGCCCACTCGAGACAGAGCTTTACACGAAGATTTTGGATGTATTTCCGTTGATCGAGCATCAACTTCGTGCACCCGACGTCTCTGGCAAGACCGTTCTCGCTTTAATGAACGAAGCTGCATTTCAGGCACAATCAATGTCTGGAAACAATTTCAAAAAACTACAAAACGGCGCTTCAGTTGTCGAAGCATTCCTTGAAAGAACTGGTGGCACCGGCACAGAGCATGAGTATAGCTTTCACGAAATCGCACGTGGGGCAAGGGGAACCTCTTGGGCAATGTTTTATGAGTGCCGAATATGTAGCCAGGTCAACACACATTCAAGTTCCTATCTCGACCAGATGATATGTGCATGTGCGCATGGGAGAGACCGCGGTGCTCCAGACTCCGCTGGTTTGACACCAGCACACGCCCTGATTACTTGCAAGCGAGCCACGCCTGACGGTACCCACGAGAGCCCTACACAGACCGCAGAACTTTTCCGACTCCTGGTACCACGCGATGACACTACTCTTCGCGAAGCCCTCCATGTCTTAGACCCACAGGGAAACAGTTTGATGCACAACGTGGCCGTTCGCGGCTTCCATGAGATCCTCGAGTACATGATCTCCCTGGAAGAGCCGAAAAGAAGACGTGCCATGGTCAACGCTTGTGTGAATCATCAGAACAGAGAGATCAGCGTTCTTGCTGCGGTTGAAGAAGAGCTTCAGAAGATGTCGGAGCGCAGTAGGATAGCGAATCCTTTTCAAAAGAAGGACCCACTTCGTGAACGGTTCCTCAATGAGATGCGGGGCCAGCTTCTTAAAGTTAAGCAGATTCTACTGAGTGCCGGGGCGGAGATGAATCCCAGTCCTACGACTCGCTGGCGGATTACTTGAGTGAGAGATGAAGGATATTCTTTGGTGTAAGGAACACACGTCTGCCACTTGGTCTTGCTGAATAGCCAATCAGAGGGATTAAATTCTGTCCACAACTTCGTGGCTATTGATCAACTTTCGCTACAAGCTCCACTTGAAAAGCAAGGAGTGCCGGACAAGGACTGAGGCCACGCATTTGGAGAAAAGAAGGGGTGATTACGTCATTATCCTATTGCATTTACACCTTTCCTTTAATATACTTGACAAGAAAGTTAGTCATCCTCTCGAATTCGAGCTTTCCTCGTCTAGCTTCCCGAGCAGACTCGCTAGCGTTAAAGGAGGCGCCCTGTTGGTGCACTGTGTGCATCCTATTTAACAACATCCGCTTTCCCATTATCCAATCGTGGCCCAGTTTGTATTGGCACCGTGTTCTGCACCTAATCAAATAGTTAATGTCCCCCGCTTTTGTCTAGCCCTGCCGCACAGCCAAAGCACAAAGAATCCTTCTAGGCGAAAAGGTACGTTTATTTACTAGGTACTATGAGAAAATAGTAATGCATCTGCATTAGACGCATAACGGAATTATTTCCTTCTGGCATCGACCCTCCGGGTAGGATCTAGAGCCTTGTAGATGTGAAGTGGCGCTTCAATTTTGGCGCAATACTACCATATTCGTTCCCTGTAATCATTCGCTCTTCCTTATTCAGCTCGCGAACAAGATCTTAGAATGTATTGGTCTACTCGAGAAACTTCAGACCCTTTACTTGAAATAACGGGCTATAAAAGAACTCAATATCTACTTGGAGCAATATTTTGAAACACTTTACCAATTATCTTCAAATCCAAAGATTTTACTACAGCCCCACAATGCAGTTCCACAAGATCTCCCAACTATCCATCATCGCTTTGGTCTTGGCTTCACCAGCCCTCTCATGTATTAGTGTTTACGCCGAATGGGACGGGAATAAACACCAAGCCTCCTACACCTTCTTGGTTACAGCTATGTTCATGCTAACATGCTGTTCAGCTACTAACTCGTTCCACGCTACTTTGAACGACAATAGACGCAACATTTGGTGGGTTGGCCCCCTGAGAATTGGCTCCGGCATCCAGGGAATCATTTTCGCATGCTCGGGTGGTAGGGGGTCAAATAGCGCGACCTTGTGGCTTAATAGTGGAGAGGTGGAGTACGAACACGGAGGCTTTGATAGCTGATTTTGCACCAACACTCAGGAGCTAAATTTCTGGTCCATTCGACGACTGGTACAAGGTGTCGACTGCAAGGGTATAGCGTTGAGGCTCATGAAGCTTGGGCATGACCAGGCACGCAATTTATATATAGTGCTAGCTAATAGTCTCAAAAATCGATATAATAGTGCCAGGCATTTGTGGCAATCTAGTAGAGAGTGTGCTTCCATCATGGTCTAAGTTTGGTTACCCCGAGTTCGAGTACTAATAACCGTATTGGGCAACATGTGAGAATATGATGAGACACAAAGAGCTATGATATGCTACCCGTGGGATTCCCTTGAGAAATCATTTTGAATAAGTAAAGCCCTACCTTGCGGTCCTGGCTACCAGTACTTTCGGATTTGGAAACTGGTGCATCCACACCCTTGGGTTATACAACCACTATGACTGACGAGCTGGGAGATCTTGGTGCATCTTGTATTCCGCAAAATGTTGAAATAAGGAGGATATAGGAACTTAAATTCAAGATTTTGAAGGATTCTGAAAAAAGCTCATCCGTTTCCGCGTTCCTGTCTTTCCTTCTGGCAACTCGAAAAGCTAGTAAAATCAGCTGGAACGCCTTAACTTCACCACACCTACAAATCTCACCACGTCATAGGTGTGAGGCTCCACGTTCTTACCGAGTTCTCCACGTTTAGTGAAAAGGGAGGCTAACTTGCTAAAGCACGTGATTTATATCCGACACCACAGTGTTCCAGAATTCTCGAAGGGGCACACTTTCTCCTAGGTATAAAATATATGATATGAACCGTATCTACAAGGTGAAAGACGCAGATATACTCAGAACTTCCGTGTTTCAAGTCACAGTTCGTGGCCATTCTTTCCGCTCATGATTCGCCTGTTAGACGATATCACGACCCCTGTAGCTGGTGTTCTCGTGGAAAATAGCTGTATTCGGGTGTGTATGTACGTCTAAAGAGAGAAGAAGGAGCGGGGAGCTCGAGAGACTAAGATACAGGGTGCCGCGTTAAGAGGTCACGTGACGGCACAACAGACGACCCCCTCAACGCAGCTTGCTCGTAACATCATCAGCCTCTGCTTCAGTCTCTTATCTCACTTAAAATGAGACAAGAAATGCTATCAAACAGGCAACTCTAAACCTCCATTCCAGTCCAACTTCTACAAAGATTAGAGCATAACTTGCCTGCTCGACCAAGAAAGGCCATCACCACTTCCCAACGGCACCTGGCTTAGCTTCTCAATCCACAAGGCCTGAGAGCCCACAAAGTCTTGAACAAGGCAAAGTCTGATCGTGCTAGCCGACAAAACAACGAAAGCCTCAACTCCGGCCATGGCCTCTACCAAAGCCCTCGATCTCAGCAGTAAAACGATCCAGCGACTTCTACCAGTATCAACCCCTCGACCCCAAGAACAATGAGATCCGGCTGCTTAAGATCATCCGGCGCAGCAAGCTGTCCGATACGGTGATCCAGTTGAATGCAGCCTCGTTATCACATCATTGAACGCTCCCCCTACCTACCAAGCACTATCATACGCTTGGGGCACGCAATCGGCTGTCGAAGAAATCTCTTTGGAGGGAAAACGCTTCAAGGTCACGCCGAATCTGGAGGATGCACTACTACAATTGAGAAATGATAAGGCAGACCTTTTCTCGATAGATGCCATCTGCATCTATGTGTATCGACCCTAAAGGAAATACTACAGGAGCTTGAGGTTGCGACCTCTGTTTTTAAAGGGATTTTATTTTATATGTTTGAACTAATTAGAAAAAGAAATATATTTATGTAATGTTGAAGATAAAGATATTATATTTAAGATAGCCAAAATTCCTCTTGTAGGTGGATAAATAAGATATTGCAGTAAATGTGGTGGTTTTAATGTATGAATGAGATAAGGAGAGCTTAAGGCGCGAGACGAGGTTTAAGTATAGTGAATGTGAGTCACGTGGAATATGCACGTGACATAACTAAAGACTAAGGAAGATTTGATGCCAATGTTCAACAAATGACAAGGTCCCTGTATCCCCGGTCAAAACTTAAGCTACTCTGCCTTTCAAACATTTCCCCGAACATCAAACCAGAAACATAAGCTTCCCTCAAAATAGTATAGACCCCGTCGTTATCGCATTCCCTGACTACAAAAGGTACATCTGCTCCTTGCAAAACAACTATCAAATCACCTTTCCGTGTGTCTAGCGGCCCAAAACCCAGCCTACCTTCGCGAGTTATGAAGAATCTCGCCTTGTACAAATTCGAAAGCATGCTCGAAGTCAATGGATGCAAGTAAGTATCTTTTCGTGCCCCACTGTCTGAAATCTCATGCTCAAAATCGTCAGGAACTGAAACTTTGCCGCAGAACACTGAGTACAAGTGCCCGTAGGAATCTGGAGCTGGGAACTCGTAGTTCAAGGTTCTGTCTGCCACGAGGCATCGCCAGAATGCTTCTGATAGACTTTCTTCCTCCTTCATTGTCGGAACCTCAGACAGAGTCTTACGTGCGAGCTTCTCAAAATTAGAAACACTGATACCAGGATTTTCGGCGTCGTATTCCTCTTGGCTGGTTTCTTGTACTTCGTCTAAGATCCATCCGCGCGCCTTGATCTTAGAATCGTTCAAGAAGTCCACAACTGGTTTGCTATCGGCTGATGCTCCTTTACCAGGAGTTTCTCCTACATATGTTCTGCTAGCACTAGACAGGTTGAAATCTGGTACCCAGGAAGGTAGGCCAGGAAGCTCGCTTGGTTTGAAATACATAAGTACGTTCAGGCTCTCTTCAGATCGAATGAGGTGTTTCGCTACTGCCGTATAAATTTCGACTGCTGATTTCGTGTAATCCGGACGAATCACACTTTGATCCTTCTCAGAACTTAACCCCAAAAGTGCAAACACTTTGTCTCTCGCATCTGTCGTTTGACATCCATTTGTAGCTCTCAATAACAGGAATAGGTTCCTCCAAGACGTTTTTAGCCGGCCTTGAGTTCCAGCTCGAATAATTCTCAGCCTTGAAATCGGGTTTTCAATACCTTCGACAACCTTGGCGCCGATTTCTTCTAGCTCCCCAAGAATTTGATCCAATTCTTCGAATTTCGACCATGGAACCCACTGGTTTCCACATCCTACAAAGGGATCTGATTTCCCCACTGTAACTTCCTGAATAATCCAGACGCGATTCCACCAAGGTCTTTGCAATAAAGCAAAAAGCGCGTTCCATTCCGCTCGCCTTGGAAAAGCACTGTTGTGTTGGAGCTTTTTCAAGTCGACGCCACCTATATTTGCAATCAGACTCATGGCTGCGCCACTGTTCTGGTCCTCCTCTCCGAGCCATACAAGTACTCTTCTAGCAGAGTTATAAACCAATCTCATCTGTCCAACTTGCTCTTCGCGCTCCTTCAAGTCTTCCTGGTTGATACACAAGGCATCGATCCACAAAGTGCGCGGCTCGGTGGGATGGCAAAGATGTGACAAAGCAATATGCAGCGCTGGGTTCACCGGCATGGAGCTTGAATCTAGTGTTATGTAATGCCGAGGTGATGGGTTGCCCCAGGTATACGACAAAGCTTCATAGTCCAGATTGTTTACAAGGCTGTGTATTCGAAGATGGCACTGTATAAAATCCGAGTGAGTGCCAGGATCGAGAACAAGAATACGAATCTCGTGTCTCTTGATGCTTAGAGTTGAGTATCTGTACGACATAGTAGAATTGGGATGAGGACTGGAAAGAAGACAAAATAGAGAACGCGAATTTCGGCCTTCGCGTGGAATCACGTGTTGCGTGCCACGTGGTTCCTACTGTTTCGCCCCCGTTCGTCAAGACGAGCGATTGGTCAACTGTTTAAGCAAAGTCCGATTCATAAATACGAAGTCGAATACGAGCGAATTTTTAAAATATTAAAATGTTTTTGAAACGATAAATTATTAAAATTCTATTAATGAGATTTACTAGAAATAGTTTAATTAATTATATTAGTTAAGTAATATTAGCTAAAATCTTTTATTATAACTCTTTTTTTTTAATAAAAAAAAAAGAAAATTAAAAAAAGATTATATAAAATTATTTATCTTTAATAGAATTTAATCTAAGAAAAATTTATTTAAGTTTCTTTTAAGTATTAATCTTTTTTATCTAATTAAATTTTGGCTTTAATTCTTTATTAGAAAGTTATATATTATTTCATAATTAGGCTTTTTTATTAATGAATTGGGCTCCTTGCTTAGATCTGATTAACTAATTGCTCTTATTAATAAACAGGAGGGAATACCTGGAGTGGAAAATCGCTATGTGTGAGGCACTTAATAGCAGGGTAATGCACAAGTAGTTAAGGTAAGTACGCTATAAAGTGACGCTTGCAAGTGTAACTGATTTCCAAGAGTTAATTCTAATAAAAGACTAATTAATGCCCCTTTCCAAAGCTAGAAGCGCCTCCCTATATATTCCCTAGTGCTTAGTCAAGCATACGAAGCCCTTTACTTAATTAGGAAATGTGATCCCACGCGATTCATGCGATTCCAATGCAAGCTTTACCCAAAAGAGGAAATCAGATCCATGATATCTGACACCCGTTCATGCGCCGTCACGTGTGCCCATCACACTGTGGAAGCTAATATACAATGGCTATATAGCTAGGCCGGGCTTATAACTAATAATTGCATAAACAAGGCAATATTTGGCGTGTAATTAGGCTTTAAAATATGGGGGTAAAGTTGATATACATTGAGATATCTAAAGTACAAGAAGTGCGGTTTAGCGGAGGGTTTATATGCTTCTGCAGCTAAGCTAATCCACAAAGGGGAGAATCACGTGTATGGCAACTAATAATATGGCGGTTCTTTCATCAAAATGCATACATTTTGATCCCTTCTTTCACCACAGAGGCTCGGTTAGTTTCGCACATTCATCGCAAACACTTCACAAGTTCAATGTTTACACCCATCTGAGAACTAAAAGCCATGACGAATCTTTGATATCGTTCATTCAAATATTCAGCTTGTACACCAATGCTTTAGCTCAGAAGAGTTCAAGTTCTCAATCTATAAACGAAATGGATTAAAACGCAGAATCAGATCTGGAAAACACGTAGATCGGTTTTCTCCATCTTATATCATCTATCGTCACATTATTGCGCATGTTTCTTGTTGTGCCACCGGGCTTCTCCAATCAAGGAAGTAGATCGAAATCATGATCATGCTGACCCTGGAGATAATCATAATCATCTTTTACCCACTCAACACAAGGCACCAAATTTCCCCACTCAACCTTCCCCTTTAGACTCTCTGGTAGCAAAATAGTCTGCTTCGTTCTATACCAAGCTGGAAAGTGTATCGTAACAAGCATAACCCTCACATCATCCGTGCAATTCGGCATCCCCGCATGCCAGAGCCTCAAATCTCTCACAATAAGAGATCCCTTCGGGAGAGTAGGCTGCACCGGGGGACTCAATTTCCTTCTTCTCTCGAGGATCTTGCTCGGGATAACTGATCCGCTCTTCTCGACCTCTGCTTGCCAGCTCGTGTCCAGATGGCTCCCGAGCCACATCTCAGTCGATCCGTGCTCGGGGCCTACGTCAATCAGGTTGATGTTGATACAGAAACCGAACGGCATTTTGGGGAAATCGAAATGCACATCCACATGTACGGGCTGCCGTTTCTCTGCTTTGAACGCTGTGTTCGCGCTCTGGAAGCGCAGTCGAGGGTGTGGTCCGAGCATGCATTCCGTGATGGCTGTTGCGAATGGGTTGGCGATTATGTCGGGGAAGATATAGTCAGGGTCTACGATGGCGTCTTGTTGGATATTCCCTGTTCCGAGACCGAAGTTATGGTGTGTTGTTGAGCGGTTGTAGAGAGTTTGTGCTTCGGGAACCATCCGGGAATTAAGAGTGTCGAGGTGGGCGGTTGAGATTGCGTTATTGAGAACGAGGACGCCATCTCGATGGAGAGCTTCGAGAGCTTCTTGCAGGTGATGGGAGGTGAGTTGTTTGGTTTCGAGCTCCGAGAGTGAGAGTGTGATGGAAGTGATGGCAGGAGTGGGGGAGCTCCTCGTGGCTGCCGGCATAGTGGGGTTCAGTGAGGGGTATATATGCCTGGCCTGCAGTTCAAAAGCTTAAAGTTCCCGGTGGAGAAATATATATGTATATATATATTTGGAGGGATAAGAATGTTTTCTCATCAAGTGGAACTTTAAAACACCAAGGAGGTGTTATTGATTGCCCCTTTGACTAATAGGAGGAGGTTGACCGGTGAAAAAGTCGGCAGCTGGCAAAGCTTATTTGAGAACGCCGGACAGTTCTCCGTATCTTACCCTCGTACTGCAAGTTTCATTTTTTAATCGGCCCTCTTTCAAGGATCGATAGCATCAGTGCTGACTTCGCCTTCCACATTTCGATCTCGGTTTGCAAATTTTTTGGTTTAACGTGAATGAGAGATTCCTTGGGGTGGTTCCCCGTTCCGGTATTTCCGGGATTGTCATGAATTACGGACAACTTCGCCGGCTTCGCAAAACAAGACTTCTCGTGCTATCTTCACAGCCAACACGGATTGCAGACTTCAATATAAATGGATATTGGCTTTACCATATGATAACTGCGCCAACGACTTCAAACGATTGGGGGTAAATAGTGTTGCTCCGTAAATCACTCTATAAAACGGAGTCGGATTCGGTTTCAGATTCCCGAACACCAAATTGATGATGAAAGCTGCTAGTTATCACTTACAAAGTTAGATCTGAAGGATGGCACACATGAAGTGTAGGAGGCAAGACGCCTAAAACTAAGAAAGCACGCATTACCGCTAAAGAGATTCCAGCTTATTTGACGTCTAGCTTCACCTTGTTCGTATGAATTCCTCATCAAACCTGCTCTTATTAGTCCTGTTAACTAACTTCTAACATGTTTTACTTGGTGTTGAAAAAAGGGTAGAAGAAGTCGAAGTTTACCCCGCTACCCCGCCCTAGCACCTCTACTTAGAGAAAGATCAGGGCCTAGCCCAGGTAACTACACATCGTCTATTATTACCAAAAACGAACGAGTTCTCCGTCAGAACTATACATCCTCCACTTAATTCGTGCAAAGCCCCGAGGGTTCGGGTCGGCTCCATCTTCTCACCCTTCGACATGATTGGTTAAAAATAGCGACATGTGGAGCTAAGCCATTCCTGGTTACTGCTCGCTGGCCTTTCTCGGTATTACGCAGCCAATAGGAATGGATACTTCTCAAATAGGAGTATGCTCGTTTGAAGAATCTTGTGAGGGAGGCTTTTGAGACATTTCGTTACACAAGATCAGATGCCAAGTGATGTCTCCGGGCAAAATCCACGCCAAGGCAGTTCGTCTTATATATGGCTCTCGTCCAGTTCATTTGGTTCCGGATGTTGAGGCTGTGATCGACCGAGCGGTGATGTCACTCTGTTTTTAACTGTTATCATTCTTCGAAACTGAATTGTTGTTGTTGTTGTCTCGTAACTTTTGCTTTACAATTAGACTTCAACTATTCACTAGGTGAGCGAAGAAGTCTTTCGCTCTTTACTTCTGCCCAGAGAATCCTTCCTCCAGCATCACACGCACTGTCCAGCCAAAGAAAACCTTCCATTATCTCAGTCACCTGCTCCCACGTACCGATCTGCAATATCTTGACTACCATCGCAATACTCTTCACAAACCATTCCCTCTCCTCCGTATCCGAAGCTGCGATTCCTCCGAGGACTAGAATCCATAGCAATGTTGTGGGACAATGTCGCCAACAAGTATCGAGCTTCGAGGCTTCGAGCAGTGGTTGCAGGATCGCGGCCAGTTTGTGGAAATGTCCCGACATCGCCGGTAGAGGAAAAGTTACAGCAGCGCTGTATATGAATGCGGCGTGGCGAATTGCCTCGTACAGACACACGCTTGTTACTTCATCTTCGAGTAGTTCGTCGCCGGAGGGTAGAGACATGAGCTCGTGTTGGGCTGAGTTTCGTCTATCGATGAGAGGGGTGAAGTTTTTTATGGGCTTCATTCCTCGACAATGGCAGTCAATTATTATGGTCAAGTCGGCCATGGACTGGAGAACATTGGCCATTTGTTGGCTAATTCCGAAGTATTCGAGTTCTGCGAAGCTCTGTCCCTGTATGGTAAGGGGAAACCTGACGGTCTCGTCGATTTCGAAGGGGCCGAACTTCAAGGTCCGGTCGAGGAGCGGCCAATGCGGCTTGGAAAGACGCTGTGTTGCTCCGAGGATATCAGAACTGGGAGAAGGACGCAGTTAGCAAGTCTGCTGGGAGCTTGGAGCTGGGAATGGAGACCAAGAGTCAAAGCTACTTACAGACTCACCACCTCCGCCAAACCTTCCAACTCGATTTTCTCCAGCCCGCCTAGTTGATCTATAATTGTTCGCATAGCCAGCACATGGGCCTCAATATGCGAAATACACCCATAAATATCAAGCCACTGGAGACTTGTAAGTGGCGAGTTGAACGGCGACTGGATCTTCTTCTCCTTGATAGTATTCGCAATCGTCTCAATCTCGTTCGCAGAAAGAGCAAGAATCGCCAATAATACATCATCGAAGCAAATCTTCCCAGGCTGCTTCAGTTCCTCTTGCAGCAGGCGCATTGTTCGGATTTTGTGGTAGAGGCGGACCGGGTTGTCGACTTTCACTTGCGGGCCGCGGAGGACGTCTAGATGCACTTGTGCTCCGAAGAGCATGGAGTGCATGGCTACGGGTTTAGAGTTGCTGGCTACGAACCACGCTGCGGGGAGATTGGGAAGCCCCTCAGAGGCTCCGTGGGGTCGGAAAGCTGGCCATAGGACCGTCACAGCTGCGGGAGGTCGTAGTCAGTGGTTGCCCATTGTGAGGCCGACATTCTGAGTGTATATCGAGCGAAAAGACACTTACAATGATCTATTAGCTCGTGCATATGGCAATTGTCATCTGCATAGGCCTTCCGAAAGGGGTCGACTCGTCCGGCTCCTAGTGGGGTCAATGGACTGCCCAAGTCGGATGGATTCAGTGATTTGTTGCGACTGCTGCGTCGGGGCTCAGTACATCCAGATTCATTCTTGCTATCGCTCTCTGTCAAGCTATTTGACTGTGACCTGCTTGAGGCCCGGGAAGCATTCGAGGATGGTTCATCGGACTCGGGATCCCCGGATTCAGGATCCGAACTCGATGTCGCTGCGAGTCCGTTGTTCTTTCCTTTTGGCTTTAACTTTTCTGATCTCTGCTGCTGGCGAAAGTTCTTCATCACAGTTTGTCGAATGATCTTCTGATTCCTCTTCTTCTCGGCCTTGGAAGGGACGTTCACGCTCACAGTCGTAACGAACTGCAATTGGAATTGGCCTGCGGCATTCGCGTGCTCGTCCTTGCTTGGGCTCGCGGTGGCAAGTGCCTCGTAGTTCGCCATCTTGGTGATCGCATCTCTCGAGCAATTCCTATTACCTAGAGTTGGCTCGAAGAACAATATTTCTGCCAAAATCTCATGTTCGTGGACCGTGTTGAACATGCGGTTCAGGTCGGTGTGTGGCATTGAAGCCTGATTGGTCAACATGCAGTCCATAACCATGGGGTAAGACATGGCGTTGCACAGCCCGATCGTCTCACTTCCAACTCCATGTGCGATAAAGTCGGCCGCCCGTCCTTCTTCAAGTGGCATTATTCTAGAAGTGAAAGAGAAGGTCCTGGATCTTAAGAGGGATGCATCATGCCTTTTGAATGGATGAAGGCTTCCGGAGCCGGGCTGTGTCGGAGCACCTTCAGCCTGGCAGGGTTTCAGTGACAAATGTTCCGAATCCCGGCCCCTCGAAGGATACTTACATCCGCGAGATCTATTTTGTCAAACAAACAAACGTGCCAGTCAGTACATCCCCCTGATTGGGTTTACCAATCCGCTCCCTGCGAGAAAGGCTGCTTAGTATTTCAACGTCAGCTGCTTCCGAGATGCGGAAATCATCCCTTTATAGTATTTATTGCTGACGTCCCGCAGTTCTTTCAACATGGCCTCCCATTCCCATGCCTGCGGCGTGACCTCCGCAGGGTCACATGGAGTTGTGAATTGCATTGAAACTCTCTCTGATCGAGCAGTCGAGAAACCACTGAGCAAGTGAGGCACGGAGAAGTGGAGCTACTGAACTACAGTCAAAATCAACTCTAAATTTACTACGTCTCCAACGAAAGCCAAGCACTCCTCCACTTAGAAGCAAAAGATTGAGAACAAAAAAACGATCCGATTCTACCCCCTTTCACGCTTTCTTCCATCAAATTACCGGATTCAACCTTGGTAGCGATGTGGTTACCTGCAAGTTGGGTAGTATCTGACAAAGCAGCAATGCTGACAGCGTCACAGATCTCGTGATGCCATCTTCGACGACACTCCCAATGGCACGTTTACAACCGTCTAAATCCGCGCGCGAAAATTCCAGAAGTACCCTATTATCAATCAATGACAAGGGAAAGGTGGTCTTTATCTTCATTTGCCTCTGCTGAGGTCTGCAGCTTGGTGAGGCGGCGCTGGCGCAATGCCCCCGGTTGGCCATCTTGGCTGGCACATGACATGAGGATATCTCCCATCTCCAATGAGTTTGAAATCGCACAAATGATCTGAGAGTCAGTGTAGCGGACAAGAAGGCCGAGCCCGAGAAAGTCAGGGGCTGCACTTGGCGATCTTCTTACTGCTGCAACTTTCAATGAGGTTGCTGAGAGATGAGTTTTGGCAGAGAAGTACTCTTGCAATAGTCTTTGTTTCTCTTGCATTTTGAGTCTATGAGACTGCACCTGAGAAATTGGGAAGCTACTCGAATGGGCGATCACCTGGCGAGATGGTATTGAAGAGGAACCTGGAGAACCCTCGATTATCCTCTTCTGGATCATTTCATGCCTACAGAGGGCCCAAGTCGGGCTTTTCAGGGAGGTGAGGGGTGGGGGACACACAATGGCCGTCTCACTTTATTTTGATTTTCTAAAGTCCTGGGCAATGCCTGACAATGGTTCATCTCCAGTGAGTTGGGTTGATGCAGGTCACGTGAAATGGCCGCTCAGAAGCATGGTACAGAACAGTACGACCTGAATACCAGCCCGAAAGCTACTTAACTAGCAATCCTAGTACTGAAATATAATAGTCTATCCAACTCTAATTTCACGTCATGCCTAGGAAATTTGCGGGAGGCCAATTAGTTGCCCCGCGTCTTTCACAATCCTCTCAGTCCGCATCACAACACCCAATAACCACAACCTTTTCATCAGTCAACCCCATAAGAAAATTTCTCAACCACTCATCATTGAAAAATACTTTACCTTCTGGTGCTAATGATAACACCTCTTTCAGAGAGATAATCCCACTTGGCATACTGAATCATCGGTCGGATCTTTCAAGTACACAGTAGTTCCAACTCCTTACGCTCACAATCTGACTTTCTGGTTTCCATCTACCACTTAATTTTTCCTAAACCCGATCATGGGAGATCCAAATATTAACTCAGCGGCCGCTGAGACGAGAAGAGATTCCGAATGTACAAGGCCATCTCGAACTACTAGTGCTCCTGCCGCTCCGGTCGAGTACGAACTTACCCAAGAGAACCTTAATACGCTCAACGTGGTTTCGAAGAGTTCGGGTCCGTGCATTCCCTCTCGGTCCGTTGCCCGTGTCGAGTATACAGGGCGCATTGGAGGGGTGCCCATGGAGAGGTCCTATGCGCGCATAGGCAACTCGGGGGGTCGGCCGTGCTCAGGACCAAGCATCGTGGCAAGCACCCAAGCGCCGCAGGAACCACCGACAGTACGAAGTCCAGCAGTATCTAATTCGGGAACAAGTCAGACGATTGGACAGAGTGGGAATAGTCAGAGACCCATAAGAGGAGAGGTGACGGTGCGAGGTGGAGAGTATCCGAGTCAAAGCAATGGACCAAATCCGGGCGAAGTACGATACAAAAATTACTACGTGCATCCTTCAAACCCCTCCAATAGTAATGGGACTTGAATTTTGGGGTCGTTTCAAACATTTGTGTGAGAGAGGAGAGATCGCTTGCCCTTTGCAATACGAAGATGGAAGGAAGGAGAAGGAGCGACTGAATCGAGCGCACCAACTTGGCGCGGGAAACACACTTGCTCTTCTCGACCTCCAACAATCACTACTATCTTGGGACACCCCCGAAACGTCCACAACGCCGACAACGAAAATAGAACAATCAACCGTCCGCTCTATCGATGGCACAGAGGTATATCCTCGGCAAACTACTGGAAGACGACATCGCTTACCCCTTCTAAGACTCGATTCGCCTCCAAGAACAGCGAACTTCTGGATCAAATCTAACAGAACGAAAAACGAAAAACACCGATTTGGAGATAAATGGTGCCTTCAAGAGAGATGCGAGGTGGCTTCAGGATATTGGGAACAGAGGGGTGACGCAAAGTGACTGGAGCGATGTTGAGGGGGAATACAGGCTGCTTCACGATACACAAACCCTTCAAGAGCAGGTAGATTGATGCAGTTACAGAGATATGGCTTTTCTGGGAGCTGAAGTAGATTGCTTTCCTGGAGGGGCACACACGGAGGGAAATATAACAGGGGCGTAAGCTGGAGAATGGATGTGCAACCAACCGTCCAAAAGCTTTGGAACAGTCAACATATCATTAGAAATAATATAGGATTTTCAGTGACATTATGTTGCTTCTTCTGGGAGGAATTGAGCCTTGAATGTTGTAGTTTCTGGCTTCCAAACGGAAGTCAAATCGAGAAGCCCACCCTACTAATCAACCACTCACTTAAAATAAAAACTACAACCAGTTTAGATTTTTTTTAAAAAAAAATAGTGTTAAAGGCATTTGGATTTTGTTTATACAATGCCTATATTCAGTGACTGAAAAGACAATCTTTCAAGCAAGTTTACATGCGCTATGCCGCATTAGAGCATGAAACTTGTTAGTGCGGCGCTGCCTGCAAGTGCAGACGCGGGCCGTCGCGCACTTTCCACCACCAAACACGAAGAACTGTATTTAGTGCATTGCCCTACGCGCTGATCTCTCGAAGTCTTTGGGCTGAATCTGTCGCAACGCTACCCGAAAAGCACGGCGATGGAGACGGAGGGCCTCCTTTCAGCCATGACACGTTGCTGAGCGCGCGGCACACACGTCTCATCACCATCTTCCCCTTGAGGCTCGACACAGATGAGATCCACATCGAGCTGAATCAAGCTTCAATTGATGCGCCGCCATAATATGAAGCACTCTCTTAAACATGGGGTGGCCAGACACCGACTAGACCCATCGTCTGCAATAACGGGCTCCTCCTCATAACCGAAACCGCCTTCTCTTCGATCCGGAGACTGCGGTGTCACTTCGAGCCTCGCAAGCTCTGGATCGACGCCATCTTCTGCATCAACCAGGCTCTGGCTACGGAGAAAACCACCCAGGTGGCCATGATGGCTGAGATCTACAGCAAAGCTCACCGTGTAAATCATCTGGCACGGAGAGGACAGGCACATTGCACGGAGCCTGAGATACTGCAAGCTTGTTAACTTTATAGACAATATTAATTTCGATGAAAGCAAAAGAACGCGAAGAGATTACTTGGACCGCCTCATGTTCAAGGCTACTCCTACTGGTTAGTTCCTAGCGTTCCAAGCGTAGCCTTGACCTATCTTTCAGCCCGCTGATTACGCATAGTTTACTTGAGATCTGTGCATCGTGGACTCACCCGGCTGTGTCATCATGACTACTAGCCTCGAATATGGACGCTGCAGGAGGTTGGAGTGAACACCTCTTGCTATGTCTGCACCTGGCCCGGCAGATTATTGCCCCTATCAGTTGTCTGGCGAGCTGTCACCCTTCCTCGACTCGTTTGACTGTAATACGCACCTGCCAGCACCGACAACCTAGAGGAAGCTGAGAATTACGGGGATGCGCTGAGAGCTCACTGGCGGGCGCAGCGTCCCCCTATACGGTATAGGAATATCAACCTCATTCTGGAGAACCCCCTCAAGGCCATGGCACATAAGAAGGCCACCGAGCCCCGCGATCACGTCTTTGCACTAAAAGATCTCTATTCCGAAATACTGGGTCGCATTCACATTGACTATTCGATGGATATCTCGGCACTATTCTGCAAAGCAGCTGCTGCACTCATCGATGGTTCTGCAACGCTTAGCGAGATCCTTCACTACGCAATTTGTGCGGTTGTTGCAAAGGAGCAGGATCTGCCGCCTTGGGTACCGGATTGGACAGTCCAGGAGAGTTTCTCGCCCTGGCCATGGTCCTCTGCCATGTGGGACGTACTGCCAGGACATGAAAATCACCAGTACCCTAGACCACCCAAGGCTCGTGTTTCCCCCGACCACCGTCGTCTCACCGTAGTGGCGGCACCTTTAGGTATCGTTGGCATTTTGAGCGAGCCCCTCCCGTCCATCACTGCTGATACCGCCGATACGTTGTGGTTGGAGTCTCTGGCTGAGCGATTTCGGTCCTGGCTAGTAGTATGCGAGTAAGATGGGATATTCTACGCCTGAAGAGCAAAATACCAGATGTGAGGTTTTTTGTGACGGCTGGGAACACCATGTGTGTTTGCAAGGACGCACAGCAAGGGGATGTAGTCGTCTTGCTGTCGATGCGCCACGGCCGTTCGTCTGCGTCGGTGCCTTGGTCTGAGGCGTGGATCTTGTGGCACGCTGGTACGTCTGGGTGCTAATAAGTGATTGGGCCTGTTATTGTGGCAGGCAATCTTCAGCCTGCTAACCATTATCGCTAGAGATTAGATGGTCTTCAACATCTGGGCGATCCTGAAACTGTCGACTTGGTTTGACAGAATCAAGAGTAGTGCTGAGGCATATGCTCGGTCGCTCATGTGGGTAGAGAAGCAACACTTCAAGAACGCTTCTAAAGCTCAACAGAAGGCTCTTCAGCGGGAATTTCGCTTTGCAAGGACAACCCGAACAAGCGTGTGCTGTTCAGCCCGATAGCTCGTAGTTCCTCGAAGAGTCAAACCAAGCTGCCAAATTCCACTGACATCCACCCAGGATACGGTCCTACGTCAAGCCAGATACTGTCGATGCTTTCGAAACCTACCCTAAGTTCCACTTGGAAGCAAAACGCGCCAAAACACCGGCCGGATACATCGCTACATTGTTGACCTCAGCGCATCCGTGTCAGCGAACACATATCTCGGACTCGAGACCCTGCATACCTACGACATCAATCTCTGTGCTGAATATTGCAACAATAAAACCCTCGGCACCGACTTCAACGTCGTCGCGGAGCGAGATCCTTGCCTCAACCTTTCAGACACTTGCACCCAGCCGGCCTCAAGTACAGAATACAAGTGCACACTCCGGGGCTCCGGTGTAGATACCGCATCCGCAACCAACTGCGGATGCTACCGGGGCCAAGCCCAAACCGCGATCGCCAGCTCCGACGGTTTCGAAAAGACAAACACAAACACAAACACTCCCGCCCAAAGACCAGGCGGGCAAGCAACCCAACAATGCGGTGGCGACGGCTCAAAAGGACACGATCACCCCAACACCTGCATTAGCATCAGCTTCTTCCCAGGTCCGTACAACCCAGCTTTCTGCGCTGCATACGCGGATGCAAAGAATACCATGAACCAAAAGCCGCCGTTCTGGGGGAAGTGGATTGTGATTTTGTTGTAGTACCAGGACCCCCCCCTTGGTGCGTCTTGTGCGTGCCGATGTCACGTGTTCAGGGGCTTAGCTCCTGGGCATGTTTCACCCCTATATAAGCTCCCAGGAGCACCTAATTTATGCTCCTCAGAGAGCGCATTTTTGCCTGCGTCAGATTTTAACTGGGAATTATAATCCGCTGAAGTGTGGTTTCTTCAATAACTATATGTTATAGAAGAATAGCAAGCCGTTAGGAACGTATTGTAGCTTGTACTCGTAGCAGACAGTGGTGGGGAGGCTACCTATGTTCCTGGTTGCAAGGGCCCAGATTTTTGGAGTATTGAGAGCTCGTGGAGTTTCTCGATTGAGGTTTGAGGGGCAGGCTAAGAGCTCTTGGCCTTGGTGGTAAAGGGTTTGGATGATGCTCGGAAGTGGTGTGAGAGGATGTAACGCTCTTTACTTCACTTCCACTCGAAGTGCAAGTGTCCTGAAGGGAGTTTCTTCGCTTCATAATAATCTAGCTGGAATCGTTATCAAATATCACATCGTATCGTCGCCGTCCCTCTCCTGTCTCTAGTCCCGGCTTTAATTATTCCCCAACCAATATCTCTTCTCTCCGAGCACGCATCCCCGCCAAGCTAACACCCGGTCCGAAAAGTATCCCAGTCCCCATCAAAACAGCGAACAGCTTCACCCAACTCGCATCCGTCCTCCCCTCCTTCTTCAAACCCCTAAAACATAACAAGATCCACCGTGCGCTCCCCGAGAACACGAAAGTCTCATCCCACTTCAAAAACAGCCCGGCCCCTTCAGCCTGACTCACTGCGTCCTTACCAAAACCCCAGATAATCCACAAAGAAACCCCGAGAGAGCGGAATAGGCGTGACGAAGCAGACGCACAGATAAGTGCTTGCGGAAAGAAGGAATAAAAACTCGTAAGTCCCGCGTAACCAGACCAATTCGCCTGCTACGTCTCGTACTCCATTCTCCTGTTCCGGGACATCCTTGAAGCATCTTGCGAAGAGCTCATGGGAGAGGACGATCCAGATCGGGAAGAATTGCTAGGCGAAATTCCAAGTTTGCTTTGTGTCGGGACAAGATGTTGGCCAGAGGACGCCGAGAGTAGGGATGGTGTAGCCGAAGGTTAGAGCGGGGAGGTGTGTTTTGGCGTATCGGGTTGGGACGAGGCGCGAGGAGCGGAGGGTGAACTTGCTGGGTGGGAGGGCGATGTATTGCAGGAAGAGGGAGAGAGGGACGATTTGACCGCCGCCTAGAAGTTGCATTGCTAGGTCAAATACGAATGGTCTATCCCGTGTTAGTTTTCTGGGGAAATGGTGTATATTGGGAGGAAGTGGACAAACATTGATGCTATTGTCATTAAGTTGTCTCGTCGACAGCTTTCTATTGCGAGAATGGCGTTCAATAAAGTTAAATCGGCCAGGAAAGTCGTAGTTTGCAATCTCTGCGGTCCATACAAACTATCGTATTTCCCTGGTATAAGTTGCTCTGCCCAATGTCTCATTTCTAATGAAAATTAGCACCTCCCTACTTCCCTCTATATCTATAATTCGCTATGTTCAAGACCAGCGATTGCCGGTGTGAAGAACAACACGAAGGCCTTCACGAAGCCGTCTAACCCCTCGATTCCAGTATATGTCATCTTTAACGGGACCCTCCGACTAGCTTCTTCAACCCATCCCGTTCTTGCGGCTTCCTCGGTGATTGGTAGCCATTCTGACACACTTGTATTTCAGCACCGTCCTCGCTGTCAAGAAAATGGTAAACAGTGGAAGCGCCCAGAGACCCCTGCGGAAGGAGCCTCTCTCTGCACGACTGAAGACTTGTCACTGGGCTGCATGGTTGACAAGTCACTCAAGAGTCCGAGCTGCAGCAGGGGTTCCGAAACGGCAGGGAATGAAAGGTGGAATACATAGGAAGGAGAAATAGCCCATCCACCTGCTTGCTCAAGCAGAGATCGGCCCTCCAACAGGCTCTGGGGATCTCTGCCCTTAGGTAACTATACCCGATATTCGGTTTGCGTACGTCGTAGTAACGCAGGGGGGGTTCCGGCTAATAAGTTAACGTCGAAGGTTTGAGACAGTCGTGCCTTCCTAATTCAGAAGGCTCGAGGATATAGTTGTTAGATCATTTCGTGCCTTCCCTATTAGAAAGTAGCTTGGAAATTATGTCTAGGGTCCTTGCCTGGCCTCCCTAGATCAAATAAAGTTCTTCTTAGAAGAAATAAAATAAAACTAAAATAAAATATAAGCTAGTTAGACTTATAAGAGTTATCTAAATTGTATACGTTACCCCTCACTTCCTGATCCTGAAGGGCGTTAGTCACGAGCCCAGTCTGTGCGCAAAGGGGCGTTTTCCAGGCAGGTTCAGGCATAGCGGAACTCGCTTATAGGCTTTCCAAAACCAAAGTCTACGAAATCACTTACACGTAATGAGATGATAATAGATAACCGGGACTCAACATTCAGGGCCTAAGGAGTACAACAACTAAAGTTTAATTTCATTAATTAATTTTTCAAAGAATTTGATGGTTTGGATTTTGAAATATAGCTAAGATGCCTGAACGCAGTATTAGCAGGGGCCTTTTTGGGTAGGGTAGGGGCGAAGTTACTACTATTACAGGCCTGGTGTGAGTAGCAGGGGCTAATTCGAACATGGGGCACAGGCACGGTACCAGAGACTCCGCTGTGCGAGCGCCTCTAGTTCAATTACCACATTGGACAGCGCATCGACTCCGAATCGAAGGAGATTCTTCAGCCTTAAACTTTCCCTGAAACACCTCCACCTCACGTAAGTGAACAGGTGACAATACAGTACCTTTGAACTCGCGATGAAACCAGCATTTCGACCCAATGAGGGGCGCCCCTTTCTTGGGGTTTGCCGAGAAAAAAAAAAATCGGCTTTTGCCCCCTTCCTGCAAATGGATCCTTCGTCCGATCCAGGAACGAGGAAAGAAAAAGTGCCCGGAGAATACCCGGCTACAATCACAGCGGAGTTGTCGTCGATCGATACAGCGGAAAAAGTTTCGGGTACCAGTTATCTCTCGGTATTTGCTGACGTTCAGGGCCCGGGATCAGGAGCCGTGCCCGAGTCCTGAGTGAGATGTTCTCCACCTTGAACCCCGGTAGACGTGAGTGGATGAGAGGCGTTGTAATACGACCTGCATTCGCTGCTGCTGATTGGGCGGTGCCGGAGTTCGAAGTCTGTTGGAATTCTTTTCAGCGTTCAAGGGTTGACGTGTCCCGGGAAATACCCGGATGGACCGGGAAGACGTCGAATGCTGTCGATCAACAGATATCCCTTCCCTCTAATGCGCTTTGCTCAAAATTTAAAACGATGCGAAGTTTCCACGATCATGCTTTGAGATGAGTTTTATCATCCAATGTGTTTCTTCGTATGCTCCTCCTTGCTTCTCACCCTAGGTGGGAAATTATCCGAAAGAGGCTGTCCACCTCAAATGAATTCGAAGAGAAAGCTGACTCGATATGATGAAATGGCACGTGAAAAGAACTCTTGAGCTGCCATAGAGACGAAATTACGTGACAAAAGACCACGCTTGAAAGGCCGACCATGATCTCAAACTCCTAAATTCCGTTCCAGACTATCATCTATCTACCTCCCCCTCATCACAATCAATGAACATAGTACATTTTCCCATCCCAACCCATCCCTTTCCCATTCATCCAGTCCCATATGCCTTGACCTGAGCCTCATAATATAGATTCAGCCGCCGTATCGCATCGCATCGCATTAAACAACCTCCCATCCAGAGCCCCCAATCTCTCCCGGGGAAATATTGAACCTAGGAGACCAAAAAACCCACAACAAAAAAACAACAAGGGTATGTCCATAAAAGTGCCCATTGCTTAGCATCATTGTAAGCTATGATACAGGGGTGTATTGTGAAGTAAAGGTCAACATAAAAAAATTGCGCAAAACCGGCCTGGCCATCTGGTCATGAGAAATCCGGTTTGTGGTATAAGGCGTAAAAATCATTCGATCGATCCCGGTGTTGAAGGCAAAGAAAATCAGAGGTAGGTATATATCAGCGGATAATTTGATGTCCTTAGCTTTCCTCCATGATGCCTACATCACCGCCGCCTTCTTCTCGCCATTCACGGCTGCGTTCGGTCAACCGCTTGACGCCTCCGACTCGTCCAGCCCAGATACTCTCGACTGGAGTTCGGAAGGTATATCCTCGCTGGCTGCTGATGACTCCAATGGCTTGGAGCACGGCCTTCCTGCTATCTCGTCCGAACACTGCGGGATGGTTAATCCATTCTAGACTGGCTTCAAGCTCTGCATCGAGAGCTGAGACAGTCGTTGGGTCAATGCCCGGAGATGAGTTCATTGAAAGGGCGTCATTCGAATGATGACGTGGAATGGAGGGCGCACGATGTGAAGAGGGTGTGTGAGCCGATGTTGGTGATGGTGTATTGCGGCGGTCCTCGGGGGTGGTAGAAGTCGGAGATGAGTTGGTGGTAATAGATGATTGATTCGGAGATTTCATCGTGCTAGGAGTAGGAGGGATCGGAGGGAGGCCGCCCTTGCCCAGACCCTTAAGAATTGACCGTGTCTCATTGAGAAGATGTTGGGCGCGTTCGTGCTGGCCACGAGACACAAGAGTGAGAGCGCGTGTAAGCATGTCTGATGTGAGAAGTTCCATTCTGCGCTGGACGACGAGAGGGTGTGGAGGAATTGGAGGGGTGTTTGGCCATTGCGACTTCTTTTGGTGTGTGGGAGCGGGCAGCATCGTAATTGCGAGAAGTGAAGGTCGGGGAAGGTGAGTCAATGTACCATCGCGAAGGATGTCGCCCCATGTGAGATCAGCTTGGATGAGAGGAACCTCCTCGATGGAAACGGTGCGCTCATCTTCTTTATCCAGGGGACCACCAAGGGCCTCAAGTCCGGAGACAATGGACTCCCAAGGATCTTGAGGTAGCTGCTCTTGCGAGGCGTTGTCGGGAGAAATGACCAGCTGGACCAGGATATCTCTCTTGTCACCAAATCTGAGATCCCCTAGAGAAGCTTCGGCATCTTTGCCTGTCGCGCGCTTCGTGATTTGGAGTGCACCACTAATCTTGACGAATTTCGCTGGTGATCCTTCGGGAAGCCGTAGCTTGAGCTTCACATTCTGATGTGACATGGTTTGCATGGCGCCGAGGCAGCCCGCAAGACATTCTCGCAACATCATCCAATCCTTGACATAAGTGTACGATGCTTTTGTCCGAGTAGATAACTCTATCATCGTATCAGGCTTGTGTGTCATGCCAAGACCGAACGAATGAATGGCAATTCTGCAGTGGTTAGATTATAGTGGTTGGTAGTTGGAAGGATAAACTTACTTTGCCGCCTCTGCTCTTGATACAACGAAGTCGACGCTCTCAGCATCTGAGGTCGACGAGTCGCTGATCAAGAGAATCGAAGCCACGGGATTATTCGACTTTCGCTGCATAAGCAGGTCCATCGCGATATTGGCTCCCTCCACAACATCAGCACGATGGCTCTTCTGGCCAACAGGTCTGACTGATGCTAGAATGTTCGACCATCCATTCCAAGTCTTTGTCGTCATTCCAACGAGGGGTGCTGCTCCACCGCTAGATCCAAACGTAACCAAACCCATGCGATCTCTGTCGCCAAGATTTTGGACCATAAACTTCAGCGCATCACGTACGAGACTAATCTTCACACCCTGCATAGATGAAGAAATCGGAATGACGACAACGATATCCACGGGAACATGAACAGGCGCTGGAAGTCGCATGCCTCGAGTTGCAGCGGTGTACTCTGTTGGAGCAGTCGTTGCAGAGCGCCCGGCTCCATACGAAGATGAGTTGACCGATGAGACACGTTTGGGGTTCGATACCCTTTGCCAGTCCTCCTCTTCCTCTGACAACTCGTAGTCTGGGCTTCTAATCGGAGAACCCTCAACAGCATTTAGGTCTAGAAGTGCTTGTTGCCAGAGCTTCAATTGGTTTCTGTTCTCGAATCGCAAATGGAACGATGGCAATTCGGCCACCGATAGACTGAGGGTTAAAATATACTCTTCTGTAGGTCGCAGATTAGACATGGTGATTTTTTCGGTTTGTCCAAGTTGGGCTTTACCAGTCCCAGATTCGGTCACCTCATTGAGGTGCTTCTTGATCAAGATGGATCCTTTGAGCGTGCATCGTGTGCTCTTGCGTACTGTATTTGGATCATCCCATTGCTGAGGAAGAGTAACCTTCTTTTCTTTCACGCAAATGAGCATCTCGGCAAATAGGAAACACTCCAGCTCTTGCCAAGACTGCTTGTCTTTGCCGACTCTGATTGTACCGTACAAACGTAGTTTTCCGAATCTGTCAATATTATTAGCTGAGATCAGATCCGGCACCGGGGAGAGTACTAACCTATTGAAATCCAGGCCATGCCAATTCTCTACTCTGTTTCTAAGGCTTTCGGTGATTTCTTCCAACACCTCAGGGGGCTCATATGGGTAGAATCGTGGAGCACTTTGTGCTGGAGATGGTGGCCGAGCATAAGTATCTTCGGGCCGGGGTGCTGGTAGAGGAGGTGCGCTTCGTAGATCATCAGGGTCAGGTCGCCACTTGTTGTCCGGAACTTCGACAGTGACAAGGCAAGTAAGCGTCTGTTGTTGACGAGACCGATTCAGGGTCGGGAACTCGGAACGCACGCTGACGGATGGGGCGGGTATGGGGTTTCTGGTGACGCTTGCTCTTGGGCTGATGAGGCTTGTCTCCATGGACTGGACGTCGTAGTCGTGTCGCCGAGGAGGCCCACTTGTTGTCGTCTCTGGGTAGCCAAGAGATGATGGAGCACCAGTGACCTCTGAATCGTTCCGGTTGTGTCCAGCTCGCGGTGGCTGTTGGGTGGTGAATCTGCCAGCTCGATCCCTGCTGTCCCTGCTATCTCTACTGCTTCCTCCTCCATTGTTGCTGTCTCTTGAATCTCTGCTGCTGTCCCGGGCATCTCTGGGCGGTGGTCCCGCATTCGAGCTTCTGCTGCGCGGCCGTACGGTCTGGCTGTCCCACGGGGTGGGAGTAGGAGTTTGGTTGGAGCGTGTCGACTGGTCGCTCGCCGACACTGATCGCACAATACTACTTAGCTTCTCTAAAAGGAGGTCTCGCATCAGCTCTATCTGGTTGGGAGCACGAACCACCGTTGAATCTCTTACCAATGTCCAGCACATTCCCTCCTCTGCTTGTATCCAGGCCCAATGGCGCGTTGCACGTCGGGCAGTACTGCGACTCGAACTCCTTGATGTACTCGTAGAAGCACGCTTCGTGGGACACATGGCCGCACGAGAACTGCAGTATCCGCTCGCCGCGAAGGGTGTGCTCCAAAGGCTCTTCACACACAGCGCACTCGCTCCCCACAAACGTCCTCTCCCGCCGTGTACGACTTCTGTCGGTGTCCAACATTCCTGCCATGCCTCCTCCCGCTCGCTTGCGCAGGTCGCCCGTTCCCAGCAAGGGCTCTCTCGAATGGAGCGATGATAGCGACGGCTTCGACTTGGATGACTGCTCTGAGAGGCGAGGAGAGTCAACTGTCATATGAGATGAGGTTTCTGTGGAGCACGGAAGGGTTAGTCGGGAGGTCAACAGTCGCATCGGATCACCAACGGCTCAGAGGGGCGGAGTAGAGGCAAAAATTGGCATAGGCCGCTACGTACTCTTTTGGACGTCTAGACTCCCTTGGGGATGAGGATTGGGATTGGAACGGGTATGGGTATGGGTCAGAAATCCTGCAACGCGTGCTCCACTAGGTTGCTCCTGGTCCCCGGTCGTTGCTGCTCGCCTCCTAGGTCTTTTATCCGGGTTGCTGAGCAGTCCAAGCTCATACAACGCAGAAACCTGGTCGAGTTCTTTGTGCGGGCGAGGCTTAGGGGCGGCGCTGGTCGCAGAAGACGGGGTCGGGTCGCGGTGGAAGGGGGACGAGTGGCCGAAGAAGCCTTTCGACATGTATCCGGAGCAATGTCTGCGGCTGTTGCAGACCTCGACGACGTGCCTCGCAAGAGCAGAGGTCTCCCAGCAGCGCGGGAGGGGCTGCGGAGTCGAATGGCACTCCTAGGCCGATTATATTGGGTTCCGGCCTCCTGTAACTGTTTCACGCACGACACAGGCGTATACAAGTAGGGTTGGGGGCCGCCGGGGCGAGGCTGGCCTTGAGCTGGAGACGACAGATCTTCTGGATTTTCGGTAAACCCAAGACGGGGCTGGGCACTCCGCGAAGTTGCAGCCGTGAGCTGGGCGGGCTACATGTGCCGGCGAGGCGATTGATTGCGCTGCAGAGAGCTCAGAGGAACGAGGGGTGATCGCACAGCGATTGCATTGAATTGAGTGTTGAAGAGGGAATCTTTCTGTGGGCCGTCAAGGAAGGGCAATGGCATTAATGGAAGAAGGACGTGTGGAGCGACTGGGCAGAGGCGAGGGGAGAGGCGAGGGGAGAGGGGGGGGGGGGGGGGGGGGAGAAGTGTGCGCCGTCATTCGAGGCTTCCGTTGGTGGGAGGATCTGACCAGGGGCGTCCCTCTCGAGTCTCGACGGCAGTCAGGGCTGCGCGGCAGAGGCTGGAGGGAGCGTCGTTCCTGGCGAGGAGGCACTTGATCTGATATGTCAATTGTTGGATTGTTCGATGATTCGAGGATTCGATGCCGGCACCACGCACTGGAAGTCTGAGACGCGACAACAGCACTGCAGCAGCCTTCATGGTTCAGCAGACAATATCGGGTCCAATTCCACAGAGGAACCGGCCGCCCCACGATGCTTCGATTTGTGTTGTGCCTTTGTGCCCTTGTGCCTGCCCTCCGACTTCCATCCTTCCTTCGCCGGCTCACGGCCGCTGTTGCTTGGACGTTCGTCGACCGTTCGGGGAGGGTAGGGGGGCCCTGCTGCGGTTTGGCAAGATGGGCGATGGGGCGATGGGGCGATGGGCGATGGCCCTGGCCCTGGCCAGTGGCCTGCAGGTTGTGATTCGAGGTGCAGCAGCGAGCCAATGCCGCGGTCAAGTTGACCAGGAGGGATGATGCTGGTTGATGCTGGTGAGTCTGGCTGTTGCTGGCTGCCTGCCCGTGCGGTCGGTTCGCTGCGGCAGGCCGGCAGGCCAACAGAGAACTCAGGGAAAACATGACCCTCACCAGAACTGCTGCAGATGAGCTGTGGTCCACTGGTCGCGGCCGGGGTCTGGGAAGCAAAAGTTGGGCGGGAGGACACCCCAGAGCGCCACCAGAGGCTGCGGATGACGTCTCCTGGCCTCGGAGCTGGACCTGGAACGGCTCTGCCAATGGCGAGGCGGGCGAGGCGCAGGCTGTGGCGCCCCTCGCTGGTCAATTTGTAATACTTCCTGACTGGACTGTGCAGTACGGAGAACGGTACCACCACACTTCTGCGTGGCTGAGGGCTGGTTGGGTTGGGACTGGGGACTGGCAGGTACCAGCAGCAGTTGTGTCACCCCCACTGCCCCGCCGCGTACATTTCTCGTGCTGTGACTCTGTGTAACAGTGTGAGGCACTTGAGGCACTGAGGTGAGAACCGACCAGTGCTGCACTACTGCTGCACTACTGCTGCACTACTGTTGGTGGCCGAGGTACTCTGCATTAGCACCGTTCAGTTTCGCCGGAAAGCTGTTAGCTCCCAGGGAATACCGGATGCAGTCTGCGTGGAGAATCGTTAGTGTTCTGGAACTGCTGAAGGTGGCCAGGCATGCTGACTGTTGGACCCTGCCCCGAGCTGTCAAAGGGGCGTCGAACGCCTCGCTGACAGCGGCATCGCGGCAGCGCGGGTCCTCCAGTCCTGTAGTCTGTATTGTACCTGCCCCTCCTCTTGCGTGAGCGCGTTAAATTTACCTCCATCTGTTCAACACACCCTTCCCGACGTGGGAGTGATGGCTTCTGCAGCGTTCTGCAGCACGCTGCACGCAGCACTGAAGCACTGCAGCTCTATGCCAGGGCCCAAGGCAAGCACTTCTTTGCTTCTTCGACCCATGTCCCGCGCGACGTTTCCCGCGATTCTGGGGCCACCCCCCTGGTGCTCTGGGGGGGAACCATTCCTGGTCGTTTTGCAAGGAACGTCCCAATGGTGTCACACCCCCCTCTCCCACCCCCTACTCCCTGACAAGATCGAGGGGATATCTGTCGTGAGATCCAGCAGCCCAATCCAGCCCAGCGTCCGGGACCGTGCTTCCTGGGACTCTTTTCCCAGGAAAAAGGAGGAAGGGTCCTTCGTCAAGCTCGGCCAGGAACCTTCAACGGGTTTCTTTCTGCTCGAACTCGAATGCTTCTACACATGCCCGGCACACAACAAGACTTCGTGTGAGAGCCACTCTGCAGGTCGTTGCTTCTTCGGCGGTGCCGTTATTGCCCCCAGGCAAACGTGGGCAAGACTTCCTACGGACTGATACGTGGTAGGCATGTTGGATAAAGAAAGTCCAACGGTCCGAAGACGGATAAATCTCCGACGGAATCACAGACAAGCGGGCGTGCTCTTCCAGAAACAGGTCTCCCAAATTGTCCCAATCTGAAAGAGGTCTCTTTTCGGGTGTCATACAGATCTCCCAGGAGGTAGGGAATCCCCCACTAGTGAATTTGGCCGAAGATCTGGGTTGTATGGCAGTACCTACTCATGTCGATAACACTGCCCTATGAGGCCACGAATACGATTATACGACGTTCCAGCAAATTGGAACACGACTCCGATGGAACATTCGAAGGACGCTTGCGCCTTTTTCTTGATCCAACGAGTCCTTGACATGATGTCTTGACAGGGCACGTGGCGAGCAAGACATCCTTTTCACTTCAGCTCCACATCTTCAACGCCTCTGGACATGTGTTTCGCCACATACAAAAACATCACGGCACTTCACAACATCCAAAATTCAAGTGCAACAACCAACCACACTCCACGACGACGAATTCGGGGACGCCACTTCACTCGCCAACGAATGCCAAATTCGTCATGGAAGAAACCGGGTTGGCGGTGACGGAAGCCCGTTGAGCTTACCACCCAATCGCGTCCCCAAAAAATGATCTGCCCCATGGAATGTAACCTCCCACGGGAATATCACTGCGCCATCGTGTGACCTTGCCCTTGCTGGACAAAACCTTAATCCGGGGCCACATCGTACGAGTATCTGTTGCACCACACGAAGATACCAGTATTTCAAGGATCCAAGAAACATTTACTGGCAACGATACTTGTCAGAGAATAATGAAAGATGCCCCTTTCTTGTACGCCGGGCCTTCTGGAAACCCAGCGATCGAAGTTATGGATCGCAACACCTTCCCGATCCGAGGTCTTTAAGACAAGGCACGCAACTGCAAGCGGTACCCCGACATCTTGACAGGCTCAGAAACGATAGACCAACTTCGGTAACACCGTTCCAGCTTGCTTCCTTAAAGCTCTTTTTTTTCACATCTTGATCGTTTCATCCATTGTCCCAACGTTGAGCCCAATTCAAGTTTCTACGCATCTCACTCGCTAGACGGTTGATGTTCAGGTGAAAGATGTCAACGCGGAACCTTCAGAACCCGATTGTCTCCCAGATGGTAGCTGTCAATCTACCAGTAGCATGCTAATGCACTGTAATGCAAACTCAGCATGTTTCTTGTCGTCACCAAGAAGAATAGAAGAGTTCTGCATGTGAATCTAAGATGCAATAACTCACCACAGCAAAATGAAGCACACGAGGTCCAGACCCCAATAGTAAAAAGCAACTCTGCACCTCCAACAAAAACAAAACATATCAAGGTGCATCTTTCTCCGACCTCAAAACAAATCCTCTTCTAACCACAATTATCTCCAAAGATTCCAATCCTCTACCAACTGCCAACTCCTCCTCGTCTGCCAAGCAGCGTGGCTCCCAGCCATCCCTCCACTCCGGGCCGCGAAAATCACCGGCACACCAACCATCGTCAATCCAGTAATATTAGCCGCAGACATTTTTCATCGCGAATCCACATACAGACGGGCACCTACAAATTGGTTATTTGTTTCCGGACACACCGCACTGACTAACGTCCCCCGTTGCACTCGCACGGCGTCTCCACGACGTCAAACATTGCCTCCACCTGCGTAGAACAACCGAGGAACATTTTCGATGCGAAGACATCGCAGCTAGCGAGTCGCGGCGATTGGCAGCACGAGTGAAACCTGCATCGTTAGCTACCTCTTCCTCGGGCCTTCGTCAAGCCACATGGAACATTCGAATTTGCATCGAATCCAATGAGCGACGACCTTCGCCGAGGAACACCGCAGGGCTCTTCCAGCCCGCCGTTTGCCTCTATCTCCAGATCTCCATCCCATGAGTCCCACGTTGGTTTCCCTTCGGCCTGTGCCGGCGCGTCCGGGCAAGGAAGGTAGCTGCATACGCATTGCCGTGTCTGCCTCCTCCTCTATCTATCTATCCCTCAATGCAAAGCCGGCAAATATCTTTCCTCCTCCCTACCCTGATTGTTTGGATTCATTTCAGCTGTGTCTACATCACGCCGTTCCCTGTCTTGTGGTCTGTCAAAGACTCAAGATTCCAACCGCGATCTACATCAGCACACTTCAGTTGGGCGTAGTGTGATAGCGAAAGTGCCACGTTTTTCACACATGGCAGTCTGCTAGTCATGGCTTAGGAAATGACGCCGCTCGCCTCGCCTCGCGTCGCGTGGTTAGTTATTAGCTACAACTAGCAAGGCAAGTTTGCTAGCCGATCCTACTATTGTTGCGCCATCCTTAAGGACAAGGTTCATGCATTGATGTTCGAATTGAATGACTCGGCTCGCTCCTGATCGGCAACGCTTGGATCCCGATGGTTGGCCGTTGTGACGGCAGATCATTCATGGAGAACAGAACGTATTAAGTTTGATTGCCTGCTTTCAAAAACGGATCATCATATATGCTCTCGATATACATTAATTTCGAGAACTGGTGGGTATGGGATTTTCAACACTGGCAGCGTTTAGTTTTTCACATCACGTGCGCCATACACAAACCCCTGTCGATCGTACACTGTGTAAACCGCATGAGCCTCTCGATTCCAGGCTGCTCCAGACGGCAGGAACCAAGTCTTAACTATCTAAAAATAATTTCACAAGTCTCTTCCAACTTCGTACGCCCTACGGATCCTCCCAGAAGTCCCGGCCAAGCAATCCATGGCATCGAAATGCCACACTTCTCCAACTTTCAGCGTCCTGCACCTCGTCTGAAGTAATCTCCTTCGGAACCCCCAATCACAAACTCTCCCCACAATCCGAAGATCCGAAAGACTATCCATTTCCCTGACTCCCACAGTCTTGCTCTAGCCTTAAATCCCAATGCCTCCCGTCAGTGTCTGGGAGACATCCGAGCCTCGAAGCATCAACCCTGAAAAAAACCCAATCGGGCGGAGATCTAGCCTCATCGAGCCGTTAGTTCCACGCCCAGAAACTACAACTAGCAGATGTCAAAGCGTTTGCCAGACACAACTTGCACGCAATCATGCTGAGGCGGAGTCGTGAACCAGATACGTGGTTCCTCTACAGCCTTTCAAATCGATTTTGATTTTTGATGTGGGGTTGCGCTATATTGGATCGACAAAGTTGGATATCAAAGCCAAGCTTTGACGATGGCTTCATCAAGGTGCTTCCCGTCAGGAACAAGCAGCCCCCATCGTCAAGCATTGGGAATCTCGATCCTCACCCATTTATTGCTCCAAGCCAAGTCACAGCACGGGCTTGAGGTCGTCCCAATGCATTATTCCAAGCCAACATCAAGGCTTTACTTCGTAGATGAGCAACATAACATTCCCAGTTATCTCTCAGATCATTCCTGTGTTTGAACAGCCCCGCCGACGCCATGCTATGCGTTGAGGTCCGTCCCGCATAATCCATCCCGTCATGGGATCCAGCCCCGCGGACGCAGGTCACGCCTTCCAAACTTTCTTCAGCAGGATTGACTCTTCCCGTCCGGAAACGACCCAGAGCTGAGCACGATCCATTCCAATTCACGCATTGCTTAGTTTGGATCGGTGCGAAGGGATGCATACAAGTATGCCGAAGGCTTGTCCTTGCACCTTTCCTCAAAAGACCAGAATCTGAAAGGATTGGATGATTGAGGACCACTATCTCCAACTCACGACAAAACAGAAGACTGCGCCGCAATCAGGCAGGAACACAAATACTCCCTGCCCCCCACCCCCCAAAACATTATCCCCCTTCTGCATTCCGGCAAAACCTTCTCCATATCTTGACTTCTCTTTTCTCGTTCGTCAACCCCTCCTGCTTCTCGAACACGATGACTCCGTGGAGATGTTTCTAAAAGCAGACGGAAAGCCCTCGCTCTCGGCCAAAAAAGAGGCACAGAGAAAAAGCTAAAGCTCTCGGGAGACACTCTCACTGATGGAGGACAGGCGTACTTCGCTTCAATTACCAGTCCAAGAGAGCATCTCCGCCATCCATCTGGATGCCGAGGGTCCCAAGGTCAATTTCCTGAGTGGAAACACAGATAAGCGGGATGTCGTTGCTGCCCCTGAAATTGGATGAGCAGGGAGAGAGTTGACCCCGCTCCCTCATGTCTGTTTCAAACCCTAAGCTCCATCCGCAGAACGCTGGATTTAGAAACGGAACCTGGCGCGGCGGGGTGCCATGCTGTCATCACGCTGCCATCACACTGCTGAAACGTAGCGCTGCACCGTGGTACCGTACCGTCCTTCCTGGCCAAACTCTCCAAGCTCCTGCCAAAAGACACGTTTTGAGACGGGGAGTTCTACCACCAATCACAGGCTGCGCCTCAGACTCATTACCTGCCGTACCCACGGACCCCCTTTTGAACCACCCACCGCCCCCGTCCGCTCTGTACGACAACGCGCACTCGCAGCAGGCAAGCAAGCAAGCAATCAATCAATCAATCAATCGATCGATCAGCAAAGCAACAGCCAACGACGCACATCATGTCGATCACCAACGCAATCGCAAAAATCAACACATTAACCCCGCCAATCTCGAATTCTTCCCATCCTAATCCCCTCATTGGCCCATTTAGGTTCTTCAATGCAACACACGGACTTCTTCCACCATCACTTGATCCAGACCGTCCGAGCGTACAGACGCCTTTTGTGCTGTCCTGGTGAGTACGGTAAAAACTCTATTTTCAGGATACTCGAGATAAGGATATCCTTGCTTTTGAGGATACATCTGGTGGCCCCGCAGGGATTAATTCTGTTGTGTGCCACACCTCGTTGTGAGGATACTCAGTATATCCTTAAGAATCAGCGACAAAAACCCCATCCTTATAGCGAGTTTTTAGCTGGTAGACCCATTCAATGTGAAGCACCCCGGAGTGCGGGTCTCCGTTCCCCGAGCTTCCCCATTCCCATCATTCACTGTCAATGTTCATCTTCAACGTCATGATGAGCGAAGCACGATCCTCGTCCGAGATCCTTCCCACCAAGACGGCATGACCCCACGCACATCCCGTCGAACAAAATTACCACTTTCCTGGTACGCGTCTCCTCGACACAGCGGCAGGCTCGCCCTCCCGCCCTGTTCTTCCCGCCGGCTTCAGCCTCATCTCTCCTCTCCCGTCCCTCTTCAGCAAAGATCTGTGACAGGGTTCTCCACACAATCGTCGCATGTAGACTGCCGATAATCTCTTTCCTCCCAAATCCACTCGCCGCCTCCCAATTCAATTGGAATTGGGAAAATTAGAGTTGCGGTGAGTGAGGTATGACAGCGATATCTCGCATCCTCGCGGGCTGTTTTGGTAAGCTGCGTCATGGTTTATCCGAGAGGTCTGCGTGATACAGAGGGCGGGAACGAATTCTCTTCACTCCCATCTCTCCTCTCACTATCTCTACAAACCTTCTCCATCCCCGCCAAACAGCGCTCCCCTTACCTCCCCCACAACTCCAGGCGATCCAAAACCCGTAAAAATAATTTCTATAAATAGTTCATAGTCCCGTCACAGATCTCTACCAGTCCACCCCGTTTCGAAAAAAGTCCTCGGGTTGCAAATGGAGGTCTTACCCACTCACACCCACACCAGTTCTCGATCATAGGAACGAGCCCCAAGCGTCCGTGGTCCAAATAAGCTCACCCCCTATCGAGATGGGAGTGCAGTGCAGTACCTAGCTGCACCTCAGCACCACCAGGAAGGCCGTGCACGGGGCTTCACCGCCACGAGCCGCGAACCCGTGGACTGTGCTTGCTGGTACAGTACGGTAAGACACAAAATCGCAGTCGTGGCCGTCACTCCGCCTCTTATTTCGATCCCTTTTGAAACACGAGAAAGATGATAAGTTAGTCTCTTTCATGATCTTCGGTCAGGTGAATAGTTTGTGTTTTCGCTCGGCGTGGTGATCGTCAATCTATACTTCGAGGGGGGTTAGGACTCGCTGGCGCTGATCTCCGATTGCCTTTGCGAACGGCGGACTGTGAACACGGGGTCGGGAAACGGCTATGCTGAGATTTCGATTTTCGGTTTCTGGTTTGCGGATGGGATGTGGGGGATTTGCGGTGCCCCGTGAAAAGGTGTGGGGACCGGGGAAATGAGAAGGTGTTACTGTATTGGAGGTTGGAGTTATCGTTCGTTGAGATGCAAGCCCATTCGGTAAATGGAAGATCTAAATTTCTAATTATTTCTAGGGATTAAGGGGAAGAGTTCTGGTACTAGGGCTATTCCGGCTATAGGCTGCGATGTTAGGACTCGGTTATTTAGGGATCATATGGAGTTGGAATTAACTTGTTGAGAAATGATATCCGCCCGTGATTTATATTGCGGGGAGGGGAATGTGGAACTCACGGTACTTTCCCGTCTGGTGGGTGACCTGAGATATAGGGGAGCCTCCATATTAATCATAAGTCCCAGTGTATATCTCTTATGCCACATAGTACGTCAGGAGTCCATTCCCAGGAAATAGGGGTAGGACTATATGCCAAATCCAAACACTTTCTCCGCAGACAACGCGGCGTCGCACAATCATATTTGGAGCGTACCGTGCCAGCTCCACTTGCCATAAACTCAATTGAGATTGATCTCCACAAGTCTCGATATGAAAAACTCCCTAGTGAGAAATGCCCTGAACCGAAATGCTCAGGGGGCCATCAATCAACCCCAGGCAAAACACAAGGCTACTTACTGTGTATCCTCCCACTGGTCCACCAGCACACGAGATCCGAGCCAAGCCACAACCCCTGTCGTATACTCTACAGATCGAAACCTACCAAACGAATAACCAGTCACGCGAACCTAATGACTCTCTCTCTCCAGATCGTACTATATTTGTACGTCTTATAGGGGGTTTTAGCTGGTTAGTTGGTGTAATCAACACGCAGTTCATTTTACCAGATTGGAGCTTGACGAGAATCAAGTGCTCGATATGCAACAGAAGAGAGACGTTGCACTTTGTTTGGGAGTCCACGAGGAGGGAGTTCCCGCGACGAGGGTACCAAGTGGGTTCACGTCGGATTCAATTCTAGGAATTGGGTTGTTTAAAAATAGATTGCTCGATGTGCAACAGAAGTCAATTTTCAGTTCGGAAGGTTACGAGGGCTTTTTACCAAGTGGTTCGCGTTAGCGAGATGCTTCGAATGCTCGGATATTAGTCTTTTGAGAATATAGTGCTCCGCGTGCAACAGAAATTCCAAAGGTTGGTTGGGATAAGCAGATGGTTGACGTGGAGTTGCTGAATTCATCGGTATTGGAAGAAGGCGCAGGGCTTTTTGTGACTCGTACTCGTCTGCCGTATAACGTCGGCCAATGATTGATTGATTGATTTAGTCATAGAATGTAGAGCCTCCTAAGGTGGCTATAAAGCTGAGCCTAAATGACCAATATATAGCATACAAAGGAAAGGAAAGGAAAGGAAAGAAAAAGTTTTCTTCTGAAATGACGAGGCACAAAAACCTTGTGGCTCTCGAGGCATAAGCTCGGTAAGGGATATTGGAATCGATGTATGATGGTGACATTTAGGCCTTCCGGACTTCACCCCTATATTCATTCCTAATCGAAACCTGTGTCATCCCTCTCTTGAACAAGCGTCCCTTGCTTCATATATTTGTTCTCTCTGTCCCGGTCAGTTGGTACCTTAGAGATACCGATGCATTTCGACCGAGCCCACCTTCCTTTCTTCTGGCCCATATCCTTCTCCCCAGATCCATCAGATTCCATCTCGTTTTCCTCCGACTCGTATGATTTTCCTCCGATTGTCGATAATGATAGTAGCCTCACCATCCACTCCAAACAAGAATGCAACCTCAGCTGTAACAATAACACGCCCCTAACTCCCCTTTCAGATGGTTCACCTCCATTGATAGGTAACCGAACCTAATTATCAACCTCTTGCACTCCTTGGGAAGATGTATCGGTTCGATTTCCGACGGGGAGAACGAGTTCAACTTCACTGACACTGGTAGATCTTCGAGAGTGGCTCTCTCGCAATCTTCGAACCATGTTGGAATCGTTGAGGAAGCCGGCTCTCCATTGATTTGCCTTTGGAGCGGCAAACTGGCATTCTGCAATGGTGATCTGGAATCCTGTTTCAACGTCTGAAAGGTTTTCTTTACGAAAGATGGAGACACTGGTGCCTGACATACTCATTCCCTTGGCTGACTGCAAACTCCTTGCTTCAACGCGAAATTGCTATAATGTAGGAGTGGAGGATGATCTTGGATGACCCATCACACGCTCAATTACGCCCATGCCTGTGTGCCCTGTTGATATCACTTTTGAGAGTCTTTGCATCTTCGAGAAGACCTTGCGGTAGATAACAAACGCTCCCACGAGATTATTGATGTGTAATCGATCGTGGCTGGCGGCCGGGAGGACAGTTGAATATACCTTATCCCCTATCTACACCTTCCGATTTATAAATGCGGGATTGCGACTCCAGGAATATTGCAAGTAAGACTTGCGGTGCTCGACCAGATAGTGAAGAAGCGATTTATCAAGCGCCTTTCTCGCGTCATTATCGAGCAAGTAGTCCATCATATTTCGGTCTTCCCCGTCCGTCAGTGACAGATTTGCGCCATGACTCTCAAGGCACTTGAACGATTCAAGGGAATCTGACATGGCAGCGAAATGAATCGGTGCGAGTTCGCGACCAGGGAAAGGGCCATCGACAGATCCACCACTTGCAAGGAGTCTTTCGATCATGTGGCTCCTGTCGTAGAGAATCGCAAAGCACAAAGGCGAGAGGTGCCCTTCCTTGAGTATGCGCTTTCTCCCCAATTGGCCAAATTGCGCCCATGTATCTACTTGCTCATTTGTAAGCAATTCCCACAGGTCATAAATATCCACCCTTTTCTGGAGCAACAGATCAAGTCGAATAGGCTTGTTTTCGATGATCGCATCAAAAAGAAGCCACTTGCCATGAAAGCTGGCGTGAGGGAAGTAGCTGTACTTTCCAGCCGCTAGAAGAACATTGATCTGGTCGTCAATGCTACCATCCCTGAGGGTCCGTATCCAGTGCGATCCTAAGGTTCTCGCGCCAGAACTGATAGAATTAGCAGCAGAATCAACCAAAAACTTTAATACTCGGGCACCTGCAGCAGCGGTGGATCCACTAGTTTTATGAAGGCAGCATTCGATATTCGACAGGGATGACTTCGTGGCACCGAATATCCTCAGGTAGCACCTAACATTCTCCACATCATATGACTTCAAGGCTTCCGGCAGACTTGAGCCAAGTAAAAGACGTTCCTTAAATGATGCTGATGCTTCAAATCCAAGCGACGCAAGAAGTTCCATCAGATGCTCGGATTTTGAGAGGAACGCCATCTCAAGCGCATTGGATGCGGCATCGGTGATTTTCGTGGCTGCCCTCAACTCGCTTCGCATGCCCGCAGGCCAAGTCCGTACGATCTTGGCGAGAACTTCAACAACTGAAGTTGCCGAGTGAGTAGCGGCATCTAGTAGGAGATGTCTGATGAAAGTTATCTGAAGGTGGTGTGTTCCGGATGCATTGGATGCTGGGTATTGGGCCCGAACTGAGAAGCAGAACTCCAGAACATCGGTGAATGATTGATTGGATGCTTTAAGCACACAGTTGTATAGCCAGCATTCCCAGTCCTCCGAGTTGGGCCAAATTTCAGTTGAGCGTCCGCTAAATCCTCTGAGAGACTGTAGATCATCTCCAGAGCTTGTGGAGGAGAACTCGATAAACGCCTTCGTGGCGTGTTCAAGATAATCGCCTATACTACCTCCGCGAGTATTTTTTGAGATGGTACGTAGTAAGGGGAGATGGTTTGTCGATAGTGCCCATCCGATTTGCAGGACAAAGGGGAATCCTATACACCGAAGCGGAATCGAATCCCACGGTCTGATATCGAGTGAACCTCTCTTTTCAAGGACCAGATTTTCGAAAAGGCAAAGATGGCGAGGGCTCCAAGGGCGAGATTCCCTCACATTCCCAATTATCGTGTTATGATGCAACCAGTTCTCCGCTAAGTACGACAGCAACCGATACTTCGACTTGAGTGAGTCCGCAGGCTTCCTCCACTTCAGCCCGCCAGCAACATATCGATCAAATCGGATATTGGTTGAAGTTTCCGGACTCCCACGAAACCACTTCAGTGTTTTGACCAATTTTGCTGTCTGGGAATTTGGCGGAAGCATCGACTGCGTTCTCACTACGTCCTCCAAAGCGGCTAATTTTGAAGTAGTGGTGTCTTCGTACTGAGTGAGCTGCAACTCGAAGTCGGAGAAGGAGAGGTAGGCCACGCAAACTTTGCCGACCTCAACGCTGGCTTGTGCTCTGGTGAAGTGGAGCAATGCTGGTTTGTATCCGTCCTCTTTGAGAAGATGCTGCTCCACAGTATAGTGGGCTATTTGAATGCTATTTTTATCGTCGTCGATAACAATGAGGTTTCCACAGGCCCTTGCCAGTCGATTCAGGTCATTGGGAATTTTGGTATGATCAAAATGGTCATCTTCAATGGTGAAGGCAATTGCCTCTCGGAGTTCCTCGATTTCAAGGGGTCGTCTGGCACAAATGATCCACATAAATATCCTTTTGACGTATTCTCGCTGCTCGGCATTATCGATGCGGGTGAGAAGGCGGTCGTAGGTCTCGCCGAGGTTGCGAGGAAGGTTCTGCAATACCTTTCGAATACTACTGTCGGTCTCCGCACGGCACAAATCGTCGAGCTGGAATTTCACCCAAAGAAACCTGCCCGGGTATTAGTTAAAGACACTGGGTAAAGGGACTTTCGTCCCACTCACATGCCCTTCGCTCCTTTGGAAAGAGCCCCAAAGATTTCTTCTTCAAGAGCAGGATCACCGATCACCAATTCTTTCCTATTGATCAGGTCTCGGATGGCATGCTTGACGTAGCAGTCAATGTCACCAGCAACAACGTCGATTCCAATACGACGTTTAAACAGAGCAGCATCCGGTACTTGAGTTAAGTAACTCGTATCTTCTCGGCTGGCGACGAGGACTTTGATTATTGGTGGGGTTGCTCGTGTAGCGATGTCTCTGAGGTGGTGAAAAATGAGCTTTCGATCGTTCTCATCGACCTCATCCAAACCATCAATTACAATGGTCGCTGACATGGCTCTTTCAATGGCTTTTAGCAGGAGATGCAAGACATCTTCCAGATCGACTGTCAAGCTATCCTGGCAAATCCTCTCCAGCATTTCTAAGAGGGTTGTTGGCAACTCGCCTAAAGTGCGCAACAGTTGCAAAGCGAGGCTGCTGAAGATGTTGACAGGATCTAATGTCCGTTTGTCTGCATGGTCGCAATAATAGAACATTATATTTCGTCCAGTGTTTGAGTTGTCCTTTGCAAGCATTTCATCGATGAGACTCGATATGAGGACGGACTTGCCGCATCCAGCTTAGGTTGGTCAGCTCAAGAGTAACAGCAGAAGGAGTCAATGGATGACTCACGTATTCCATACAAGCAAAGGATCGCAGCGATTGCACAACTTGACCAGGCCTTATACTCGTCTGAGGATTTGAACCATTCCCCTGTTCCTTTGTGTCGAATTCTTTGCATGCGTCGATGCTTGTATTCGTTATCTGTTTTCGATAATGAGGACAGTAGAGTCTTCTGTCGATTCTCTAAAACCTGTCAGCCACAAGAGCTTCCAGATTGTGCAAGGCATGCTCACGTCGTTTTCTTGCCTCGGCTGCTGCGTGGTTTCTCACGACCAGGTCTCTAGCCTCTTTCTCCTCGATCATGTGGCACAGTTCCGCTTCTTTGTCAACTGCCTTACGATGCTTTCTGAATCTCACGATAGCATCTTCTAAATGTACCTTCAAGGTTAGGGACAACGGCTGAAAGATCCTTTTCGCGGCCGACTTCTTCTGGTTTCTCAGCAGCGTCTTGAATTCCGTGCAGAGAGAAATAATGTCAAGATAAGCAACGGATAATGCCTGCGTGAATCGTTGATGTTTCTCTGAATCAAAGATTCTCTGATAATCTCCTAGAATGTTCTCTTCAGTACAGTCGCTTCGTCGCCAAGGGTCAGCAGCACACTTACGGAACCGGGGCAGAATATCGCCGATGCGTCCAAACGTATCTACCATCCTGTTGTAGAATCGACCATGGCTGCTCGCTATTACTAGAACAACCCTGATGCTCCCCCAGATAGGTGCGAGGTACAGAGAGGAAATATTCGCAAACGTATCCATAGCCTTGCCATAATCACCGACCGCAGAGATGAGTGGCTGCATGCTTTCGAGTAGTGAGCGAGTCTTGCTGTCCCTATGATCATCTCTTTGGACGTTACTGGCGGCGTAAAAGATATTTTCTGCTGTGGCCTCAGTGAAGGTTGCCTTTTCTGCGTCATCCAGCCCTTCCAAGAAGCGGGCTTTTGCCTTCTCCCAAGCGCCAAGAGACCGTTGTGGCTCGACCTGTCCGAGCAGGGCAGCCTCTGAGGTGCTCGCCATCGTAAGTATCGGTATTGCTCATCAATGATAGCGGTGACGAGAAGAGGCAGGAAACAGAGATGAAATGAGATGAGTATTCGAGATTTGAGGCTGTGCTGGGATGGTTCGATGTCTCAGATATTGGTGTTGTGGCTGCAGATGAAAGCCTTGCAATCCGCTTTGCAGGGCGTCATGATTGGCAGGCAATCTCGCGGCGGACAACTAAAACGCCACTAAGTTTGCAAAGTCCTCAAGAGTCAAGACTGGGAAGGAAAGTTCAATGTTCGGAAAGGGTTGGGGCTTTGGAAGGTAGTGGTCTTCAAATGACCGGCGGGAGTTTAGAGAAGAAGCTTCTTAAATGGCCACCTGCACATAGGATAACAGGAAACGAGTGGCGGGGCTTTTGTCTCTCACGTTGCAATGATCAATAGAGATGGAAAATCAATCTTGCGAAGACTTAAATCTAAAGAGGAGAAGTTGACTAGCTCGGCCATTGCAGGGTAACAAATAATTCGGAGTGTACCTTTTCGTTCAAGGGAGTCGTTCATGGGTTTAGTCGTGTCGCGTTTTGTGATAAGTATTTCCGAGACGTTCGTTGTCTACTGAGTGATACCAAAAGTCGTTCATTGGAGATGGCAGCAACAGAAGAGCCACCCCCATCGATGCTACCGCAAATTCCAAAGATCCAGAGAAACATCTTCCAACAAGCCACGAAGCTCCGCTGCTTCAAATTCGTCTGTCATGTCGTTCGTCTGAGCCTTCAGCTGGTTCACAAGTCCCGAAAGCGCTGCGTAGCTGGTAATATAACGCTTCATCATGCCACCTGAAGCTTTGGACAGCAATGCGGTGGATAGCTGAAGCATCGCGATTTGAAACTCAAGAATGATCGGGAGAGGAATACTGCTCAAAATCTTCATGGCAGCTGTGGTTGTGACGACGGCCATCCAGTCCTCCCTCGGGAAAGGTGTGGTTGGGGAATCGATTACAGCGAGTAAAACTCGGACGACCTGAAGTCCTCGATTTACTTCAGCTGATGCGGATGCATCCCTTGGAGCATTTTCGTCTGAAGTCTGCTGGACGATGGCTTTCAGATCCAGGAAGAGGATTTCCCAGCCCGTTTGGCCAAGAAAGATCTCAACACTCTCTTCTGCGCTCAGGATAACCTCCAATGCGAGGAGAACAGGGTATTTAAAGTCCAAACTACTTTGAAAGCCAGATTTGTACAGTTCTAAAAACATATCCATAAGCCCAGCACTCTCGTTCCTCAAATTCTCGTTCTCGTCTTCGCGGATCCATATTGCAAGAGCTCGAATTCCAGCAAGAATCAAGGGGTCGGCGTTGACATTGTCTTTCATCAATTCCCATGTCAGGGTGAGTCTAGTACCCTCTGAAGTCGCAGCGGTGCTAGTACGAGCTTCTGGGTGAAGACCAGAGACCCCAGCAACAGACGCATCCCACCGGTCGCGAAGATATTCGATTGTGAGGGACATGGTTTCTGCGATATCTTTTCGAAGTTTCAGTAGAAGGTCAGGTGCCAGACTGTACCCGGATGAAATTCCCTCGTCATCCAGACTCCGGACGAGAAAGCCGATGAAACTCGAAAGCACATCAAATGCCGCTGCCAATCGCTGCGAAGTTGATGCATAATCGGAGCTATTTAGTTGAGCCAGCAGCGAAGGAAACGAAGAGCGAAGATCTATTAACAAGAGATTCACAAAAAGATATGAGAAAGGTTTGCTATCCACGGTGCTTGAAGTGTCATCCTTGAACAGAAGTTCGGGGCATGTGGCTGGGTACGCTTGCAGAAGCGCAGCAGCAAGTTTAGTGTATGCTGCTCTGCCAGCCACTGTGGGTTTGCTTGTGATGAGATTTCGTAGAAGCAAGATTAGAGACTTGAGCCATTTCGAGTTCCCTAGTAGAGCCTGCTGGTGGTCAGAATCAGGCTGACACGGCTGACCCTTGGCGAACTTACTTCTTGGTCTAGTTTAGGGAGCAAGTCTCCAAGAAAACTGATGAAAGTGACTGCATCGGTCCCTTTAAATACAACCACCAGTAATGGAATGATTTTGTCGACATTTGCCCGGACCGCTTGAATCTCGTCTGGTATGGTAGATGCATTCAGCCACATGTACTTGACAACCTCCAGCACGAGTGGGCAATGGTTAGCTATTTCGATCAACGAGGAGATATCCTGGATATGTAGCAGCTCCACAGCACCTTCTGGCTGACTGACAATAGTCAATAGAGTCTGTAAAATGAGCTTCGTGGTCTCGGCAGAACTGGGAGCAAGTCAGCTGACAGTTCGATGAAGACCTCGGGTTTGGAATATACCTCCGCACCACTGCCTTGGCCAAAGAACCTGCCCGCCTTGTCAGTTGCTTTTGTTTTCGTGATTCTGCTGGAAGTAGAATTGTAAATGTGTGCAGAACAGCCACTGCTAAGTCGACCATGTCCATGGACTCTGCTTTGTTGACTTTCTCACTCTGCGGAGCTCGAAGCAGACGATCAAGAAACTTTGGAGACAAGGCTTCCCACAGCGACCGCAAGTTCTCGGGGTCTTGGGCAAGCTGTCCATTGTCAAGGACAGACTTCAGAAGAGCGAGCCCAACGAATCTAGACGTGTCATCTTTCGCCTGAAGGAGGTCTTTCATTTTTCCCATGGTAGATGACGGGTCAAGGCCACCCTTTGGCTCCAAGGGTGACTCCCCGGGATGTACGGAATATGTTGGAAGGTCACTCATTGTTGGCCGCAATCAGTGCAAAGTTTGTTCAGTTACGGGCGAGGGAAGTTTTTGATGTTTAACTCGCACGGAGCGGAAGAAAGTTTCTGCGAAGGAGTGGCTGAATCCGGCCCCGAGATCCGCCGAATGCGTCAGCCTTCAGCCTCGACTACGAGTACCAGTTTAACCTCACTCCCAACAACCATGCGCCAACGACAACCACCCGTAGATGTGTGAATATGGCGAGCTCATCAGCTGGATATTTTCATCCATTGGAGCAAGCAGGCTCATCTTCCTCGAGTCGGAGTCCGCCGAAACCAGCTGCAATCGATGAGGATAGCGATAATGACGCGGCAAGCTCCCCTGGGGACCAGGGCTTACTTACGGACGATCCACTCGAAGCAGATAGCGAGGATATAGTATCGTTCAAACGGAAGCAAAAGCAAACAGCCGGCTCACGGTTCTTGTCAGCTATCTCTGGGAACGGCTCGAACTCGCGGCAAGCTACACCCTCACCAATCCGCGGCGGCACACCGACCTTGGATACCTGCAGACTGTTGGGATTGGATACAGTTGGGATGGGAAGAAATGCGGGAAGTAATTCAAAAGATGGGGGGCCGCTGGATTGGTATGTTGAGGGGCCGGGTCGAAGAGTTGGATACCAGGATTTGACGGCAATCGATTGGATTTTTGAATACACAAAAGAACGACAGCGTCTGCGAACGTTGTATTCGAGTGCGTCGGGTCTACTTGGGTATGCGGTACAATTTTGGGATGCAAGCCAGGTCTGGATTCTCCTCATCTTGACCGGCCTTGCAGCAGGTGTTTTCGCTGCATCGATTGACGTCGCCAGCGACTGGCTGGGGGATGCGAAGACAGGTTACTGCTCAGCTGGAGAAGGCGGCGGGCATTTTTACCTGAACAAGTATTTCTGTTGTTATGGATATGATGAATTGGCGCAATGTGGAGATTGGGTTCCTTGGAGTCTTGCATTGCATATAAACTCGAAGGGAGGTAAATGGTCTATAGAATATTTCTTCTTCATTATGTTTTCGGTACGTCCCACCTCGATTTGTCATCGTCGTGATATGCTGATGAAATCAAGGTGTTATTTGCTATATCTGCGAGCGTCTTGGTGAAAGAGTTCGCGTTATACGCAAAACATAGTGGAATCCCTGAGATCAAAACGGTATTGGGAGGCTTCGTGATTCGGCGTTTTATGGGTGTTTGGACTTTGGCAATCAAGTCCTTAGGACTGGTAAGTGCATATATGGAAGTTCCTTTGCCGTCATTCTGACAATCGCAGTGCCTCGCAGTTGCGTCGGGGATGTGGCTTGGGAAAGAAGGACCACTTGTGCATGTTGCGTGTTGCTGCGCAAACCTTTTCATGAAACTGTTCGGTAGTATAAATGACAACGAAGGTCAGTCGTCTTATGTGTTACACCTTGGCTACCATGTCTAATTTGAACAGCTCGAAAACGCGAAGTCCTATCTGCTGCCGCTGCAGCGGGTATATCTGTTGCATTCGGATCTCCCATCGGCGGAGTTCTGTTCAGTCTTGAAGTAAATCTCGATCCACAAGCCACCTGAAGTAGTGACTGACCGAATGCAGCAACTATCTTACTATTTCCCGGACAAAACCATGTGGCAGAGTTTCGTCTGTGCCATGACTGCAGCGGTCACCTTACAAGCCTTGGACCCATTTCGCAGTGGAAAGCTTGTGTTGTATCAAGTCACATATAGCTCGGGCTGGCATGGATTCGAAATGGTTCCCTATGCAATATTGGGAGTCTTTGGTGTAAGTAATAGGACATTTTTCTTAGTCATATCGCCCTTCTAACATTTTCTAGGGCATATATGGCGGGTTGTTCATCAAAGCGAACATGAAGGTCGCTCAGTGGAAGAAAGCAGCTAAATGGCTGCCTGGACCCGTGATACAAGTAATGCTCGTTGCATTACTCACAGCTCTGGTCAACTACCCGAATTTCTACATGCGGGCACAGTCGTCCGAGCTCGTGTATTCCTTGTTCGCAGAGTGTTCCAAGGTCCTAGATGACCAATTCGGACTCTGCAAAACGGGATCGGCTACGGCCAACACCGTGTTCCTGCTCATATTTGCCGCCATACTCGGTTTCTTCTTGGCATCAATAACTTTCGGGTTGCAAATACCAGCTGGCATAATTTTGCCTTCAATGGCAATTGGTGCACTTTTCGGTCGAGCCGTGGGCATCGTCATGGAAATTTGGGTGCATAATCACCCAACATTCTTTCCCTTCGCGTCTTGCGAACCAGATATTCCCTGTGTTACGCCTGGGACGTATGCCATCATTGGTGCAGCTGCAGCTCTCGGAGGCGTCACTCGAATGACAGTGTCTATTGTCGTTATCATGTTTGAGCTAACAGGAGCTCTCACATACGTCCTCCCTATCATGATTGCAGTCATGATCAGCAAATGGGTTGGTGATGCATTTGGGAAGAAGGGGATCTACGAAAGCTGGATCCAACTCAACGAATATCCCTTTTTAGATAACAGCGATGAAGCGCTCATACCCGACATACCGGTTAGCCAAATCATGACTCGGATTGAAGACCTTATAGTCTTGACTGCAACAGGCCACACAATCGCAAGCCTCACACATATATTGGCAACGCAGCCTTATCGTGGCTTCCCAGTGATCTCAGATCCGAGGGAAGCTATTCTTCTCGGCTACATTTCACGAGCCGAACTTGAATACAATCTACAATCAGCAACACAAACACCGCGCTCTCTCCCACCAGAGACAGAAGCCTTTTTCTCCCATCAACCCCTCGCTGACCCAAGTACGACACTCGACCTCCGGCCTTGGATGGACCAAACACCCCTCACTCTCCCATCCCGCTCAAGTCTCCTTCTCACGGCTAACTACTTCCAAAAACTCGGGCTTCGCTACGTCTTATTCAGCGATAAAGGAGTCTTGCAAGGAATATTGACGAAGAAAGACGTCTGGTATGTGCTGAATGGGGCAGAAGAAACGAGGAGGACGATGGGAACAGATGTCACGACTGGTCTTGCACGAGAAGATGGAGAAGGCGAGGAAAGAGGTTTGTTGAATAATGACGGAGAGAGTGTGGATACGACGCCCACAAGCCCTGCGAATGATGTACCTATATTGTGATTATACATTGGCAATGCATCTTGTATGTCTGAGCCCCTGTGGCGTCTTGTTTCTTTGCTTTGCAGATGTTATTGTCCGCTCGTTCTTCTTGTACAGTCACGTTCTCGGCATTGTTTTGAGTTTCGCTCAGCATTTGGAGTTTCTTGACGTTTCGCATGCATGCGCTCCCCTACAGTAATTCCCTCGGGTGAGGCTGGGTCGGCTGAAGAATCATTTGATACAACACCCCCCGCACCTCATGAGAGCTGCGCAAAGGTTCGCATCTGGCAAAAGAACGAATATCTTATCTGTCTTCGACCATGGATGGACCTGGCGAAACGGGATGGCTTGCCAGCTGCAGATCCCGTTGGTCGTTAAACAGGTGCCTGATTTCCGCCCCGCTTGAAAATTGAGGCACCGCTCTGAGGCGGCGTCCATAGACCCTCTGTGCTCTCAGAAGAAAGAGAATTCTGATGCTCGGGTTTCCTTTTTGTGAGGCGGAGGATGTACCAAGTCTAGTTGGGGGGTTGAAGACAGGAACCAAATCAAAGAAGTGCTTTCGAAGTCGTCCATCGCTAGTTGGCGAGAGATAGAGATGTAGCAGGGCACATGCTTCATATTGTGCCACGTCGGAAGTTGCTGCCGATATGGTAGTTCGGGATTCTCTCGTCGATTGCATTTGTCTGATACTTCTCTTTTCTGTTCCATTAGGAAGCTTTGAGATTGCCACGCACTGTGGTTTCCCACCGTTGGTTTGTGCCGGTGATGGTGCTTCTTTGGATGGAGGGAATGTGCTTCGTTCACTTGCCAACGCATTAAGTAAATTGCTTCGTGTGAGCTCAGGAAACACGAGGATAATTAAATTTGGCAGTTCGAACCACAGCCACAGAGACCCGTGTTTTCTTTTCATATCGCCCGTAGGTAACCTCCACTCAGGGGGTTGCAGGTGACTATGCCAATAAGCGATAGCCCGGAAGCTTAAGGCAGCAGCATTTGTCCCCTGAAACCACCCTGGACACATCCAAACACATCCAATTAACCTCAACTACCTTCCCCAGAACTCCATGATCTCCGCGTGTCATAAGATTGATGCTGCTTTATTGGAATATTGGGCGTCACAAAACAAATTGCGGTAAACTGCATGAGCCCCAATGAGATATTTGCCGTAAACAATGTAAGTGAGAGAACGACCGCGATCCTGCTCCAGTGAGATTGCCGAATCTTGTGTTGAACAACTTAGTCGAATTCGCAAGTGCGGCCGAGAAAGAGCACCAGACCGGTCCCCCCTTGGCGAGGGCACAGTGCCGTGAACGGCAGACGCACAACCTCGTCGGGAAAAGGCCGTCCGTGAGTGGAGAGCATAATTTGACTCGCTCTCTCTTCTACACAGGGGGATTCTGCGCCGTAAGGCCACATTCGCTGCCCTTTTGCTTTGTTGTCAAACGTGTGCACGTTACTTTCCCACCTTATTGAAACACGAGCTTTCTCTTATCGGTTGCTGCATCTTTGTTTATATGATTAGGCTCCAGCTTTGCATTTGACGTCGTGAGACGGCATGTTTTCTTCGTGGTAACAGAGAAACCCTCTTCGTTCAATCGGGCAAACCCCCTCTCCTGAGTCTCCTCGATCGATTGATCACATCGGTTTTATCATCAATTGTTGTTTCAATTTGCAGAACTGGCAATTGACATCAACGAAATGTCTTCTGTTCGTCCATCGCCTCAATGGCGGAGAATATACCGCCAAACCATCACCCTCACCTACAAGAATCTTCTCAATGCGTTCAAAGCGCCAATTGCAACGGCCTGCAGAGCTCTGATATTTCCGATCGCTGTGACGCTCATTTTCTGCTTCTTGAGGCACATTGGCGTGACACAAGGTTATAAGCCAGATGTTGCGTCCTGGGGGATTGCCACTTCCTCGATTCCCATCAAAGATCTAGGAACTGCGATCAACGCTCTACCACACGACATCGGGAAGCGATTGCTCTTTGTCCGCAATGGCATCTCGAATACCACCCTTGGCACCATCATCGAAGGGATTCTGAACGAGCCAACAATGAAAGGGGTGGAAGGACTTTCAGTAGACGACCCGAACGACCTCTTCACCCTTTGCAGACAGACCCTCGCGGGATCAAGTAATTGCTACGCGGCCGTCCTATTTTCTTCCTTCAACGAAACGAATATCGAATACACCATCGCAATGGACGAGAGTGCCCTCGCATATACAGGGTACGACGAGGGCATGGGCGACCAGTCATCCAACTCGCAAACCAACAGACTCATATTTCCGCTACAATATGCGATTGACTCTCATATTGGGAACTTCTCGACAATGACACCTCCTTCCACTCAAGGATTCAGCGGAGTCTTTGGTCCGCATTCCAGAGTAGATGAATGGTATCCCTCGGCGGACGTGGCGACACATGGTCCTTACTGGCTGAACTTGGTCGCTATGTTTGTTGCACCGCTCTTCTTTCTTGTTCTCATTGGCGTGGTCTATCACCTCAATACTTTTGTTGCGACCGAGCGTCAGACTATCATCTCCGAACTAATGGCCGCCCAGAACGTCACTGCAACTCCACAGATCCTATCGACCCTCATCACATTCTACTTACTCTACTTTCCCGGATTATTGATCTGTTCAGTATTTTTCACCCAAATCCTATTCACTCACACGTCCGACATTCTCTTCCTATTCGTCATGCTCCTAGCTGGCGCCTCCGTTATAACATCATCACACTTTGTTGCATCATTCTTCGGCAAGGCTCAACTGGCTGGCTTATACTCTTCAACTCTCACGATTGCTCTTGCATTCGTGACTTTAGATGCAGCGTTGAAAAACACCAACCCGCCAGAAGCCGAAATCGTGGCTCTCTCTCTCTTATTTCCACCAGCTTGCTTCGCCAATTTCATTGCCGATGTTGCCTACAGGGAATACATGCTACACCCATTCTCTCTAAAGTACCAGCCACCTTTGTTGAACGGGGGCATCGAAGAATATATCCAAAAGATTGACGGCTATAAATACGTAATCTTCTTCATCGTCCAGATCGTCGCCTATACAGCAGCAACCTATTTTGTTGAACGTGGGCTTTGGGGAGTGCCGAGAAAGTTTGAGAACATACCTGCAGATAGCGATGTGGCGCTCCGCTGCACGGGGTTGACCAAGACCTATTACGGCAAACGGCGTTGGTACTGGCCATTCGTGAGGAAGGGGGAGCATGTCATCGCCATCGACAACCTGAATCTAGAGGTCAGGAAAGGATCAGTTACTTTCCTGCTCGGACCTAATGGTGGTGGCAAGACCACGACCCTGAAATGTGTGGCCGGCATGATAAGTGTGGATCCGGGATCAACTCTTGCGCTCAACGAAGCTGGGACTATCTTTGGCATCTGCCCTCAAACCAACGTAAGCTTGCTTGTCTCCTGCGAAAGGCTCCTGGTTAATCTTTGTAGGTATTTTGGGACAACTTGACGGTTCAAGAGCACATCAAGATTTGGAGAAAACTTAAGACTGCCTCGTTTGAAGACGTGCAGGTCGATGACGACGATATTCTGGCGGAATGCGATCTTTTAGACAAGGTTCAAGCTCCAGCCAAGACATTGAGCGGTGGGCAAATGCGGAAACTGCAGCTGGCAATATCATTTGTTGGCGGATCGAAGGTCTGCTGCATTGGCGAGGCTTCAAGTGGACTGGTAATTCTCTCCTTCATCCATCTTCGGTCTCTACATTCTAATTTGTTCTGTATAGGATCCTCTTTCTCGACGGAACATCTGGAATATTATCCAGAAGGGTCACAGCCGACGAACAATTCTAGCCACCACCCACTTCTTGGATGAGGTACGTTCATCAGTTTTGATGGAGTTCCTGGCTAACAGGTCATCAGGCCGACATCTTGGCTGACCACATTGCCATCGTATACAAAGGCCGTCTAGTCTGCGAGGGACCCAGCACTTCCTTGAAAGCTCGCTATGGAGACGACTTTATAATTCGCAGCGAAAACGAAGAGAATGACGAATCCTTGGTTTGGCGAACCTCAAATTCGACGGAGGCCACCAAGAAACTTCTAGAACTAGAGGCTTTGACCGAGGACACAACTTACGATGTCCGATTCCCTACACTGGAGCAAGTGTTCCTGAAGGTCACTTCGGCATCCAATACTGCAGTCACGACAACGGCGGGGATGGTATCACAGGGGAAGAGGAGATAAGCACCGTCATCGACGAAAAGATTTTTGCCCTGGAAAACGAAACACCACCAGATATCGACTTGGATGTTGGTCATTCTATTGGTCTAGCGAGACAAGTCGCAGCTCTCTTCCGGAAACGGTACACTCTCCTACTCCAAAAGGCGGGCTGGATCTCGTACGCGATCAATCTGGCGATTCCAATCATTATTGCTGCGGCTTTAGTCAAGTTCATGTACCGATTCAAACCCCTCCAAACTTGCGAGGACAACAACTTGTTGCTCAGGAACGCATCATACGGAGATTACGCTCCATTGGACTATTCATATCCAATTTTTGCCCCTCTCGATTACTGGCAACCTCCGGAGTCATTTCCAGAATACGATCACAACCCTTCGGCAATCATCGGCCCCGAATCTGTTTTTACCGGAGCCATCCAAGACGACTTATACCTTTTCAATATTCCGTCTATCTTCCACCAATTCGGCCCCGACTCGGTCAACGCAAGCTGGCAAGACAGTATGGCTTTGAGCACGCGAGTCTTGGTGAACAGCACCGATGATATGCTTTGGCAAATAAATAACAGTTCAGGATCTGGATACTTCGGTTTCGGCGTCTTTGCACCCACCCCCCAAACGGCAACCTTGTTCTACAATGCCTACAATTTTATTGAAAATGACGGCATGGGAGTACTGGGACTGAGTTTGATCACCAACCGGATTGCCAATGCAACCATAACAACAGGACAGGCGAGGAAAGTATCCGCTGAACTTCGCACAATGCGGACTGCCCCTAGCAATGTCTCACTATTCAACCTGCCGATCGCCGCCTTGCTTTGTCTTGCTTTCATCGTCGCATCTAGCATTGCAGTCATCTACCCTGCTTTCGAGAGGATCAACAGAGTTCGCGCACTCCATTACTGCAATGGTGTCTCGCCTTTTGCTTTATGGTTTGGATACCTTCTGTTTGATATGCAGTTCATCATTATTCAGGCACTTTTTGTCTGGGGTTTACTCTTTGTCGGAAAACCTTCACATTTGTGGTATGAAGGCAATTACGTCCTCGGAGCTTTCATCCTGTTTGGAATCGCGACGTATCTTGGGACCTATTTCCTCTCTCTCTTCGTGAAGAAAGCAGCTTTCGCCATTGCTGCTGGTATCCACACACTCTTATTTGTGCTTTATGTGGTTGCATAGTAAGTTTTCTATTCAAACACGTGTCTCATGACATCTCTTTCCTCTCGAACGAAGCTCGATTTACTAGGCAATCACTAACCTCCTTTCCCAGTGTCATGAACCAATCCTTCGGCCACAAAGTCAACCTCCACCAAACCTATTCAGCCATCCAATACGGACTCGGCCTCTCATCCCCCGCTGCAAACCTCGCCCGCGCCCTTTTCGTCGCATCCAACAGCTTCGAAATCCTCTGCGGCGTCTACGGCACTGCGGATGTCTCCAATCCCTTCGCCTACGTCCGCTACGGCAGTGTCTACGCCAACATGCTCCTGCAAATCCTCTTCCTCATCACACTGCTCTTCATCCATGAGTACGGCAGCGCAGATTGGATCCGCCGCAACATCACGCACCGCGGGATCCCCGCTCGTCTGCACTACATCATCGAATCCGATGCCGCAGCAGGAGCAGAAGCCGCCGCTCCCATTGAATCAGAGAAAAGTGCCATCGCATCCTCCACAACGAACCCGCAGATCCTAACCGTCTCGCGCATCTCCAAATTCTTCGGCAAGCTCTTCGCAGTCGAGAATATATCATTCGATGTCTCAGCCAACCAGACACTCGCCCTGCTAGGCGGCAACGGCGCCGGCAAGACGACCGTCATAAACATGATCCGCGGCGAGCTTACGCCCAACTTTGGATCCATCCACCTCGATGGCGTGTCGGTGTTGAAGAATCCGCAAAAGGCGAGGATGCATATGGGTGTTTGCCCACAAGACGACGCAATCGACAACCTGACCGTCCGACAAACGCTCTCTTTCTACGCTACCGTCAAAGGGCTCAAGAATGTCTCTGGGAACGTCGACAAAGTCCTCGCGGCGCTGAATATCACCATCTATGAGCACGTCTCGGTTAAAGACCTTTCCGGTGGGACGAGACGGAAATTGAGCGTTGCGATTGCGCTCCTCGAGAACCCGAGGATTTTGCTGCTTGATGAGCCGTCCACGGGTCAGGATGCAGGAGCTAAAAGAATCTTGTGGAAAGCATTACAGGATATTTCACGCAACCGTGCCATTCTTCTCACTACCCATTCGATGGAAGAAGCTGAAGCATTAGCCACTAATGTTGCGATTATGGGGATACGTATGCTGGCAAAAGGCACACTGGGCAATTTGCAGGATAGTTATGAGGGCAAGTATAGTGTGAGGGCGGTGAGAAGCCAGGGGGTGGAGAGAGAGGAGGTTGACCAAGCGGTACGGCAAGCTTTTGGCGGTAGTGTTAGCGGGTATTTTGATGTTAATGGGCAGGTGGGCTTTGGGCTGCCCCATGAAAGGGAGAAGTTGGGGGGCATTATGAGGGTTATGGAGGGGTTGAAGGGGGTGGTGGTTGAGGAGGAAGGGAAGAGACAAGGAAACGGCGAAGCAGGGAACGCGGGTGGCAGTGCGGCGGTGAAGAGCGGGCCGCGGAAGGTCATTGAGGATTATACTATTACGGGGCCGACGTTGGAGGAGGTGTTTATGAATGTTGCGAGGGAGGCGGGGACTGCTGGCGGGGTCTAGATGGAGTTGATGGAATGGGAGGAAGTGACCTGAGTTGGACTAGGTACCCTTTATCAGTCTTAATGTGAGACATGGATTTTATTTCATGAACACAGATTTTTGTTCGCAAGCCCCATTTGTATCATTGGTTCAGTTCGCAGTGTTCACTCCTGACCTTTTCCCCCGTCAGTGTGTCCAAATTTAGACGACAAGTGGCTTCCAGTCGAGGATATGGGAGGAAAGTGAATGATGGGGAAGGTAGGTCGTGGCATATCACATGTTTATTTTGATTAATGGTTTTGGATTCGCCTTTGCACATTGTCAGTGATCAATACTCTTGCCTTACTTTTTCTTCAAACTCGCCTTTTGCTCGTCACCGTCCCAAACGATCGGATTTCCTTTTCGTCCAAACCGCTATGTCCCCTCTCTAAAGTGTATTGAAATTCCCTTGTTCTAGTTCGAGTACCTCTCGAGGTCTTGCCGAGTCTGCTGGGGTTAGGACTTGGTTTCAGACTCCGGCGCTGTTGCTGTCGATGGGAGGATGAGCTGGAATGCCAACTTCTCAAACGGGACCTGGGTTGATAAATATGCTCATGGTGTTCTATCGTATCTGCAAGACTCTGCGATTGCAGCATGCTAAGGGGGGGGAAGAACGATGCGGTTTACCAAACCAACTTGGAGTCTTCGGATAGTCTTTTGGGTGTTCAACTTCGCCCTGCGGTGTGGAAGAGATGTTTGGCTCCTCCGGTGGCGTGCGGTGTGGTGCTCTGTTTTATTCAAGATTAAAAAAGAACTTCTTTTGGGATTTAAGACAACAATCACCCCCGTTTCTGTCTCTGCCCTCATGGCGCCTCCTTTTGTTTACCTTCCACGCTTGTGGCTTCCTTCTCCCGACCATATCGCGGGATATCTTGATCTCGATGTAAAGTACGGTTGTTGCTGTAGGTGGAATGTGGGGATAACGGAAGAGCCCCCTGATAACCATGGGCATTAGAATTGACGGTAGGCTTGGTGTGAGCGGATCGGTGCTTTGATGAGGTGTAAATAGTCATGCTTTTTCGTTACAATTTGCGTTGGCAGATGTGATCCTTGAGATATTCGGGGAGATATTTGAAGGGAACAGGACATCATTCTGTGCGCAGAATGTTTGATGTGAACGTGGAAAGAGAGGTTGGGAGACTGAGCTTTTTGATTTTTTGGTGCCGCTGAAAGGTTTTCGGCCTTCACTTGGTGGCCAGAGGATGGTGGGGGCAACTTAAGGCCGCAGACGACGGCTCTTTACCTCTACAAGGTTTCCACACTCGGTCATCTTGACCCATTGCCCTCCTTCAAACTGCTGATACGACAAGAATCACTGATGTTCGGATGCACTTAGTGTTCATTGAAACTCGGTGCCTGTACTGTTATTAATTCGACTAATCTGGATGGGAAATGGTGGTGTGGGTCGCATAAACTGGTGGGTGCGCTCCATCGTGCATTGCCCAGCACTCCAACCTTCTCACACTTACCGATGAGATTCGGTCTCGAATAAAGTTGGGTCCCCACCAAGGCTTCACTACTTGCTATTGGGTTCCAATTGTGTAAAATGGCTGGGTGACGAACCTTCAGCCCAAGAAACCTGAGCCAACGTGGGAGCAAAAGGAAGGTTCCCGTGGGCCTTGGACGCGTCAAGCACACAGAAAAGCCCAGGGAAAGCCCTAGCAACCTTGTGTAGCCTATGAATTCTGTACTTCGGGAGTTCTTACTTGTCTCAACAGCCACTGAGGGCATTTTCCTACACATCATGATCGTCGGTGGCTGGACTCTGGGGGTAGGCTGTCAAGTGAAGGGTGATTTTCGAAGAAGCCAGGTGCCAGCACTTCCGAGTCTTGCAATGTTGAAAGAGCTCCCATCATCAACTGGGTTTGGTCTTCAAGTAGAGCTTGTTCTAGCATCTCGCTATCCTCAGCCGTCTGCCCGTCAGGTGTACCAGAATGCCGTCTTTTGGTAGTTGAGCTACTTGCTTCTGAGAACTCTGTAACTTCCAAAATTTCAACACCTCAGACCTCGGGCCTCAAGTAGGGCAAAAACTTTCACATGTCTGGAAGCATTCAAGAGCATGAACCGCAGAGACGGGACCAGGTGGTCCTTCCGATATTGGACAACAACGGAGCTACACCAAAAACCCTGTGTCGGTCGATTACACCCTCCCAGGGGCTGATATTTCTAAGCTCTCAACGGTTGCCACCCCATCGGTTGGCTGCTACGGTCGTGCTTGAGAACCCAGCGCGACGCTGTGAAACCTGACGACGGCCCAGGCTGGCGAGTAACATCAACGAACACAAGCAACAAAGAAAAAACAAGCTCCGGAATTTAGCCCTCGCGCGGATCTACCGACGCGTCGCATCCGTTCATGGGTCCAGGCATAGCAGGAATATGTCCCAGCCAACTGGTAGGCCGAATGCCGTTGTGACGCATGGAGAGTGGAGAGCCCTTGAATCTTACGATACGACAATATGCGAGGACTGTTTTATGACTCATAAGCGCCTCTGCATAAGAATTTGACAAACCAAACCCAACGGAGGTACCGTCATACACAAGCGGCTCGTTCTGGGGTCCGCATCAGGCACAACCCCATTGCAGCCCTGTCAGAGAAGCGCAATCTGAACGAAAAACATGCATGTAGGCACACAAGCCTTCAGAGAAAAAGAAGAAGAAAATCCTTGAAGTAACTGTGCTCTGATTCACACCCTTAGTGCTCGAAGATGCCGACATTCTGCAGGCCCAAGTGCACAATCACGAAGGGATTCCAACCCGAAGGTCGGCTTCTGGTAATGACTCATCTTTGGAGGATATGTTAGAAACACGTAGATGTGCACAATGGCTATCTGTGGGACTCTGTGTCGTCCGCTACGGGGCATCAGGTTAGATGAGCCCTTAATACGCGACCGCGAGCCATGACACCGGCCAAACAGCGAGGAATCGATAAGACGAGCAATAGGGACAGTAAAGTATGCATTTCAGAAGCACATAATCCTTTAATCAAAATCTACAATGTCGAAATCAAGGTTGAGCATTGCGAGGCAGCGAAAACCATGAATATCGCATGCATCACGTGACGGTGGATGGCCGCGAAGGCCGGGACTTGTCTGTTCTAGCTCCATATGACACACTGGCGACATTTGAAGATAGCAAAGCACGGTATACTTTGGAAAGTTGGCAGTAAGACTAGAGCATCAGACTACTTGCCATCACAGCTTCGTCTGACGTCTCAACTGGAGCTCCGATGAGATTATGAAGGGGAGAGGTGTGACTCCTTAATCCACAAAGCTTCTTGGCTCCCCTTTCGAGATGTCCATGGACCCAGATTCTGACCCCGCTATACTCACAGGAGGGAAGAAAGTTAGGGAGAGGATTCCTTGACGTGTCACATCGAGATGAAAGAGATTCGAGGTGGAGGGAGAATTGCTCCACAGTTTATTCGAGGTCAAACTACGGTGACCGAGAAATCTGCTCTACGTAAGAAACTTGGCCGATATCTGCATCCTTCGCAGCATTTTGCTATATAACGAGGGTTAATTCATTTTCAGCATAAATTTTGAAGTTGTTAGGAATTAGAAAAGTGTTCAGGGGCTGTTTGTGAGATTCGGCAAACACCCACTTTCCTCCCGAGTTACCCCTTTTCAGGGCCTCCTGGCGCGGAGAGAACCACGTGATCTTCGCGATTTGCCTTTCTTTACAGGCCAATACTCCTAAATTCGACAGACTTTAGTGAGTTTACTGTAAATTACTTATTATATATAACCGATGATAAACAAGTTAAGAAGTAGAACGAGGACGCTCCAGGTGAATCATGATCACGTGAGAGTATAGCAAAGAGTGCGTTGGCTACTTAGACAAATACATGATAGTTCCCTAGTAATTTAAGAAAAGTCAAAAAAACGGGCAAAAAGATTTCTTCATTAATGCAGTCTCCAGTAGCTTTTGGAATAGCATACATGAGTGCTGGAGCCATGGGGAAGGAAGGGGAGGGGTAACGAGGGAGCGATTGGAGAGACGTCTATTCATTTGCTAACCCCCAACAGAATAACGCAAAGGAAAGAGTCCAGTCTATGATGTTATACAAAGCCGTCACATCTAAGAGCCCCTCTGCTCCTTCTCCGCCTTCTTCGCCATCATCATATTATACCCCTTCTGAATCTTCCCCGCTCTCTCCTCACTCCCCGTCGCACTAAAATGCCCCTTCAACCCATGCATAGTCTTCGCCGCATTCTCCTCCGCCCTCTTCAACATCTCCTTCTCATACGCCTCCACCGCAACCGCGATATTCTTGCTATCACTCACCAGCTTTGCCGTGACGCTCTCCTTCCTCTTCACCAGTTCCCTTGCAAGATCCAGTGCATCCGCCATCGCCACATTGACTCCCACACCTGCAAATGGCGTCATCAGATGGGCCGCATCCCCAAGCAACGTAACACCAGGTCTCGTCTTCCAGGAAACTCCCACAGGCATCATCCAGCACTTCCTTGGAATCAATACATCCTTGGTTTCTAACACCACCCTCTTCAACTCCTCCCCACAATCATCAAAGTACTCCTTCACCAACCTCTCCCTTGCATCGGGAGCTTCCCAATTGATACCACATTCCTCAACCCAGTTCTCCGGCCTCTTAACCGCAGCATACGAGCGCATAGCCCCGCTCCCCTGCCGCTGACACATAATCGCCCTCCCCTCATCAAACATAAACATACTCCCCTGCCCCACAAAGTTACCTAACCACGCATTTTGCTTATCGACATCCAAAGCCCAGAGTTCCACCGCCGTGATGCCGGCGTAGAACGGTTTCTCAGTAGTCAAGAGAGGCCGAACTTTTGACCACGCGCCGTCAGCACCGACGAGCAGGTCGATGCCCATCTCCATGCTCCCGTCGCTGAACGAGAGGTTGTACTTCCCCTTGATTTTCTCGTCTTCTTGAACCCCGAGTAATTTCTTCCCCCATTGAATCGTCCCCGGCTGCAAACTATCGAGTAAAATATCTCTCAAAACCACACGATCGATCTCCGGTCTTTCCTGTTCGCCCTCGGCTTGGGGTCGCCAGGGAGGCAGCACATTGTCATCCCAGAGGACTTTTCCGTCGTACTTCATGATTTTGCTGGCTTCGCCTTCGGGTCGGGAATGTTTTTGAAATTCTGAGAGGAGGCCTGCTTCTTTGAGGGCGAGTTGGCCGGCTTTGGGGTGCAGATCGAGGGTTCCGCCTTGGTTGCGTGTCTGTCGCGACGGCTCGGCTTCGTATATTGTGAGGGGGAAGTGGTGGAGTTGGAGGAGGCGGGCGAGGGTAAGACCTGCGGGGCCGGCGCCGATGATGGCAATTTTTGGGTGGGGGGACATTGTGGTTGTGAGGGTTAAGAGAAGGGGTGAAGGTTACTTGATATTCCGTGTGATAGGGGTTTAGAAGATGAGAAGATGATGCCAAGGGGGTTGAGACTCGAAAACCCGAGAAGAGTAGCGTCCCAGTTGCGAGAATGAGATTGAAATGATGAAGTTGAGAAAGGGGGCTTTGAGGTGAGAGACTTCTGGATACTTATATAGAGATGCTTGGGGGCAGCTGCAATGTGAGGCAGTGTTTGGACCCCATTATCAACACTTCTGCCCCCAACTAAGCGGCCGCCCCCTGTCCTGGGCAATCCTGCGGCTCTGGAGTTCCATCTCACTCGCTGCTGCGCACTTTACCAACAGAAGTGGTGATAGTCGCGGGATTTGTGGAGGACAGATGCTGTGCCGCAAGCTCGAGTTTCGGCTCCTTGCTCGGTCCCGACCCTGACTCGGCGTCTCACGCTTTTAGCCGACCAAGCTACAACACGCTTAGGTCCCGAAGATCAACAAACCTCCCACTTCACGAAACCAACATCATCGCTCTCGAATACAACACCGAAACGCAAATAATCGACAGCCTCGTCGTTGACGCGTCACAAGACGTGCAACACCACCAATTGCCCCCTCCACCTCCTCCAACTTCGACAAGCAGCACCATGACCCCCAACCTCACAACCTTCACGCTCTTCACCTGCCTCCCCTTCGAGCTCCGCCTCAAGATCTGGTCCCACGCTCTCTCCAAGCCCAGAACCGTGACCATCGTCTGCCACCGCGAAATGCTCGACCGCGAGCGCCGCTTCGCAAAAGCTTTTACATCCTCCACGCCCCTCCACCCTCTCTTACACGTCAATCGAGAATCCCGCTACGAAGCTCTCTCCCGATACACGCCGTCCTTCACTACGGATACCTCGCCCATCTACACCTACATCTGCTTCGCCCGCGACACTCTCAAGTGCGCCGACAGCGTGCTGGAATATATGCCTCCTCACGAAGTTCGGCAAATTCAGAGGCTCGTGTTAGAGGTGCGTGATGCAGAGTATTTCGGACACTTTCACATGGATGTCGTGAAGCGGATGGAGAGGCTGGAGAGCGTGGAACTTTTAGCAGCCCCGGGAGCGTTGGATTATCGGTGGAATCGCGGGGATCGGTATGTGGGGACGCTGAAGAGGGAGTTTATGGAGAAGAGGTATGAGGATCCGGGGTGGAGGTGTCCCGAGGTGAGGATTGTTAATAAGGAGAGTGGGGAAGAGGTCGGTAGTATTGAGGGGGGGCCGTTGATTGAAGGGTGGAAGGAGGGGTGAGTTCGAAGACGAAAGGTTTGGTGATGCTTGCTGACTTCTTTGACAGGGATGAGTTTCCAGAGGATTTGTTTCCTTAGCTTTTTATTGGGGTGTTGGGAACTTGATTACATAGTCAACTGGAGCCATGCCGCAGCCATCCATCGAGATCATCGAATTTTATTTTGAGTCCTAACGGAAACATTTTGGGATGCCGCTTTGTGCCGTTCTGGGTGTGATCGCAGCGTTCCTTGCACTGATTGAAGGAGGAGTGGGCATCTGGGTCGCACATGAAGACACGAGGAAAAGCTATGAGCTAGATCTAACAGGCCAGAGTCTCGCATATCCCGTATGACTCTTTCTATTGCTTGTATACTCCATGAGCTGATTAAGTGGGAGAACAGCACATACTTCAACTCCCTGAAGACTAGTCAGAATGTTCTGCCCGGTGACTTCGACATCTTTCGAAGGTCGAACGATGCCCTTATCTTGAATGCCACCATCACCTCCAGCATCTTGATGCGTACTTCAACCGTAACACTCTTAGCAGTTCAACGTCAACCATGGTACAAGTAACGGACGGTCTTTTTGTAATCTTCATTCTGATTTCTGGAACGATTATATTCATGATAAATCACCTTAACCTGAGCGGCACAAGCATAGGCCTTCGATCAGACGAGCTTCTTACTCTATATGCGATTTTTATCTTCTGCATTTTACACAATACTAAGTGTTTGATTGCAGATAAAGCAAGCCTAGTCGAAGACTCGCCCCCAGCATCCTTTCTTACCTGGTCCATGTACGTGCTCGGCCTCTGTGTAACGTCCTTGTCAGGGCGATATTTTCCAATGAGCACAATTCTGTTCAAAATGTTACTCCATCGTCTCCTTATACTACATACCATCTTCTCAGATGCGACCTTCTCTGATGAGATTAAAATCCCGCTTTGTGGCATCATTTTTGTACCAGTGGTCCGTGGGATCCCTAGGACCATTGATTTGGGCTTGGAAGCGGGTGCGTCAAGAGAGACGAAACGAGAGAAAATCTTCAAGCTCAAGTTAAATCAGCTGGACAGTACTGCTGTTGTCAATTACTCAGTTTTCATTGGCTTTAACATAGCAATGCGTCGTGCACACTCCTTTGATGCGGACGCATACAGATATATGGTACTGTAAGGATCATTAAGCCACTGGCTTCAAGCTGACTACCGGGTTAGAGAAGTGAAATTTGAAATGAGAAGACCTGCCCTATTCATATTCTTTTCGTTTGTGGCTCGTCAGTGTTTACGTCCGAGGACGTCTGGGCATTCTATCGTTGGATGGCCGCGCTACCCGAAGTGTGCCATTTCCAGCCAGTACAGTCAACCCCGGGAAAATGTAAAACGATAACCCCCCTTCCCAGTACGTCGATTTGGGGGTTAATTGTGGGCCAGGGTATTAACTACTTGTAATTGGCTACTTAAGTTATTTAGAGATCTTAAGTTAGATTTTTAATATAAGTATAAGCTAAAATATTATAAGGCTTATAATATAGTAACGTGCTTCTACACTTATAATAAAAAGATTTCTTGAAATAGAATTTTAGTTTAAAGAAGTTTATATACTAATTAATTAAGTTCTTAGTTCTTGAGCTTATTAATGCCCTATAAATTCGGGGCTTATAAGGCTCTCATATCTAGTTTTAGGGACTTATTCGCTAAATTTTTAGGCTTTCTTGATCTTATCTTTAAGTTATAAAATTTTAACTTTTAACTTCTTTAATTTAAAGAATTAGTACTATTTAGTATTTTTTAATAAGTTTATATTTAAATAGTTCTTAATTAGTGTTATAAGAAAATGAGAAAGTACTAAATTCTATTGATTCCTTATAACTTAAATTAAAGTTTAAGAGAAAGCTAGATTTTTGGTATTTCTTTACGAGCGCCTCTCCTTTGGGGTAGTGTCTAGTCCGGCCCCCAATCGACACCTGGGGGGGGGGGGGGGGTCGTTTTACATTTCCCTCAAGCCCGGGAATTGGAAAAGATTCAGAACTTTCGCAGGGAAGGCAGTGTTATAAATGAAAATAAGACTATAGTTATATATATTAGTAAATGAAGTCACAGCATCGCGAAGCCCAACTAGTCCTTTGTAGCGTGGAGAGGAAATCGAATATGGTTATCAAATTCGTCCCATTTGAGAACGAACAATTCTCGCAAATCGGGATCTTTGAGGAACTTGCAATCAGACTTGTGGCCTTTCTCGTTCCAGCCAGCTACCTGACAGGCCTTAGCACACTTATATTAGCGTCCAATCAACATAATAAGGGGATCAATGGCGGTCTTACCCTGCCGCAATACCAGAAAGACGAACACTTGCTGCACCGATGCAGAGAGGCTGCCTTTTTACCGCACCCGTGACACATTCTGATACCATCAAGCTCTGTTGAGAACTGTTGGACCTGGTCGTTTAAAACCAGCAATTTATGCAGTGATAGTGGAAAGATCTACGTGAAGTCGTATTCGGTTAGCGAACGTAAATGAGGCTTAATTATACAGATTAGCAGTTATTGGAGTAATATTTACCTTGATCATCTGAGGATCCTCATGGCGGATGCCGGGCTCGCAAAACATAAATGCGTGACGCTCTGCGTAGAGAATGGCGACCGTGTACCCCTTTTGAACCTGTGCAGGTACCAGCTCACTACCTCGACTATCGGTATAGAAATATAGTGGAATGGTTGTACCGTCGACATCCTTGATCTCCATCTGCAGACGCAGGAGTGTGGTGAAATCCACAATCTCGCCTAAGAAGCACCAATGGCGCCGTGGTCGGTAACGACCCGTGTGGCTGCTCTCATAGAACTCTGGGTCAACGTCGTTCTCGTCGGGTAGGTCAATGAACCCTGGGAAGGTCGCGCGGCTCCGCAGATTCGCCAGCTGTCCAAGGATTTTTGGTTTCTCCCTCCTCCAAAGCCAGTCTTCGAAGTCGCTCGATTCAAGTCCGCTTGGGGCTTCATCTTCTGTCGTCCTCCACTTCTTTGAAACTCCATATAGAATGTACTTAGAGGGATCCCGTGCTATAGTTCCGTTCTCGATCGCTTGTGTGCTGTCGCCGCCTAGGGCTGTCCTCCACACAGATACCGCCCTCTCCGCGAAGATGCGTCCTCTTGCCAAGTCGCTATTAGCGATGGCAATCTGAGCGGCGTTGACATAGGCCTGCGCTAAACCAACGTCCTCTCTTCCTTGCTCGTTATAGAGAAGAACCTGTTGATCAAAGTAGCGGAGGGTCCGGAGGGGGGATGACAAAACCCCCTCTGTGCCGAGTTGGTCGATGACACCATCCAAGCAATGAATCTCATCCAATCTCCTATCGCTTTCCTGGCTCTGCTCTAGCGGTAGGGAGCAGAGAGGGCATAAACATTCAAAGTCGAACTTTGCCTGAAGAGCTTCACGTCGGGCTTTGCGGTCCCTGAGAACGACTATGTAGGTTATCGTGATCTCTTCGCCTTTGTTAATGTCTCTCAAAGCATGGACTGTGTGTGTCATTGTATTCTCGTTCCAGCCCTTCTGTGCGTTGTTATCACAGGCGTGGTTGATGCGGCATGCTTCGAGGAAGATTCCCCCTCCACTTTCATCAGTATCAATCGGGAGGGTGTTTGTCCGAAGGATGCCGAGATACTGCTCAGCAGTGTTCCCATATGGGTAGATGCTGTGCATGGAGAGGAATCCTTGCCGCTGGTGTTCGCTGAGGGCATCAATTTGCTGGCTAATAGTTGTCCGTAGCCGTTCACTGTTTAGTTCATTGCGAGGTATTGTAATAATGGGCTCTTCGGAAAGAATTCGCGTGCCCTTGAAGATCTTTTCGATTGCGACGAGACCTTTTCCTTTCCCTGGAACATCCTGCAAGGCGTATAGGGGATTGCCTGTCGTGCTCGGCATTGTTACGTCCCTTGCTCCCTTCAAAGTTCCGCTATTCTCATTTGCAATGGAAACTGCAGCGGTAAACTCAGACGAAAAGTTCTTCTAGATGGGAGTTCAGAATGGGCTGATGGAAGCAAACATTGCAAACACTATGGAAGTAAATTTTGTTATTGGATTGGCAAAAACCACGTCGATTCATCCAACTGAGATGGGCAGTCTGGCGTGGCGTGTCGACCTGCTGTGTGACACCACTGACTAGAGGATTGGCTGCACCCATGCGTTGATACCCAACAGGATAACCTGTATCCACTTCAATGCCAAACGACAAATGGAGTTGGCCGGTTCGGTAAGGCCATTTGCGAAGTCTTTCCACAGGTGTGCCTGCTGTATGGGTGTCATTGACGTCGAGGATTTGTCATAGATTCGTCTGTCTTAAGAGTGAAGTCGATCTCGGTGCTTTATTTATCCTACGTGCATGTGAATCGACATTCAACTGCGTCTTGGGCAGGGACATTGTGAATAAAAAGAACATATGTATCGAGACGGGTACATATAATGATCTTCTTCGCAGTGTTCCTACCGTAGTTCTGGAGTTCGTAGCTTGGATCATTGGCCGCAGCCAGCGGCGGCGTCTATCAGCTAGGTTGGCCAATACTGTGAGATGCCAAGCGTCTGATGAGTCCGTACATAGTAAGTGGCTTGTTTTGAGTTTAAGAGAATACGGTCGAGAGATTTAGTGAGAATGGTCGAGAGGTTAACGATAACCTTCCTCAATGTAACTATGTCTAAATTAGATCAAGATATGTAGCTTGTGGCTTTGGACGGAGGGCTCATGATGCCTTCTAGCTATCCAATGGCAGCAAGCCACGTCAATCGGCCCACTTTCCATTACCAGTTGATCTTTTCCTGAAGAAGATATGTACTTATGAAGTAAGACGGCAACCCTCCGTCTATTATGGCAACACGATTGTTACGTCCAGTGTGCGAAAAAATTAATCTGATTAATTGATTAATTCATGAATATTCATGAATAGCGTGAATAGAATTTGATTAACGTGATACTTATGTAATTTGATTAGATTAGAATAATTAATCATGATTATTCATGAATACCTTGATTAATGTACACGTGATTACAGCACGTGATGGTCTAGCCTAATTAAGTAAGGTTCTTGCTCTAGCACTGCCTTAGCGAGCTTTTCTCTCTAGAAGCAAGGTAGCACTAGAGCCTGATCCTTACCTAATTAGGCTAGCCTGTCACGTGCTGCGGTCACGTGTACATTAATCAAGTTATTCATGAATATTCATGATTAGCTTAATTAATTCGTGAATAGAATATGATTAATGAGAAAATTTCATGAATAGATTAGATTAATAGCCATTAATCTAATCTAATCTATTCATTTCTCACACTGGTTACGTCGAAATTCTCCTCCCAACACCGTATCTTCTGGCTCGATATTCATTGCTCGCTCAAAACGGGTTTATCTCCTTCCTCAAGCTCTGCCATCGTGAGCTTGCATATAGGCCAGACTCAAATTGTTCGGCATGGCGCCCCCAAAGCCGAAGTTGCACAGAGAGCCAAAATCACGCACAAGACAAAAGTCGAAACCGCAAGGTTTGAAAACTCGTGGTCTATGTATCCAGCATTGCACGATAGTGTAAGCCGCCTGTTAGAGGAGGATGACGTCTCCTTTACTTTCTTCGCAATCGACGAGAACAAAGGATCTATTGAAGAATACGATACCAATATCATGGGACGCTTCAAGTGCTTGAATAATGTTTGCCCCAATGCAGGATGGGCTAGCAAAATGATTGCTATTACAATACGAATGTATCCCGAACAACACTACAATGCCCGAGTGTATCACCAATGCTGCAAAGATTGTGGAAGTCTCAGTCAGCCATTCTCGGATGATTCATACGCACAGAGAATTGCATATCGTCTCAAAAAGTGGAGTGGTATAGAGATGGATCGACCCTCTTTTACGGTTCGTACGAGTGAGCATCGACACGAAAGCGCTCTATGCGAGGGTTGCAAACACGGGCATTGCAGGTTGAGTTACGGCGTCGCCCCACTATCGTTTCGTATACAAGGAAGTAATACATCGGCTGAGATGAAGTGAGTCGAGTAAAGGTATTGGGATGGGAATGGTGGGATAGAAGCTCTCCCTATACATTTGTTTGGATGTAGGCGAAGCGAGAGTTTTTCGGATTTTTTGATTTTTTTGATTTTTTGAGGATCTCTATGTATTTGATTGGGTCAGGCTATTCTTGCGGGTTGATTTGGATACTCATGATTTTGCCTTACAGCTCCCTTCTCCCCCTTCTTATTTCCATGTATCCACAAGTAAATTTAGATAAATATTGAGTTTCGAGATGACTTTCTTCCATCACGTGATTCTTTTCCTTCAAAATCACCTCACAAGTAAATGAATATCTCCTTTCAATCTAGACCGCACCCAATTTCGAGGCCCTAAGCTTTCCCATATGCTTGCTGATTACCCAAGCCAACATGCTAAGAAGAGAGAGACCGACAACTGCCACTGGGTTGGGACTTGAGTAGATTAAATACACTAAGCGAGCCCCTGAGTTTCGCGAAATTGATCATGCTTCAATTTCCAAGATTCGAATACAAGATGGTGAGAATATAGAGGCTGCTTTTATGAGCAATGTGTTTCCTTCAGCATCGCCTCTCAAAAATTTATTACTAGGTTGATACCGAGAATGTTGCCTTCCCGTGTGTCAAGGAGTAGGAGTGGCGTGACTTTTTAGACGTGTAGGTGGAGGAGTGCGAGGAATGGAGAGAGTGGGAGAAAGATCTTTGCCATGACTATTATTACAGGTAATGGCGGAAGGAGGAGGGTGGAGAGGTTGGCTTAACGAGCAACGTGGGGTGGGAAGTTGACCAGGGAGGAGGAGGATATGGCGTCATGACGGGATGATGGCATAATGGGGAGGGGAAATGAATATACATTCTCCTATAATTTGATAGTTGAGACTATTTAGTCTAATATTCAGCCATTTCTAGACAATCCCGCTATTGGTGACTGGAAATTCGAGAGGTGCCAGCATTCTCGATAACACAAAGGTTTGTGTAAGATCACTCTTTCCTTTCACCTGAAGTGTGTTAGCATGTGTCCCTGATCATTTTCCTTGGGATATTCTAAAAATAGCCAGAAGACTGCTCACAAAAGATCATTCCATCAAAAAACGTAAATCAATGTGCATTCCTTTCCCCCCTCCCCAAAATGGCTTGTTGAGGCCTGACACCTCCATTAGCGTATCCCTCCAGTCGAAATAGTACCGTAACCTTTCGTCCGTAGCATCACCACCCTCCGCACAGAAGGGCGACATTCGATTGTTCAGCGCAGCCGAGGCTCTGGTAAGATTATGCCAAATCCGCTCGAGATCATGCCAGGTTAGCCGGGGCTAGGGCACATACTCCGTCGCGAACGTTGGAAGGATAAGTTCGAACGTCGGCTCCGCACGCGGGATTCCGATTGCTCAACAGGATCATGCTCTTCGATTGTCTCGATTGGGATCTGAGGAGAGATGAGGTGCCTGTTGAATGCTGTTGAAGTTCTTCCACCCGGCCTTCTTGTATTCGAATCTAAGTGAGAACGTCGGTGAGATGTTTGGAGTGTTGCTGCTTGACGGTAGGCTCCCCGGTAACCTGCTTTGAAATCCAGTTTAAGCAAGAACATAAATAGCAGTTTGCGACAGTACTTGCTCTTCCTTCCGCTCGTGCTATGCCTTCGTTTATTTACATTCTGCATTCGCCATCTCCTTTTATTGGAGAAAAAACAATGACAACAATGCTGTCGATTGGGTAACCCGGAACAAAAATATCTTGTTCTTGCCATCTTGCGGGGTTTCCTGGTCTCTCCTCGGAAACTGATTTGGTATTTCTTCGCCAAAAAGGAAACAGGGTTTGGCGTCCGTCCAGGGTTATTGTGACCCCGAGGAGATGGAAGATTTGATAGCTTTCTGGTATAAGAAAACAGATATTTTCAGTGTAAGGAGGGGTGGAAGCTGTCGTGCTTTGAAGTTCGTGGGAGGTATCTTCGAGGTCTTCGAGTCTGAGATGGGGAATTACAAGTAATGGTTTAGCTCGAAAGATGTTTTACACAGGAAGGAGGACTTCGGTAAAGAAAGGATGTGCTGCTGATGCTTATATCCCATTTTGAGGGCTGGAGGGGTTGCGCCCGATGTTGTGGGCAATGACACCCCCACCTCCCCTGTGAACACCATCGTCCTGAATCATATCAAACTAGTACCCGCTTCAAGTTTCCTAGATAGCCAATACTTTAAGACCTAACTCTTGGACTTAAAGCCCCGGTGGTCCTCAAGACGGCGTCTGCGCCGTGTAGCCGAGAGAAACTAGTGTCGCACACCCTCCTGCATTGCTTCAGCCCCAGCCTTCTCACTTCTTCTACCTGCGACTGGATCTGAGATGTAAGGTTACTTGGACTCTCATTGGAAACTGATTGCTTGGCGTTGGGCTCCAATTATGACACACGCCGTGATGGCCAACCCTTCACTTCGAGGAATTCGAAGTGGATGGCGTTTAGCAGGGTTGAGGGAGTTCTGTTCTGAGCCTGTAACTGCGGTGTATGAACATATCATTATTGTTTATTAAGGAATCCTACGACCACATGTTGGCGAAGTTGCCTCATGGGGCATAGGTCCTCGTTGGCAGGTCTCCAAACCTTGTTTTGGGGTCATCAGGCTCGCGCGAGAGCAGGGCTTTGAAGTGGAAAAGTGTCACACAGACTTTCACTTTTCTAATTGGGTAGATCCTGAGGCTTGTATTTATATAGGCTATTCTATCGGAAGGCAAGCTAGTTCGAGCCGGACTCATCCCAGCGTATAATCGGGTAATTAGTCGAGCTACGGCACTGATTGATTCAAATCTAGGCCGAACTCTGAAAAGGGTTCAATTGATCGTGGATTCGAACTTTAAATAATTCAGTTTATTCAAATTCAATAAATATGCCTCGACCGTTAAATTTGACGAATTTTAGTAATATAAAGTATAAATTTATAACTTCTTCAAATAATTTGCTTAGTATTATGTCCCTTTTATTTTTATTTCCATAAATAGTATTAAAAGAATGGAGAAAATAAGAGAGAATACTTACTGTCAAGAAGTAGAGGAGATAACTCATGCTGGAAGGCTTTAAGGAAAGAGGAGTAAGGACATATATCACGTGAAAGTAATGAAGAAAATAAAGAAAAGGAGAGGATAGGATAGGAAATACGAGGAAAAAGGAGGATTTAAGTGTTAGAAGTAAAAGGGGGTATAAAGGAAGTATAAAAAAGCATAATATAAAACTAATATAATAGGGATATAAAAGGAAATATGTATAGTGTAAAACTTTATTAAACCGTCAAATCTTCAACGGAATTCGATTTAAAACTCTAACCAAACTTCGAACTTATAAATTGATTTTATTCGATATCATTCGTCGAATATTCGTCAAATACCCATTACTTGCAAGTTCGATCCGAACCCTAAGAGGTATATAAGGGGATTATATTTCTGGCCCGGTCTAGGATATAAAATTTCTCAGCCTCAGTCAGTAAGGCAAGTCGGGATATCTCGAACCCAGAGCCTGAGACAACCGGAGGACAATGCTGCTGCCACGGGTTGACCAACATCTTCGGCTGGCCCCTGCATCGGCAGCTTGCCGCCCTTTCGAACCCTGCCAACGCCGCCTGTACAGAATGACCGCCACCCGGCCGGCTGATCACATGCACCCAAGCCTCCAGGACTTCGAGGTTCTGCGTTGTAAGGTCGCCTCCCCAACCGCTCGGTTGGTTGCCACGGCCTCCTCGGGTCGTACTTGCGAGAATCAGCAGGACGCCATCAAACACAAACCATCTGAAAGCAGTGAAGGAGGATAGAATGATTGGGTGCCAAATATAAACAAAGAAAAATTGCTGCTGCTGACAAGGATCTAAGTCATCAGTTCATCGAGGTTATGCCTGCTTGTTGGCTGAGAGACTCCCAACCTCCCCCGAATGCAAACCTTACAAGTAAGCAGTGACTTCGAAGCAGGTGCTTGAGACGTCCAGATTCATGACACCTAATGGAAATCATACATGACTCATGCGCCTCTCTCACAACCAGAACTTCAGAGGGGGGGGGGGGGGGGGGTGAAAGACGCCCGTGGAGGCCGTAAGACGTGTCGTATTTCCCACCTCTCAGCCTTCTCCCCTGGCCGCCCCCAAAAAGCTTCCGGGGGCGCGTCATTCCAGCCACCATCACGATTTGGTCCTTCTTACAAATGAAACTTCCCCTCTGAAGCCCATAGGGATGCGTCATGCTCTCGCTTGCAGCGGCTGGTCACTTGAATGCCGGCACTGTGCGGGTCTCCCCGAAACCGTGAGGATATGTCAGTCGAGCCGAGACTCTCACCAACCTCGATCGATACCGACGAACTCTCCGTCAGACACGCGCGAACCTTGAGTCAGAGGACCTGTGGACCTTCCGAAACAATATTGCGGCTCCGTTACATGCACAGCACTCTCCACTCGCCCTACCGACTAGCCCACGGCGTGCCAGACACGTGAACGTCCTCTTAGCCGTCTACAATTTGCCTCGATGACAATCCCTTACACTCCGAGCACAGTGGAACGGAATGGATATGCGGAGAATTGCTAGAGGCGTGCTCACCGCCGGACAATAAGTCCTCAAGATCAAGAAGGCGAAGTACTTGGCACGGATGGCATCGAAGTCGGCCCCAAGAACGTGGCCTGGAGCTCGTCTTATACTAAAGGGACGAGCGTCTCACTGGAGGTGGAGAAGAAGCTGCCCAGGTCACTTGCGAAGCTGCACAATAGGTATCTAAGGCTTTGTTATTTCTTCTCAGCAAGATGTGCGAGTCTGCTGGCTGGTGGCTGGTGGCTGGTGGCCGCGGAACCATAAAACATCCTGTTTCAATAAGATTGACATCAATTGATAAAAAGCCGCTGAAATTGTGGCAAAACCGTCACCGCTGGGCATCCATAGACGCGCGACGCAGGCTAACACACTGTGTAGGAGTGGAGATATACCTCAAGACACATTGCAGTCCAGCCCAACTTGTCCCGAGCAGAGAAGACAGCCTACTTGGCTCATGGAACTCAATATGCGAAACAACACAGATGCAAACAACAACAAAGATTCCACGACCTTGCCATGGAGCGCCTGGTGTCTAGAATCTCAGCTCTCATTTGCCAGAAGGCATCTCACATATCTACAACAGATCAGGTATCTCAACATTAATATCAACATCAACATCAACATCAACACCATCTTCACAATGTGAAATTAAATGCACATTCCCATCCCAAACGCCAGCGCCATCCATATGCATCGAATCCCACCCATATACACACCCTTCTCTTCACTTCACCTCCTTCTCCACCTCTAGACTATAGTACATCCAGATCAAGCGGCGGGATCTCGCCCCTAAGCGTATCCCAGTTCCCCTCGCCCTCCTTCCTATCCTCCTTCAGCACCAGCAACTGGCGGACTCCACAGTAACCGCCTCGCCTTGCTGTCCGATTGAAAGGGACGTAATACCCTTCGTTCCGCCAATACTCTTTATCCTTCAGCTCGCCTACAAGTCCCCTCCTCCTCACCCTTCCCAGCCCTCGTTTCCCCGCGGGTCCAGAATCATCGTGATCGATACCAATGGGACCCGATGAATCCCTGCCCCCAAATCCACTATTGAAGTCCCTGCTGCTCAGGCCGGAGCCAAACTCCGCCATCGCAAGCTTGATCTGTTCTTCCTCGCTTTTCCCAGACTTGAGTGAGATCCACAATTTATCTTGAATGACTTGTCCCTCCACCTCCGCCCGTCGAGGGTTGAAGCGCGGCATCCTTGCTAATCTGTTGATGATAGCTTGCGGGATGGAAAAGAGGGCTTCGAAGTGTTTCGCAAGCCAGATCCATTTTTGCGTACCAGCCGAATACGAGACGCGCACGAAGGGGTTCATGTAAATCCCCGTATCCCACTTATCTGGCTGGTCTTCGTGCTCTGGGTACGTGAAAGTTGAGATAGGGGAGGCGGTCATGATATCAGCGTGGATGAGGCAGCATTCGCTGCTATCCCAGAACGGCTCTTTCTCTGAGCGAAACTTCAGCGGAAGTTGCACTTCTTTCCCGGACGATGCTCCTTTCGTCGCCCCAGCTTGGCTGCTGGTGGGAGATTGGAAGAACGAGCCGTCGAACGCAACCATTCCACCCCAACAACTCTTCACTCTCACTCTGTCTTTGCCCGCCAGTACATCTCGTCGACTAACTGCATGTCCGATGTTTGCGAACCAGGGGTAGATCGGCACGCCGAGGGAATAGCCCTCTGTGTCCCGTGTAGCGAACGTGTCGTAGTATTTCCACGGTTCGATGAAGTCTGTTGCACACACCGCCTTGGTGACTTTCTTCCCCCCATTCTGGCTTTCCACCCCGTCACTTCCCCACAGTAATCTCAACGCCCCTTCAACATCAAAAAACACATCGTTGATAAAAAGTACCTTATCCCACCTCCTCCGCCCATCCACATGGCTCAACGCCATATTCCTAACCTCAGCCAGGAAGCTAATCCTCTCCACGCGTTCCTGTCCAGACGGTAATTTCGTCTTCCCGATCGCCTCGACATCAACCGGCATCACCTCCTCACTAACCAACTCCCTATTCCCATCCCTCAGCCCCAGTTCCTCTAACCGCTCATCCAACTCTTTCAATGCATTGGTCGGTCCACCGTAAATTGACACATAGATCCTCTCAACCCCAATACTCTGCACCAACTCCACAATCCTATCTCCCCACGCCCCCCTTACAAGGTCCCCATCAATGATATTCGCAGCCACAAAAACTGTCTCCTCTCTATTGACCTCGAATTTCGGCGCCTTGCTATCCGCATACGGGACATTGAATATCGTCTGCCACCCCAGAAATATGACGAGGAAGAGGAAGATGTACAGCGGTCTACAAACCCTCGAGAGGAATCGGCGGAAGAGGCGAAGCAGAGCGAAGAAGACGCCTCGTCGTCGGTGTCTGCGTGTTAATATGCGAGGTTTGTCTTTGAATTCATCGGAGGACGAGGGGGGGCGGTCCTCGATGTCGGAGGAGGTGCGGGGAAGGGGCTCGTATGTTGCGCGGGAGATGGGAGGCATTCTTGCGGATCTAATTCGTGCTGAGAAAAGGGAGGAGGGTCGTTAGGTCATTGGTTCCAATGAATGAATGGGGGTCGGTCTAGTATGTGCGTGGGATGCTGTGTCTTTCTCTCTCAATCTGTCCGCCTAGATGCTTGTGTAATTTCGTCGCTTTGCGCAGAGGGAAGCCGTGAGATCAGGTCATTGCCTCGCGTCGTGATAGGAATCGTGTGTACAGTAAATTATATTATTCGTGTGTTTGTAGATGGCGAAAGAGATCGATTCATATCATAGGTGACATTGTTGACGGACGAAAGAAAGTTGGAGGTTGCCGAAGGTCAGGTGTTGAGGAATCCCAGCGCGGCTGTGCACTCCTGCAGCTACGCGTGTCGCACCTTGGCTGTGGGGAAACGGTGCCTGTGGACCCTCCGTTGAGGCGAAGTATCTGCCGATCTTCCTCTCTTTCCTCGACCATTATTTAGAAAACCTACTGGAAAATTGAAACATACGTTTAAGCAATCGTGATATCAAAACACTATCAAGAACGGCTGTTTTTTTAAACATCACAATTAGGTTCCAGGAGACGGCACCGCCAGTCCGGGGCCGGTCTGCATCGCGACCCGCCTGTCAATCGCCACTATTTCAGGGTCCAGAACTAGCATCACGACGAACGAATAACTAGACCCAAGGTGCACAAGCTCGTTGATTTTTGGGTCCAGCCCCTATGCTAAGGGACCATTCACCCGCGTGTGCTCATATAATACAATCATCGGCCTCCGCAACTCGCCCACTCCAGCAAAGCCATCAGTCAGGTCCAGCCAAAGCTTAGCTCAACTATCTATCGAGTATTATGTATGTGCAAACCTCCAGCTCCTATCCCCAGAGGGAGAAGCCAGTGCATGAGGAATACAAAGTAGGGGCAATGACAACCAGGACAATTGCGCCTACCGCCAGCAGCCTATGTATGCAGCTATCAGCATTGTCGGTAATTGGGGAATCTTCTACTCGTAACAAAATCGCGAAATGGAATAAGACATTGATGAAGGGAGAAAGAATGCGTCAGTAGCCGCAACAGGCTTACGTATAACTGCCTCTGCCACCGCAGAGTGCACGAATCAGTCCTCCGATCCAATCAACGAACACGACACGCCAGAACGCCTTCAGGAGGTTCTTGGATTTGGTGTCTCTGGTGGCTGAACGCATGGAGCTGGGTGTGATGGGTCGTTCTGGCGATTGGGATCTGGGGTTCTTCCGGGACTTGACTTGGCGGCCGTTCTCTTCTTCGATGCCTGTGCTCTTTGCAGCGTCGAGTGGCTTCTGGACGAATTCTGTCTTCAGTGCAGCTGGGGTTGCTGGTTGGACTGTGATGTTTGGACTATCGCCGTCTGTGGATATCTCACGAACTTCATCGTCATGACCAAGTTGTCTGTCGCCAACCACGAATGGGGTAGTTGGCAAGGGTACGTGGGGTTTCTCACTCGAAGTCTGCTCGACAGGCGCAGGAAGGGGGGTCTCGGGGCCGACTTCATTGACCTCACTCGAAATCCCCTCTGGTGCCGCCGTTCTCTCTTCTCTCTGCTCTTTGCTCGTCATTTCTGGCTCGCCGCTAGCTCGTGGTACTTCAACACTGGGCGACTCTTCTGTCTTTTCGACAGTCGCCTCCTCAACCTCGGTGATATTTGAAAATTGAGGCTGGTGATTTTCTTCTGCAACTTTCCCATCTGGAGTCTCCTTTGATTCGACTTCGTCCTTTGCCTGCATAGTTGGCTCGACCTCAACACTTGGCTTCGTAGTAATCTTTTCTGGTCCGATTTCAGTCGACTCAGTGGACTCGGGCTCGACAGCTTCATGAGGACCATCCAAGCTTGCCTTCTCGGTTTCTTTAGGCGCTGCAATGCTGTCATCCAACCACTTGCTCAAGGCTTTATTCTCTTTCTCTCCATTTCTGGATGCCAACTTCGAGACTTTAGGCATTAAGACAAGTGTTTCTTGCAGATCGTCATTTTCTTCGGTGATCGAATCAAGAGACGGTGAAATTTTATGCGGAACCACGGCTGGCGATGGCGCTGGCGACCGTCCTTCAAGAGGTTGACCGTTTGGTCCAATAACGGGGGATGGCGGAACGATATCCAAATCAGGGACGTCTTCAGGCAAGCGCTCTGAGAGCCTCCGAATCGTGTCGAGGATTGATGTTCGGTCAGTAGGGAATATCTCAATTGAAGGATCATTCCAATCGACAGCCACGGCTTCGTCATATGGCGAACGGACGGGCTCAAGCGGATCGATGGGAGGTTGGCTACGAGTCGGAAGTGCGGGAACACCGATATCATCCTCGCCGAGACATTCATACGCAAATCTTGGGGCTTTCTGGGATGCTGGAGTACTCGCACCAGAATCCAGAAGATCTTCCTCATCATCTTCTTGGATTTCTGACGCATGGGGTGCAGTTTCAAGGTGAAGCTGATGCTGTTAGTAAACCATTTCAAGTAGAAATTCGAGAACTTACTGTAGGTCGCTCATCGAGCGTAGCAGCAACATCCGCAACCTCTGCAGCTGTCTTTGCGACCTCGGGAATCGGGGTACTTGACATTCTTCTGTAACCAATACGTCCAGCCTCTTCGTCGGACATCGGTGGTGTGGGTGGATCTCTGTCCCTGTCAAGCAAGGCAGCGGACTCGGAAACTTCAGCAGCGGTATCAGCAAGTTCTGGCGTGCGAGACTCTGATCTCACGACCACATGGTCTGGCTCAGCGTCCCGGGAGCGGGGGAGATGCGCATCCTTCTGTCCAACCGTTGCTGCCGATCCGAAATCATCCCCATGTCGTAGTTCATCGTCTACCTTTTCGATGATCAAGGTTGGCGATGAGTTTGTTGTCTCTGACGATGGTTGATCAACTTGAACTGCCGGTGTGGAGGTTGGTTCATGAGTTCCGGGAAGAAATGGAGCGAGGGAAGCCGAATCAGTTTGGCGTCCTGCTTCTTGAGAATGAGCAGTATCGGTAGGATGTAGGAGAGAGTCTGCGACGTGTTGTGTGCGCGCACTATCATCTTCGGCTGCTGCTGGGGTAATACTGGCGTCTTCATGGACGTGATGTACGTTTAATTGAACTTTCTTTGGGATCTCGACCGCCTCCTCTGCGTCTGCCTCCTCTGCGTCTTCAACAGACTCTGGAACTGGTGTGTTCGTGTGTGCGGGTGTGATCATGGTGTGATCCTTAGGCTCTGCTTGCTCTTTTGACGTCTCGACTTCTCTTCCCTCGCCTTTGGTATCAATCGGGGCGTCCTCGACTATCTTTTTGCCTGCAAGTGCTTCTGAAATTGTGCTCGCCATCTCTGCAACAGGATGTGAGGTCGCCTCCGCTGCTGCCGGTGGATGTTCGTCGTGTTTGGGTTGTGCAATTGGCTCTTCGCTCTCGGGGATAGAAAGAAGATTATTTCGGTTGCCAACGTCATCGGTAACTGGAAAATATTTTGTCAGAAGCGATCTCGGACGGAAAAATCAGGCTGTGGAGAGAATTCACTGTAGATTCGCGAATGTAGATCGGGTTCATACCTGTAGGCGAATCCTCGTTCAACATCCACCAATCGCCCTCACCAACGCGAAACTTGTATTGATATACATTCCCCTCCTCAGCTTGAACCTCTTTATAGAATTCGTGCTCGCCGGCTTCGTTCGTTGTATACTGCATCTCTTGTGGATGCCATGCTGGATCGGAGAAGGAACCAGCGAGGAAGAGCGGGGGCTGGGTTCCCGGCTTCGAATACTTGACAGTCACGGAGACTGATTTGGGCGCCATGGCGGCGACGGTGGATAGATGTGTGGCAGAGTTTGGTAGGATTTGATTGTGTAGAGGATGGAGTTTGGGTTTGTCGTGTTGAAGAAATCCAGGTCTTCAGCGGTGCTGCTGCGAATGCCAAACGAGGAAGGAGCAGCCCTAACACTCAAAATTTAGCCCATGAATTGCGGAAGCACAGATTTATAGTCTCAGGGGAAAGCACACAATAGAAATTCGAGTGAATGATACTGTCGTTGTTTGCAGAGGTGGGGTTCCGGTCATACGATTCGAATGATGAGAATGGTGCGACCTCCCAACTCACCATATGCCCACACCAAAACAATGCAGAAGGTGTCTCTTCACTATCAATCACCGTGTACACTGATCGTCAGTTGACAAGTGCATTGGGGACGAGGAGTGAAGTGTGTTTGTGTCGACGCAATTGCTACGCTGGCTGACGAGATCCTGGATGTTCCCTCGAGCAGGGCTGAGCAAGGCTGGAGTGGATCAACAATGCCAGGGCGTTGAACAACAAACACGACAAGGGACCAGCTCAGATTGAGTCACTGGGCAGTAGCTCAACAGCAACGATTACGAAGAACAACAGAAGAGGAGGCCGTGAAGTTGAATTAAAGGTAGCTGACAGACAACCACCTCGGAAGAATCCTTGGATGCTTGGATATGCAAGCCATTCCAATCATCATCCGCTCTCGGTCTCCCCACTATCGAAATCTTGATTGAGTGCATCGGAATGGCAGAATATCCTTGGAGTCAGCACATGCCAATGCCGTGCTGCGCCAATCAAATCCCTGAGGTAGATGCGCCACAGCGGCCGTTTCAAGACCAAGCCACCATGACTTCACGCCACAGTGAGATCAGCACGAGCTGAGGGTTGGTTGAGATGCTTCGCTGTTGGAGGACGCGGGAATGACTTTGAAGTTAATGCAAGTGATTAAGAAAGAAAAAGTACATCTAGTTGTAAATTTTCCGCACTGAATAGAGACAATTTTCCATGTTTGTTGCTCTGCTCTGATACTCGTCACCGCTATCCCTTATCGGCCGCGCCTCCTCGCTAATAGCTTGACACCTGACTGATGAGGCTTCAAAATTTTCCAAGCTCTTCCCAAAGTCAACAAAAAGACAGCTCAGGGCGTCTTCTGCCAACGCGTCAATCTTTGAATACACAGCGCGTCAGACCTGTCTCGAGCATCTTTGGCGATAATCCGTTGATTCTAAATCACTCTCCTCTTCCCTCACAACCAACAGCTACCCGCATCCAACCATGTCTCTCCCGCCAGCCACAATTAAGATCAAGAGGAAGCTCGGAGATGATCCTGTTGATTACCTCCGTGGGCTCATGTGCTCTCCACTCGAGGCACCAATGCTAATTACATTCCTGCAGAGATTCATCATGCAGAGGGAAAGAGACAGAAAGTGCCAGCCGGCTACATCTTTTCCCGCCAGCCAACTGACGATGGCCCTGCTTCGAGCCCACTCGATCCTCAACCCGTCCGTCGAATAAAGCAACTGCATCAGTCTGCCAGCTCACAAGCACTCCGCGCATCTTCGAGTCAAGAGAACCCAGCACCAGCACCAGCAACCCCTCTAGGCAAAGATGTCTTACCAACAGCTACCCCACCATCCACTCCTCTCAACCATACCCCTCGAAGATTTCATATGTCAAGAAGTGGGACCCCAATTAGTACTACACCAGCTATAGCAGGTCGTAAGCCCAAAGATGCCACGGTTTTCATAGAACGGAAGCGTTGCCGAAGCTCAGACCGAAAACAACAAACACCCCAGCCTGACGAAGTTGCGCAACTGGATGTCACAAAACAAGATGTCCCTCAGCAAGATCAAGAGAAGCCAGGCCCAGGCTTCGCGGCTTCTCAACCAGAAGACAGACCAAGAAAGAAACCCGGCCTGGCAGCTCGATCCTCCACACCACCTATCCGACCCACCTCTCCACCAAAGCCTCTCGCCGCACCCTCACGAGGTGTCCGCCTCGCGTCCGGCGCGATGTTGCCATGGGATGGCTCCGAGCGCCTCGCAGCAGAAATGCAAGCATACACTCTCGATGAAATCGGCCGGACACTCGCTCGCCAAGAAGAAGAAGCCGCAGCCGAAGCGAACCGGCTCGCAGCACTTAATGAGAAGTCCGCTTCAAGTCCAGTCCATAAGTACTCCTCGAAGTTCAAGCCGAAGAAACCTGCGTTGCGGTATGTGGAACGGCATCCCGAGGCAACGGTGGAGCATGAGCATGAGGCAATGGATGTAGATGAACCGCATATTGGTGCCGAGGACGAAGACATGGACGATGGGGAGTATATCATCGATACGTACGTCCGAATCCCAGCCGATGCGTTGGAGACGGAAGAACAATCGAAGAATTTCGGTCTTTTGGTGCTGGATTCACAGCCTGACATCGATGAGTTCTATCAAGAAGTGGATAGTGAGGAGGACGACGATGAAGAAGAGGATGAAAACGGTAGCCTTTCTCCCCTCATCGTGATTTGATTCCCTAACAATCTTCCAGCGGAAAACCACTACACAGCCGACTACCCAGACGAAGAAGTAGCCTCAGACGACGAATTTGACCGCAACGCATACAACTACCGCACAGGCAATGCCTCAGATCTTGAAGAGTATGATGAGTTTAGTGACGAGCACGACGTGGCTTTGAGTGACGATGAGAACGAAAGCACTAAATACCCGTGGAAAGCGAAGCAGCCGCCGTGGATGAAGCGGCCAATTGAGAAAAGCATCTTGGATGAGGACGGGAGAGAATAGATGGCCCAGGCGGATTTTGAACAGATCATTTGTGGATATTGTATGCAGGTAAATAGCTCTGCGTACAAAGTGACCTCTCGTACCTTTTCCACATCCTACCTTCGGTCACTGATCCTAAACACGTGATTCCCCCCTTTCCCGAAGCTGGGACTTGCTTGAAAGGCCAAGGCTTCTTCTTCAGACTTACTGCAATGATTCCTTTCTGGCTAGCTCTCATTGCTCATGTGTTTTTGTTTCATATCGCATTTGGCTACAATTGCTCTTCTGAATCAACGAATCGACGAAAGACTTTATCAACTTAATCAACTCGCCTCCAACGCAACTCCCGTTCCCCTCACACCACCTTGCGACCTACTCTTTTTCTCAAAAGAGATTAACTCTTTACTGCCTGTTTTTCATCTGTTGAAATTTAATGAACTATGCTGTTAATTTCCGACTCGCGCACTTCTTTATTCGCCTCTCCTTTGTCTTACAAAGTTCGTGGCAATATGCAATATAATGCCCTTTACTTATTCAAGAAAAGCTCAGCGGAGCCTCTCTTCACTATAAAATCATTTGCATTTTCCAACTGTTTCTGTTGCATGTCGTATCCTGGGTGCATTTGCTTCTACGGATACAAAACGGAGGCGAACGTCGAGTCAAGTCGATTATTCGACGAATCTCTTCGGTTCAACTGAACACTACCTATATCTCCTCAATTTATGACATTCCAAAATAGAACTTAAAAGATTCTGGGTCTTTATATAGTACTTGAATAGCAAGACGAGTATTTGCTTTGAAGTAGTTGGGGTCTATTCGGCTTCGTCCATCATTGCCGTTTCATCGACTTGACTTCGCTCATCTTTTGAATTCGTATGACCCGAATCACCTTCAAGATGCGATGTGCAACAAAAACGCGTGATTTCCCCATCTAGGCCGAGAGTGAATACTGAAAGGGGTTGCAAACTTCTTGAAAGATGAAAGGTGAAGTAAAGGGGGCGGGGTAAATAAGCGAGGACTTCCTCGACTTCCTCTAATTTCAATTGTTGCTCAGGGCATTATGTACAGTCTTCCCCTAAGAAATCGTACCTCTTTTCTATATTATAAAATCATTTATATAAACTTTTCCCTTCTATATTTCGATGCAATTAATCTGCTTTCCTTTGCCTCCTTCTGGAAAAGAGTTTGTACCCGGAATCTGGGCTGAGACCTTCGATAGGCTGAAATGCGTGAGAATGGTTCGCGGGCTTGGTTCATGTTAGCAACCAGGGTAATAACATATCTCGCCAACCATGGGTTGAGAAGGAGTTATGGAGCATGTCCTCAGGGTGCAGTGTCGGTCAAGGTATGCAACGCCGTTGTAGGGCTAAAACGGGGTCACCGTCTTGGCATCTAAGACACTGCTTGTTCAACTCGCAGCCCAAATTACAGCTTCATCTTCATCAATCTTGTGAATACACAGGAATGGCTCTCCGGAACTCAAAGCGATCTTTTGCCTGAACCTTTACTACACCGAATTGCGGCCAGTTCCAGCTACTTGCACCGTGGAATGTGTTCGCGACGAAGCTTGCTTTCGCGTCTGGTCGACATTTTGTACATTTATGATCGAGGCCAAGGATGCCAGGGATATGACAAATGATGGAACAGAGTGGCGTGATCCACGATGTGCTCTCCAGCTCTCGATGAGATCGCCCGCAACTGGGAAACATGTGCTGGAAAACTCAAAACTTCCAACCCCGTGCATTTGCAAGGAGTTGCAAGAAAGACGCCTTGCGAGGGCTCATTCCCTGCAGTTGAAAAGCTCTATTGAAAAAATGAAAAAATGAAAAAAAGAAATGGGCAACTGGTTTCGGGGGGTGACTTGGGCGACCGAGATGGTGCCAGGTGTCGACGTTTCTTCCCCAGTGAGACGGCGACGGCCCATCCAGTACTCGCATTGCGACATGTATCTAACGCTTTAGAAGTAGACCACTAATATAAATTCTCGTACAGGATTCGACACCAAGCCACCGAGTCAAGCGTGGCCGGCAAAACCAGTTAGAGACATAAAGTACTCGACATCATGGAATCTCTCATCCGTCTGAGCATCCTTCCCACCTGGCTCTTCTCAACGGAAACACAGTTAGATGTTCCGAACTCCGAGATGCCGCTCCATTAGAGATGATACGAACACTTTGTGAATCGGAAGCAAGATTTGTGGAAGAAGCGACACGGCAGAGCCACCATGACTTGTTTGTCAGCGCTAAGTCATATGTTAGGATGCTTGCTAGCGAAGAGATCTATGATCGAATGATGAATGCATCTCTACCCCGAAGTCTGCAACAACAGATCACCCGCTACAATCGATCTTTGGAAACGCATGATACTACGTCACTGAGACGAATCGAGGAGAGTGGCACAGACTTATCGTGGATCGGAGACGGTTTCAAGATGAATACCGAGCCCTCCGGCACCTCGAGCAGTGTGTCATCGAGCTGCAACGCGAAGAACGTCTTCACTCTTCGATCCTCGGCGCGCTGAATGTGCAGCTCGACTTGCTAGTCCCTGATTTAAGTGCTCTGAACGGTCTCTTGAAAACCAGGAATGCCGTAGACTTGATCTCCAAGAGCTTTCAACACGGGTTGCGAGAAGTTTGAGAGGCGGACGAATTGCTTCGAGATGCAGAGTGAGGCGTCGAAGTTTGTTTGGAGGTGGCTGATGAGTGTAGGGATGTAGAAGACCGGTAGTTGGTACTGGGCTCAGTGGCCTGGGATCTTCATCAACATCGAAAACATAATACGTTGAGGCGGGAGACTAAATGGATGTTGTGAGCCTTTGCCATTTGGGGAGGTTGAGACTTTCGCGAAACGTCGGAGAGTGATTCCAAGATTGCGTTGTTGCTGGTAGAAATTTGGATTTGATTTTAGTAGAGGGGTTGGTTGTGGGGGGTGAGGGTTGTTTTACAAGAATTGGGGTCAGAGGAGAGGAGATGTTTCTTGGCCAGTGCTGGGTGTTTAGGTTTGGGGGTGGTAGGTTTGGTAATAAAGGCATGGAACGAATGACTTGGGGACTTCTTTCTAGATGGGAGGTGGAGCGTCGGGAATTTGAGGTGGATGGATTCGGCCTCAATTTTGCTATGAGGTCCTTCGAGGCGAGCGAGGCAGATGGAAGGGATAGGTGTCTCTTGTCTCGTGTGCAGTTTTCGTAAAAGTTTTTTTTTGGCTTGGGTAGGGAAGGAGAAACGGCCGAGGAGCGGTGTTGGCGGCATAACGAAGCTCTTCTCCGGAACAGAGAAAGCAGTTGCTTGATGTTTCAGACGGTACAGTACAAAGCATTAACAGCTATAGTAACTTGCATTATTACGCTTCACCTTGGCAAACACATCATAAGCGTCGTCATCTCGCTCCTGAACGCTCAGATCATCAGTATCTTCGTCCCCTAAATATAGACCAGGGTTCCTGTTGACAGCCCTTTTTTCAACCACCAACACGGCACAGAATTGGGCCCCGAGGTACCGAGCCTTCCTTCAGCGGCACTGCCACGGGATATTCATGCCGTTGCTGATTTATTAATAGGATGGCACGGTTAAAAGTGGGTTCTTGACGCCAGTGGTACCTGGGACCCCGGATGAGGACAGCTCACTGGGAGTATTTGAGACCGATAGCCAATGATATCAGTTACCTTTTGAGTTTGATTTCATCTTGAAACTTGGCGGGAAACAAGTCCAAAGTGGAACGGGGCTTCACCATCTGTACTTCCGCAGTCATGCATCCCAACATCGAAGACACAAGTCTTGGCGGGAAACAGGCTAGCCTGCCGCTGACTGATATGGTATTGAGGATTAGATGAAGCTTCATAATCGCTTTTCTGGTTTCATAAGGTTCGTTCATGGTTCCTACCACTGCTTTGGCCGCGTAGTCGTTGGTCAGTCAGGAAATGCAATCTTCAAACCCATTGCAGGTGTGTTCATGTCTGTTGGCAAAAGAACTTTGTCCGTTGGTATATGCTTGCAAAATTCAAAGAATAGATATGTCAGACTCGATCTGCTTTCATTAATTGTGATTGGCGTTGGTGAAAACCGGGGAAGCGATGCGAAATAAGGGGTAAATTGGGCGATTGCCAGCGGGAGTCGCTATTTCTCGCGCCACAGAGACTATTCGACAAAATGGTGCTGGAAATGAGTATATCAAAAGCTCATGTTTGTCATGATTGGCGAGATGAGGAGCAGATCACCAAGAGTTTGATTTTGTCCCTCATCGGCTTTAGGACATCATAATCTCTCGACTCGAACAAAGTAGTCGAACGGGGTGTTGGCATCTTCACCGCTGCAATTTCTTGGCCGGAAACGGTATAATCTGTCAAAATGGAAGCAAAATATTGTTACACCAGGTTTATATGAGATTTACAGACTGGTTGTTGCGGTCGGTCGAGGAATTGCAGACTCAAGATATGTCATTATCGTCCAATAAACTCTCTGGTACAAATCCAACATACAAAAAATCCCAATCTCAAAGCCCCTTGTGCAGCCTCCAAAGCCAAAATCCAGCGCCAAAGTGCATAGCTGCAGACATTTACAAGACAAGATGGGTATCTCAACACAATGAATCTCAAACCACCGACCGCCGCCAGCATCAATTATACCCATCAAACAACCCACCCCAACAAACATAAATCACAATTTTGAGGATATAAATGAGGCCCTTCCTTGGACTTGTGCAAGCCGCATGGCCAGTTCCTGGCTCTGGCCATCGATCGTCCTCAGAGCGCGCTGATAATTCTTCCATTCTACCAACATATCAGCAAAGTCTCCCAGCACATCGTCAACGGAGAAAACTTACTTTCAGACTTGTCCCCGTTCCGCTGCTGAAGTTTACCATCAAGCTCTTGCAGAACTCTCATCGCCTTCCTCTTATCATCTGCCGTCACCCAGTCATAAACCAGCGCCCAATCAGGATGCACATCCACAAACAGAAACGGCTTGTGCTTTCCCTCCTCTGTAGCCCTCTCCCGCACCTTCGCAGCTTCCATCACGAATTTGCCATTTCTATCCAACATCGGCTCACCGTTCTCACCAAGCTTGGGCAAGAGGTTGCTTCGGTAGTAACGACTGGTGATACACGCTACGCTCTCGCGCACCTCGCCCGGGAATTGTTCGTAGAAAAGAGCGTGTACTTGAGGCCAGAAGAGTCCCAAGTCTTGGCGATGATATCGCATCCAGTGGACCTGTTCACCTGTGTAGGGTTTGTTCGAATGAGGCCCAGGGCGATTGCGCTTTGATGGTTTAGTGACGCGGCTGTTGGCTCGCCGAGAGGATGTCGTGACACTCTGGTGGGAGTGGTAGGAGGACGGGTGGGAGATGTGGATATTGTGCACATGAACGGGAGTGTTCCAGTAAGCATCTCGCGCTCGTTCTTCATCACAGCGTTGTCTTGGGGAGAGGGATCCAGCGTGTTCCCAGCTCAGGTGGTGGGGACCTTGTGGCCCAGTCATATAGTTGCTCCGGCGTTCAGGTTGATTGAGACCACGGTGTTGCGGACTAGACGGAGGTGGTGTTGGGTAGCCGTGATATAATGTAGGGGTGAAGGCATGTTGTTGGTAGCACTCAGATTGGGGAGACTGCGGAGGAGACGGATTGCCAGCGCGCAGATGATAGGCAAGTGGGAATTGATGATGGCCTGGCACAGCTGGCTCCAACTCCATGGATGGGAAATAGAACTGTTGTACTCCTCTTTCGCTTTGAGGAGAGTCGATGGAAAATTGGTCGGATCGGGTCTGCTTCTCGATTTTGTGACAGGATACTTCCGACTCGCCCGCCGAGGGGTTCAGCATAGCACGGATGTCCATCGGATTGTTTTTACACAGAGAACTTTGGCTCGGGCTATCGAGAATAGCACTCAGGCTCATTGTAGAATCGCTTTGAGTGTCTTGCGAGTCCACTTCGTCGCCGCGTGAAAGAGATCTGAGCGGTTGAAGTGTTTGGATGAGCATGAGGGTAGATTGATCAAGTCAAATCGATCCCATAAAAGATAGAAGTGTTCGCAATTCACGGAAATTTGACGAGGCTAAAGTGTAGGTGGAGGCTGAGGCAAGAGTAACGAGACAGTCAAGTTGTGTGGGATGGTTTTCGTCTTCGGATGTTGTCGTATTGAAGTAGTGGGGAAGAAAGGGCGGTTGGCTTTAGCAAAGGAACAGGATTCAAACCCCGAAGTCTCAAGCAACTGCAGCCGGCTTCCCCAACATAATATTAAAACTCCTGTGCAAGCAATTCTTCAAGGTGCAGGAATGAGGGAAGTGGGGTCACGGCCGCAGGGGTCTGGCCGATGTGTGGCAGAATAAAAAAGGATGGATATCGTTCGAGTCTCATTCGACCAAACGTTCCAGAGCTCTGGTTTACATATTGATCTTCAACATTACGATATCACTTTTGTCTAGAAAGGGTCAGCTTGGCATGGATCAGTGGATTGCCTGCTCGCTTCTTTCCGAGGGAGGATGGGACGTGATTGGGAGCCCGGCAATGCCTTTTGCGGCAGGCTTGAGCCAATAACATTGAAGGAAATGTGGCCATTTCGAAGTGGGGTTCCGGACCCAACAAGTTTCAGCTGCAACTCCCGCACCAAAGCTAGATTGTCACCGAGCTATACGTGGCCCAATTGTTATTAAAAGGCTTCATAGGCTCGCCTAGAAAATAAATCTAAACGCCATTCGCAGGTCATTCAGAAGTCCTTCACCTAAATCCCTCTTTTTCACATGTTCGTCAGCTTCCAAACCGAGGCTTTCCGGGGTCGTCGAGGGTGCTCATGCTGTGTTCACACACCGTGCACTCAATCCTTTCTTCATGTAACACTTGACAACCTTGAAAGTTGGTACTAGGTCGAGGGAAGGATCCCATAGGCCCAACCGAATACTCGGGATGGAGAAAACGGCACGATGAGAACCCATGCCACGTCAAAGTTCGGTCAGCTGATTTGCAAGCAAATCAGCTTCCTTACAAACAGCCATTGTTTCAAGGGGAGGTTATGACCAGGGAGAAATACAACCTAGCTTTCCCGTCTTGCCCAATAAGTGTGCGACACGGCACGACTTGGATTTCTGCAGCTTCGCCTTACGTTGGGGGTCCCGGCGCTTAACGAAGGTATTTAAGAACTTGAAACGAATCAAAAGATTTCGAGGTGGCAGTGGCGCCTATCTTGCTTCTTTAATTCAACGGCGAGGTAGCGTAGCACGATGTTGATCTCACCTCACGGAGGTTGGTTCTAAAGAGCCAAAAGCATAGTCTGTTGCTAAAAATACACTAACCTGTCAGTTTCTAAAGTTTCATGTTGGTTGGTTTGGCCGCAGAAATCGCCCTGGGCAGGCGAAAAACACCATCCCAAACACTTCGCGACTACAGGCGAACCTGCGCAGATGTGCCATAAAACTGGAGTCTATCATGCCACCTGAAGACACTTGCATCTGAACTGCTGAAGAGAGAGCATGCCGGCTGTCACGGGAACTAGCAAGCGCTTTTACCGAACTCCCACACGGGAGGTAAGACAATTGTACACAGACTTTGCCGAATGAGGAGCAACTCATACACGGAAAGGAGGCAAGGAGAACGTCTCACTAAAGGTATCAGAAAGACACATTTCATTGTATATCTGAAAGCTCGCAAAGAATATCGCAGATGTTCAGCCGCGTGCGCCCTCGACAAGGCTGCAGATTCCAACAAACAGGATAGGCAATCAGCGAAGACCCTGAATTCATGAAGAGGATGACTCGTTACATCGCCATGAGGACACTCCCCGTCTATGTGCTGAAAGGAAGCTGTATCGAACCTTATAGACACGCAGTGCACCCCACGCTTTGATGTCCTAGGGCGGAAGTGGGGGAGCAACTGAATCTAGATCTGGGGTCCCGCGTTGAAAACCTGGTTTCGATCATCCGCTGAAGATGCTTTTTCAATTGCCGAGACATGTATCGGAAGCTAAAGCCACACCGCTCGTTAGTGCGGAGCTCCATCCGAATTACTGGAGGGTTTGCTTGGCGAGGTTTCAATTTCAAATGTGACCCTCATGCGGAAAGACGTTTTGAGATATAAAAAGGAAAACTCGATCTTTGAATTAGCGGATCGTGTCCTCCTAGACATATGGCTGGGGAAAAGGCAAAGTCACCGCATCGGAAGAGACAACGCAGGCGCCACAAAACACACATGCATAAATTAGGCTATGCACACGATCGCGCCAACTGTCATTAAGTCTGTAATGCCTGCCAAAGACGCCATTCCGCGAGATCTTTCTGTCTTCGACGGGCTTTCCTTGCAGAAGCAGGGACTTTCCACACGTTTTCAATCAAGACCATGGCTGTCAGATTTCACACCCCAGAAGACCTGGAGTAGCACAGGGCGTTTCCCCACGATTTTGCGCAAGATCAAGGATTGCTGAATGTGGAAATTAATTTAATGCTAACTTCCGAAAGCCGACTGCGGTGTGCTGATGATGCAGTGTCTTCACAAGCATAATGCGAGAATGGCATCAGCAACTCCAAGTCAAAGCCTGTTTATTTCTCGATTTTAAGTCACTCTGACCATAATTCACGCCACCTTGAGTTCCTGCCAAGTGCCAAACAATATCATGCCCGGAAATAACTCAGGTAGCGGAGATCCTGAGTCAGGTTGAGATCTGTGGGGTTGGTGACCCGTCAGGAGAGTTCCCGGCCTTATTGCGATGCCGAAGGTCATAAGTCCAGATGAAAGTCGTGCCATTCATGCACGCAGAAATTCTCGGATCTAAAGTTTTCCAGGATCTGAGAGAGAAATTCGAGAGCTCATAAACTGGCTTGTAGAGAGGGCTGCCATGAGTGGTTCATTTACTAGCTGCAGAATATGCAAGGAGGGTCTCTGTGGCTGAAGTCTCACTGGATCGTGGGGAATGGTGGCTTCAAAGTCTGGCAATACCCCCCTCCCCCCCCCCAAAAACTTTCAACACTTTAATAACGAGAACTTGTGATACGCGGCATCTTGCCTAAACGTTGAAATTCAAGGATTCCACTAGCTACGGATGGTGGTCATGTCTGAAGCAAAGTCATAGCAATGATGTCAGCGACGGAATTTACTGAAGGCAAGAATTTGGTTGCAGTTGGCGGCTCGGACATAGGTCCTAGAGAAAAGGACGTAAGAAGCATTAAAACTGAGGATCTCCTCCTGCTTTCTGCATGAAATCATGCAGAAGTCGGCTACTGCTGCGGTTGAGCTGATTATCCCTTTCATGCCGCCAGATCCAGATGACATTATGACGCAGATTTCCAAAGGGGTGAAGGACCACCGGAAATGCAGCCACGGAGGAATGTGCACGCCAAAGAGGTGTCAAGTTATCCTCGGTCAGGAAAAGGGAGAAGGTGGGGCCTCTCGACTGTGCCCGTTTTTTGCTGGAATCTGAACTCTTCAGGCGCTGAGAGATACTTCGCAAACCAACTGGATGAGCCCGTGCCTCCATTCTGCTTGGACCGTATAGTAATCAAACTCAGAACGTCGTGAATATTGTTTGCAATAACTTCAATAATTTATCGCTTTAGAGATATCGTGACGTAGTCACACCAAAGAATTAGCAAACAGATCTTCTCGTACCTCTACTTATGGACTGATCTAAAGAGCAGATGACAGTTCCAGCCTAATATTGTCGGGTGTCTGTGCCCGACTTTGCTTAAAAAGTTCATAATATCCTCACGAAATCTTTTAGAAATGTTACCAAACAAAGTGCATCTTATATAATAAAGTCTTCCGCCTATAACTTCTTGAACTTGCACCATTTGCTAGGTATCCGCAATTCAGCTGTTGGAGAAATTTTGTGTTTGGTCAAGTTCACTCGCCAGACTCGCTTAAATTTTGACCCCCTATCTCGCTTAGGGAGTAAATATTTACCCCGCCCCCACCCCCCACCAGCCATCTAAAAATGCGACCACTTTCGACAGCCATTGCGATCGCCCACGGTAGCAAAATCTGCTTACGATAAGATTGTAGCCATCGATTTTTCCAACCATCATAAAGCAGGACGGCTCCCACCACACAATTCCCCACGAAACTCCAACGAAACTCGCGGAGCAAAATCAACCCATCAGATCATCATCATCAAGCACGCAACACATGACGTGCCTCCAGACTCCCTTCAAACAACTGCTTCAACTCCAGGTGATCATTAATCTGCCGGTTCTTCCACAACCAACAGCCAATCTCCTTCTCCCAGCCGAGAAACTCAGCGCAGTGGTTGCTGAGGATCCGGTTTCGTGGTTGTGTAAAGGATTAGCTGTGCAGCGAGGTACAGAAGATTGCTTGCGAGACGCGTGAATGTCGTTACGTCGATGCGGTACGAGGGCCCGAAGAAGATATGGTCTTACGTCCCTGCCCTACGCCTATGAGGTCTACTACCACTGCGATGGTGTACTTCGCCAATTGCTCCGAGGGTGCAATTCCAGACACCATGAGGAGTTGAAGTGATTGGAAGGTTCCTGCCCAGACTGTGGTTTCTTTGTTTGCTGTCAAGGTGTAGGAAATGGCGTCTGACTCTACGACAACACCTGTGCCTTTCTTGTTCGAGGCGACGAGAATCTTCTTTGCCATGGTATGGGAGAAGACTTTGAGGTTTGTTAATTTCTGTCTAACGGCTTCGCGGAGGAAGGATGTTTGGAAAGTATCTCTTGACTCGCCGCTTCGCCGGATTGTGGAGGAACAGTATTGAGCTCCGAGGAGGGACCCGCAGTTGGAATCTGGGACGGTGGGAACGCCGATCTCGTTCAAACCGCCTTCCATGTAGCTGCTGAAGGATTGCCCTGTGTTTATTTGCATATGATACCTGAATAGGGCCTCCGGAAGCACTGGAAGCGCCAGCATTTTATTCTGCACTCGCCTTCGCAGCTCATCACGGGTTGATTTGGGGGTAGTGAACTGTATGCTCTGTTTGAATACGGTAAGACGTTGTCGAAAGTGTACCGACAGCATCTGCCCATTACCACCTCCGCCAACAATTATAACCACTAGGATCATAAGACTCACATTCTGGAGCGAGCCGACGCTTGGTCTCTGCTAAACCATGAAGTTCCGTGCCGAACTATTCAGTGAGTGAAGTCCTTGGGGTTGACTTGCCCATGCTTACCTTCCACCAAGACATTTTACTCTCGTGTAAGCTCTCGCAATAGAATTCGACGCCGGATCAGTAGCAGTGTAGAATCCTCAACAAACCGTCGCTAGACGCCCCTTCGTCCCTTCACACAGATTAGACTCTCCCCATGAATACCGTGGGCGGGACCCACTGGGCATACCAACGAATGTGACATCCCCAGCTGCCGTTGTGGAAAGCACGGGAGCAGCAACCTGATACAAACTCCGCGCTTCGATCACAACATCCATAACAGCTTTATTTTCAGTAAGCCGTTGGCAGGGCGAGGCCTGCAGTACCGTCTCCGGGAGCAATGTAGTCGAAGGACTGCTGGACACCGAGTGTACCTGTGAGGCTTGCGAGGAAGCCATCAAGCTGTCTCTTATCTTGCTGGACCGGAGAGGCAGCGACCAATGTCAAAGAAGTGAGAAAAGATATAATGACGGGAAGGGGAAAATGGAACAGTGCGGAATACCAGAGAAACTAAGGAGACACCTCCGCATCATAACTCTCTCCTGCCTTGTGAAGCTGTGTACCCTAGTCTGTGACTCTTGCATGACGATCTTATGTACGGTAATCTAACGGTGTTGGACTCATTAAGTTGACGATCTATTGCACACTCGAAAGAACTCAGCCGTGCAAAGTATACGGGGAGGCTGCACTAAACCTCGCCAACCTTCTCTACTGGAACACAGCGAGCCTTCGAATTTCTTTCACGCAGCACTGGCCAGACTAGGAGACGGGTACCTGTTTAGCGTCCACGCACGTTCGGGTTTTCAGTATCCCCGAATACGACAAGAAAAGCTCAGCTTGGAAGCAGATGCAGAGATGGGGATCTCCTTCGGCATCCCTGGACACCTCTCTGTCTTGGTCATGCGAACACTCACTGCGTTTGCTCTCATCTCCTGAACTGCATGTGCACTCTTCGGGGATCAATCTGACCACTTCCACAAATGTAGACTCCTAACTTTACTCGCGACCACTCAACTGAAGCCCTGTCCAACCCCCAGCGTTGGCTTCACATCCACGAATGTGCACTCATTGTTTTGTTCCAACAGCATTAATTCCTAGCACACTTCCTCCCACCTAAAAATTCCTGGCTGGCTCAGGCGCGCCCTGCCCAACTCGCCCATTATAAGCACCCTGCTCCATCGCACTCCCATTCCAGCCTCTCTGCCTACTGTCCTGCTCCATCGCAGTCGCCATCTCCAACTCCGTCTCCTTACTCGCATAATGCCTCGTCCTCACAGCAGGAATAAAATCAATCGCAAAACTCCACACGTAAAACGCATATATGAGCGCAATAACCCACTCACACACCGCAGCCGCATTATAGTGGTCCTTATCGCCGAGGACGCCGAACGCGATCGCGAGGCCGAGCTCGATGAAGATGAAGGTGAGTTTGATCCAGAAGGAGATGCGCAGGATGCGGTGCTGGCGGTGGTGGATGCCGAGACGCTGGTACTCCCAGCAGATGAAGATTGCGGAGATGATGTAGCCGGCACTTTGGGAGGTTGGTTAGTGAAGTGAAGTGAAGTGAAGTGAAGTGAAGTGAAGTGAAGTGAAGTGAAGGGGAAGGAGAGGGAAGAGAAGGGTAAGGAGGGGAGAAGGGGAGAAGCATACATGAAGATTACTAGGCAGGCGTCGTGGGCTTTGTTGTGGTGGAGATCATTGAGACAGGTTAGGAGGATGAGGCCGATGGCTCCGACCATTGCAGCGATTATGGCGCAAATCGAGAGTCCTTTTTGAAGCGAGGAGGTGTTTGGTGCAAGCTTGCCGCGGTGTCGAAGCCAGCGTTCGGCGATGAAGACGATATCGAAGGATACAACTGACACTGTGCCCATAGCTATGAATAGAGGTTGAAGGCTATGGGCGCCGACGTCTGAGATGTATCTACATGGTTTATGAGCAACTTGGGATCAAGAAGGGGAATGAATACCTACGCAATGGTTTGATTTCGTCTCATTGGCGCAAGGTATGGGGACCCTTCTTCGACCGTCCACCATAAAAGCATTCCCAGAAGCATAGCCAGCCATACGCAGCCAGAAAATAAGGGAATGATAACATAGATCAAGGACCCCCAAGAATGGGCATGAGGGGCGGGCATATTGGCTGGACTCGGATGTCGAGGAAAAAGAAGTCAGGGGGCAAACCGGGGTCAGGAAAAGAATGGGTTGGCCAACCCACGAGCAGCGGAGAACGCAAGAGGGATTAGAATTATTGAGAACTAGGAAAAGAATAAGGGAAGGAAAGAAAGAAAAGTGAAGAAAAAATAAAGTCGACCCAGACATCATCGAAACACTAGTTGTACTCTACGTCATCCGAGCGATCCGAGCTATTCCCTCGATTAGCTAAAATCGCATCGGACTTTGGAAACCTAATTCCGATCACAAGAACATGAAATTATTTCTGCCGGAAGAAGTTCGTGCTGCATTAGAGTATTTTTGAGCTTGCAGACGTGGAAGAGAGTTCTACGAGGAGGGTTGACTCGATGTTGTCAGATCCCGGGAGTCGATCGTCAGCACGTGACCGAGACCCACCCCCTCTTTGCGCATCCGCATCGGGAAACCTGTGAAATAGTTTTTGTCGTACGGATACGGGTGCGGGTACTAGGGAGCTTAGCTTACTCAGCAGCCCCTTTATTTACCTAGATCCAGAGGCTCCCTCAGAGCTTCTTTTAATCAGACAACCATTTATGCAAATCACTGTTCTCTGCTCTTTGCAATAGTTTTTCATATAGGACTTCACTACTTAAAAGTTTGTTGAAAACCCGCATAGGTGTCATTTGACTTCCTCCTTCCTGCACTCTAAAATACTTGTCATTCCTCATCTCAACTCGCTTGGCACAAAGCTCAACAAACACCGCACCCTATCTCTTGCCTTTCGATCAAAATCAAGGCAAATTCAGCACCCACCATGTCTAATCTAGCACCCAAAATACTCATCATTCCAACATGAATTTTGACCTGGTCCTAGCACATCCCGCGTTATCTGGAACGCAGTGGCAGGGTTGCGATACCAGGCCGTGGAGCCGTGTCTCTAGTGAACTTGGTGTTGAGGGCATAGATGTATCGCTGCAGGCAGTCGATGGTGGCGTTGCCGTCGTTGTCGGCGAACATGCTCCTTGGGTATCAGTGTGTTATTGGACTATCATAGCAATTGCTGGATTAAGCAATGTACTGTACGGAAAGAGGTAGGGAGGTGGGGGTTTGGGTTAAGAGAAAAAGGTCTAAGATACTGTAGAGTGGAACATAAGAGGAGGAAAGTGGTACAGTTGCTGTTGAAGGTTACGGCGCCGTTATCGATGGCGATGGAAAATTGGACCTGGTTGCTGCTCTCGATGACGCGAAAGTTTTGGAGGCAGCAGAGGGCCGGGGCGATAGAAATGAAGGGGAAGAGGGCAGTGAGTCCATGGTGGAAATGGACACGAGGGTGAATTGCTATGAGTAAGAGAAGCAGCGAGTTGTATCACGACCCGTGGCTGGTGTTCTGGATGCAGAATCAGCTGTATTGGGTGTGTAATGTACGTCTAAAGAAGGAAGAAGGAGCGGGGAGCTCGAGATCTAAGATACAGGGTGTCGCGCTAAGCTAAGTCACGTGCGACACAACAAGTTGGGAGATGCTTGGCGGAACGGGGTTATTAAAGTGAGTGAGGTTACTTTCTGGGCCTATGAGAATAGCGGATGGTGGTCCTTATGTATATTCTTCGGCTGGAGGGAAGATTGGAAGGAAAAACTACGCAACTCCTTTTGGAAGGAGGGACATTCCGGCTTGCGTGACTTCTCTCCTATGCCGAAGGTTGAGAAATGCTTTTCGCTACCGAACTGACATTGATGGCGTGTCGACATCGAAGCTTATATTTATTGCAAAGGCCACGGTCAAAAGTCCGAGTAAGATAGGAACATGCGCAATAAACAATATAATTGGCCAACCGGTAAGAAACTCGAAGATGTTTGAAATCTGACTACAGGAATCTTACCCAAACTCTTGACTGCGATCGGGGGAGTAGGAAATGTAGAATGCTGAGCCTTAGCAATACTTCACAGGGGACCGTGCCTTGCTCGCAGTCGCAAGCTTTTGACCAGAATCTCCGTACGAAGTACCCTCTCTCATTCCTTTAAGTTGTCCTCTACTCCCCCAGAACTGTGATGAAACGCAATTGACCCACTGACACTCTCTTCTCCCCCCAGTGACCCTCGCGTCCCACGACGCAAATCCAACTCGACCAACCACGGTGCATTCGTGGGCTTGTACTTCAGATTCACAATTGACGCGTTGACCATCAACGTCTCCTTACCAAATTTCACCGGCAATTTGCTGGGTCCTGGATAAGCATTTGGCATTGAAGTCTGATTTTCAATCGCATCCGCTCCTATCTTCGTCTTGTCATCTTTCCAGGTGACCATTTTAGCTCCACAAGCCTCATGAATGAGCCCAAAGCAATGGAGCAGAGGCCGTGCACGGCTGACCGCGCGCATCAACGCTCTGCATCCAACGCTCGTACCGTTGTAAGTCCAGTCGAGGATATCTTCGGGCGGCCCATGTGTCATCATAATGTCGATCCCGGGGAAATCGGGGACGGGATTCTTCGCAATGCATTTGACATCCGATGCAACGTGCTGGGCCGGATTAAATCGATCTTCATTGCGCTCGTAAGGGAAGCCCCAATCACAGAACTCAGGCGTATATGGAGACGTGTAGATCGTGAACTTGGCGCCGTTCTTGAGCGTGAAAGTGTTGAGGCCCTCCTCCAGGTAGATGACACCGGCTGCCTTCGCCAATGGACCTTTCATGACCTCAATCGCCTTCTTGTGTCCGTCTGGATCTTCGTGCTCTTCGTCAAGGTGAGCGCCGAAATATCGTTTGTCGAGGTCGAGGTCGCGGTTCCCGGCGATGACGAGCTTCAGTTCAGCATCGATGTTGCCCAGCACTCTGAGGAGACTCTTGTATGCAGGGACTCCTCCGACCGAGGTTAAGTCGCCGCAATGGAGGAGGACATCTGCTTTTGGAAGTGGGTGTCGAAGGGGTTCATTGACTTTCTCCGTATCGCCAAAGGCGAAATTGTGGGTATCCGAGAGGATCAGGAATTTCGTGGGTATCGTGGATGTCATGTTGTAATGTTTGAAAGTGAAGTGTGGGTAATGCCGTGTTCTGTTGGTGAAAGACGAACGGAGAGAGAAAAAGGGTCTCCTATATAATTCCACAGTGGGATATTTGGAAACTACCTGGGTCCTAAATCAGTTTGTGAATCACGGAATCGCCGAGGAATGACATTACCAGTTGATCCGAGTTTCAAGAATCGAGTATGTGGTTGGTTCGGTGGAGTATTCTGTTTGTGTGGAAGACGAAGGGAAACAAAAGCTGTCGTGCACTGCTCCTTCCTTCTTTGTTCGAGTTCTGCTCACGTGCCACTCAAGTGAAAATAGGAAAGACAGGTCTTGGAGTGTAAGGTATATGCTCAATCTGAGGCTGTACTTCCAATGCCTCTCTCAGCCCCGAATAAGATGTTCTATGGAAGACTCAAGAAAGCATAAGACGGGGTTCTAGCACGTGACCCACTCCTTTCCTCTTTGAGGAGCGCACTGCGCATTAAACCCTTGGCCTTCTGCAATCTCTTCACGCGTTCCTATTTGAGCCCTAGCTTAAAATTGCGCGCAATCCGAGCCAGCTGCACCGGTCGAGACGCTTCGAGGCTTTGAGGTTCTGAAGAGAGGAAGGAAGTTGAGTGTCGTCCAATATCTTCATTGGCAGGGCGAAATCCGATCCCAAGTTCAACTGAGAGCCGGGGTCGAAGGCAATGATCAGACTTGCTCTCGGCCCTTCTTCCTCCATTCTCAATTCGCAGGCACAATGAGCACGCACATCTCCCAGTCCTTCATCGCACAAGTAGCGGCTGTCGTTTTCTCAACTCTACATGCGGCGTTCGAGTCGTCCGACAATCCCGTGGAATTCTCGACGCGTGTGTCCAACATCGAAGGACTGCTTGCAGGCGCGAAGGACTTGAGCTCCTCCAGAAGACTCACGCTCGCATCGATGTGTCAATGAAACGAGCAAGTGCTCGCAGCTTTCAGGCAACAGCGACGCGTATTGGTGATATTTTCCATTTGTTGCCAAGGAGCCTTATGGTATGGCCTCTCAAGCGAAAATTCAAATCCCTGTGACGTCGCCATCGTCATCGCAGGCTCGGATTAAAGTTCTGCCACAGCGTCATCTCATTCGTTTCATCTGTTTATAATTCCCCGCATTTCCTCGTACTTGGTATTCAAACATTGTACCTGATCAACCTCAAACATATCAAATCAAACGTCCAGTTCCTCGTCTGTCAACAAGAGCCAAAATGTACATCCCATCCCCACAAGCAATCCTTACAGCCGGCCTCGTCGCCACTGGCTGCATGAGCCCCAAGACCTCGATGAAACGTATGTCTGATTCTCCCTCCCATCCCACTTCCCCTCCCCCCATCTATTCTTGCTAAACGGCCGGATAATGTAGCATCCGAAGTCGCCTCCGGCTCCATTATGGACTTCGCAGTCGAGAAGTGCGTTGACGCGGACGGCAACCAGCGGTGCAGCAAGCCCTTCCTGGTCGAGAAAGCCACCTGCTATAATATTGAGTGGAGCACGGAGGGTACTCTGAGCCATACGACGGTGGAGGTTAAAGATGCGGGGAGTGGCGAGATGGTGTTTTATCGGGATACGAATGGGGAGTGGACTCCGGATAAGAGCGAGGTGAGTTTCATTTGGAGGGGAGGGCGAAGAGTGAGGGGATTGAGTTAATGAGTTGACTGATAGTTGGTTTACATGGATTTCAAGCCGAAGGTCTGGAAAACTGGTAACGATACCGTTAATTATAAGGTCACTACTTGCAAGTAAACACACGGGATAAACGGCCAAGGGTTCAAGGCGCGAGGCAGGGGTTTGCATACAAGAACTACAGAAAATAACTGGAAACTGCGTAATGAGGGCAAGGGTACAGTACAAAATAAAATAAAATGGTCTTCCCTTCGCAATTCTTCTCGTTCATTCCCACTCTCACACCACACTCCCAACCTTCTTCCCCCAATTTCCCATTATCGCAAAGCTCCTTGCAACCCCCAGAATATCTTCTCAAACTCTTCCTTCCTATGCTGCGCATCTTCTAAATTAGGTTTAACATTCACCGTCCTCTGATCCAGCATCATTAAATTCCACAACAGTCCACAATCCGTCCTGCTCTCTTAGTTAAGTTTAACATATCTTATGAAAAGACTTATTTTAATCACGTGCTGAGTATTCCAGAGTATTCATGAATATAATTATAGCCTATTTTATTTAATTACCTAATCTCACTACTTGGATTCTATTTAAGCTGTTCATGAATATTCTAGACTAATTCTTCTCACACTGGACCGTAGAAGCTATCCCTGCTGTTTGCATGCTTGCAACTTGTTACATAGTGGTATATGTCAACTAATCATGTGCACTTGGTCGGCTATGAAACTGTGACGGTTTGTATAGGACGTTGGTAGGCATTACGACAAAGCATATTGGAGGGGTTTACTCGCAAGGCTGGGAGAAGGAAGGCGGGCTCAAAATGTGTCACCCTGACTCGACACGGACACTGTAAAAGCCCAAGGTATTGGGCCGCACTGTAACGAGTAAAAATATCTCCTATAATCCTCAAGGTACGAAGGCGGGCGAAGCAGGGATAAAAATTAAATTCTTTGCAAGCTGGGTATAATAGAGAATGGATTTCGTGTCCCTTAATTGTGGCGTCTCCTTACTAACAATAATTTTCAAGGCTACTGGTGTGGTTTCTCGCAGCCAAGCAAGGCTGCGACCAAAAAAGGTCGGCACCCTTGGATTTCCTATTTTTACCGCTACAAGTGCTCTGTCAGACTGTCACCAGCTTGAGATGCTGTTCTGTAAGTTGCAACGGATTATATTTGCGCCATATCAATAAGGGAATTAACTAAGAATATAGAAATAAACTTCATAAGATTGACAAAATAACTCCTCTATACGCCGCATAATTTCATCTCCAATAACCGATAAAGACAAGATAAACAAATATAAGCTCCTAGACTCCTCAACACACTCACACAAAAACACCTCACCTCTTCAACTTAGCGCAAGCATCTCAACCCCGCTTCTGTCTAGCCTCCCCAATACGCCTCTCAATATCCTCCCTCTCGCTCTCCAATTGCTGCAACTCCTTCATGCGCTCCGCTTCCTGCCGCCCCGCAGCCATGTGGGCCACAATCTCACCTGGATCATCTGAGTTGCCGAAGCCGACTCTGGCAAAGGGATCGCGGTCGTTCCTCTCGACCTGTCTGGAGGAACTGCTGGATGTTGGCAGAGGAGAGGAGACATTTCTTTGGTTTTGCGGGAGTCCGTGAGGTGGTTGTGGTTGCTCTAGTTCGGCGCGAGATTGACCCAGTGTTCCAGCTGAAAGTTCCAAGTGTTGATCGGGATACGGTGGAGGTGATTGGCGAGCGACCCCGACGTCTTGCTCTCGGACGGGAGCCGAAACGACTCGCCGTGTGGGAGTTGGTGACTCGGGATCGTTCCGCGGACGGTTGTAATTTGAGATATGTCTTCTTTCACCCGAGGCGTTTAGTCCGTCTTCTCCACCGGATGGAGAAGCTGTGGGTTGGTTGTTTGGAGGAGTGACAGCGTCTTCGCTCCATGTAGGTGATGCTTGATTTAGCGTTGGGTTGACTTCTTGTGTACGGAACAAGAGCTTCTTGATGGGAGTGACTACTGTAGCAGAGTGGGAGTGTAGTTCCTGTCGTATTGGGGTTGAGTAGTTCTGATACTTGGATTTGTACCGTGTTGGGGTGGTGTCTGTTGACATTGTACGGGGAGAATGATCCCCCCTGCGGGCTTTGTCCCTCCTGTTTCGCAACAAGAGCCCAATACATGTGCCAACCACAAAGACTATAACTGGTATGACGACTGCGAGGGCCACTTTAACGGCGGTTGGAAGTCCGCCTGAGCCCGGGGATGAAGTGTCTCCGGGGTTGGTACCGGGGTTCTCAGATCCATTGAGGAGAGGGTCGTCAGATGAGACCCATGAGGCGTTGGCACCTTTGATGCTAAATAGAAGACTCCAGTTGGGTACTTGGTCGTCGAGGTCGGTAATCTTGAGGGAATTTTGATCCACAGGTACGTTTTCGTTTGGGGTCCAGTCAAACGAGTTACCTTTTATGTCCTCTGAGTATCTTTGTCAGTACATAAATCCTTACATAGGAAGTGTAAACTCACTAGCGATTACCTCCACCGGGATTAAATTATATCGGGGCCCATGCACGAGTTCCAGACTCACGTCGTTCTTGTTACCAGTCCACTAAATGCGCACGTGTCAGAGAAAGCTCCGATGGATTGCAGTCTATTCTTTCGCCATACGAAAAACCTCATATTCCAAATTGAACAGAAGTGCAGCATAACCGGGCGAAAGATCGAGAGGGGAGTTATAGAGATCGACTGACTGTGATGTGGAAGCTTTTGCCAACTTCGATAGTGTTAAACTGACTGTTCGTAAAATTGGCCATCCCATGGACGGCAACGAAGAAGATAGCCGCAATGACCAGTTTAGAGATGAACATATTGTAAGTCTAGAATTATCTGTTAGCATACAATAAACTCAAAACATCTCTGAAGTCTCAACGTGAGGCAATCACGATATATGGGGCAAGGCTATACCTACCAAGCCTTGCAGTCGTATTTGCTATTAGCTACCCTGAAGTTCTAGAGAGCTTTGAACCTGTATGTTAGTAAAGCCTGTGACAAACAAAACGAAAGGAGATAGAGAAAAAAATTCGAGAAAGAGATCGGCGGCAGTCTAGCATTATATCTCCAGAGCCTTTTCGTTAGGGTGGTTATATCCGCAATGGCTGACGCCCTGAAACGTTGATTTTGAGAAGCCATAATCGTGGCTGAAATGGGGTTTTTTGATTAGTTTCTTGAACCTTGAGAACCCTTTCGCCTCCTCTGCAGGCCAGAGAGGAGTGCTTCCTGACCTTCCCTCTCGACGTATCGTCACCCTCCCAAAGTAATAATATCTGGGATTGATTGGGGCTCAAGATTCCAGATGTATATTCGAGAGAGTTGCTGCTATAGCTTTATGCACCTGCGGATCCTATTTCAGGAAGCTGAATTAACCACCCCAAATTGCAGAGGATGAAGCCAGGCACTATTCCAAGAAGTGGTTCTGCAGATACGACTGCGGATGGAAGGATGAAAACCCAACCTGGTCAGTATGAGTAGGAATGTTCTGCCTCGGGCACTGAGATTTTCCGGAGATGCGTGCGGAGGCAGCTTCTATCAGTCCAAGCCACTTGCAACTATTCATATTTTTCAGTCCAAAACCCAACAAAAACTTGCTCTCAACAAAATTCTTAGACTTCTTAGAACTTTGAACTTGGCAAGAGAATACCAATAAGACAAACTTTCCAATTGCGACGGACCAACTGCGCTCAGAGATCACCGTCCGGGCCCCGTCCTGCATCGCAATCCCCTTCCAAAAGGTGTTCCAAAGTCTGCCTCGCCAAATATTACACAGGAATAAAGTCGCGGCTTCCACAGCTCGGCCCGCTGCTTCCCAGCGCTGCTTTAGTTGTGCTGTAGCCACTTCAATCTGTCTCAAGTCCGAATGCACTAAAAATTTGATTGGCACCAGGGAAACACTGCCCCCACGGCCCACCGATTAATATCCTGTACACCCCCATAAAACAAAATATATTTCAAGCCCGGTGTGGGCCACATAATCCTTCTGGTGACACCTTTTTCTCTTGTCTCACACTTTCTTCAGGTGCATGCTTCACCCGATAAGAAGAAACCCAATGAAGCAAATACAATTCAAGCCCAGTGCTGGTTGCAGAATCCTTCTGGTGACACATCTTTCTCTTGTCTCACACATGCAGAAATTTACAAGGCTTGATTGAAGGAAATTTGATGCACGACAGCTTCGCCCAGCTGCAGCCTTGATTATCAATGAAACTGATTCATCTTGATGAGGCTGAGGAGGGGCAATGCACTGTGCTTCTTATCGTTAATGAGTACAAGATTGAAGTATACTCGATCAAATTGGGGGTTTTCAGGCAATTGATTCAAAGAGATGAGATTCAAAGAGATGAGTTTGGTGCGATACTTTGGAACGAATGCAAGGAAGAAGCGTTCGTAACGATGCAGGTGATAGACGAAGAAATGATAGCGGGATTTATTCAAGCAAGCCAGGTCGCCATTGGCGTTCTCTCGATGTTGGATGCTGTTCCGACTCGCAGTTCAGCCTCAACTGTAGCCTTAACTGCAGCCTCACTATCAAAAGCATACTGTTTAATATCAATAGAATATAAGATTATAAATAATGAATTCAGGGTACTTCTATGCTAATACACTTTTATCTCTGAAGATCTGCAAAGCATCTAATACGCCCTTCATCTGGACTTTGGTGGCTTTGATATGGCCCGTATGGTATATAATGCACCGTGTCTCCCCTTCCAGCACGAGAGACCAGCAAGGAAGGGTTATGAGCAATGTGATTCATGGTTCTCTCAACGCTCTTTCACTAGGGTCAAGCACAGTAACATGTTATTAAAGAGTCACACGACATTGATAGGGCTATTAACTATGCGTATCGAGGCAAAAAGTCTCCAATTGTCAAGTAAATAATATGTAACATCTAAGTCACAAAATTCTAGTCTGTATAATAGATTTCCTCCTATTATATTATTATATTAAGCCAATTATAGCTTAAAGAACTTTTATTTAAACTAAAATTCCCGCAAACTTATCTTACTCCGCATTCGTATAATTGCTAGAGAACAAATAATATAGCATCTAGCCCCGAGAACTCTTTCTAGAAACCTCTTTCTTCTATATTAGATAAGAATTAAAAAGAGCTAATATATATTGCATGATACCTTTCTCGTAAATACTAATAAGCGAGTGGGGATCTCTTGCAAGACTGAACCTAAGGTTTTAGTACTAAGTCGCTAAGTACTATTATTATCTCTATATATTCCTCCATTCTTACATCAAACTTACCCTGGGTAACTCCTTTATTTTAAGTTCGTGATTTAGCAAGCTATTTGCTCTCAGTATATTATTAAATACAAGCCCAAAAAAATTTCCGAATCCCAACAAGTGCACACTCTTGAATGAAAGGTGAAATTCAAAAAAAAAATATCTAAAGCTATCTTGGTCATCCTAAGTTCGAAAGTCTAACAAGTATGTACAAGAGGCTTCGTGGAGTAAACACTATACAACCTTTTCTACGGGTACACTACTGGCCTTCTTTGTCTTACAGCTCGAGCTCGAGCTTGAGATTGACCTTGTGGATTCTGATTCTGACTCAAGAAATCCTGCATCATCTGCCAAACAGGCATGACCCCACCGTTCTGCTGCTGTTGAGCCATGGTCTGTAACTCAGCCATTGTAATTGTGACACCATTTTGATTCTGGCTTGACTCGCTTTGTGTTATTCCAGCAGTGGATTTACCAATGGTGAGGATGTATTCTCCATCAAGCTGGGAGACTGGAACGGCAACGCGGTTATTGGTCGTGTCCAGCACTGTGGTTGCGGTGATAGGGGCAAAGGTTGGTGATAAGAGAAGTTGAGTAGCGGCGGGATTTTGGGGCGGTGTATTGGCTGGTTGAGGGTTTGTTGCTGGCTCCGTAGGAGCGGCGTCTGCGGCGGCAGAGGGACCAGACGATGGAGCTGATTCTGCAGGCGCGGATTCGGCGGAGGCACCAGAAGATGAAGTAGCTTCCGCGTTGCTCGCAGATACATCTTCTACTGTACCAGTGGCTTCAGCCCCCGTTGCATTAGCAGCAGCTTCGGTGACAGAGGCAGCGATTGCAGTAGAGGTAGAAATCTTGGTGCTAGCGGCTGCTCTCGTGCTTTTTGAGGACACCGTTGCCCTCTTCTGTCGTTTTTGAGGTTGTGGTGAAAGGCCTCCCTGAGTAGCACCTCCGGGATTTTGGAGAACTCCTCGTTGCGCAATACCAAGGGATACCGATGAATTCATTCCAACTCCCATGCTCAAAGCGGTTTGCATGACCTTATTGGCGTTCACTAATTATTGTCAACACACAGCTCTAGAAAGTCGACCTTTCACTGAACTTACGTGGGAGCTCAACGACAGTCATCATTCGGTTGAGGTTGGGAATGACACCAGCCAGATTGGTAGTGACGAGATACCTATAGTTATCTGGACATAGAGTTAGCAAATGCAAGGTCGTAATTGCGGTGGTCATGAAATTACTTACTCACGGGCATCACATTTTGAGTGAGCATTGACGTGCTGACTCCGTTCACGACATCGGTATTTATGCTCATTGGCATATTTGCCTTTATAGACATGCGAAAACCATCTGCAAATTCGACCTCTTGAATCCCGCTTCCAGTGATATTGACGGACTGTTGTGTCCCAAATGGCGTCAGCACGTTGCCGGTCTCTACCGACTTTCGGCCAATGGCCATGTATTCGCCATCGATGCTGTTCATCTTTACCAGACGGACGGTTGAGTCGGTGCTGTGTTCAAAGTTAGACTAAATCTTACATAACACAGAGACAGAAGAACTTATTTTCTGACTTACGTGTTGACGCTTTTGATTCCCTCCATCACTATCCATGCCTGTCCATCCGAAGAGAGCTTTGCAACGAATGTGTTATCAGCCGTGATTCCATTCTGGTCAAGCGTTGCTTGATTGATGGGTAGCTCAATTTGAGCCGCGACAAGATCAGTTGCTCCATTTGTAGAAATTGTCATGGAATTTGGTGACAGCTGAACGAAGGGTTGGCCCGTAGATCCCACGACATGATTAGCCGTAAGAGGAGCTGGGTTTTGGTTCACGAGGACCTGACGCTGTGATTGGGAGAAGGTCTCGATCTTGGAGTTGTCAGGGAAGATAAGTCTGTTGAGTTGCATCTGTAGATGGTCTTGTGAGCACATGTGCTCAAAATTAATTGATCACAGGTTACGTTTACCCGTGGAGGAAGACTTACATTGCCATTCAAGTTGGCTACCTGATTGAATTGGACATTTTGATCTTGGCCACTGACCAAATAATTGACTCCCAAGCTAATTAGAAAGAAATGAAGGTATGATTGCGTCCGTAGCATTATGATTACTAGAGAAGGACCGCCGCCAGGGCTGTAAAAACTCGAAATGGGAGGAAAGAGAAAGAGAGTCTAAAGACAGAGTAGCGATTCTGCTTATTAGGGTTGGGATTCAAATTCAGACATGGGAATAAGACGTAGATGAACTGGAGCATTGCCAGAAACACGTCACGTTGATTCGGTCGCAGCCCAAAGAGGAATCGCATGCGGGATACCCACACCCGCGGCTTATGCTTAAATTTTAGCTCACTGAAGTTTTTCGGAGCAAAAGTTTCCGACTGTGAGATGTGAAATGATCCGGCATGGCGAAATCCGATGGCTTGTGGGTTTAGAGACTAGAAGAAAAGTCGCGGAACAGGCTGACAACGTCTGCAAGATGTTTCGAGCAGCGCCAGGAGGCCGTGAGATAGAGGGAAATGCTTGGCGGGGCTTGGCAGTTTCTGACTGATGTTTCTTCCCCAGAAACTCTATACGACAGTGTTGATGTGCTGTAGGGTTAGTGCTTGGGCTTTACTTGGCAATTTCTTTGACGCGTTACGATTGGATGCACGTTTCTTATCCCTTGTATGTTTAAGACGATCCTCTAACATCCACAACATCGTGAAGTTAAGCGACATCTTGGCACACCCCCTTCTGGTGGCTTGCCGAGTGCACTTTCGATGCTTAAAGGATGGTGTGTGGCCAACGTCCCATTCCATGACTCCATTGAGAATACCCAAGAGCTTCAGGTTTCGACAGTCACCTGTCCATCAAACATACCCTAGAGATTGTGCGCTTGGCGACTTGCGTTTGCTGTGTGGCAGTGCGTCCCAGTGCACCCCGTGTCTCTGATTCTTCTCCCTTGATCAAGGTGTTCAGTCGGAAGTGGATTGTAATTTGAAAATGCTTGGAGCTGAAGGACATTTTCTTCAAGGGACGGAATAGGTTAAGGAAGGGTCGCATCAAATTGCCGTAAAGTGCGAATGTCTAAATCATTTATTTGACTTGAGACTGAATTGGTAGGCTCATGAGTCTCGAGGAACTCTAGCTTGATATGGCAAGGCTTATGCCCAACCACACTCCCCCCTAATTATTTGTAATAGTGGGCCTATAGAGCACAGACATCCTACTCTACGAACCCCTGGTCAAGAGGGTCCACAATTACAAGTAATTAGGGGGGGAGAGTAAGTAATCCTCAGATTTTTGCCTTGGCCGCGACAATTTGATCCTCGAAATCACTTGGTACACCAAATCTCCTGTTGCCAAAACTGACTCGGCGATAAAAGTGTTCCATCTCCCCAGCCCCTCTGCTCGGCTAGGCTGGCCCTTTCACTACACTCCCTCTTCAGCTTTTCTCATAATTTTACTCTTACTCAGACTGCCGCCTTTGAAAGGCGCTTCGTAACCACTGTCCTTCATGGTTTTCCTGTACACTTCACCTTCATAAAAAAAATTCGTTGTAATGCTGCTCCCAATACCGATATTTGTTCTTTTTGCTCTGTGGGCAGGTCTTGGCTTAGCTGCACCTGCAGCGGCCGCGAGCTCATCTGTTAAGGGAGGCAAAGCCGCGAGCACAAGTAAAGCAACGGCCGAAAGCAAAACGTCGACCGCTGCTAGTAATGCTACTGCTGGCAAAGCTGGTGGTGCCACGAACGGTGTGAGCGACAAACAAGTCGCAAATGCCGTCATTTCTTGGATGAACGACACCGCCAAAGTCACCAAATTCCTCAACACTGCCACCTCCTTCACTGGAGACGAATTTACTCGCCAGGCCACAATTGCACTTAATGCCGAAATCGACGAACTCAACCATAAAACCATCCTCGACACCGCTTTTGGCCAAATGGCCATGATCCAGGCTGCTAATGACACGCTTGCTACTCAAGGGACTTTTCAAGCTGTGGTCGATACGCTACAGTCTATGGTTGACAGTGGTCCCGACACCGCTCAAGCTCAGGTCGACGTCATCAACAAGAACCGATGCGTGAATGTTCTACCTAATATCGACATGTACTTTGCTGCCGCCGGATCCGCGTCAATACAGGCTGTGCGTCCAACTGGATGCTTAGAGATTGATGCCGCTAGTGCATCGACTCCTCCTGCTGCTCAAGCCCCACCTCAGGCTCAGGGTGCCGATGGAGGGTCACCAACCACCGGGAGCCTTAGCAACGGAACCACCTCATCAAAGGCCGCAGCCAAAACTACTTCAAAATCTGGAGTCAGTGCAGCCGCGAATGAAGCGCCCTCTGTCACCAAAGTTTCAAGCCCTAAGACTTCAGGAGCAGTGTCAAAGACTTCTGCCTCTAAAGCCGCTGTCGGTGCTGCTTCAAAGGCTGGAGTTAGCGCAACTTCGAATGAAGCGCCAGATGCCGCCGAAACTGCAGCTCCTGATGCGGAAGCTGGGCCAGCAGAAACTTCTACTTCGAAGGCGGCGGGATCTGCACCAAAGACCTCGACAACCAAAGTGGCGGGAAGCGTGACCGCGAAGGCCTCAGTTGGTGCCATACCAAAAGTAGCAGCATCTGGTTCGAAAGCTTCAACGTCGAAAGCTAAGGTTGTAAGCACTTCTGCGAAGTGAAAATAACATGTGTAGATATGTACCCTGATTGCTACTCCCAAGCGTTTGACATACTTGATTTTTCTTCATCTCGTGTACTTAATCAGAAAGGTATGCCTTTTTTCAATGAAATTATGTTCCAAGGTTTTTTCCCCAGTGTTTATCTCATGCTTCCCGAGGAGGGGATTTCAAGACTAAAGCGCACCCTTGGTAGCGAAGGATATTGCTTTGCAAATCAAAGAGTTCTCAGCCGAGCGCCAGTCATAGTTCGCCGAGATTAGATCTATGCTTTGATAGATTTCTCATGATTTGAGAACATTTTGCTCAACAATTCAATAACGTAATTCAAGGATTTCTCTTTCAGACGAAGCCCGCTCCTGAGCTTGGCGGCCAAGGCTGCCAAGATTGCCCCTCTCTTAGGTCCGCTGCCCAGACTTTCCAAGACCACCTTTGGGAAAACTGATTGGAGCGGTGCATTGATGGTGGCAAGCCTTCGGGATTTCTTGGAGACGGTGTTTGACGGAGTAGGCTGCCACGTGTGCCAAAAGGTGTCTTGGGTTGTGATAGCGTCGTATCGATCTGGGTATTTCGCGGGGGCGTGCGGGGCTTAGTGAAAACAAATTAAAGCACTCCTTCGACATCAACATCAAAAAGTTGCATTGTCGCTTTAACTTATATGCCTTGAAATAGCTGGCAGTAGGCTGCTGAACGTAAAATTGTATCTTGGGTGTGTAGGCGAGTTGAGATATTATGCAACGTTATTTTCTTCTGACTCGGGGCTTGCCCTGAAGCGGGACAAGCTGACAATGCGGCACGGCACGGGAGTTCGACCGTCTACGGTTCGTCTCCACCGAGCGCCCAGAGATTTGCCTTCACGCCTAAACCTTATATCATAATCAAGTAATGATGATTGGTGAAGTCGCCCGATGGTTGCTACCCAGCACCGTTTTCATTCGTAGACGCTTAACTCAAGAACTCACCTCGTCTCGGCGCCCAGCCTTGCCCAGAGAATCAACGCCTTGTTTTTCTCGTCAAATGTCTTGTCGACTTCCAGATCACAATCTTTCGAGGGTATTTGTCGGGTTATATCGGGGACCCCATGTTTGAGTTTGCGGAGCTCCCCACACTGGGGAACATTCTCCAGGAAGTATGGCGGTGGAAAATTATAAAGTCAGCCGTTTTGCCATGACTGATTTTCCGTTTCTGCAGAGTATCTGAATACCCACAACATTCCTCATTGTTTTTCTTCCATCAAAAGATCTAACAAACGCGACCATGGCTGGCGGCGGAGGCAAACCACAGAACATCTTCAAGCTCAACCGTGGCGATGACCCCAAAGAAGTGCTGAATTGGAGACTATGGTTTGCTGTAAGGTTTAGCCCCCATTACCCTCTCGTTTTAATTCTCACATCCGCTTAGGTTCTTTCATTCGGCATCATGGGAGCGGCTAGAGGTAAAGTCTGCGACAATACCAGACGAATCCATTCTCACACAACACAGGAATCGATGAAGGTCTCATATCTGGAACATTGGCCAAGTCACACTTTGCGCATAAACTGGGACTGGATAAGATGAGCACGACCGAGCTTGCAAACGTCAAGGGAAATATCTCGGCCATGGTGCAAATTGGAAGTGTTGGAGGAGCTGCTTTGTAGGGCCCCGCTTCACTTCAACACATATTTATTCGTGTGCTGATGGTGAGTTAGAGCCTTCATACTTTGTGATCGCATCGGTCGTCTTTGGGCTACACGACAACTCTGTCTTATCTGGATACTCGGCATTGTCATCTTTTTGACAAACGGTGGCCGCCTCGGCCAAGTTTATGCCGGCCGCTTCATCGCCGGACTGGGCATTGGCCAAACAACAGTCGTTGCTCCTGTCTACCTATCAGAGATTGCACCAAAGTCTGTGCGAGGTCTCTGCACGTGCGCCTTCTCCGGTGCTGTGTACATTGGGATTATGCTTGCATACTTCGCATCATGGGGAAGTGAACTTCACATCCGAAAAGGCACTTCAACTCAATGGGTGCGTAATGGAATTCCTATTTCTGCAATAAGCTGACAGATGTTAAGGTCGTTCCAACCACCATCCACGTCATGTTTGCGGGCCTGATCCTTATCCTCTCCTTCTTTAACTACGAATCCCCTCGCTACCTTGTCAAAATTGGCCAAGACGACAAAGCAACCGCCAACCTGGCACGAGTCCGTGGACTCTCCGTAGACGATCACCATGTTATCAAGGAAATCTCCGAAATCCAACAGCAACTCCACGAAGAACAGGAAGCCACTCTCGGCCAAGGTTGACTCGGAATTGTCAAGGAAATGTTCCTAATGCCGAACAACTTCTACCGCATCTACCTCGGCCTCTTCTCTCAGCTGCTTTCTCAGTGGTCAGGGGCACAAAGCATCACCATCTACGCCCCAGAATTTTTCGCTATGCTTGGAACCAAAGGTCAGAATGAGAAACTCTTTGCCACCGCCATCTTTGGAGTCGTGAAGTTCGTCGCAGCCATCATCTGCGCCCTCTTCCTCGTCGACGTGATCGGTCGGAAACGCTCTCTGGGTATCGGCATCGGTCTTCAGGCTTTCTCAATGTGCTATATTGCCGCCTACCTCACCGCCGTTCCGGAACTACTTGAAGGGGAGATATTCACACCTTCCCAGAAATCTGCGAGCACAGCTGCCATCGTAATGATCTACATTTCCGGCTTCGGATGGGCCATGGGCTGGAACAGCATGCAGTATCTCTTGAACGCCGAAATCTACCCGCTGCGCATCCGAGCCATTTCTAGTAGCATGGTCATGTGTTTCCATTTTGTCAATCAGTATGGGAATAGCCGTGCGGTGCCTAATATGCTGTTGAGTAAGTCAGCAGGTGGTTTAGGACATGCTGGGACATTTTGGTTCTTTACGGTCATCACGCTGATTGGTGGGGCTTGGGCTTGGTTCTTTATTCCTGAGACGGCTGGCAGGAATTTGGAGGGCATGGATAGGCTGTTCATGTTGAGGTGGTGGCAGATTGGGAGATTTGGTGAGAGGGATGCAGATGAGAGGGTTGTTGCTGAGGAGAAATTGGAGGAGGAGAAGGTTGTGGAAATGGGGACTGCGCAGCAGGTTGAGAGAGTGTAAAGTTTACAGTTAGAGGGTAAATGTTCGATGTAGGCATAGAGGATTTTGAGAGAAAAGCTGGAGGAGGGAGCTCTATCATGGAATTCACCGGGCAAAACCTCTTAGAATTCGGGTTATTATCCTACAAATTCTCAACATGTATGTAAGTAAGGCTGTGGTGTGAAATTTATAGGTCAATGGCTCAAATATTCCCCACTACTCCAGGTTGGATCTTTTCCAGTATCTCGGACAACTCCGCCCACAATCTTTTCTGCGTCTCGACGCCTTCCTCGCTCGTCACGAAAGGAGAAACCCTATCAGTCCCCATCAGCTAGATGTTAACGGCTTGAAAATTCTCGACTTACGTTCCAATTTTACAATCGTCCAAATACTTCCCATGCGTCCCGTCTCCACCATAAGCAGCATTGACAAGCGTTCTACCTCCTTCCTCGGGCGTTCTTGATAACACCACCTTCAAGAATGCCAGCCACCAGGTATACGGCCATTTGGCATCCCGCATAATAGACGTTGCCACGAATCCAGGATTGAGTGTGGAAATGATGACCCGACCCGGCTTCCCAGACTTATCCAACTGACTTGCCAATTCGCGAGTACAAAGCAACTGAATCAATTTCGAGACCTCGTATCTACCAAATATTAGTAAAACTAAAAGCCCTGAAATTGACCTTGTCGGTTTGAGAGAAAAACTTTCTCACCTCTCCTTCAACTTCACATCCTCCTTATTCAACTCCTCAAAAATCCTCATCGCCTTCCTCTCCGGGAACTTCACATCCGCATGCGTAAAACTCCCAGTAAAAGTTAACACCGGCATCTTATTATGCTTCACTCCCGTCTCTCTCAACTTCGGCAGCACCAGCAACGCCAAAAGGAAAGTACTGATCACATTGACCGTCACCGTACTCTCATTTCCCTCCTTCAGCTCCCGGTCAAACTTGAACACCGCCGCGTTCTCAACCACGACATCAAGTCTTTCTAGCCCCTTCGCTTTCTTTGCAAACGCTTTCACGGAGTCGTAGGACGTGAGATCGAGATCCCAGACTTCGACGACGTTGAGACGCTTTGTGCTTGCTTCAATGGACTTTTTGGCGGCGAGACCTTTGGAGGCGGTGCGTACTGCTAGGATCACCTTTGAGGCATTAAGACGCACGAAGTGTCGTGCGGCTTCCATGCCCATCCCGGTGTTGGAGCCGGTTATGATTATGGTTTGGCCGGAGAATTCTTTGGTGGGGTAGGGGAGCTTGAGGAAGAGGTGGGAGGCGAGGAATTGCCTTGGATTGGTGCCTGGGGAGCCGGTCATGTTGACGCCGAGTCTCTGGGACAGCAATCTGATTGAGTGTATGAGTTTGAGACTGGATTTAGAAATGTCTGTTTGTTTCTATTGTGTCTGGATGTGTAATTATGGACGATGGTCTTGGGTGGGGTGGAGATTCTTGGATTGAATATATACATGTGCCTTAAATAAGACTTGGATGAAAACGATCATACGAAGGCCTCCGGCGAAGAGCATATGCAAGAGTCGGAATTAGGAGTCTCAGTCGTTTCCGACAAATGAGGTGCCCGATATCTCGCATCCTGGGTGACAAATTTGCTGGGCCAATCGGGGAAACTCGTGTAAAGCTTTAGCGAACCCCTGAATTCTCCACCGGAACGATAGATGCCCCGCGTCACGTGTGTTCAGTCTCTGCAATTGCTTTTTGCCGTCGTAGAACAGGATTTCGGGCGCTTTCTTCAACGCGTTTGTCCGAAGTGTTCCGAAAATAGAATATGAGGTCATTGGGTCGGCGTTGTCGAAGAGTTCAAAGTGGAATATGTCGAGGGAGTGCTTTCCTCGTTCACTACGAGGATATTGGACGAGGTTTGTCGTCTACGGTATTTCAGGGGCGCGCTCGCCACTCTTTCACTCCAAACGAAGTTTCATCAGCAAGACGATTTCCGCAGGCTGCGCGAGGAAAAGAATCTCATTCGTGCTTGCTTTCGTTTGAGTTTGGAATCTGATAAGATTAGATAATAATTAGGTGGAAACATAGTGCGAGACTTGTGCTGTTTGGGCAAAGTCGTTTGCGTTGCCGAAACTTTAAATCTTCTTTCGTCCCTTCCATCATGACGTCACTTGGTCTTCCCACCAGCTGAAATTAACTTATTTTTTTCGTATAAAGGAATGGAGTGTTAGCGTCGACGGAAAGTTATTCTCTGAGACCCTGAGATGAAAAACGGAGAACTGGCGATCTGCTGTCCGGCCGCTCCTTCATAGATCCATAGATTCAAAACCACGGACCCCTCCCACTAGTACTCGATGGCCCCGATGGCGGAAGTGCTAAATTCGCTCCTCCACAAATGCGCTGATCTTAGGGCGCGAATATGCGGATATGCATTTTTTTCTTTTTGTCATCTTTATCAGATTCTCCCTTCCTTCATACCACCCTTTAGCATCAACGTCTCTCATCCCATGCATATCATATCTGAAAACGAGATTGAAGATGAATTATATGAACTCCGGTGAGACTTCATCCTCTTCGGGGGACTTTGTGCCTGACAAAGATATCCCACTGGGCGACTTGGGCGCGGGTCGAGATGGGGGGGCTACCTCACAGGAAACTGATGCTTCCACAGCCCCCAACTTTACGCAGGCAGGAGTGAAGAATATGGAAGCTGTGTCTATGAGTTGGACGAAATGGAGTCTAATTGCAGCTTATACTAGGTTCGTCGAAAGAGCCATGGAGGGAGGATCACAAGACTGACTTGGACTAGCATCTTCCTCATGGCGTTCACAACCTCGCTTGAAGGTCAAGTCGTGCAATCACTCTCAGTTTTTGCTACGAGTTCCTTCAACAATCACTCTTTGATCTCGACTGTGTATGTAATACAAGGAGTAGTAAATGGTAAGTCTTCTTAGCCCATCTCAACACTTCACTAATTGTCTCCAGCTGTCATCAAGCCGCCAATGGCGAAAGTTGCCGATGTATTCGGCCGTCTAGAAGCTTTCTCTTTCAGTATATTTCTGTACGTGATTGGATACATTCAAATGGCAACATCTTCCAATGTCCAAACATACGCCGCAGCTCAGATATTTTACTCGGCAGGAAACACTGGCCTGCAGATTCTGCAGCAAATCTTCGTTGCTGATACAAGTGACCTACTGAACCGAGCTCTGTGGTCAAGCATGCCAGATACTCCCTTCTTGGTTACGGTCTGGATTGGATCGATCATCGGAAATTCCATCCATAAGAATACAACCTGGAGATGGGGTTACGGGATGTGGTGCATCATTCTCCCGGTCATGTTCTTACCGCTGGCATTGACGTTGTTCCTAAACAACAGAAAGGCCAAGAAATCAGGATTGACAGCACCCTCACAATGGAAAAGACTTAGCTTCACTCAAGTGCTGAAGACGCTCTGGTCTGAGATTGACGTCGGCGGAATTGTCCTCTTAAGTGCCGGGTTCGCACTGATTTTGATCCCACTCACGATTGCCGCAAAAGCATCAGATGGATGGAAAAGCGGAAGCATCATCACAATGATAGTAATCGGATTCATCTGTCTCATCATATTCCCATTTTGGGAATCAAACAAATGTCTCGCCCCGCGACCCCTCATCCCCCTCAACCTTCTCAGGTCCCGGACTTTCTGCTCAGGCTGTGGAGTTGGGTTTTTCTATTTCAGTAAGCACACAGTTCTCACTTCAATCATATGACTCACTAGCCATCTTTAGTGGTCTTCTACCTCTCAGTCCAGCCCTACTTTTACTCCTACCTCCTGGTCGTGCAAAACGAATCAATCACCGCAGCCGGCCACGTCACGCAAACCTTCTCCTTCACCTCAACAGTGGCATCCATCCTCATCTCCTTCATAATAAAGTACACTCAAGTCTACAAACCATATATCTTCGCCGGCACACTCATCTACATCCTCGGCATCGGGCTGATGATCAAATACCGTACGCAAGGCGTCTCTGTCGCCCAAACCGTCGGAACGCAAATCTGCCTCGGTATCGGAGGAGGGATGCTCAATGTTCCTGCCCAGCTCGGAGTCCAGGCCTCGACAGATCACCAACATGTAGCAGTCACTACCGCCGTATATCTCACGGCGGTCGAAATCGGCGGAGCAGTAGGTTCTGCGATTTCTGGCGCGATCTGGGGCCGCAATATCCCTGCTAAGCTGAGAGAGTATTTACCAGCAGCAGCGAAGGGGGATGCGATAGCGATATATAATAGTATTGATACGGCGAGGGGGTATGGGTTGGGGAGTCCTGAGAGAGTGGCGGTTGATAGGGCGTATCAGGAGACGATGAGGATTTTGCTGGTTGTTGCTATTTGTGTTGCGGTGCCGTTGTTGCCGCTGAGTTTGCTGATGGAGAATTATAGGTTGGATGGTATGGGGCAGGGTGTTAAGGGGCGGGTTATTGGAGGGAGAGTTGAGGAGGGCAGGCGGAACGAAGAGGGTGGGGTAAAGAAGGGACTGGCGGTTTGGCTGCGATGGCCCGTGATGAGAAAGAGACAGGCCGTCGTCGAATCGAACCCCCCCGAAGTGGGGACTTGATATTCATACTTAATCTGAATCCACAATGCACATACATCATCGTTTTCAAAGAAAACACCAGTGCCCATTCGCGAGTGGGAGTTGTGCTGCATCGATTTCCTGTACTGAACGGTTGAGGGGCAAACAAGACCATGCGCTGGCAAGTGCCTCCGATCGAACTTCGAAGGCTCATCTAAAAAATTACTATTCAATATCCGGGTATCTCTTTTTCTATCCAACACACCATTCTTTCCCAAGGCCCTTAAGAACTTCCCATTATCAAGGCCGCAAACGCTCTCTGTGCTCAGCCCTAAAAACCAATCGCACCCCCCACAACCGCAACCGCAGCCATCACACCCATCTCCCCAATCATACACGTCACCATAGGCGCAGCCACATTCTTAGTATTGCTTGTCACTGTAGCTCCAGTGCCACTCTGATCCCCTCCCAATCCACCACCTGCACTTACTCTCCCTGTCGACGCCGTCGTCCCGCCATACGAATTCAAGATCGCGGAGTTGATGCCCGTTGGTCCTGTTATACTTATGCTGGTTTTGGAAGGAGAAAGACCTGTGGTGGTTAGATGGGTGGTAGGAGAGATGCTGATTGAGGTGGAGGCAGGGAAGGCGTCTGTGATTGTGACGGCGCGGTAGCCATAGGAGAAGAGGAAGTTGGCGTTCATGGCTGTCGCCCAGGGGATTCCTGTGACATGCCCTGAGCAAAGGGCTACGAGGGAGGGTGTGAGGGCGCAGGTGATGTCACTTTAGGGACATATCAGTATTTTTGATGCTGTTGAGTTTTGGAGTATTTTGAGAGAGGGGGGAGTGAATTAGGGAACGCACAAATTCGGGGCCGCGAGTGTGTTACTCGCATGCATAGTGCTTGGCCCTATCGTGTAGAGCTGGTATGGAGAGGGGATATCACAGGTGCTTGTTGCGATGGGGTTGGGCGTGCAGGTAACGGCCCACGTTGTTGCAGTTGCGTCCTTTTGATTTCAGCTTTGTTAGCAAAGGCGAAAAAGATGCATTGGAGAGATTGGGGAGGCGAAGGGAAGGGAGGGGAAGGGAAGGGGAAGGCACCTGTCCCATTGGCGATACGAGCCGCTGGTCTTTGTTCCATAGCGCGCCTGGGAGGAAAAGCAAGCTCGTGCTTGAGAAGGCCGCAGTCATGTTCGGGAGCGCGAGGAGCGCGGCGAAAAGCTTTTTGTGCGCGTTGAATTCAAGCATTTTGTTTTCGCGATGAGAGGTTGAGAAAGTCGAGAGTCGGGAGGCACTCGGACCGTGGGTTTATGTGCAGATAGATCGTCGCGGGAATATTTATCCTTTCTCGAGGTGTGGTTTAGACAGGCAACAGGGGCGCAGTGGAGTTGCAAACAAAGCGTCAGGGGTAGCGGGTGCTAACACGAGCAGCGTGGTCGTTTGGATAAATGGTGGATAGATTGGTCGGATGAACTGTTCCTAGCAGGCTTGCCACGTGCTAACGTCCCCAAAGTCTTGAAGTGCTGTAACATGGCGTTTTATCGGGTATCATTCGAGCGGTGAAGAGCGGAACGTTTGCTGTATATCACGGGTTAGCGTACCTTACCCACACTTGGATGCAAATCCATGTATTCGCACGTGATGCCCCCTATCTTGTCAGCGAAAATGCTAAACCTAGAGGAAAATATTCCAATGAGAGCGCGTTAACAAGAAGGGATTACATTTCACTTACTTGGGCGGAAGAGACCAGTAGAATGAGTGATTATATAATCAACTTTGATCCCATGAAGCCGAAATTCGTAAAGAAGATAGGTGAGATCTTTCTACTGATTCTGCAACGGATTCACAATACAGCCACCGGAAGGAGAGAAAGTTAAAATGGTGAAAAATTCTGTGATGAAGACAAAGGACAAACTTATACTTGTTCCCTAATAACTGACCTGTTGTAGTTTAGGTCTAATTTGGAAGCCGAAACACCAGAGCCGTGTATTCCCTGGTCTAACCCGACACCCCATATCCTCCCAAGAACAAATCGCAAAGGAAATAAAGTGAGCTGAAGTCTCATTCACACGCGCGAAGCAACAAGAGCCTCCTTCGACAAAGTCGTATACCTCAGATACGGCTTAACAACACGGAACTCAGGGAACAAGGTCTTCGCCTCCTCATCCTTCACACTCGGATGAACAATGACATCTTCGCCAGGGTTCCAATTGACAGGCGTCGTAACACGATGCTTATCTGAGGCCTGGAGGGAGTCAACTACTCTGAGGAGTTCGGCCGTGTTGCGGCCGGTTGAGGCGGGGTAGGAGAGGATGAGGCGGATCGTCTTCTTCGGGTCGATGATGAAGACTGAGCGGATTGTAAAGGCGATTCCTCGGGAGTCGACATTCGTTGTATCTTGGTGGTCGAGCTGAGAATGTTAGGATACAGTTTCCCAGTTTCTGGGGCTGAAAGGGGGCGTGGGGGAAAAGAAGGGAAGAGAGGATGGGCACGCACCATGTCATATGCAAAAGCGATCTTGCGGTCTTTGTCGCCAATGATGGGGAAGGTCATTGTAATGCCGGCAATCTCATCAATATCGTTGATCCATCCGCCATGAGTCTCGACGGTATTTGCGGAGAGTCCGATCAATTTCACCCCACGCTTCGTAAACTCAGGCTCATATTTCGCCAGAGCCGCAAGCTCAGTGGTGCATACAGGGGTATAATCTTCGGGATGAGAGAAAAGAATGGCCCATTTGTCGCCGATCCACTCATGAAAGTCGATGAGGCCCAGTGTCGTCTCAGCCTTGAAATTGGGAGCCCTCGATCCCAAGCGGAGCCTAAACGCAACCAAGCAGCATCGGTAAGCTGTGCTAAACTGTGAAGGGGACGGAACGAAACCTACGGAGGCGCCCTAGGCTCGTCAGCCATTCTGACAACTTTATTTAGACTTCACTCGTTCTCCTGGCTGAAGGATGTGGTCGCGGGACTGCTGAAATCCGCGACCGTGCCAAGTTTTACACTACCGTAGGGAGCGTCTCCCTGGATCGGCGATCCCCCACTGTGGCTGACAATGACTGGCTGGAGATTTGAGGTTCAACGCTGACCCCGACCCCGGCATGGGTAAGGGAAACCCTGCAGCCTTCGCATTCCGGAGCCCGCCTTTCGAGCTATCACAACTTTGGCCGCGGCATTTCCCAACTATCCCAATGGCATAGAAGGCCACACTACACATATCGGATGCTCCAGTGTGTCGCGGTTGACCTGGACGACCGCGGTGAGACGGTGCGAGGCACAGAGACACTTCACTGCAGAAGGTCTCACCACAAGCTGCCCCGCCACATCCGTCATGAATAGCCTGCAAATTGAACCTCCGCCAGGATTGTTGAAGAGACTACGGCACCTCTCTGGATATACATGGGACGAAACTAGGGAGCCATTCCATTCCAGCTACGACATATGGTGAGCATAGTGGCGTGAGAGTCCGTGCAATACCGTTTAATGCTCACGACCAGGCAGGCATATTTTCGGGACAAAACATAATCAGACCACGAATCCCTCCCCCACCTCCCCATCGACGGTTCCGCGGCCGGAGTACGGTTCCAGTCGCCCAAATGAAGATCGAAGTGATGGAGCAAATGTCGGCAAGGAGCCAAACAATGCTCGGAGGATCAATGCACCAGTCTCAAAGGACGGGGGAAATGCCAACCGGCGGTCGAACGATGCTGAAAGGTCCGATATACTGGTCGTCGCGCGGGTTTCTATTCATGTCCTCCGGGAGGAACGGGCATACCACATCTGCAAGGCTTTGGCAGAAACAGTGGATCCGAACAGATACCCATTTGCCAGACCTCTTGATAGATTGAGATTACCAAGCTATGGAGAAGAAGGGCCCATATCTGTCTGCATCTTTGAATATCTCGGACCAAATTTGTTATCAAAAATCGTCGATTACGGCCCAGCATGGTTTAATTTCCACATGGTTGGAGATGACATCAGCTGTCATAGAAACGGGAACTTCGTGGCCGAGTCAATGTCCTTGAAAGGTTTCTTGGACTTTGCTATTGGGGCAGCGGAATGTATCGAGGTCCTGCACGGCCAGCAGATTGTGCACGGAGAAGTCAGAGGAGACGCCTTCCACATGAATGCAGAGGGAGGAAGAGTTACACTGATCAATCTTGGCCCTGGGCGCCAACGAAATTTTGAACATGGACTGTTGAGCACCGGCTGGTCGACAATGTCGAAAGAGCTAGGTGCTAAAACGAAGCTTTCATATATGAGCCCTGAACAAACCGGTCGGATGCCTCTTGAACCCGACAGCCGAACAGATATATTCTCTCTAGGAGTACTTTTCTGGACGATCTTATCGCAAAAACCAGCTTTTGATGGCGATACACCTCTGGATGTCATCCAGGCAGTTCTGGGGCAACGACTTCCCTTAATTTCCAATTTCCGACTTGATATTCCCGAGGTTATTGGGCGAATTATCCAGAAAGCAACAGCAAAAACAGTCTGGGACCGTTACCATTCGGTGGGCGGATTACGATATGACCTTGTCGAAGTTCGAAGATTGTTGGGTTTTGGAGACGTCTCACGACTTGAGAAGTGGGAGATTGCCACGAAAGACGTTTCTCCTTCGTTCATTCTGCCACAAGCTATGGTTGGCCGGACCATCGAACGCGATGTTATCGTTAAATCCATTGATAATGCCTTCAAAATACGCCAAGCAAGCCACATACCGGACAAACATGGCATAGCACAACTAGATCGCTTGTCTGACGACCAATTTGCCGGCTTTGAGTCTGTTGTCACGTCCGGGGATGCACCCCTAGACGATGGTATTAGAAATTCATCGGACGTCAGGACCTCACTTACGGTAGCTGATGGCTTAAGTGGGGACTATAAAGGGTACAAAGCAAATACCGGCAAAGCAAGGTCTCGTGCAAATTCATCATTAGACTCGGGGCCTGGGTTACTGGATTCTGATTCAAAGATGTCCGAAAAGAGGGCTTCGAGGGCCCTTGAATCCCCCAGTGCTTTCGAAAGCATAAATGGCGATGGCGTAGGATCAATATCAAGTTCTGAGGCTATTAGCAATGCCATCAAGAGTCGGGTCAACTTCAACTCTCTCACCAGCGGACACTGTGAAGTCATCACGATAGCAGGGGCCGCTGGTCTCGGGAAAAGCCGACTTGTTCAATCAGTTCAGGTCGAAGCACGTCAACGTGGCTACTGGGCAAGCACAAAATTCGAACAAAATCAGACAGAAAGCAAACCATTCGACTCCGTTCTCAAATTGATATCCAGCCTATTCCAGCAGGTGTTCTCAGAAAGTAACATGGACACAGTTTTCCATCAAGCCCTTGAACGACGCGTTGCACCAGTATGGCCGGTGCTCCACAAGATGTTAGGACTTCCTGAGATTTTATTTAGTGCCCAACTTCCAATTCGGACGTCAAGTCAATCAAGCGGCCATAATGCAAGCCTAGGCGCAGAATCCAGAGGATCCAGTTTATCAGCCAAAGGCACGAGTTCTCGGAATAGCCTTCCCAGCAGACACAGAAGCGTTCGCCTTCGGAGCTCTCGCAACTTTCTACTTGCGGGCTCTTCAACGCAAGCCATGTCCTTAACGAACATAATACTGGAGATCTTGCGCATTTTTGCCTTAGATAAATTTGTCTGTCTTTGTCTCGACGACCTCCACCTTGCAGACGAAGAATCTTTAGAGCTAGTCGCTCAAATAATTTCCACCAGGATCAAGATGGTCATCATTGTGGCATATAGGCCAGAGCAAGTTTTGTCTAACACCCTGAGACGCATTTTGGACCCTTTTCATGACGAGGGTATATCTCTCTAACGTGCACCCGGGAGTTGAATTCGCTGATCATGACTTAGTGAATCGTGCAGCCAGCGATTTTAGGGTCACATCAATTCTGCTCAAGCCATTCAGCGAAAATGATACCATAGAGTACGTGGCAGCCACCCTACGTAGGCTGCAGTCTGAAATCCTTCCATTGGCGGCTGCCATTCATTCCAAGACTGGTGGCAACCCATTTTACGTCAAGGAAATGCTAAATACATGCTATCGTAAGAAATGTGTGTGGTATGACTTCCGCGAGAACGGTTGGCTGTTCGATCACGACTCAGTCCTCAGGCAATTCGGGGCTGAAAACTTCAATGATGCTCTTTATGAAGGTCTCGTTCTGAGCCGTCTGAAGGAATTACCTCCTGCTACGAAGTCAATCCTTACTTGGGCGTCAATGATGGGTTCATCCTTCTCATTTCAACTGATACACCGACTTTTGAACGGGGATTTCACCCCGAGCAAAGCCCGCCTCACAGAGCGCGAACTGCTCAAAGCTCTCCAGACAGGCATCCAGTCGTATATCGTTCTGCCTACGCAGGACGATGACATTTTCCAGTTCTCACACGACCGTTATATACAGGCTGCAGCATCACTCCGAAATTGTGACGAAAAACTGATGCATTTCGTCATTGCGCAGACCCTCGTCAAGTATTACCTTCTTGACAACAGCTATCGCAATGTCACAGTATCTTCAATTTGCGAGTCTACGCGCAGTATCAAAAGTTATGTGGCACATAGACAACCCTTTAGAAAGATTTTGCTCGACCACGCACGCACCATGTGTGAAAGCGGTGTCAGATTTGCCGCCGTAAATGTCTATGCTAGTTGCATCGAGCTCTTACAGGACAATATGTGGGATGATGAAGCAGAAGACGTATCCTACCAGGAGACGCTACAGATATACACAGGGGCTGCCGAGTGTTATTTATACTGCGGTCAAGGCCAAGAGGCCAGACACTTACTGGCCTCGGTCTCCTCGAACGCTAGAACTGCTGTAGATAACGCCACGTCGTGGATCCTCCAGTCCCGAGCTTTTACGCAAGAAGGAGACTCAACAAGTGCATTCCACGCACTGAGAAAGTGTCTTCAAGCCTTAGACGTAAAAGTTGATGATGAGCCGACGTTTCCTGCATGCGATGTTGAGTTCAAGCGCTTATGTCAAGAGATCAAAGCATCTAGCCAGGCCGCTCTCGTCAAGGGGCCAATCAACGAAGAAGATTCGCATCTGACTGCTATCGGTGCTGTTCTAGTAGAAGCAACAAGTGCTGCGTTTTGGTCCGATACGTTACAATTTTACCAGATGACATTAATCATGGTAAATACATACCTCACATCAGGGAGCTTTCCTCAAGCTGGCATGGGTTTTCTACAATTGGCTCTGATTGCTATCACGAGACACAATTTGATTGACCTTGCAGGCGAGTGTGGAATTATAGCACTTGCTTTGATAGAAAAGTGGAGAGATCCATACACAATAGGCAGAGCCGGGACGTTATATCCCACCTTCCTAGGGCACATTCAGCACCCTCTCCAGGAGACGATCGGCCAACTTGAAGGAGCTTTGGACTTTGCTATCCAGGTTGGGGATCGCATATCTACAATTTTGAACGTTGGACAACTCGGTACTCTCAAGTTTTTTGCCTCCGAGAACTTGGAGGAGATTGAGGCATATTGTTCTTACGCTTGCCGGGACATACCCCATTGGGAATCTGACACGCCTGGGGGCACGATGATTATTTCAATTCGTCAGGTTTGTCGGGCTCTACAAGGAAAGACGCACACAAAAGATACTTCATTCGGAGTGATGAGCGACGAACACCACAGTTCACCAAAGTATAAGTCCTGGTTGATCAATACAGTCAAAAATAGCGACCGGCCTCTCATGCTTTATGAGAGCATTGAGATGGCTCCCCTATTTTTATATGGCCACTACGAAAGCGCAGTGGTGTTGGGCAATTCGTGTCTAAAGAAGATTAACGCTATTTGGTCTGCACGAAACACAAGATTCGTCATGTTCTTCCATGCTCTCTCCCTTGCTGGTTCTGTATGGACTAGAGTGCAAGAGCAACTCGACCCAGCGTACCGCCATCAGTCGCCTCAGCTTTCATCCGACATCAGCGGTCGTTCCCTGGAGACAGGGCTTCAGGAAGAGATGGCGGGGTTAGCGATGTTGATGAAATACTTCAACCGGAGAATCGAGCAGTGGCAAGCCATCACAGATATAAATTATTTGGCCTGGTCGAAAATGCTCGCTGCTCAAATCGCGGAGATGGAGGATGATCATACAAGTGCTTTGCGGTTCTACGAAGATGCAATCGACCACGCGTCCACACACAACTTTATATTTGAGGAGGCACTTGCCAATCAACTGTCTGGTGGCCACCTTTTGCGGGTTGGATCGCGGAGGCTGTCGAGAATGGCTTTCCGTGAATCTATCACTCTGTATCGACGACTTGGCGCCTTTGGAGTTGCAAACCATATTGAGCACGAGTACCATCATGTTTTACACGCATCAAGAAATCTTCCCCAGACTGCAGATATGGGCATCCAAACCGACACTGACCCAAATATGGAAAATTTCCAACCTCCCGCTGGTTTCGGCTACGACGAGCCGCCTGTTCCAAACTCGTTGCTTGAGACAGGGGACCCTGTGGGGGATAGAATTAATATGTGGCAAGATGTATCTGCATCTGCCAGTGCAGGTGCTGCCCCTGCTCTCCACATGCTCGATCTGACGTCGATACTTGAAAGCTCTCAAGTTATCTCAAGCGTCCTGCAAGTGGATCAGCTGCTCAAGATAATGTGTGAGATCATCTTAGCAAACTGTCAAGGCGTTGCTTCTCTAGCAGCTATCATTGTTGAAGAGAAATCGATTGGCTGGGGTATAGCTGCAAGTGGTCACCCGGAAGAGGGAGCAGCAGCTCACAATCCTCCACTCCCGCTTGGAAATTCTGCGCTCGTTGCTGAAAGCGTCGTCAACTATTGTTTACGTGTTAGAGAAACGGTCTTCGTGCCAGACCTGATGCAAGATCAGAGATTTAGTGGAAGTTGGCTAGCTCGAGATTCAACCAACAAGTCTGTGATAGCCATGCCGATTCGTCATGGGAACAACAAACCACTCCTCGGTATCTTGTACCTCGAGGGACAGCCTCACGCTTTTACGAATCGCAATCTTGAAGTCCTTCAATTGCTTGTCAATCAGATTGGGATTAGTTTCTCTAATTCCCTCACTCTCAAGGAGGTTGAGAGGGTCTCGGCAATCAATAAATCGATGGTTGAGGTTCAGAAGAAGGCTCTAGCGGAGGCAATTGAGGCAAAGAACAACGCCAATCTAGCGAAAGCGGAAGCATTTCGCAGCGCCAAACTAGCTGAAGAAGCTGATAGGGCGAAAACTACGTTTCTGGCAAACATATCACACGAGCTTCGTACACCATTGAATGGGGTCATAGGAAACTCGGAACTTCTCCTGCTCGACAACCAACTACAGGAAAGTCAAGCTGAAATGGCTGACTCAATTCGAATCTCGGCAAGTCTATTGCTCAGCCTCATTAACGACATCCTGGACTTTGCAAAGATAGAAGCCAATCAAATGCAGCTCCATCCTACCGTATTTGATGTTCACGAACTGGTTCAGGAGTTGGTCCGCTCTATGCCTCTTCCCAGAAAACAAAATTTCCAACAAGTCCAAATCATCCAAGATTTCAACGTACCTCACTCATGGGTGTATGCAGATCCAGTGCGACTCCATCAAATTCTCGGGAATCTCTTAAGCAATAGCTTGAAGTTCACTGCAAAGGGTTCTATCACGATCGGAGCCAAAGTGAATTCTGAGACGGAGTCGGAAACACACGTGACGTTTTGGACACAAGATACTGGTATTGGAATTTCGGCTGAACAGCTTCCTAAACTGTTCAAGCCGTTTAGTCAAGCAGATGCTAGTACGTCTCGCAAATATGGCGGCAGTGGTCTAGGTCTCAGTATCTGCAAATCTCTTGTGGAATCCATGGGAGGGGCCATCACTCTCCAAAGCGAGGAGAATGTGGGAACTACAGTTTCATTCTCACTCACCTTGCCCAGAGCAAAACCAGAGCCACCTATGGGCATCACTCGGAGCAAATCATTCCCTTCCGGCGGCGTGGAACAATCAACAGCTACTTTTGACAGCCTTTCCAACATACCCCAATCGCAGATCCGCGTCTGTATCGCGGAAGATAATCTCATCAACCAAAAAATCGCCGTCCAGTTCCTACAGAAACTGAACTTCGGACAGGTCGACGCCTACAACAATGGCCTCGAAGCTGTAGAAGGCATCCGGAAGATGGCGAAATCAGGACAGCCGTACCACATGATTCTCATGGACGTACAGATGCCGGTATTAGATGGGTATGAGGCGACTAAGCTGTTGAGGAAGGATGAGATTGAAGAGGTTAGGCGCATTTTGGTTATTGCCTTGACGGCGAGCGCGGTAAGGGGTGACAGGGAGAAGTGTTTGGAGTCAGGGATGAATGATTATCTTGCCAAGCCGGTAAGGTTGAAGCTATTGAAGGAGAAGTTTAAGGAGTATATGGTTGTTGAATCGTGAGTTGGAATATACACATATAGAGGGAGTAAAGATGGAGCACGAATGGGGCGTTGGAATGGAAGTACATGATATACCCATTTGAATGTATATGTTTGTAAATTGCTGCACGCTTGGCCTGTATTCGCGGTGATTTCGAGACTTAGTTTATTTTCATTTTCCAGGAATGTTATGCCTCAGCTACTATTCTTCCCCTCTCCCACACTTGCGAAACTATTACCCCCTGTTCGTCAATACGAGCGATTGGTCAATCGGGGTCCCCGCTGCCCAATCGCGGGGTCATAAATACGGGGTCGAATACGAGCGAATTGAAGCTCTGATACTTGACTCCCAACTCCCTTGTCACCGTCGCCCCATCCAACGCATAACTCCCACCAATCGCTTGTTCCTTCTCCGAAACCTTCCCCTTCGCCCACTCAAACTCCTCGAACATGATTCTCGCAGCTATCCTGTACGAAAAGCTCCGGACTCGCAAGCGTAAACCCTTTATTCTCTGCTTCTGACCTCAATAGCGCCTTAATATAGTTGAAGACTTTTAATCGAGACTTTTATAAATAAAATATCACGATAATTTTTAGTATTTATCTTTTTTTAAAAATAAGACTCATTAATTTTATATTTTATAATTTTTAATCTTTTTAATTTTTTAATTAGAAATTATATTTTCTAGTATTTAAAGTATTATAATAATAATAATAAAGAGACTTGAATAAAGAATATTATTAATATATAAAGTTAATTTTATAAGTATATATATATATATATATATATTTATAAAAAGAGCATGTTTTAAATAATTTCGTTTTATAATAGTCTTAAGTATTAACTATTTAATTAATATAATAACATTATTACAGAAATAAGCGATTTAATATTTATATTTTAATAAATATTTATATTTTAATAAATATTATATATAATAATACTTTATATAACTTGTAAAAAAACAAAAACAAATTAATATTAAAAAGTAATATATAAAACTTTTAAAAAAGTATAATAATTTAAATTAATTAACTCTAATTTATAAAAGTTTAATAATAAAATCATTGAAATAATTATTTAATTTTTATTTATAGTTTATTCTTTATATAATAGAAATATATTATAAATAAAGGATTTATAAAAAGTAATAATTATATTTATTATAATTTAATCTTATTAATAAAAAATAAAAAATATTTATAATTAAAAAAACTTAAATAGCTTTTTATATAATTAAATACATATATAATTAAAATAAAAAAAGATATAAAAACTCGGTTATTTTAATTATTGGAATTTATATAATAATTATATATAAGTTTAATTAAAAGCTTAATTTTTTTTCTTTTTTTAATTTAAAATTTATAACTAGTTAAACTTATAGAGAGAATTTGGCTGCTTTAAATAATTTGTATTACTTTAATAATAACTTCTAATAATAATAAATGCGAGCTAAGTTCTTATTCTTTCCTTTTTTCTTTAATATATTTTTTATATTATATAATAGCTTTGGTTTGAAATATAACTTTAGTTAGCTTATTATGAAATTCAATTAATAAAGTTAATTAATAATAAATCCTTTTACAAATTTAATTATATAATATATAGTTATATAATAAGTTATTAGAATAATGTTAAACAAAATAGCGTTATAAAGAGTTAAACCACGTTATATCTAGTCTTAGAACTAAGAGTTCAAATCTAGCTCCCGCTTTTTATTTCAAAAGGAGATAGTTCCGGCCCCGTAATATAATTAACCTTTCGGCTAAGAATTAAAGGAACCGTGGGTTCAAACATAGCTCCTATCTCTAGTCTCTAATACATATATAGACTAGTAATATCAGCTGTGAGGCGCTAACTCCTGAGTGGGGCTAATTCCTCGCATACTTCTTATAAACTGCCTCGATAGCAAAGAGTGAAGTAAAGAATAAAATGAGAAAATCAAGGATGAAATGAGGACCGGAAGCAGTATTTAATAAGAGTCCTCTATTGTTAGCTTTTCATGCGTTCCTTAATCGTTAAATGGTAATACTTGAACCTATACTTTTGAGTTATTCGAAGCCTAACTTCTCACAGATTCACATCATACCGAAGGAGCAAGCTGAGCGCTGCCATGACACTTTATTCCAGTATACTGGCCTACATCGCATTGAGAGCGTGGTTGAGTTCGCTTTAATTACGAAAGCAGTATTGCTACCTGTCTAATTATAATTCCTCGGTTAAGCCCTATTAGCGCAGACTATATCTCACCAAACAAGGGGATAATAAGGGCCTGTTTAGTACAGACTCACGTAAGTGGGATACCGGATATCGGTAATATCGAACTTTAGCATTCAACCCTCGATATTGAACGCTGGTATTATTATAATTTAGACCTGTTTCTCAAAGATATAAATACTCATAATTATCGTAATTATAGAGGTTTCAGCTTTATCTTTACTAGCGTTTTCAGCCTTTATTTTTAGCCTCACTAATCTCCCACTTTTCCTTCCCTAATAATTAGCGATTACTTCCTATAATTATAGCGTCTTAAAGCCTGGATTTATTTTATTATTAAATGGAAAAGTAATTAATAAAATAATTATGTCTTATATTACTTATTACCAAATAAATTAATCCAAGATTTATTTCCTGAGAATCGCAAAATATAAAGCTTTAGAAAGAATTTATGCCCTCTGAATATTCAAGGTTTGCGAAACAGGCCCTAAAGTAGAAAGGTAGCTGAGCTGGCCTGCTTTGCGTCTCCACCTGGCCTGTTGCGGGGGTTTTGGAAGGTTGTTTTCTCAGCGTAGCTGGCCTTTAATGCTTGAAGATCACTTGTTTCTAAGGACTAGCCAGTGTAATAGGCCAAACGGCCAATCCTGTCAAACCGGCTAAACAGGCTAGCTAGAACATTTCTAGAACGCTTCCAAGTCGCTTGGGTTAGGGTCCGAGTTAGGGGTTAGAAGGGGGGGGGGGGGGTGGGAGACCCCCCGCATTGGAACCGTCTCTCAGAAACGTTTTAGTAATAATATAGAATATACTTCTAGGTTCTATATATTATATATAATTGAAATTTCACCGTCAGAGACAGTGGAATATCAATTATTAATATAGACGGGAAAGCAAAAGAAATGTGAAAGAATATTTAATGCCTTAAAAGTTGTAACACTATGGCCTGTTTTCTATCCCTGCAGCAGGCAAAATGGGGACGCCAAGCAGGCCAGCTCAACTACGTATTCGGATAAAGTTTCCTTTATACCGAAGTGAGACTTTATTGGTTTCAGGAGTAGAGCCGAGTCTCTTTGTTCTTCTAACTCTATATTTTACTCTAAGAGTAAGTCCGCCAATAGCGTTGCTTCTTGATTTTATATATACCCATGAGATCCATCGTTTGACATTTTTTGAAATCGCTATCTTTATCTACCATTCTCACTAACAGTCTTCATTCACTATTCTCACCAATATTCTTCTTTCACCAACGCCAACATTGCCAATATGCGCTTCTAAATTACAATGCTCTTTACCTTTATCGCTGGCATCACTGCCGTCACCATCCCAAACTCAGAGGCAGAAAGCCTTGAGAAACGTGTAAGTTGATAAAGAACCTGGTTTCCTGTTCATACACTGGAATTCTGCTCCTTTTTACCCTCCCAGGCGTTGATTAACACACTGTCAGACGGCTTGCAACCCGAACAATCAAGCAGCTTGCCGTGAAATCTGCGGTGGAGCCTTCAGCTGTTGCGGGAATGGTCTTGGTGGATGCGGTTGCATATGCTGATCACATGTTGCGATGAAAATGGGTTTTGTAGGAAGTCGATAAATGAGGTTGGAAAGGATTGAGGAGGGTTATTGGAATTATCATCTAGATAGATTATTATTATGGTCTTCTTAGAGCTAGTAGTTCAAATAATGACAAAGTACACTTTCTTTACAAGGCTAGGCTCCTGCCTTCGGTCTCTGATTGCCCCCTTTTCTTCATTTAATAAATAGTAGTATTAGAAATCCAAAATAATAATCGTTATATAATAGTTATAATTTATTAGTTACAAGACTAGTAAGTAATTAATTAATAAGTAATAAGTTTGAAAGATAAGGGTAATATACTTAATTAAATAATCTCTAGCCTTTTATAAGTATAATAACGTGCTTTTAAGAATAAATAACAAGTTTTTAACTTTGCTTTTTAATACTCTTCTTTTTCTAAATACCTTATTAAACTCATTATTACTTTATATACTCTTATTTCAAAATTTAATAATTAATTAATCTTTTAATTAAATGCTTTCAAATATTATAGAAGTCTTTATTATATAATAAATAACTTAATATATTAAAGAGAATTTAATACGAGCTTATAATATTATTATAAATAATATTTCTTATTAATAAATTTATTTAAAATATAAAGTTTTAAAAAAAATTATTTGAAATCGGATTTATAATAATAAATTATATTAAAAGAATTTAATATCTTTATAAAAGCTTATTTTAGTTTACGGAAAATATTTAAAATATTATTTTATTTATAATATTTATATTCTTATTATTATTATAAGAGATATAATAATAAAATAATATATAAATAATTAAAATAAGTAAATTATAAAGTAATACTTATAAATATAATTAATTCTAAGAAGTAATTATAATAAGAAACTAATTAATACTTCTTTTTAAAGCTATATACGTTTCTTTATATATTTCTTAATATTTAATTAGAAAATATAATCTGATATAATTTATATAATTCCGATATAAGTAATATTTAAAATAAGAACTCAAATTTGTAATACTTAATATTTATTTATATTTAATTATATATATTTATTATATTAATTCTTTTTTTAGGCCCTTATTTTTTTTTAAAAAGCCCTAATATATTATAAATAGCTTTATATATATTTCTTAATACTTTTATAATTCTTAATCTTAATTCAAGAACTTTTTACCTGTATTTTAATATTATATTAATAGTAAACTTATAAATATAATTTATTAAACTTACTTATTTAATTTATAAAATATATCTTATAATTCTCTTTTATAAAAGTAATATTAGTATAATATATATTATTACTTATATAATTAATTTAATCTTTTAATTAATTAATCTTATATTAACTTTTATTTATAAACTAAAAAGCTTAAAAAATTAATTTAGTTTTTTGATTTATTTATAAATTCTTTTTTTAAACTTTTTTTAGCCTTTTTTAATATAAAAATAACTTTAAATTCGCAATTATTAATTAGAAAAGAAGTATTATAAAAAGGCTTTCTTTTTTTTATTAACTAATTCTTCTTTTCTTAATTATAATATTATGTTTAGTTTCTTTTTATATTTTCTTTATATTTTCTTTAAGTATTATTTAAGCTTTCTCTTTTAATATTATCTTTTATTTCCTTTATTTATTAAAATAAGTTAATTTCTTTTTACTTATTATAATATTGCAGCTTGTTTAGCTAAAACTCTTTAAGTATTAATTCGTTTATATTGCCTTGAATTTTCTAAGAATATTACTAAATTTCCTAATATTAAATATATTAAGACTAATAACTACTCGGTATATAACTATTACTATTTTAAGAATAATACCAGTTTGCTCGAAATCTTAGATTTGACCAAAGTCTAGTTTTGGTAATTAGTTTAGACATGTGGCGAGCATGACTTGAGCTTTTTGTCTTTGAGCGGGTTGCGCCTCGTGTTCGTGGGAAACTTGTCATCAGAAGTTGTGCAATACAGCAGCCTTCTGCCTGGCCAACTGGATAAACTACGGGCTCTACAAAGACAACGGCATAAAGTATCGGGAATACAGGGCAGTTTCACCTTTAGTGCTCTACAGGGTGCAATTAGAGCAGAAGTTCGCTATAAGTCCCTATAACTCTAGGTAGTGCTCCCTAAATCGATATAAAGAGGCGCTATAAGATCTTCGCATAAGATATGTAGATCTTCTAGTGTTATAGCGCTAAAAGTAGAGCAACTATAGCGCTCGGACGCTAAATAAGAAGTTATTATAGGCTTCCTTAGTAAAGACTCCCTTGTAAGTACAGGGGGGAAGCCCTGAAAAGGTATGTTAGCCCTTGCCAAAGGCGTCAGTAATATTGTTAGAGGAAGGGCCCTGGAAATATAGGGCCTTATAGCAAGTTTACTACCTTAATCTGTACGCTGGAGAGCCTAAAAGTCTCCCAATGCCCTGTATTCCCGATACTTTATGCCATTGTCTTCGTACTTCACTGATGGGCCTCTGCAATGGTGATTCCCTCTGGAATTCTGGTTGGGTTTCCCTTTCGTGGTCGCATCAATGCTTCCTTTTCTCCTTACGCTGGCTTCTTGTCACGGCCTGGACAAGCTGTGGAAGTGGAATGTGGTGTGTTTTGGTATAAATATGTATGAATGATGGTGCCCTAAGGGCGGTGAAGAAGCTATATGTACACCTGTGCGCAGCACGTGACACTTCTGCTCTAGGATCGCCAGGACGAAGCCCTAGAAGTCATTGCCATGCTGTACGGGAAGAATATCGATATCCATGACCCCGAACTCACTGCACAATACCCACAAACTCAGGGTTAATTTTCTCTTTCGCTGGTTCCGTTTTAGTCTGCGGACGTGAGCAACTGCTGCTTTAACCTGAGCTGAGGGTAAGCATGCCTGAGAAGAGCCTGAGCAGAGCCTGAGCATCTTGATCAAGCCTGAGTCAGCCTGCGCATCATAATGTGGAACCCATTTTGGCCTCCTCGTGCTCGGCTACGGTTTCCTTACCAAATTTTGCTCGGGAATCCGGTTCTGCTCCCTTACAGGTTCCTGCCGGAGCAGATTTTGGATCCCTCTCATCAGCTCGTGTGGAAGTAATTCAGCGTCACAAGTCAGACTACGGTTGGCTGTTTCGACCTCTGTGGTAAGTGTGACGATTCCAACTTCACCTGACTCCTGCTCATAACCCCTGAAAAGGAGTTATGAGCCAGGTAGCGCGACCCGTGACGAGCCCCCTGTATATTACGAGACTCGTCGTCCTTCTTCCTCTCTTCTCTTCTTCTCTCCTTAGCTCTAGATCTTCGTTCGTAGGCAATCAACTACAAGATCAGGAATCATCGGCTTCACGGCCTTGTCCTTCGCATCGTCTGTACGTGTCGTCACGGTATGACGGCAATGAGTCACGGGACTTTATCACATGATGATTGACATATCCGTCACTTACCTCAGGCACTTAGGCCATAATCCGAAAGAAGAGGAGTAAGGCTTACAGGTCATGCAATTTATGTTCCTCTCAGTATATGGCCTGAGATCCTGTCAATCGCACAGACTAATTTGCAGTTATTTTGTATGTGTTTTTCGTGGTTTTGAATGAATTTTATCTTAAGCGCAATCGATATCAATACGATAATAACAGACGCTAATGAATTGAAAAATGAATTGAAATGCAAATCGTGCAATTCGCGGGAGGTGAATCGTATTTTTAGATCCTGGAAGACTCTATTGTCTGCATCCACGCACGCCGGGAAATCGATTCCTTGCAATACCTTTGCCACGGCTCTTAACTTGACTCCTACGCGCGAAGGGATTTCTTTCCTGATCGATGGTGCTTCATCTCCTGGTACCAGTAAGTTTGTCCCTTGAAGTAGCTCATATAGTTGTTGTAAAAGGCGCTTCTCGATTTCAGCCTAACCTGCTCTTTGAGGTGAAGCAGTAAGATCTAGGACAGGAGACACAGGCTTTGGATGATGTTTGTTTCTCTTTATTGACGTATCGTCTCATCGGAAGGTCTGGATGTCATCAAGCTTCCGGAAGTGTCACCTTGAGACTGGTTTTCATTGGTTCTAGCGCCAGGCGCAGTCTTCCAGGTTAGAGCATCACGAACTTGGCATCATGCTTTCGATGACCGATGACGCATTCTCATTCGTTAATTTGTTGTTGAATTCTTCGCGAAGACTTTGTATTTGTTATTCAGAGATCGCAGATGCGATACAATCCTGTTAAGAGTGCATTCTCCCGCAGAGTTTTGAACATCCGTTAGTGAGAGCGCAGAGAATGCACTTTCGCGAGCACGTGTATTTTTAATGTGTTGGATTAGGTAAGAACTTTTCCGAATTCGAAATGAAGCCAAGACATTTCGATGATATGTTTTTAATTTCTTTGACTTTGTGTATGGGGTTTGGTTGTAATTTTTCTCTTACTGGTCACGAGGCGAGTGCAATCATGAGGTTAATGGCAGCGACCTTTCGAGCGACGATGGCTTGAGGGCTCAGGTCTTTGGAGAGACCGTAGGTCGTGGGAGCGCATGAAGTTGATGCCTGTCGTCCTAATTCAATACATGACGCACTAACCACGTAATGTCCGCCTGAAATGTAGGAGATTGTTACGAAGCGCCAGAAGGCCTCGAAGATTATGTTCTTAGGAACCCTATCGCCCATTCCAAACATGCGCACATTTCGGCAAGAAAGCCTCAGTCTCGTTCAACGGAGTCAAAATAAATGGAAATCCGCAGGTGAGAAATGTGTCTCCAAATGCTGCTCTTCCTTCCTCTCCGGTAGCCGGACAGACCGTTCTAGGAATATTATAAACGTGGTGATAAGCTGAGCAGGCCTCACCTTTTACCAGCCTGATGTCTGCGTGTCTAGCAAACGCTCTTGGCGTTTGAAATTTTGTGGTAGCAGATTTATTGCGAGTGGATGTGACATTTGCTGTGTTCTTATTAGTGTCTATCACAACGAGACTAACAAACACTGATATCATCACCCATTTTAAAGGCCTAAATAAATCTTGCAAACTATATCTATATGCTGGAAACCCAGAACTGCATTATCATGGGAGGAAAGATGAGCGTCGTCGAAAAGTATGTTGATCAGGGAGAAGAAACCGCCGCCGGATCAAATTAGCGTAATATCCTGAAGCTCAAATGGTCCCCTCCTTTCTCCCTCAGCAATATCAATATCGATGAATCCCGGTACCCAGCAACAACCTATGAACGAGTACGGTCCGCCCCTCGATCGATCAAAAGGTTCCATGGGTCGCAGAAGATACGGCACAGCGGATCCGACAAATACACACACCACATCCTGATACTCCACTTCGCAGCTGTTGCCCGTACTTCCCATCTGGCCCAACATCGTGACGAACGGCCTCCTGAGTTCAAAATTGTTTCCCACTGCCGATGTGAAGTCAACCAATATGCGCAGGGTCATCGCAGAGTCATTTGGAATGTCCACTTCGCGGTCTGTCAAGAGTTGATAGCATAGGCCCAGATCTGTTTGTTCACCTGGCAGCTCATGCAGAATCGCGTTCCTCCAAGCCTGGCGCCGCTCATCTGGCGTTTTAAATTTCTCTTGTGAGCATTTCTGGCGTTCCATATCGTCTTCCCATTGGATAATCGTGCGTCAAGACTTGCACTAAAGCCCCTGCGTCCCTGCGGGTTTAGTGCGTATCAGCAATACAGTCAAAAATCAGCGGTACAGTTATTTTTTTTACTATTATATCGATTTTAATTAATTAAATATTAATACCATGGCCAAATTCGACCCAGAAGAAGAGAAAAGGATAGCCCAGGCCTCCGATTTCTATACCAGGAACCCATATATTAAAAAATCTGCGATTATATATTAATTTAGGGTCCCATTACGCCTCTGGAAAATATATCTCGCTGGCCGATTATTATAGAATACCAAAGGGGGCCTTAATAAAATACTTACTCCTAATTAGGAAAAGAGCCTAAAGCAGTTTATTAATTTTCTGATTTATTTAGGCTATAGAGCTAATCTCAAGACGGTTCGGGCAGCAGCTAATAAGATTCTTGGGAAGAGCATATTTATTTATTAAATAAACTACCTCTAGATATAATAATAATTAAAACGGAATAAATTATAATTTAAAACCCTTTATATAAAAATACTAGTATAAAAGCAGAAAGTAGTATATTAAAAGAAGGATCTAGAAAAGTATTTTTTTTTTAGAAATATTATAGAATATTAAAAAAGTATAGGATTTACTTTAAAAAATATATAAAATATAAATAAAACTAGCTTTTATATTAGTATTTTAAACGGAAAAATTATTATTATATATTTTAATATAAAAGCTAGTTATTTAATAAATTCAGATAATCGAGAATTATTTACTATAATTGAAACTATATTTATTAATAGTAAAGTAATTATACTATTTCTTATTTTTTAAAAAAAGATTCTATTAGAGAAATATTTTAATAATAATTTTAATACCAAAATAGTATTTACTATAATGGCTAGTATAAGGGTATAATCTACTAAGGACAGGATATCGGAAACAGGTACAAAATGAAGCTAAACCGGAATTACTTGGGCGGAATAATACTAAAGATTAAGGCATTCTTCCTACTTTATTTTATAGCTTAGTATTTTCTAATATATAAGATTCTTTAAACTTTAAGCCTTTAACTATTATATTAATCCTGCTATTATATAATATTAAGCTTACTTGATTTAGCCTATAGAGATAATATAATACTACTAGTAAAGAACCCGTATTTATTCTTGGAAAACAAAAATAGAATACTGCTTTTAATATTTAATAACTTCTTTAAACTATAAAGAACTAGAGAGCTTAACTAGAAATATAATATCCTCTATAATCTAGTTAATCTCGGAGCCTAACCCTTAACTAGAGCAAATAATATTCCCTTTCTAGTAATTAGTTCTCTACTAATATAAAAGAAGAAAGATATTATCCTCTATAATCTAGTTAATCTTAAAGCCTAACCCTTAACTAGAACAGATAATATTTCTTTAATACTAATAAGAATAAAAGAACTAGTTCTTTTCCTTAGTATAGGAAAAATTAGTAATAATTTACTAATTTAAAATAAGAAAAGATAATAGTCGGTTTTAGTCTACTAACTTAAAACTAGATAAGATAATAATTAGTTATAGTTTGCTAATATTAAATAAAAAGAACTTATTTAGTACTTACCTCTATAGCTAATATCTCTTTTAAAGCTATTATAGATAGCCCGGAACTAAGTATTATTACTATAGATATATTAGATAAAAGGCTCTAGTATAATGAAATAGAGAAGCCTGACTTTAATATTATAAACTTATATTATTAGGAAAGCTATTATAATATTATCTTAAAAGAAGATATTAAGAAATAGCTAGCTAACTTGGAACTTAAAATTAGTATAAATACTCCGAAAATAGATAAGGCCTAGTAGAGATTACTTATATAGGATAACCTTATTAATAAATACTGCCTTATAGCTAATAAATAAGTGAAATACTACTAGAAATTCTATTTATATATTAATTAACTTACTAAGAAAGTTAATAAGCTAGAGGTAATTACTAGTTAACTTTATATAAAAGAAAGACTAATATAAGAAGAAGTAATAAAATAGAGATTTAAATAAATAGATATCTAGAAATATTATAGGTCCTTATTAGGAGAACTATTTAGGAATTAATATTAAGGCTTCTTCTTACTTTTAGTCTATAGTAATTAATTATAACTTATTAGAATTAAGGATCCTGCCCTATTTATAAACAAGAATAATTATTAGATTAATAATTAGATATTTAATATAAGAAATAAACTAATATAGAACTTCTCTAAATTCAATAGTAAATTACTAAAAATTACTTATATAATATAACTAGTTACCGGAAATACCCGTAACTTTATTTATAATTAACTAGAACCTGAATTAATTAAATAGATCTCGACTATTAAATAGATCTTTAAGATTCTCTAATAAGCTTATAATAAAAGTAAAGAAATAGAATACTAAGAAATAAAAGAAATATACCGGTATTTAAGATAAAGAAATAAGCTATTTCCGGTATTCTAGATAAAGTTTATTTACTTAATAATAAAACTAGAGAAGTTACTAAATAACTAATATAATAATTTAATAAATAAAATAAATCTCGAATTACTTAAGAGCTTAGGTAATAAGAAGTTTAATACTTCTAGAGACTTTACTAAATAATATATAAAATAAGAAAATAGGCTTCTCTTAATTAAAAATTAGTAATTTTAGGAGAAATAACTAATAGAAACTATTTGCTATTAAATACTATTTCGGGCTAAAAAGCCTACTAGGATCTAAAAAGCTATAGTAACCCTATATCTAATAAATTAACCTTAGTAGCTAGTATTCTTATAAATAAAGAAGGTAATCTATTGAGAATTTAAGAAAAGATTAGACTAGCCGGAAGGTCTTTATTATTATAACTATAGAAAGCCTAAATATATAAAAAGTACTTATTCTGACTTTAATAAGGTTATATCTATTAAAGAGAATTATTTAGAAATAGCTAATTATTTAGAAATAACTAATAATTTAGAAATAGATAATAAGAATACTAACTCTTATTTATTATCTAATAAGAAATATAATATTAATAAATCGGAAAAAGTCTAGTTCTAAATATAAAAATAGCCCTTTTAGAATAAGAACTTTACTAAAAACCTATAGATCTTACTTAGCTAATTAGCGGGAACTAATTCCTTATTAATTATTAAATATACTAGAAAGATAAAACTATAACCTTTTAGTATTTAGTAAATACCGGAATAAATATATATATTCTAATTAATTAAAAGTATATTTGCCCCTTAATAAAAGTATAATAAATGCTCTTATATAAACTCAAAATCCCTATTTCTTTATAAGGTTTTAATAGATAACCTAGTAAAGCTATTTAATATCTAGTTATTATAGATCTAATTATTAATTAGTATTTCTAAACTTAATAATATCTGCTTATTACTAATCTTAACTTTTATAATATAATTCTAGAAAAGAAATAGCTAATAAAATATAATATCTTACTAAACTATTAATATAATTAATTCTATTAGCTAGAGAACTATAAGACAAATTAGCCGGATCTTATTTAGAAAATCCAATATTTTAATAAGAAATATTAAAAAGATAATTACTTTAAAAATACTCTAACTAGAATTCTAAAAGAAACTAGTAAAACTAGATCTAAGAAATAAAAGAATATACTTCTTATCTTTTTATAAGATCTTCTTGTAAAGAAAGCCAAATACTAAGCAAGAAAGAAAAAGCTAGATCTTAATACTTTTAAAATAGGTAAGCTACTAGACTATTTCTACTATTTTATTAAAGTAGCTACTTTCTAATTAAGTATTAAAAACTCTAGTAACTTAGTTAGATTAGTTACTATTAATAAAATTAATTATATATTTGAGAAATAGAATTATAAACTAAAGAAATACCTATTATTACTAGTAGTAATTAGATAACTAATATTATAGTCTACTAGATACTATATTTAAACTAGTAATCTAATATATTCTCTAGATATAAATAAATCTAATATTTTTAGTAATATATTATTTTTTAATTCTAAAGAACTTTAAAAGCTCCGGGTATTTCTCTTTATATAGCTATATAATATAGCTAGAATATTTTCTAAAAAAGTAGTAAATAAGTTTCTCTAGTTTTAATTCTTTAACTATAAGCTTTATTTTAATAGACTAGACTCTTTAATAAAAATAGCTTACTTTTATAAGATAAGCTCTAGTAAACTCGAAAAAATAAGAGAATATCTTATTAAAAACCTAAAAAAGAATTTTATTAAGCTATCTAAATTCCCTTTCTTATTACTAGTTTTATTTATTAAAAAGAAAAATAGTAGCTTATAATTTTATATTAACTATTAATAACTAAATACTATAATAAAAAAGAATTATTATTTCTTATTACTTATTACTAAAATATTTAATTAATTAGCTAAATTATTAGTATTTACTAAATTAGATATTTAATATACTTTTAATCGAATTTATATAAAACTAATTTTTATAATATAAGTAGTTTTTAAAATAAGATATAGATTTTTTAAACTAGTAATTCTATTATTTGAATTTTATAATAATCTAGTAACTTTTTAGTAATATATTAATACTATTCTAATAGATTATTTAGATAACTTTTATTTAATCTATATTAATAATATACTTATTTTCTCTAAAAATAAGAAAAAGTATTAATAATATATTAGAATAGTTTTATAGAAGCTTTAGAATACTAGATTATAAATTAATATTCGTAAATATAAATTTAAAATCTTTAAGATAATATTCTTAGGATTTATTATCTCGAATTAAGATATATAAATAAATTTTACTAAAACCTCTATTATCTGAAACTAGTATTAACCTATAATAAAAAGAAAGATATAGTTATTTTTAGGCTTCTATAACTTTTACTATAGGTTTATTTAAGCCTATAG